GACAACTGTGATAGGCGTGCAATAAGACTATGATACTATGATGGGGTGAGAATACGACGAGTATCAAGAGTTGAGGGAAGAGATCCTGAGACGTCGCCGTATATGTGACGATACGTTGTGAGCGGTGCCGATATGGGTACCGATCGGTACCGACGCCGTTATGAGATGTGGAGCGCCTTGCGATCGGGATGCGTGGTTATCGCGTGGTGGTTGCCACGTGGTCGACACGTGTAGTCGGTTGGTCACTAGTCGTTGTCGTTCGGATCGTCACACCTAGCAACGTCATCTGCATCCATGCTTACCCACTAGCCCTCGCAACGTCGTATCGCACCTGCGCAAGACTCGCAGACGAGCGTAGACAATGCAGATGAGCCGATTACGTCATCTCAGCGCTCCTCCCGTGGTCGAGCAACGGCGTCGCAGGCTGCGCAGTCGTCGTCGTCGTCGAGCTCGCGCAGGAAGGTACTGAAAAAGGGCAAATCTTCAGCGTGCGCCATACGTGTCGATACGCCGCAGTTTGACGAGGAAGGGAGGCCCTGCTGGGGTGCAAATGATAGCTGCAAGGGCTGGGATGAGGATGGTATTGATGGGCAGCCTTCAACGCTGTCGCTCATTTGCGACTACTTTGAAGAACACCCGTACAAATGGGAATCATTCAGAGGTAGTCGTCAACAGAGGCTAGCAGCACGTCCAGAGGCAGTTGCGCGAGAGATCGTACAACACCTGAAGCAGAACTACGGCCCAGTAGAACGCTCCGCAAAAAGTATCGTTGAATACTTGCAACGAATCGTCCTCAAGAAGTACACGAAGGCGTGCGAGCTAGAGGACAGCACTGGTGGCGGCAAAGACGACAGCGAGAACGATCCTCCATGGGTGATCTGGAAGACCAAGAAAGGGAACGTGAAGATCTACCGAGGGGATGATATGGAGCGTGCGTGCAGAGGAGAGGAGCGCTGACAATGTAGGTGAATGCGAGAAGATCTGCCCACTTTGGAGACGATGGAAAGGCATCATATCCGACTCTGACAGGAGCTACAAGCAATCTACCCACGGTACAACAGAGTCTCATGCAGATGCGCGTGCTGGAACGGCTCTTGCGATCTCGAGGATTGGCAAAAGAGGCGTGCGCAATGCCGCACGTTCCGAGGACGAGCGCTCTCTATCTCCTTCTGGATCTGAGGACGACACCAATGATCTCAGCATCAAGACTGAGGGAAACCTGGTACTTGTACCACGTCGCGAGGGCCTGATCAGTGCGCAACCACAGGTACCGCCGCTAATGTTAGCCCGAAAGCCCGAGGCTCGCTCTGTGCAGGCCCAAACTGCGCAGCAGATGATGCGCATGCATGACGAGCAAGAAGCACGTGCACTCGCAGAGACCCGCAGGTATCGCGAGGCTAAGATTGCAGAGATGCAGCAACAGCACTTGGCAAACATGATCGTGCAACTGCGGCCTCAGTATCCACCGTCCGTATCAACTGCGCAGCTACGAGATATAGCTCTAGATATCGTCCAGACAGTGCGGGCTACCTCAGATCGAGCTATCCTGCATCCAGTCGATCAGAATAGCCTCTACGGCGTCCAATAGTTTTCAGAGTTTCATGTAGTTTTTTCAATTTGCGCCCCTCTGTGTGGATGTGTGTGTACGGACATGTTTTTGGTTGCATGACATGTCCGAAATGCTCTAGTGCACGTAATATGCATGCTCCACCCTCGGTCTTCAGCTCTACTGATAGCCTACACTCCGAAGGTACTTGGCTGAAAGTCTCGGCGCTCCAGCCCTGGTGGTTGGTGAGGAAACATGGCCGAAAGTTGGGCTGATGACACTTGTCTGTCCCAGTACGCAGTCAGATAGGCGACATGTTCTCGGTGAACGTGTTCCTCGCTCGTTAGATCGCGCGGTGTCCAAATGGAAGCGTCGTAGTCCTGCGGGATGTTCCATTCTCGAGAAAGAGTGTTGCCGTCGCACCAGTCGTGAGATGCAGGACGATAGACATCGATGGTATCGATATACAGGTTGTGCAGGACCATCGCCGCTTCCACAATGTTCCACACGAGCGTATGCTCAAGCCACCCAGGTGCTAGACGTACATCTAGGTTCTTGAGAGCTCTCCAGCGGTTCTTGAGCATTCCAAATGCATGTTCGATTGCTACACGAGGAGAAGTGCACTTGTCGTTGAAGTATTCCTGGGCGTTAGTGGATTACGTAATGGAACACCTCGGAATTCTGACTAATTTCACAACTCAATTGTGCGCACCTGGTAGGGTAAAAGGCCAATGTCTTGCGCGTTCTTGTACATGGGGGTGATGTACTTCGTAGCCCGAAAGCCTGCGTCACCGATAAAGTGTTCTCCATGACGAAAAAGTGCGCTCGGGTTGGTACACAATTCCGACTCGTTCTGGACACGGATATCGCTTGCTGCTCCATTCATCCCGATGCGAGCATAGATGAAGCGCTTTGTAGAATCGCAAGCGGCTAGAACAAGGAGCGCATACGTCTTTTTGCGCGTCCAGAAGCAGCGAGCGCTTTCCTCAGGCATTGCGGGAGCCTTTCTCAATGGGATATGAACGCCGTCGATGAAGCCAAGGCAGCCAGGGATGCCGTATTGATCGAATATCTCATACTTGAGGGCCCGCTTGTACTTGCCGCGAGGCCATACGATAACGCTCTGCGTGAGCGACGCGATTGCCGCAGCCGCTCGCATGCTGAAGTTGACGACAGAACCCACTGATACACCCCAGTCTAGGGCGCACTTGTCAACGCTGAGGCCATCGTCTGCAAGGCGAGAGAGGAACACGCCCAGTTGAACCTGTACGCTAGCCTGTCGACGGCCTCGAGGGGCCTCTGCAAAAACGTCGTGCGTAGCGACCCTGGAGAGTAGATCTTGAAACTCGTCAGGTGTGAGGCGTAGGTAGGTACGGTTGAATGGTAGGAGGGCACCAAATGGCAAGGGAACGCTCGGTAGCTCGTGTTGCGCTGCTGGGTGGTGCTGATAGCCTGTAGGACGGGTGTTGTATCGACGTGCATCATGGTCATGAATTGCCGTAGCCACCAGGAGATAGAAACGTCGCCAATAGCTGCAGATAGGACGCCTAGCTAGGAAGTCAAGCATCTCCTGCAGAGTCTTCCGCTGAAGTCGTTTCCGATCTTTGGAACGCATTTGAATGAAGATGAAGGATGCAGATAGCAACGGTGTCGATTGCGACGACGACGTTCACACGGAGAACGTATCTGATAACAAAGTACACATATTTGTCTACGTCAGGCTTCCAATATTGTTGCTGATACCCTGAATATCTAAGGGAAGCCCTTCCCCTAATTTGAGTCGAGCTATTGGTGGAACTTGCCGATCAACTGCAACTTGCCCCACCCGCCAACCGCGGCTAATAACGCTGGCGTTCAGCCTTTGGGCCACCCCCAGGTACCCAGGTACATCCATTAATAATGCCATCAAGCCACTTTGCAACATGATGGGTCTTGACTCCTCCGCATCCATTGCATTACTATGTCACTTCTGCATCACGTCGCTAGTCTACAAGTGCACGCATCTACCACACCTTCTTGAACTGCCGCTCAGACTCCTCGTCAAAGACATTGATCTCCCAGCTACACGTTAGCCATGCCATCGAAGACGCATGCAATGCCGCAACTCACGGAGTGTCGTACTCAGCGGGGATGTTGGAGCGCACGCGGTTCTTGTGTCCCCAGTCGTTGATCTCCTGGAACTCCTTGTCACCGAGCTCAAACGTCTCAAAGTTGGACGCGATGCGCGATGGCGTAACCGACTTGGGGATCACGACAAAGCCGTTCTTGGCCGCCCATGCAATGAGCACCTGACCAACGTCCTTGTTAAGGCGCTTGGCAATGTCCTTGATCACATCGGCGTCGATAGCACGCAGCTTGCCAGTCACGTTGTTCCCGAGTGGGGAGTAAGCGGTGATAGTGATGCCCCTCTCCTTGGCGAACTTGTACAGGTCGTCCTGAATGATGTTGGGGTTGACCTCGATCTGGAGGAGCGCAGGGGTCGCGCCAGAGTCCTTGATGATCTGCTCGAGCTGCGCCTGCGTGAAGTTGGACACGCCAACCGCGCGCACCTTCTTAGTCTCCTTGAAGATGCGCACGACCTCCTTCCATGTCTCCGAGATCGAGGGCGCATCCCAGTCAATAGCTGCCTTGCCGTTCTCCTGAGGCGAGAGCTCGTCTCCTGGCTTGAAAGGTACGGGCCAGTGGATCAAGTACAGGTCCAAGTAGTCGGTGCCGAGCTCCTTGAGCGTGCGGTCGAGGTCGGCCTCGACGAGCTCCGGTCGGTGACTGTTGTTCCAAAGCTTGGAGGTGATGAAAAGCTTGTCGCGCGATACACCAGACTTCTTAATTCCGGCACCAACCTCCTTCTGGTTGCCTGGCGTTAGCACATTCTCCGCGGCGGCTTCCAACGCTTGCAGACGTAGCTCACGCTGCGTTGATGACACTCACCGTAGATAAGGGCGGCATCGATATGGGTGTATCCAACCTTGATGGCCTCGGTGACACTGGCATCAGCAAAATGCTCGCCCATAGCGATCGGAGAAGATATGTACTCACGCCTTCTCGACCTCTCCGGGCTCTGCGAGCCAGCTGCCGTCAGCACCGCCGTTGATTCAGATGATACATACGTGCCAAAGCCGATCTGAGGGATCTTGACGCCGGACTGGGCAGTGTTCTTGCTTATTGTTAGCCATGTGTGAATGTGGGGTGCGCCGGCTGGAGGCGGCATCCCCCGGAAGAAGGCAGTATCCAGCTACTCACAGCTCAATGGTCTTTCCGCTAGCCATGATGATTTGCGTTTACAGAGGGGAAAGGAGCTGTCCTGCGAGATACCAGCATCTTATAAGCCATAGGTGCAACTGGGGACATTTGCGGTTCATGACGTGACATTGTTGTGGCTGGGCGAGGGGATGTGGTGCGCGCTGACAATGGCGTCCATGGCGGGGGATGACGCCGGCATGACGCCAGCACCCTTCTTCGGCGTCGGATTTCCCCCGACTCTCGACCCAATCCCCTTTCGGCCTGGAGCAAGCTGGCCAGGGTTGCGCGGCAGTTCGTCCGACAATCTCCAAGCCAGAGGGATGATGCATCGGCGCATCTGGACCATGATGTATGCATCTGACGCGGACTCTGCCTGACCGTTCACCTAGTCGTGATAGTACTTGTTGAACTTTTCCACGAGCGTCTGGTCGTTCTGCCGTCAGCGGCGCTTCTATGAGACTAACGCGGTACCGCGACTGGAAACCGGTGAAACCCTCGCGGAGCACCAGAACTTCCTGCGCCGGTGCAGTGTCCTTCAGAATGAGCTGGCGCGCCTCGGCATAGCGTCGTGCTGCCTTTGGCCCGCTGGCGTCAGCGGCTGCGCAAAAGGTGTGGGGCTGAGTAGAGGTCGTGGTGGAGGCTGCACTGGAGGCTGGTGCCATGGTGACTCACCGAACTTGTGAGAGGGCGCAATCTGTGTGTCAACAAACTACAAGCATATGGGTCATTTGCGAATATCGCTATGCGCTGAACGCTGAGGGCAAAGGCACCTCGCGCGGCGCGCTTGCGGCTACACTTCGTCTCAGGCTCTTTTGTAATCACTCACGGAAGACGACTTTGGGCACTAACATTAGCGACGTTGCCGCGATCAGCACATACCTCCTTCCATGCGCTTCACTAGTTCGTCAATCTTAGCCATGAAAGTGTCGCTGGGATAGTTGAGCGCCCCGACAATGTTGCCACCCTGATGTCAACGTTGGGTCGATGAGCTGAGGTCTGCGCAATCGTCTTACACGAGGCGCTCAGGTGGCTCTTGTGAGTGTCGAAGGCTGCTCACTTGGAGCAACATCCTCCCTGTCCCCTCCCCCCGACTCCTGCACCGTCTCTGCGCCTGTGTCCGCCCCCCTGCTCTCCGCTGCATCAACCCACCCGTACTCGCCCACCCGCCGCTGCCACCGGGTCCAACTCACCGCAAAGTCGTCATCGCGCACATCAACAACTGCCCACTCCTTCCCCACTCCTGCGGGATTCTGCTTGATGATAGCCGCCATTTCCTGCTATCAGCGCTAAACACGCCCACGCTCACTTCGGCGTTAATGTATTTGAACACAGGTGTGAGGGACATGGCGCGCTTGGCTTGCAGCTCCGATTTCCGCAACTCTTTAGGTGATGGTGTGGACGCTGATTGCGATTGTGGGGAAGGTGGACCTGTATGGGCCGATGAAGACATCCCCCGGCGCCCGATCCTCCCGCTGCGACCCACCAGCACGCCCATGCGCGCGCGAACCACACTGATGCTTCCCGCTCTACATGCTATGGCGCGCACATGCATGTTACGGCGCTCGGAGCGGTGGGTCGGTGGACGGCGGAAGACGGAGCGGCGGAGCGGAACCAATACGGACCGTTGGAATGTCAGCATCGGCTACCCTAACCTTCCTTAGCAATCTCAATCTCCCGAACTTTGCCACTCCATTCTCCATCCTCCATCATCCGCCATGTTCGCTCGCGCAGGTCTCCGCACCCTCGTATGTTCAGTGAATATGACACTCTAGGCTTACACGCAGCGTACCCTTCCCCCCGCCTCCGTTGCGCGTGCTTCCTCCGCGATTGCGCAGCGCCGTGCCCTCACCGACCAGGCGCGGAGACTTATCGACCATGTGAGTGAAGGCGGCGGTTGGCTTGCAGCATCATGCAGAAGGAGAAGGGCGCTGCTATTGGGGCTATTGGAGAACACGACAGTGAATTGCGAAGGACTCGGCCAAGTGCCGTTGTGTTCCCCACTCCGCCGCTTGTTGATCTCCCACGGCCGAGACGGAAGTGCCCATCTCGACCGAACTTTTCTGCTTGCGCCTTCCTCGCCAGCCTCAAAGCTTAGAAGGGCCTGCGCTGACTCCAGGCTGTCCAGGAGAACCCGCTTGTTGTGTTCATGAAGGGCACACCCGACGCACCGCAGTGCGGCTTTTCCCGCGCTGTCGTCCAGATTCTCGATGTGCAGGGCGTGCCGCGCGAGAAGGTTCTCGCCTTCAACTGCCTTGAGGACCCCGAGCTGCGCGAGGGCATCAAAGAGTACAGGTGAGTTTGGCTCGGGAGGTGCAGCGCGCGGCTGATATGGGTGACGGCCCATTGCTTCGGACCAGCGGCGACCTCGCAGAAATGGGTGGCATCCCAGAACCAAGCTGACACCAGCGACTGGCCTACTATCCCCCAGGTGTACGTCAAGGGCGAGTTTGTCGGCGGCTGCGACATCATGATCTCCAGTATGTCTCCGCTGCTGTCCGAGCTGACGATAGTGCACCAGTCCGGCGAGCTGGAAGACCTCCTCGTCAAGGAGGGTCTCGCACCTCCTATCGAGGAGGAGGTCAAGGAGGAGAAGTAGATGCAATGCATGGATCACGACTGATTGTACGAAGCCCGGTACTGACGTAGGTCTAACAGGTATTGTTCACATGCTCAACGCCGAAACTGCTCGGACGTGCGTCAAGAAGAGTCGGTAAGCATACTTAGCTGACCGCATAAGGGAACAGAGGGAGCGGCACGTCCGTTTCGGTCGCACTCCCCTCTGCCAGGTCAAAGGGCAGGTTCAGGAAATCGAGCTCCAGTGCCGAGAGCTCTTGGCGATCGGTGTCGGAGTGCGCGGCACCGGCGTCAGGCATCGAAACGTAGCTCGCAAAGTTCTCTCGCACGACACCGAGGTCGACATCGTGCATGCCATCGATGCGTTGTTGCAGCGTGCCCGCGATCCACTCGGCACCGTACCAGTACCGTGCAAGCTTCTCGAGGCCGCCCTTTAGCGTGTTGATATTGGTAGTCGCAACGGAGGTGAGGAGCGCGCGCGACATGTCGAGGGGCGCAGACTCGCTTTCGGAGTCGGAACTGTCCTCATCTCCCTCATTGGTCTGCTCCTCTCCCTCCCCTCCTTGCGCGTGAGCGGCAGCCCGCACAGGAGACGCTGCGCGCGACGGCGGCCGGCTCGCCTGCATCTCGATCTCCTTGACGTAGCAGCACCCGGCCACGAACCACGCCTGGTTCGTGAATGGCAGCGCAAAATATGCGTGGGGAGCGATGATGTCGGACAAGACGAGGATGTCGCCGATCGTGCGCACTGAGTTGCGCCACAGGCTTGCCGATGCACCGTTCCGTTCGTTGGCACCGGTGAGGAACTCTGAGGCCAGTATCGTGTGCATCCACAGGTGGAGATGCAGGAACATGCTGCCTTGCTGCGCGGCGGCTTGGCGCTGGAGACTTGGGTCAGCACATCCGCGGCGTCGGAGACGACGTACTTGGTCACGTTCCACTGCATATCTGGCGGCAAGGCGGAGTACTCCCTAATGCAGGCGGCGCGGGCGGCGAGGTAGTCGCGGTCGCCGCCCCGCGCGCGGTTTAGGCTGTTAATGAGCGGGCCGTACGAAGTCATCATCTTGACTGCGAAAGGGAACGGTGAGCGGGTGTCTTTCACGTTGCCGCCGGCGTTCAAGTCTTCAGCGGTTGGAAGGGTCTGAGAGATGTCTTCCGGTCTAAAGGTTGTCTGGCGGCCAACGCCGAATGCGAGCGCATAGTCCATGAGCAAGACGCTGGCGAAGACCAGCCGGTTCAGCCTCCTATCCTCGGCGCTCATTGCCGACTCTTCGGGCGGATTGACGTGGAGGCCGGGGTCGATGGCCATGCGCACGGCCAGGCCAGTCATCATCCATACCTCGCTCTCTGAGTCGGCTGCGAACCCCATGTGCGCCAGCAGCACAAAGGCCGCAACCGCCTCGCGCGAGGGAATGCCCAACATGCTCCCCAGCATCGCCTTGGCGCGGGTGTAGAACACGTTTCCGTACTCGTAAGGTTGGAGGTCGGGGCGTGCGATGGCGGGATGGGAGGAGAAGCGGGCCGCAATGGCCGCAATGGAGAGGAGCAGGAATACAGACGCGGTCCGGCTCTCGATTTTGGTCTCCAGGTCGGCGCGATCCACGAAGGGGAACTGGCACCCGAAGTGAGTGGCAAAGATGTCCAGCAGATGCTGCATGACTGGCGTGCTCGGCGCCCCATCCGGCGCGATCAGCTCCTGCGCCACCTCACCCGTGCCGATGGTGACCGCGGGCGAACCCTTCTCCCAGCTCTCCCTTGGCGTGTGTACTCGCACTTTCAAAGTATATCGCTTCAGGCCGGGTGCGATGGCCGTTTTCTGCCATCAGCTTAGCCGCAGCGAATCTCACCCCATGAGGGCGCCACCACGAGACCTTGACAAGTCGTTCCGGCTCCCTTCTCGGCGACGGCCCAGTCGATCCATCGGCCGGCGATGCATCTTCAACCGTGGGGAGACGAGAGCTCACGGCCCAGACAAACTGAGCCGGATCTACCGGAGCGCCTACCCCTCCTAACTCTGGTGGAAATATCGAGGGCGTCATTGACACTGTGGGCGGCGCCTGACTCATGTAATCCGGTACTGTTGCCAGCCCATTGCCTAGCGCACCCCCCGCCAGCAGGCGGTCAAGCCACCCCTCTCCAAGCTCGGTCGGTTTGGCTCCTAGCCCCAGCTGCTGGCTCCTGTACCGCTGCAATCGCGCTTTGGATGACCGCCCGTCCTCGGTTGGCCAAGAGCACGGCAGGTCGGCCTCAACGCAGTTCGGACAAGGATGTGGCGGCTGTGCGCCACACTTCGACTTGCGTTGCCGACACTGGTGTTAGCGTACGCTCCCTAAGCGCATCAAATCTACGCTACAACATACCTGAAAGCACGCCGTACGCGCGCGCGAGAACTTCTGCTTCTTGGCAGGTGGGGAGGTCTTTCGCTTCACGCCGCGGGACGACTCTGCCTGTGGCTGTGACATTGGTGGGCCGCAGTCTGGGCGAGGTGAGGAGACAGGCGAGAGAGCGAGAAGTTGAGGCCCTAAAGTGGTCGGAGAGAGTCGACCTGAGCAGAATCTGGGGGATGAGTCGAAGATGGAGATGATGTGAGGCAGAAGTGGATCATGGTGAGTGAGATGGAGGTAACATGTGGGGTCTCCCCAGTGGATATCAGGTCCCCCGCATATCCCCCGAATATCCTCCACCTCCATGAAACCTGCATCTTCCGTGACGCAGCAGCTCCAGAGCAGCTTTCTTACGGATGCATAGCTCAGATGAGCCTTCTGATAAGATTACTGACGCACGGAAACGCTGTATGAGCCTAGATGACTGACGGTGTGTAAAGCTCAAGATATCGAGAGCTCTTGCCGAGGTAGCCTGGTATAAGTCGCCGAAAGTGGAGGCCAGGCACAAATCTCCCCTCCAGGTGCCACATTCGAATTTCCGTCCACGTGGCGATTATGGAGGCCTGGATTGTCCACCCCTCCGACTTTTGCGACCATCTCGCCCGAAGGTCCCCTACATCGACAACAGCGACTACCACCCCGTCTTCTCGTCGTCAACAACCATGCCCGTCCGCCCGATCCACAAGCGCGGGCCGACGAGTTTGGCCCGCAACATCCCTCGCTTGGTGCGTCCGCCCCGGCGCCGCGTGCTAACTCTCAGTCGTGGGACCGCGAGAACCTCTTCAACATCTGGCTGCGTACCAACGCCGAGTCGCCGCTTTACCGTGAAACACAATTCAACCGCTCGACCAAGACCATCTTCCAGCAGCGTTGGACGGCGAAGCGCTTGACCCAGGGCTACCACGCCGAGCACATGGGCACGAAGAAGTTCCAGCGCTGGTTCCTCCCTGAGATCTTGCCCACTGTGCGACACGGTGACGAGGTGAAGCGGACAAACGACCTAGCCAAGTGGGTCGAGGGCAAGGAGAAGGCGGGAGGGCGCACGATCGCCGAGAAGGTCATGGCTGAGACGGCCGAGGAGGCGCGTTCGCCCGTCGGTTCGCTCATGTGGTCGGAGGTCGAGCGGCGGTTGGATGTGCTCATCTTCCGCGCATGCTTTGCGACCTCGGTGTGGCAAGCGCGCTCTTACATTACCCAGGGGCACGTCAAGGTCAACGGATACGTTGTGAGTTATAACAAGGACATCGCGTTACAATTGCAGTCGTATGCTGACCCCAGGTCCGCAACGCCAACGTCCAGCTTAAGCCTGGAGACCTCTTCTCAATCAACCCGGACGCTATCCCCATGCTGAAGAAGATTCAGCACGAGCAGAAGCCGCGGTGGAGGAAATACGTCTCCGAGGCCGACGCCAAGGCTCAGGCGCAGGCGGTGAAGGCAGCGGGTGCGGCCTTCGCTGCGGAAGCAGAGGCAGCGGCCGAAGCCGAGGCCGAAGCGGCTGCTGAAAGCGAGGAGGGGGCCACTGCTGAGGCTGAGCAGAGCACGGAGGCAGAGGGTACCGAGGAGGCTGCTGAGGAGGTCGCCGAGAAGAAGTCGATCCAGGAGGTCAAGGCCGAGAAGCGCGCCGCCCGCGCCGCCGAGGAGGACAAGGGCACCTACTTCTACCTGCCCGAGTACGCGTCCCCGCACATCTTTGTGCCTGCGTACATTCTGCCGTCATTCCTGACGTGCTCGGCAGTGTACGTGCGCCACCCGACAGCGCGGCCAGGCTACTCGGAGATCCCAACGCCGTACGACGCCGACGGGCCGCTCCAGTCGCTGTCGTGGGAGTGGTTCCAGCAGGTCGCACCGCGCATGAAGCCTAAGCGCCGCGCGCGTCTCATGAACCCCCAGCGCACGCAGGATAGGCGGCCATAGGAGTTGTAGGACACATAGCATTGCATGGCACTGATCATTTGGCGCTGGGTGAGCATGAGCAGCGTGGACATGGTGCAGTGGGACGTCCGGGTCATGATTCATGGCATCTCGGACAGAATGATTGCGGTGAGAGAACTGAGCTCTGCAACAAGGATGTATTGGAGGATGGAAGTGCGGAATGATGAGTGCTCGCCGGTTACTGCGGTAGCAGCGTGTTTTGATTTCGCACCAAAACCAGGAAACAAGCGGAGCCGATATGCCGATCCGAGATCTTCGTCTCACTTGCAAGCGCTCTCGCACTCTCACACTACTCCTCAATCGATCAATTACGCTTGCATCTTACAGATGCGATGAGCACCTCAGCGCCTCCTCCGGGTGCATTCTCCAGCCAGTGCATGGCTCCGCCGCACACCTTCCGGCCTCCGCACGTGCAAGTTCGACCGCCGATCAAGGCGCGAGCGCCTTTCCTCGCCGCCGAACATCGGTCGGCAGAGTACGATGGCAAGTTTCGCGTCGTTCTTGTCTCGTCGGATTCTCCAGCGAGTGCAGCGATGCCTAGCCTAGTAGGATCGCTCTGCAGGGTGCATCTATCCAACATGAAGAGAACGCTAATAACAGGACCACACCTTCGATCTTCAAGTCGTCGCCACCCTACCCTCACTGCGGTATTACGATCAGACGGCTCTAGACGACGCTGTCAAGACTGTTTGGAACCTCCACGACGATGGGACGCTCGATTGGGGGGTTCGGAGGTGGACGGACACGGATGAGGCCGAGGCCTGGAGCAAGCCCGGCGACCCAGTGCTTCCATCAGAGCTGGCACGATGGGCAGACCTGGTCGTCGTCGCGCCCTGCAGTGCTGATATGCTCGCTAAGATTGTCGCCGGCTTTGCGGATAACATTGCTGTGAGCTACCAATCATGGGTAAGCTGACAGCAGCTGTCGCTCCTTCGCTCCCTTCGGCCCTCCACACCCACGCTCCTCTGCCTGGACATGACGCCAGAGATGCACGCGAACGCGTTCACACAGAAGCACTCCATCACTGCGCGCGCGTCAGGCTTCATCGTTCTCGGCCCGGTCTCATCCACCAGCAAGAGCGGTGAACGGCCCGGTCAGATGACGGACTGGCGCGACATTGTCAACGCGATCCAAGATATGGCGGCGCTGCATCAGATGCGGCAGGCGCAAGCCGCGGCCGAGCGCACTGGAGACCCGTCCTTTGGTCCGGCAGAATCGGGGTATCAGCCGACGTACATGCGCGAGAAGCTACCGACCATGCCAATCCGCGATCCATTGACGTTGATTGAGGCAACCGGCAAAGCGGGGAGCGCGGTGAAGGCGTTCATCGAGGCTGAGAACTCGCAGAATCGACTTGAGAAGGAGGACGCGGTCATGAGCGAGGGTGTCACGTTGGCATCGGAAGTGGCATCTGAAGACAAACGCGACTCCGGGGCAGGCGACAAGGGCGAGGTGCAACCCCCGTACCCTTTCCAGTCTATCCGGCCCGGGTGGGGAGAGTACAACCCAATAGGCCCCGATCATTATATGATGCCTCTGCCCGGGCTACCTACGACGGTGCCAGGCCGCATCAACTTGGGTCCACGAGCAGAGGCCCTCAGCAAGACACCATGGCAGTTCTCGAGCGCGGAACATTGGCACCACATGAGCGAGACAGGGTATGTCCAGAGGTGGTGAACAGACATCTGATGCAAGCGTTCCCGCTGCGCGCGACGACGAGCAAACAACTGTGGGCGCCTACATACACGCAAGCACAATGATGACTCGGCCTTGAGATGTGAACGAGGAGGAGGCGGGGGGATGGACCCCGGATGTACAATCCTTCACTGTCGACGATTTCGGCGCCAGTAGATGTCATGCACTGCTGTTTGTACATGTATACTGTTGCTCCATGCATGCTGGTTGTCTCTGGACGTCACAGCAGATGCATGAGTGGCATGCGTGGTGGACGATTATGGTGAATGGAGGCCAGGAGCTTGGCAACGAACCGCCACCCAAGCCTCCCAGGGCTTTGAATGGATTGCGTTAAGCGGTGACGCCATAAGCAATCGACGCTCATCTCCCCCCAAATACCCCATCCCCAGTCAACGTCGACATCCTCCATCGCGCATCTCATCTTTCTTCTTATCGTCCCACTCTCCTTGTTCACCATGCCGACAGACGCTGACCTCGGCACGCCTCCGCGCTCCGGCACGCCTACAAGCCGCCCATCACTCTCCCGCTCCACCTCGTCGCTCAGCGGCATTGCCAGCCTCGGCGTTGAGCGCGTCGGCGAGAACTGGTCGGAAGGCTTGGTACTGCTCGGTGTGTTCCTCGCGCGATTTCGCTAATAACAGACGTGATTGAGACGTTCTTCGGTAAGCATCGCGTACCCCGTCTCTCCTTGTGTCCATCGCATGGCACAGGCAAGCGGAAAGACGCGTCGACGCGTCACACTCTCCCTATCGGTCTGCCCCTCTCCGCGCCCCCGGAGTACGCCGATGCGCCTGCTGACACCAGACTCCCGTCTCGATCTCTGGGAACGCCGTCTCAAAAAGTCTTCGCGTCAGATCAAGCGGCGCGCGGCCGAGCTCGTGCCCAAGGGCTTGCGGACTCCTAAGGGGAGCATGGTCGTGCTCGACGACAGCGGGGACGACACCTCGGGCTCAGCGCCGAACATACTGACCAAGCGCGCGGTGCGGCACAAGCAGGACGTTGAGCGCGAGCTCTCCCGCCTCAAGGTCAACATCGCTGACCGTGTCAATCGCCTCTCCGCCAGCTGGGCGAGTGACTCGGTGGTGCGCACTCGTGAAAAGTTCTGTGAGATCCAACCACCTCCGCTCACTGACCCCAGCCTTCGTTCTCGGCGTTTGCACGCTTGCTGGCACCTGCCTTCTGTGGGGCCTCGCACCTACATGGTTCCCCGCCACCTACACTGTACAAGCTCTCATCTATCTCACATGGCGCATCTACAGCTACAAAAAGAAGCATTTCCACTACTTCCTTTTCGAGTGAGCCACTCTTTCCTGATCTCTGCTCACGCAGTCTGTGTTATTTTGTTAATGTCCTGGATATGGTGTGGCTCTGGTTCTTCCCGTCTTCTACGGTTCTATTCATCTGCAGCTACTGCCTCACCATGGGTAAGTCCCCTCATGCTCTAAATTCCTGACCCTAGGCCCTCTAGCTAGCGCCATTATTACATGGCGCAACTCTCTCGTTTTCCACTCCATTGACAAGGTTACTAGCTTGTTCATTCACATGTAAGCTGTCAAGAGCGATGTGGAGCTGACGCCAGTTACCCTCCCTTGGTGTTCGGCATCATCCTGTGAGCTGCCCGACTACTTTCTCGGCTGACATCAGTTTCCGCTACCCCAACGCGGGCGAGCGGTATCCCGGTATCGTCAATGTTAACGACTACGGTTGGGTGCAGCGCATCGCCCTGTCGGCCGTCCCGTACTGCCTGTGGCAGCTCTCCTACTGGAAGGTGAGCGGGGACGCAGTTGTGAACGGGCAGGAAGCTAACCTCAGTTCATCTCTGTTGACCGCCATGACAAGATCGCCAGCGGACAGCGCGAGAACTCATTCCATTAGTGAGCTGTTTGCACCACTCATCAACTCACGCAGCCTTCTGCACGACAAGCACAATCCTATTGGCCGCGCCTTGCGCGGGATCAAGGAAACGCACCGCGAGACATGGTTCATGTTTGGGCAGCTGAGTGAGTTTTAAGGGCCAAGCCCCGCTGACTTCAGTCTACTCAATCATTTTCATGATTCCCGCTTCCACGCTCTTTCTGCACAACGCGACGGCGACGTACATCTGCCTGGCCGTGCTCTTTGTCGTGAGCACGTGGAACGGGGCATCGTTCTACGTCGAGGTGTTCGGCCGCAAGTTTGCGCGCGAGCTTGAGAAGCTCCGGAAGGAGATGGACGCGATGAGCGCGACATCATCTAACTCATCAGGCCGCTCCCCGAGTAACCCATCCACTCCGGCGGCCGACGAGAACATGCCCGTTAAGGACCGGTTGGACGCACTGGCGAACTCGCCGCTCATTCTCCCCGCCCCCAACACTCCCGACGTGTCAGAGCTTCCCCCGCTCGACAGGGTTAAGGCAGAGTAGCAGGCGTTTTTTGGGGAGAGAACAGGATTAATGAGATGACAGAAGTGCAGAAGTGGTGAACGAGAGGCGGCGGAGGAGTGATCACCTCAGCTGTGTGTATGCCTCCTCCTCGTCGTAATATCATGTTGAGGTAGTTTGCTTTCATTTTCACAAATCAGCATGCGACGAGAGTGACGTAGGGGATTACTGCCATCTCGGTCCTAACGCCTAGCAGCAAGATATAAGACTACAGAGCCGCCATCTGCGCTTGCCGCTACCCACTACGCACGGATAACATGTTACAAATGCCAACGAGCAGGCGCTATCGCCACGCTCCCGCCGCCTTCCTCTTACCCAGCGCCACCTCCGGCTTCCTGGCGCTCCGCGCCAAGGAGGCGGCAGTTCCGGCGGTGAGGGAGGACGACTTCCGCTTGGGCGCCTCGCCCGCAGATCCCGCTGCATTTCCCTTCTTCCCGCCTTCGCCCAACACCCCGCCAGACCCAGAGCTAGCGCCTGATGAGAAGCTCGAACGGAGAGATGCGTCTCTCTTCGCTGCTGTAGACACGGGCAGGCGCGGACTTGCGGCCTCCACGCTCCGCCTGTGTTGCCTGTCCATTACGGCGCGCGCGAGGCTAGGCCGCTTCTTCGTGTACAGCTTTGGCTTCTTGGGCGATACCTGCCTCTTGAGCGCGCCTGCGGAGTGCGGCGAGAGAGGCGATGGCCGGGCGGGGACGTGTTTCCGTGGCGTTGTAGGCGCAGCCGGGTGTCCAGTCGGGCGGGTCGGGGCGGGGTGGGGAGGGGCGGCGGATATGGACAGAAAGGAGGATGACGACGAGGTGGAAACGGTGGGCTTGGCCGCCTCGCTCGACAGCTCCAGTGCGGCCAGACGGGCGGTTGTTTCCGCAGCCAGTCGTTCCTCTGCCGCCCGTTCAGCGGCACGCAACTCGGCAGCCCGTGCCTCGGCCAATGCGCGCTCTGCTTCAAATGCGAGCTGTTGTTCATGGAGACGCATGGCCTCATCGCGGAGCTGGGCACGCTCGGCGTCCAGCACGCGCTTCTGGCGGACGAGCTCCTCACGCAAGCGAGCGTCCTCAAAGTCGGTAGTCGAAGGCACACTGGCGTCAGCAGGTGTCCCATATCGATCTTAATAATGAGCCGATCCTACTCACCTCGCATGTACGTTCAGCTTAGCCGCTTCGTCCGCGACTCGCCGCGCTTCCTCCTCACGCCCACGCACAATGGCGATCTCTACCTCGAGGTCTTTGACACGGTCCCGGAGATCCGCCTCCGCCTTTGCCCGTTCCCTCTCGGCTCGGGCGTGCGCCTCGATGTCCTCGGGGTCCTCTTCTCCGGCTCCTCGCGCCATATCCATGGTCAGGCGCGACCGCACCTCACCGACAAGGGCCCGCAGCTTGGCATCCGCGATGGCGGGGTGCGCGGTATACCCACCATCGAAGAACTGGTTGGGCAAAAGCACGCGTGATTCCTTCCCTTCGGACGCTGCCAGTGCTTCGCTCAGCCCGTTGGCGGTGGAGACGACGACGTGGCGGAAGGCCTCGGCCTCCTCTTGCAAACTGGCACGCAGGTCCGAGAGGTCCCTCAACCCCGCTTCTAGCAACGGAAGGGCACCAGGGGCAGCAGGCGCCGAAGCACCGCGCGCGACAGGGTTCAGTAGCTCAAAGATGGGCGGGATGGGTTGCCGCGCTAGCTGGTCGCGCAGCTTGTCGGCCTTGAGCTGTGCGCGCTTGGCCTCCTGTCCCGCCGCAACGCGGAGAGACTCAATCGCTTTCCGCCCCCGCTCGACATCGTTCCTCAGGCTCTTTGTTACCTCCTGTTCCGTGGCGAGCGCGTGCGCGCTAGAGGTCTCGCGGGCCTTGGACGCCGAGAGTTCAGCCTCGAGGCGCGCACATCGAGTTTCGAAGCGCTCCGATGATTTGTACAACCGATCCCGCTCGTACTCAATAGTCCGCAGGCGTCCGTTCAGCTCCTCGATAGCCGAGAGGTTGGTCTGGCGTCAGATTCTTAAATCAGGGAAGGGTTGGATGCAAGGGATGATGAGTTGCCGAGAGTAATAATGAGAAGAACGCACTACGGACGACCCAAGCAGCTCCGTGATGACATTGGCGACGTGCACCTGCTCAGACTCGGAGAGGCGGTCGAGTTTGAGAGGACGCTTCGCGTAGCCGTGCGCCAAAAGTTTGGCGTTGAGCGAAGAGACGTGGCGCGTCTTCTTGTTGTCGTCGTCTGGCATGATGTTGTCATGGAACGGAAGTCAGTCTCGCGCGTGAGCGTTGTTTGTGTCGTTCATGGCGGGACCTACTTGACCACGTGGAAGCACGTGGGGGGGCACCTGCCCCACTCTCCCTCTGCGGGCAGGTCCTCGCCAAATGGAATGGCCGAGGCGCCAAACGCTGTTGTGGATTCCAAAGTCATCAGAAGGCACACACAGTCACGCCGCAGTGGTTTGTGCCCCACTATCGACTGCATCCATATACTGAAATGAAGTATCCCTGTTTGTCACCCGTAGAAGACGACTTCCGCTGGGTTGTACGCTCTTTCTACCACATGGTTTAGCATGCCATCGTCCAATCCAACGACAGCTTCTAGTGAGTCCGGCTGGTGCTGCATCCAGAATTCAATGAGGCAGCGGCGTGCGTATTCTTCGATGTCACCAATTTCGGAGCTGGCGACCACGCCGTAGCGCCCTTTGAGCCCGGCGAGCGTCACGACGCAGGTGCGGTTGTACAGGCCGCATGCGCGCTTGAGAATGGCGCGGAGGTTATTGGCCGCAATGGGGATCTTGTGATCATAGTCGAAGTGCTCCGGGGTCGAAAACCGGATTACTACGTGTTGCACGCCCCTCCGATACTTGAGAGGGGTGATGTCGGTGTCATCGAAGTCCCACGCGGCGCCGTCAACAGTAACGTTATACTGGATCAAGCTGGTATGCAGGGTTTCGTCTGGGTTCTGGGAGCGCAGCCACGAGCCCTGAGGCTTGAACTGCGAGTCGAGGTGGACATCGGTGAACACTTGATGTCTGAAGTGGACTGGCATTCCGGGGACGTGCGGAGAGTTGAATGGGCTGGCGGAAGGCCACGCGCGGTGCCCGAACCCCATGTCATCTGGGCCGCAGAGTACATGTTGCTGGCCCCCGCCATCAATGAGGACGCGCCCAAGTCTATCGGGGATCCGTTGGTCAATCTCAAGACACGGCGTCGGCCCCCACATGGCAATGCTTTCCGTGGTGTCGATAAAATCCTGGAAGTTTCCCGCGTCGGCCTCATGCACACGGAAGAAAATATGACCATCCTTGTCCCTCACGAGCTGTACTGCGATGTTGTCGAGGGCCGTTATGGGGACACCGTCGACGCGCTCGAACAACACGGTGCTGGAAGGCAACACGCGGCATCGGACATTGCAAGGAATCTTCCACATATCGGCAGAGTGTCCGAGCATAATGGGTGACTGTAGCAGAGCAACGGGTGAGTGAAGTGAAGTGAGGGGAGACGATGATGGAGATGTAGAGAGAGAGGTCAACACGGGACGACTGATAAGTATCAGAGTCAGGTCTGTTAAGCGTATAGGGCATAACCGTGGCACGTGCAGAAGCTGTGTGACATGAAGCAGTAAGGTCAACTTACCCTTGGAGATGTGAGGCCAGATACGCGCGGAATTGCGTAAGCGAAAGGGGCGGCGAGTCGCAACGCATGGAGCACGCTTGATGGGACTGGCAAGCTCAATGCGAGCAGCGCTTCTGTCAAGTCGTTACCGATTGCTCACTGGCCATGCCTAACATGAAGCGGGACGAGTAAACATCATGAAACCCATTGAAACCTACTATGGATCCGATGGGAGCCACGGGAGCGCGGGAGTAAAACGCAGAAGGCATACCACGTGGAGATGGAGATTAGGTGGCGGATTCGGAACAGTCGCCACTCAGTCGCCACTTCCGTCCCCCTCCCTCCCTTCCATGTTGGTCCTCGCACCCCGTTCCCCGACACGACGAAACGCAGCCTGTTGATTGAAGAGGTAGCAGTGTAAAAGGTGGCAGCCGTTGCATCAGCACTGCTGGAGTAGACTAAGACTGGTGTGCAGACGTGGCGGTGCTGTGGGGGGAAATTGATTACGTAAGGCTCCACGTCCATCACTTCCATATCACTCGACTTGCATTCAACTCCTCTCCATCCACCATGAACCCCGACCCACTGGAACACGGCGTGCGCGCCGCATCTCCTCCTCTGCCGTCTCCGCGGCCCGTGGATCCCACCGACGGAATGCGGCAGCGGCACTCGTTGCATTCTGCCCGGGCAGACACGCTCCGCATCCACATCCAGACGCCTTATGCCGACCTGGGACAGCACAGCCACGCGTGGGATGCCCCACGCGGCATGACTGTCGCCGAGGCCAAGGACGCTATTGCCTCGGGACTGGCGGGGCACGGACGGTGGGAGCGCGAGGGCCTGCGCCTCGTGTGGCGCGGTCGAATTCTACGCGACGACGATGCCCTCGGGGCTGTGCTCACCGACGCGGCGCCGACGATTCACCTCGTTGCGCGCCCTATTGCAGCGTCCCTCCCTCAGCCACCAACCCGCATCGCGCTGCCCGTTTCTGTGCCCCAGTTGCCGAGCTCGGCACCGGTTCAAACCGCCGCGTCATCGACTTCGTCGTCCCCCGACGCAACCGCCCTTGCCGAAAGCGTGCACTATCTGTTATTCGCGGCCCGCGAGCACCTCTGCTCGCTCATTGGCGCGCCTGTGCTTGCTTGGGACAAGACATACCCCGCCCCCACTGTGTCGCGCGACATCGCAAAGGCGGCGGTCATTTCCGTCATCCGCCCACATGCCGAGTCTGGCGGTTGGGTTGGTTGGGAGGCCGCATTTGCCGCCGATGCTAGTGACTGGTCCGCGCTCGAACACCTCTGGAAGATGCTCGGCCGGAGCAGCGTAACTGCAGAGATCCGCACGCTGTGGAAGACCGGTACGGGGCGCGAGTTTGCCCCTTCAGGCGAGATCGCCGACGTCGAGCTCGACCACTCGACCTACTCTCTTCACCTCCCACCACTCGCCGACATGGCGCCCTCACAGCTGATACAGCTCCTGCAATATCTACGAGTCACCACGCTCCTTCCTCACCTCAACGCCGCTCTTTACACCACTCAGGCGCCTGAGCCTGCCCATTCTTCTGCACCGGCGCCGGCTCTGACCCTTCCACGTGGGATCACAGTGCGCCGTGCGCGCCGCTCCGTTACGCTCCGCATCCCACGCATCTCGTTTTCGCTCGTTCAGCACCAGTTTTGGTCAGCCGCGCGCCTTGCGACCATCGTCTGGATGCTCACTCGGAGCATGGATTGGTGGGATCAGCGGCTGTGGCTGCTTGCCGGTGCGGCCTTCGGCTGGTGGTGTGTCGACGGGTACAACCAGTGGTTTGCCGAAACGCGCGAGGAGCGCGCCACTGCGCGCCGAGCTCAGCGCCGCGCCGAGGCGCAGGCCCGCCTCGCGGATCCTGATGCGAATCGCGCGCGCTTGGCGGCAGTGGCGCGTGGCGAGCGTGAGGAGAACCCCCTTGACCCCGCCCTCATGGCCGCGAATGATGTCGACGACGTCCCGCTAGCCGGCACGACCGTGCAGCAGCTCAACGCGGCCCTCCCGCTTCTCCACATGGATGTGGACGCTGCCCAGCTCCGTCTCCCCGAGACGCAGGGTGGCCGGCTGCGCCGCACGCCCGACTCCCACCCCTCTTTCCTTGTCACGCACGTCCTCCTGCCAGTGTATCTCTGGTTCTTGACGCTCGTGCCGGCATTAGAGGCGCGGCGCGCGCGCGAAATCCGCGCCCGCGAGCGCACGATGCGTGCCGTCGTCGCGGACATGAACCCGCCGCAGGAAGGCACTGAGTCGCCGCGACCCCTCATGCTGCCGGACGGCATCTCGCGCGCCGCGCGCAAGTACTATGCGCGTGTGGCGGAGCGGCCCGAAGGCATCGACTGGGACGAGGAGCGCGAAGCGCAACGCGCTATGGGTATCCCGGACGAGGACGCCCAGCCCGCCAACGCTCTGTTGTAGACTCTAGAGTTGTAACGTGTAGAGATAGGGACGTGGATCTTTGTGCGACGCGTGCCAACGCAGTTTGTTAGATATGAGCGAAGATGCATGCGGATGTTCTGGCATGGGCAGCGACCAGTCTGCAACACACAGAGTAACGAGTAGCCCTCGGCACCTTCGCCTACGTCGCCTTCCATGGAGGTATCGACCGCTCAGCTTGCAGATATAACCTTCGGCACACAGCGAGCTATTACTGACACGGTCCCCGCCAGCGGCGACTATCGGGCTCGGCGTGTAATTCCACCGTCTATTGCTGCGCCGAGTCAATACCAGATTCCTGACGCCGAACTCGACGCCGTTATATATAAGTGCAGCATAAAGCGCGCATCCGTGCAGTCCTGCCTGCCCACACTTCCCACCCACGTCTGATCTCCATCCCCCAACTCTTCCCACTATGCCCCACTCCGCGTGTCGTGACAGATCCATACTCTACAGGAATACACTGCGCACACGCGCATTTTCAACAGATCGATACCGGAGATCTATGCGCAGCCGCGGTCGGAGGCACCGCAGCTGTATTAGCTCGCATCAAGGCGAGTACGGGGACAGATAACGGGACGGGTCAGGCTAGTGTGGGCGGGCGAGCAGTGCTGTCGCGCTCATGCTAGCGTGCGGGGTGGGGCACTACGCTTCGGTGACCACTGCGCGTCCGCCCGCACTACGCGCCCGAGGCGCTGCGCGCAAATGCTGGCCGCCCGTCCGAAGCGTAATTGGACATCTCGAAGCCGAGGCTCGCCTCGGTGCTTGTGTAGTGCCGCATGCGCTCGTACGACGCGTCGTCGGTCGGCCGGCGCTCGTCGTGCTCATGCTTGTTGAGCGTGTCCTCGTCGTGGAAGACCGTGCGAGGCGGTGACGGCGACCGGTTAAAGTGGTGGTGGGAGTGAGGCGCGTGCCGCATCGGCGAGGGGGAGCGGCCGCGCCGCGGCGTCTCGTCGCCCGCCTCCTCCGGCTCTTCGGGGACAGGCGGGGCAATGGCCACGCGGTCGCGTGACGACGCGACGCGGTTTGCTGAGACAGGCGCCGCACCAGGAGCTGAATCGGAGCGGCCGCGCGCCGGCGAGCTCGCTGCCACAGAGCTATTTAAGGCCGTGGATGTCGTTGACGAGTTGGAGCCGCGGCGCAGCTTGCCGAAGAAGTTGCGCGCGCCAGACTTCACCACGGCACCGAGGTCGACGGCTTGGTTGGTCCTGTGTGTCAGCTTGCCGTTCGGAAGAAGTGAGGCTGGGAGCTCAGGCCTGGGAACACGGAGGCACACAAAGACAACCTCAAGGCACGCGCGCGCCAAGCGCCCGCGTTGCCCCAGTTGGCCCCAAGGCCATCGGTCAACGCGACCGACGCTCGGTGCGCTCCAATGCGCTCCACGTGCGGTGTGTTCTGCGGATGCACAGGCGCAGACGCGCCAGAACTCTGGTGCGCCGCGGCGGGCGATATTTTGTCCGACAGATCTCTGACCGGAAGTGTAGCGAGGAACGGGGGCACCCCTGAGCCCCGGATTGCCCTAGAGACCGACACTCACTGATTCTTTGCCGCGAACTGGCGCTGGTACTCTTCCCACTCGTCGTCGGTCATCATGACCCGCTTGACGTTCCCCTGCCCCGTAGTTCCCTGTGCAGTGAGCATGTTTTTGCGCGCCAGCACGCCGAGTGTGATCGAGTTGCGGCGGCGAAGCTCTGGCGGCCGCTCGGGAAGCGCGCCGAAGCGGATGCACGGGGACGCAGCGGACGATCGCGGGGTCATATCACCATCGTGGGGTTCGAGCGACTCTGGTAGGGAGGGTTGTGAGTCGGCGACACTGTCCTGCGATACAGATGGAGAGAGGGGCGGGACGCTGAGCTCGGCGTCGGATGTAGGTGAGCCATGGACCGCGTGCGCCGGCGCGGTGAAGATCTGCGCCTGGGGCTGCAGCTCGGCCACGACAACAGGGGAGGGCCGGGGCGCAGCCAGGTCTTTTGGCGGCGCAGCAAGCCATCCGAACTGCCTGTTACCCGCCGCGTCTTTGGAGGGCTCAACAACGGAAGAGCAGGGGCGGAGGATCGAGTGTGGGGACATGCTGCGGGAGCGCTGAGGCGAGATGGTATTGGGCGCCGCCAGAGGGGCGGCTGCGACCGACATTGGAGGGGAGGGGTGGGAGGGTGGTTGGGCGGAAGAGGATGATGGATGGGATGAAATGGATGATGAGGTGATGACAGGAGGGGAGGAGGGGCAGAGGTAATGGACGGTGTTCGCAAGTGGAGGCAGACGGGAGGAGTGGGGAGAGCACGAGGTGCACGGGGTGGGCTGTTGTGCCGAGCAAAGTGGACGGGAGTGGGGTGCTGTCGGTGTGAGAACTTTGTATGACGGCAACCAAATGGGGATTGAGACTACTACTTGGCGATCGGTATGGTGACGGATCGGGCGGAGCTGGGGTGGGGGCCTACGGCGGCAAAAGTGAGGAACCAACGACGCCCATACTCCACCAAACCCACTTTATCACGAGGAGACAGCGCGGGGTTTACGTCCGGGGGTACCCAATAGCGCGAGAGCGATGAGTGATGGGGGCCGGCGTCCAACGAGTGGCTTCGGCGCCCGCAAGAGCCAGCCAGCCCTGCGTTGTTTCCATTCGGGGGTAACGCGGCCTCGGATAACTGAAAACCGGACCCCACGGGCGCGCGGGCCAAACCGAAGTTCCGGTCTCCGTGCCTTGGTACTCCGTGGCTTATGGCTCGCTCATCAGGGAGAAGTCGCGCACAGCTGCTGCACAAAGCGCTTGGCTTACGTCGGCCTTCATTGAGAGCTCTTCCTGGATATATCGGGACGTTCCTCGGCCTAATCCGACACAACGCCTGTCCTGGTTTCAGCGTAATATCCCTCGCATCATCGGGGCGCTCGACGTCATTCACCAGCAAGGCTTTGTGTTTGTGCTCGGGTGAAGAGAACGTGGAGGCTGCTTTGCAATTTCTGTAGGCACGACTTATCGCAGTCCTTCGGCTCAGATCATTGAAAATGGCGTATTGCCCGCCCCCAAGCAAGTTCCAGTCGATGGTCGGCTGGTGTAAGCGGGGGCGCGTGCAGTTCGTGTTAACAATGAGAGGTACCAGTCGTGATCGACGGTATGATGGATGGCGCATGACGTTTTAGCAAGTTAGGTATACCTCAGCAACCGCCGTTAATGCGTCTCTCAATCTCCAGATGACTCGTCAAGATGTCATGCCATGAAGAATGTGTGTACGTGGTGCAATGTTACGGGACAATGAAGGGCGCCGGGCCTCGTCCAGGTCGGGCCAAGTGGAAGGAGGGATCTCTCGATACAACATCGCAAATGTTGCGACATTTGACAGCTGTCGGAACCTGCATGCTGCTTGACGCGGTCATTGCAACCGCTCGACTGGGCGTTAGGACATAGATGCCTCAGCGGCATGACTTACTTTGCGCGATGAGGAACTGCTTCTCGTCGGTGAACTGGTCGTCTGCCGTTAGCAACTATGCGTCCCACTCGGTGTGACACGGGCCACTACTGCATAATGCGCATTCGTCGCGGCATGATCTGTGCCCCGCTGTCATGGGGACAGTGAGTTTGCACCCGACACCCGCCGATCAATACAGGGGCAGCGACGGCGGTGATCAGGGATGACCGAACGGTGGCCCCACACCATCAAGACATGAAGACGGCACTCAATGCTAACGGCCAAGGAAAGGGGCTGCGCCGCCACACGACGTGCGCAGGCTGCCATTCACCACAGCCTAAGCTTGCACGGCCCATCGGGATGAGCCCCCTAACATCCGACCTGGAGCTCAGCTCACCATCCTTGTCGTTGTGGAACTCGCGGAGGAAAACGAGCAATCGCTCCTTGTTCCGCTTCAGGATTCTCGCGATCTCTGGTGGCTTGTTGGGATTGGCAACAAACACCTGCTGTCAGTCCATACCGACAGGTATATTATTACCTTGAAGACATGGAAAGCCTCAAACTGAATGTTACGGCTGCGGTCCCGCAGGAAATTCATCATCAGCTTGAGATTGGCCTCAGACGCAATGTAGCGCGTCATTATACTGTAATTGGCACGGTCGAGCAGGATCTCGCCCAACAGCTTGAGCGACTGACGCTTTGTCACATAGTTGGTCGACATGATGAGCGTGTTGTACATGCTGAAAAAGCGATCGTAGTTGGCGTCCAGGTAGGCTGCTACCGTCTGTTTATGCTTTGTGAGGGTGTCCTGTGGTCAGCGGGGTTGAACCGCAAATGCTGAGGCTGGCAAAAGGTTGGTGGACGCCCTCCACCAATTCGCTGTTCTTCCCCGTCACACATCACATCCATCATCGCGTTATCCGGCTCGTGCTCACCTTCATGCTTGCAAAAGCGTCACAGGAGATGCCAAAGGTCGTGTCCTCAATGTACTTTGGGAACGAATAGAATCTGGGTCAGCCCGTTCCTCACGCACACGCACTCGTCAGAGTAAAGAAGAATCTTGGCAAGTGGCTCATAACGCAACATCTCCTTCAAAATCATGCCTGTGTTCAGTGCAACCTCGGGATCGGCGTATCTGCGATTAGCTACGTAGCTGACATCACACACCCATGCAGCGCGTTGAACAGGATGGCGGGCTTGCGCGCGATGTGGTCGACAGTCGGCATACGACCCCCGAGTGAGCGTCGCAACAGCGAACTATAAATGTGGCCCACGTCCTTGCGTGCCTGCCGTCAGTCCAGGAGTGTCACGCTCGACCCACCTCAAACTCGAGCTGCCGCAGATGCGAGACGAGGAGCGCCAAAAGATCCTGGTTATACACCTCGTTCGTGACGGCCGTCTGGCTTTCGGGAGAGGCGTCCACATCCCCCTCGCCTAGCAGGCACGCCTTGATCGTTGCAATCAACCGCGAGCACTCCTCAGTTACCTGCAATCAGCAGCAGACGAAATTGGGACACACTTTCCGCTTCGACTCTCCCGAGCCTGGGGCGTCTAACCGGACAATATACTCGCGCAGCATGCGTGCGCTCTCCTGCGGCGTGCGCGTCTTCGAACGATTGAAGAAGTTCATTGCGCGGGAAGAAGGTAAGGGAACGGGAGAGGTAGAGAGGAGGTTCGTGGAGGCGCTGCTGGATGGGTATGGAGGTCGATGGCCGTCTAGCGGCGTGGTATAAAGCTTGAACGTCGGACGAAGACGAAGGAGCAGTCGATGCTGATGAAGATCAAGATGGAAGAAGTGATGTGTGATGGGGAGGTCTTCAAGGCAGCCGAGTGTTGTTGTGCCCTCCCTCCTGCCCGTTGTGTCATTCACCTCCACCTTTATTCGTACCCCTCATCTAAATCCGGCCCTTCCCGCCACCCAACCTGTTGTCGTCACCGTCCCATCTTTCGTGTTCTGATCTTCTGATCCTCACATCTCCATCATGGACAACTCGCCGACGTACGCTCACATGCACTCATTATCTTGCTGACAAACAGCGCTTTGTTCGAGAACTACGACGATGACCTCAAACAGCTCATCGCCAGCCTCAAGGGCAAGCTGGACGGCGACGTTCAGAGTCTCAGGGGCGGTGCGTTGCGCCCGTGATGACCCACCCGGCCGTATCGACACTGACGACAGAACCGCGCAAGGCAGCGTTGAAGAAGGTCTCAGACGACCTGGACGAGGCCGAGGAGATAGTGCGTCCAGTTGACGCGGCCAGCACTAAGCTCACGCCAGATCTCCCAAATGGAGCTGGAAATCCCATCCATGCCCGTCAGCATTCGCAAGACCTTCCAGGAGCGACTCGCAACCTCGAAGGCGTCCGTTGACAAGGTCACGAAGCAAGTCGTAAGTCGATCTCCTCTTGTGGGGTTGCTACGAGCTCACGCCAGCGTGACCTTCGTGCGTCAACGCAGAGGGAGGAGCTGCTCTCCGGCGCTGGCGGGTGGAGCGATGACCCGTACACAGATGACGACCCGAGCGCGTTCAGCGCGCGCACCCGACTGCTTGCAGGTACAGAGATGCTGTCTACAAGCAGCCAGCGGCTTGAAAATGCGCATCGCGTCGCACTCGAGACCGAGGATGTCGGTGCCGACATCTTGCGTAACCTCCGCGGTCAGCGGGAGCAGATTGAGCATACCCGCGACACACTGACAGGCGCCGACGCCAGCATCGACCGTGCGGCGGGGACGCTGAAGAAGATGATCTACAAGTGAGTGAGCTTCGGCCGAGAGCAGTCCGAAGGAAGGGGCTGGGGCGAAAGACACTCAGGCGGCTGGTCGCGGGCTGTAGAACCGCCGCCGGAATCGCAGTGATGCATCTCCCGCGTCCTGCGGCATCTTACAGCGAAATCGAAAGTAAACTGATGCCAGGATGTACCAGCAGAAGGTAGTCACCGGCGCGATCATTGCTGTGCTCGTGCTTCTGATCATCCTCGTGCTGTGGTCCAAGATTCGTGGTTAATGTTGTTACGCTATAGATTGAGGACGTTGTTTGTTTCGACGGAGGGACGGGAGTGCTCTGCGCGACGACACTAACGGGGAATGGGCAGGTATACATGCAATGCGAGGTGTCTACTTCTTCTTGATCTCCTTGAGCTTGATCGTCTCGTCTCCGATGAAGATGCCCTATAATTTAGCATTCGCCGTCCGCTCTCACCACTTCCACACCTCCACCCCCTGCTACTCACCTTGCCACGGTACGGCTCGGGCTTGCGCCACCGACGGATCTTGGCCGCAAACCTCCCAAGCTTTTGGTTGTCGATACCCTCCAGCACAATCTTGGTTGGTGCGGGCGTCGTGACCTTGATGTCGTGGGGAATATCAATAAGCACAGGGTGCGCAAAGCCGAGCTTGATGTTCAGGCGGTCGGTAGGCAGAGGGGGGAGGACATAGGGCGGTGCGCCGGGGTTGGCAGGCTTGGCGACGCGGGGGATGCTGGCCTGAATGTCACGGAACACCTTGGGGATCGGCTCGACGGCGGCACGATACCCGACACCGACAAGTCGCAGCTCAACGGTGTACCCCTCCGAGACGCCCTTGACAGCGTTATTGAGTAGCCCGCGCGTGAGACCCCACACAGAGCGGTGTGCCTTGGCCTCCTCGTCGTGCACCTTTACTTCGAGCGGCTGGCCGGCAGCTGGCGGGTTGAGGATCACGGGCGGGAGGATGGGGACCGTCAGCTGCCCAAGCGGACCCTTGACCTCAATGAAGCGCTGCCCGGCCTCGGAGGACATGTGCAGCTCCGGGTCGACGCTGGCGGGCGGGTAGATGATCTCGACCTTGGGCGGGATGGGGATAGGTCGCGAGCCGACGTGCGAGCTGGCGCGCGCCGAGGTGTGAAGCGCGCGCGCAGACGACGACGCGACGGAGGGCGCGCGCAGCAGGGCGCGCGGGTTCATGATGGCGAGAAGGGGTTCGGAGTGAGCGATCGCAATCTCGGAGAGAGCGTGCAAAGAGCAATCTCAGCCCGACTTTCCGCCCTCCTCCGCCTTGGATTAATGGCGGAAAAAATAGCAGACGGATATTACCGCGTGCCGGGCGTCACCAAGTTCAGTTCGAAGTTGAACTCGCTCCGGCTGAGGCATCAACATATACACATCCAACCCATTTAGTCAACATGGGAAAGAAGAAGAGGCCGCAGGTCTTTGTAAGCCATCTCGAGAACGTAGCTGACAACAGGTACTGAAGCCATGGTGCTGGTACTGCGAGCGCGAGTTTGAGGATGACAAGGGTACGTCTTTCTGCGCTGTTGGCCCCTCCACCATGACATGACTAACCGCAGTCCTGCTGCAGCATCAGAAGTCGAAGCACTTCAAGTGCCAGCTGTGTCCGCGTAAGCTCAACACTGCTGGTGGTCTCATGGTCCACTCGCAACAGGTGCACAAATGCGAGCCCGAGCCGCTCACAAACACTCTGCCTGGGCGTGACGGATACGACATTGAGATCTTCGGGATGGAGGGAGTGCCGACCAACGCGTTGGCGGAGTGGAAGGCGCGCAAGGAGCAGGAGGCTGGCGCCGCGGCTCTTGTACAGCAGGCTGAGCGCAAACGCCCTCGTCACCAGTACACCGTCATCCCGGAGGCAGACCTGATGGCCGCACTCGCACAGCACAAGGCGCTCATGGCGGCGCGGCGGTTGGCAAACAAGCAGAACCTGGGCGCGCCGCCTCCTGTTGTTCCGCCCCCTTTCCCGCCGGCTGGCTTGCCTCCCTTCCCTCCTGCAATGTGAGTGGACTCAGAACCAGAGCTCAATCGCTCTCACGCAGGGGACGCGCTCACTCCAGGCCTCCTCCCTTCCCAGGTCGTCCACCATTCATGCCCGGCGGGCCACCACCATTCCCGCTCCCTGGTGTTGGTATGCCTCCGGGAAATGGCGGGCCACCTCCGCCGCCGTTTCCCCCCCGCCAGACCGGCGCGCCACCCCCTGCCTTTGTTCCGCAGACTGCCCTGTCCCAGCCGACCACCGTCACTCCAAAAGACGGTGTCTTCTGGCCGGACAACAACCACACGCCGGTGAGCTACCCTTTTCCTGTCAGGCTGACTCCAGGCCGAGCTGCGCGCGCAACTGCCAAAGTACAGGTATACGGAGAGCGAGACTGGGCAAAAGCGCAAGGCGGCGGCCGACTTCCTGTAGACTGGATTGAGAGACCATGTATTCTACTACAGCATGCTGGGCGTCGTCCACTCGTCTACGACGGCGTACAGTTCGCGCGAGAGGCGGCGCTGAATCTCTTCCGCGCTCTCCGTTCTGCTAGGCGCAACAGCACGCACAGCGACATATCGTCGGCACATGAGCACCTCACCGATAGGCGCATCGCGTGCAAATTCTTCCTTGCCACCTTGAAGGAAAGCGCCGGCCTCCTTGAGAATAATGGCGGCGGCCTGCTATCAGCTCCACATGCACAGCCTTATGATGGCTAACCGTTACGTCCCAAGCCCAGCACCCAGCATCCCTGCAGTCAGTTGACAGCAGAACAGACCATTTTACCAGCTCATGTCAAGCTCGCCAGCAGCCACGTGCGCGAGATTAATGGTCGTGGCGCCAGTAGCTGTAGTCAGCTATGCTCGCATTGCGAAGTCGGACGTACTCCTTAAGGCGTGCACCATGACCCCGTCCGAGATCCCTTTGTTTGGATCCCCGTTCAGCCGCCGGAAGTTGGGCAGCTTGACATCAATCGTTTCCGGCCTGCGGTCCGAGCCCCCTTTCATCAGGTCTCTCCAGCCATGGCTGGACGCACACTCTGCTCCGATCATGCAATGGCTCAGCTGGGTAAGCGGCTGCGGGATCCCGCCTGTCAGCGGAAGGGGGATCGTGCGGTTCATGAATGCGCCGCCTCCTTCGTGGGCTGAATACTGCTGTGAGCAACCAGTTCGATGCTCAACTCACTATGCGCCCGAGGAAGGGCAGTGCAATCACGCCCACCACAGGGCGCGAGTTGTGCGTCACTCCAATTGAGCATCCGACGTTGGGGCTGGGTGAGCGCGTTCCTACGAACACTGAGCTCATGAGCTCACTTGGCATGGATGAAGCTGGCGTTAGTCAGGCCTCGACGCGACTTCATTATCCACAACTCACTTCATCGTCCCCTATAGTAAGTCATCTCCCGCTTTCGTAAGCTCACGTCGATCGGGTCCACAATCCATGTATATGCGTCTGTAAGGACGGGCTTAGCTTTGCCCTCGCTTGACTCCTCCCCTATGCTGTCGTCAGCGCGCAAATGGAGAGCGGCCTACAACTTGTGCTCGGGGTAGCGCTCGGCGATTGCACCCTTGATGAACTCCTCGACGGCCTGGTCGGTTTCTGTCACAAGCTAGCTTCAGTCCACATCTAATCTGTTTGCCCACGTCGACGGGGTTCTTCTTGACCTCGTACTCATCTTCGGCCTGTTTCCACCGCGCCGTGGCACCATCCAAGATGAGCTTGGCAGCCTACTGTGAGCACGTAGACTTGGACAAGCTCACCCGTTCGGCGAGGTCATATGCGAAATCTAGAAGCTCTGCGTAGTCGTGCTGGTGGACTTCGGACATGATAGGAGTTGGACGTCGTCTGCAGTCAGAAATGGACAGGCGCCAATGTCTGTGCGCGCCTCATGCCGCGGACAAGATCATCAATAATGCGGGGCCCGATTCCGCTGTGGTGACAGTGTCTAATTGACCCTCCCCTTTGAGGTCGCATGAGCGTATTTGATCCCGCCTGATTGCCACCCAACCTGACTTGGATGTTGTCGTCCTCGCTCTGCGCGTCCAAGTCATCACTCGTCCCACCACCACTACCACCTGCCATCATCCTTGCATCCACGCTCTAACGCTTTCCTCTGTCCTTTCAACACTTTCCACAGCACCGTACGCCCACAACCCGAGTGTCCCAATCACCACACCCGCCGAGGAGCGGGAGCGAGCAACATGGCCGAAGACGCCGGCCGGGGCTTCACTCTATACGTCTCCAACATGCCTTCCCTTGCTAACCCGTCACGCAGCACCAACGCAATGTTATCGAGATCGACTTTGCAGGCGCGCTTTATGTGCGTTATTAGCAAGGCTAGCTGACAACAGGGCACTGCGCACCTCACGATCCAGCCGACCAACCCTCAGCTGCGGGCAGTGTTCCTGCATGTGTCGCCGCTTATCGATATCAGCGCCGTGACGCTCTCCAGTCCGACTGACGCGGATCCGCTCCTTCCCACCCCGGCCACGTATAGTGTGGTCAACCCATTCCAACCGCTCCCAGTGCGCGAACCGCCTATCGATCTCAAGAGCCATCAGGAGATCAAGCGAAAGACGTGGGCCGCGCTGGGCGAGAAGGATGAGGGCGAACTCGCCATCTCTGTGTCGCACGGATGGGTGCGCCTTGTAGAGGAGCCGCAGGGGGAGACGGTTGCTGTCAAGCTGGCACCAATCCAAATTCAGATCGACTACTCTCTCAACATCGGTGGGGAGGTCACTGAGGGTATTGTCTTTCGCCGCCCAGGCGATGGTGGAGATGAATCAGTGGGTCAATGGATCTCAGCGGGACTGACAACAGCAAATCCCGCATATGTTTCTTTCGCCGACGACGTGCGACGCAGCGCGGATATGGACTCCATGTGTCGACAGCCTGTGGGAGCGCTGCACTTGGGAGCTTGAGTTCATCGTGCCGCGATACATCGAGGGCGGCGAACCGCGCGGTGACAACGACGCCTTTCCCACCATGGTTGTTGCCAGCGGTGAACTGGAATCACAGGTGAGCTTTGACGATGTCTTCGTGGCTAACAACAGTCGACGCATCCGCACGACCCACACAAGGTCATCTTCTACTACATACAGACCACGCCCGCGTCTGTGCAACACATTACCTTTGCTGCCGGCCCATTCGAGATGCTCCAGGTCCCCGTGATCCAGGGGCTCACCGGCAGCGAGTCGCAAAAGCCGATCCTCGGCTTCTGCTTGCCTGGTCAGCTCGATGAGCTCGCGACATCGACGTCCTTCTTGTCGAGAGCCATGTGCTTCTATGGCTCCGAGTTTGGGTCATTCCCGTACTCGGCATACAAGATGGTCTTCGTCTCAAACCCGCGCGCACAGAGCTCTGTCGCTGTGTCAATGGGCGTGTTTTCGTCCGACCTCCTCCACCCGGCCAACGTTATTGATCAGGCGATCGAGACTCGCCAGCACCTCTCACTCGCGCTGATTCAGCAATGGGTCGGTGTGAACATTATTCAGCGGACGCTTTCAGACACCTGGCTGATCACTGGTCTGGCCCTATACCTCCACTCCCTCTTCATCCGGCATCTCCTCGGAAACAACGAGTACCGGTTTCGATTGAAGAAGGACATGGATCGCTGCGTACGCGAGGACCAGGGCGACCAGCTGCCCCTGTGTATGCCTGGTGCAATCGATCCTCCCTCTGCTTCGCAGTCGGCGTTCATGAGCCTCAAGGCGCCCCTCGTCCTTTACATTCTTGACCGTCACATTGCCAAGTCGGGAACGAACTTGGGACTGTCGAGGGTGATCCCGCGCATCTTCCTCGCGTCGCTGTCCGATGAGCTGCCAAACAATATGCTCTCCACCTCATACTTTTTCCGACTGTGTCGCAAGGTCAGCGGCATGGACCTTCTCTCCTTCGCGGATCAGTGGGTATACGGCAGCGGTTGTCCAATCATCTCGATCCGAACCAACTTCATCCGCAAAAAGTTCCTTGTGGAATTTACGGTGGAGCAGACCCAGCCCGCCCTGGCGGCCGCGGACGCGTTGGATGCGAAGGGCAAGGAAGCGTTCCTCGCCAAGAAGAGGCCTACACCGTTCTTTGAGGGGAGTCTTACTGTGCGCATCCATGAGGCAGACGGTGCACCCTTTGAACATCTTGTCGACATCAAAACGAATAAGAAGACGTTTCCGCTGCCGTTCAACACCAAGTATAAGCGTACAAGGCGAAGTGGGCATGTTGCTGCGCGATTTTCCAAGCTGCAAGATGCTCTGGCACAGGCTGAGGACAACGACGAAGACCAGGAGGCAGAGCTACGGGACCTCGACCGCGGCGAGGTATTTGCTTACCCGCCATGGGATGACGAGGAGGAGCAGCGCAAATGGCGTGTGCACGACTGGAGCGAGGAAGATGCGCAGGCCATGTTGGGCGAAGGCGGCGGCTACGAGTGGATCCGCGTCGACCCCGACTTGGAATGGCTCGCCATATTCGAGATTCACGAGAAGCCTTGGTTCTGGATCTCCCAGCTGCAGGGTGATAGGGATGTTGTGGCGCAACTGCAGGTGGGCTTCGATATTTCGATGAAACTAACACCGCCAGGCCATTCAAAGGATGACCATGTACTCGTCCCCGGTAATCGCTAGTGAGCTGGCACGCACAGTGTTGGTGGAAAACTACTTCTACCGCGTGCGCATGGAGGCCGCACGTGCGCTTGTAGCCGTGAGTCTGCTGGAGGGAATGACTGCGGAAGCTGACGACAGTACAACACTGCAGAGGCCGACTACATGGGTGGCTTCTGCCTGATGAAGTTGTTCCACACGTACTACTGCAAGCCGACGGAGGAGGAAGATCCGACATTAGCTCCGATACACGTCCTTCCAAACGACTTTTCCAACTTCGCTCAATACTTTTTGAAGAAGAGCATGATCACAGCAATGTGCGAGTTGCGAGATCCACACACTCGCATGGTTTGGCGACATGTTCGGCGGCTTCTCCTTGAGCTCCTCCAGCAGAACGACAACAGTTTGAACGAGTATTCGGAGTCACACTACCTCGCAACGGTCATCAGTGCCATCGGCTCGGCGTTTTCCGCTGGCACGAACATCGCGACAAATCTCACGGAACGAGACAAGGAACTCGATGCGCAGATGTTCCGCGAGGCCATGGATGCGAACGAGCGCGCCATCACTGTCGACCGCCTCGTGCCGAGCTACCACAATGTCGTTACGCAGGCCGGACTACAGGCGCAAATGAAGTCCATCCTTGTTGGGCAGCGTACCAACGACCCTCGCATGTTTTTGCACTACACACGGTAAGCCGCGCAATTTGTCATCTCTAACGCTCTCAGTGAAGGAAACTACGAACCACTGCGCCTAATGGCATTTGACTGCCTCTTGCTGTGCAAGTCGCCCGGGCGCAGCCAGTCATTGGCGCAGTATCTCTTCCACGTGATTCGTGAGGACTATTCGCTCACCGTGCGGCGCCATGTGGCGAGGGCCTTTTCCGAGTCAATTCTCATGACTCTGGCGGTCGGTGAGGTGCACATGAGTGCGCCGCCGAGCGGTATCGTCGAGGTCACGGATAACCTCGAGCAGCGTGAGAGGGAAAGGGATCAGGAACAGGCCAAGATTGTCAAGGCAGTGCGAAAGGAGTTCAACTCGAAGCCTGAGCTTCGGCAAGAGTTGCTGCAGACTTTGACCAGCGCATTCACGGGCACTGACCGCGAAATCCTCTTCGCCCTCATCAAGGCCGCTGAGGTCATAAGCACAACAGTGCCCGAGCCGAAGCCTGGTGCAATCATCAAGCTGCAAACGCCTATCACGGAAGGCCCTCCGGAAGTTCCACATGCACCAAAGATCCGCTTCAGCATGACACCTTCGACGCCTGTCGATCCGCGCGGGGCCGAGGCCACGGATTATGGGTTCCCGCGCCCTGCACCAGTGGAGGCTAACGCCGCTGCTGGAGCTTCTGCGCCTATCAAGCTTGTTCTCAACAATTCTGGTCCTCCCAAGGACAAGAAGAAAAAGAAGAAGAACGTACCCAAGGCGCAGGCAGCCGGCCTGTCAGACGACGACTTCAAAGCCATGACGCATGTGCTTGGCAAACTTCAGAGCGACAAACGATCGGTATTCTTCCGTCATCCGGTCGACCCGGTGCGTGACCATGCACCCGACTACAATGCCATCATCAAGCGTCCCATGGACCTAATGACCGTGAACGCCAAGTTCGAGGGCGGTCAGTATGCGGCACGCAAGGAGTTTGAAGACGACATTCGACTCATCATCTCCAACTGCTACCTGTACAATCCAGTCGGCGCCCCCGTTCGCAGGGCCGGCGAGGCCTTCGAGATCATGTTTGACCGTCTGTGGAAAAAGACGGAAAGGACCCTCAATGCTTCCAGTGGAGTGGATTCGACACCGCCGTCGCCGAAGGCGCCTGCGCCGGAGGCTAAGCTGATGCCTCCTCCTCCAGTGCCGGGAACCAGTGGACCAAAGATAAAGCTGAAGCAGCCCAAGACGGTCACCATCGACACCGGGCCCGCACAGATGGCGCCTCCACCAGTGCCGAAGAGGGCGGCACCACCTCCCCCCAAAGAGAAGGAGAGGCCGGCCAAGAAAAAGAAGGTCTCGATGGTCGACGACCTGCTTGGGGCGGAGATTGACTTGCTGGAGGGCACGGCGCCTGCACCGATGAAGTCAGCTAAGTCGCGCCCACGCTCTTCGCCGGACGAGGCTCTGGAGGATCTGTTGAGCAGCGCTCTGCCACCGGCAAAGAAGGTCAAGTTGAACAACACGAAGTCTAAGGCGCCATCGTCTGGCGGATCGTCGTCAGGTGCGCCGTCCATGGCTGGCAGTCCTGCATTCGTGCCGCGCGACCATAGCCCCGCATTTGTTCCCCGCGACAAGGGCGAGAAGTCGAAGCCTGATCCCAAGCTCGCCAAGCGGGCGCCAATTGAGAGCTCGAGGAATAAGCTCGAGGGCAAGGGCAACGAGCGGGAGCGCAGTGCAGATTGGGAGGGGCGAGACGGTAAGCGCGGCGAGTCAGCAAAACCGCGCATCGATGCGTTCAAGCCGCGCAGTTCAGACGCGAAACGCGGCGACAGCTCCAAGGCGCCGAAGCCGACCCCCGAGTTCCGAGAGGCGCTCAAGAAGCCCGAGAAGAAGACGAAGGAGAAGCCGCGCGAGCGAACACTCTCGCCCGCACGACCACCCGGCGTCCCCGTTTTCTCACCACCACCGCCGATCGACTCGTTATTGTCTGGCCCTATTCTTGCGCAACCCATCGTTGCGCGCACGACCGCGGCGCCTGCGCCCGCAAATACCTCGCCCGTGCCTCCCCAGCCTACCCCGAGCATGGCTTATACGCCTCTGCCGGTACAATGGCCGAAGCCGCCCGCGGACCTGCCGCCCACCGTGGGCAACACAATGCCTTTCAAGCAGAAACGTGCCAAGGCCCTGGTGCAAGCGCTAATCAAGGACCCTGCCGCCTTATACGTGAGAGCATTGTTTTTGATAGACTAGCTGACCGTAGTTCCTCAGGCCCGTCGATCCTATCCGCGATGGCTGTCCGACGTACTACGAGGAAATCAAGCATCCTTCGGACTACCAGTCGATCATGAAAAAAATCGACGGGAAGAAGTACCGCACGATGGGCGAGTTGGCTAGGGAGATTGAGTTGATTTTTGCAAAGTGCGTGGATGGCTCGTTCTTGTAGCAGTCGCTCACCTCAGCTGTCGCCAGTTTAACCCGCCTGGTCCTATCACGGATATGGCGGCCAAGAACGAGGCACTTTACTGGAAGGAATGGCAACGCGCTGTCAACCCACGCATGACGCCGGATGAGCGCAAGTTGATGCTGTCGGCGATCAACCGCGCGTTCAAGGAGCAGGTGTCGTTTATCTTCCGCGAGCCGGTTGACCCGGTTAAACTCGGGATTCCACAGTACTTCGATATTATCCCAAAGGAGGAGGCCCGCGACTTGACATTCATCAAAGCCAACTTCGAGAGCGGCACATACCTTCAGGCGCGCGAGGTGGACGAGGACTTCGAGCTCATGCTCGAGAATGCCCGCGTATTCAACGGTGAGGGTCCGATCACCGATCTGGCCAACCAGTTTGGGCAATGGTGGAAAGCCCAGAGGGCGAAGATGGATGTGTAGGCGCGGGTCGGGTAGCTCCAAGGCGAATAGGGAGAATGCCAGCAGATGACGGGGAGTTTGTTGAGGCGCAAGAGGTCCGAGAAGGGACCGCAGCAGTACACATAATTCCACAATAGCAGATGGCATCCATCGTGTATGTACTACCCGCGCACCGATTCTCATGCATGGGGGGTGTATCAACCAGGAGGGCTGTCTGAACGAGGAGGGCGGTCTGAACGTCGCTGCCATGAGAGCTGAGGTGGACGACCTCCACTTTGGAGATAATGCGAAAAGGGCTTGAAATATTCCACGCGACTCACCTCGACTTTGGCCACCTGGTGAATCATGCCTCATCGTCGATCGTCAACAATCTCAATAAACCTCATCTCTTCTACCTTCCTCCCCTTCCTCTTTGCCGACGTCCGCATCATGACCGACGTCTCTGCACAGCCCGAGGCTGGCCCGTCGACACTCGGCGCTCTCCCGCCCCTCGCCGACCTCGTCAAGCGTGGTGCGAAGCGCACTCGTCTTGTCTACGGACCGTACAACCTCGACGATGGTCTTGAGCGCGCCGCCAAGACCAAAGTGGCGACCAAGGTTGCGACGGAGTACAGAGATGTTCAGACTTTGCCGGCGGCCCTTGCGAGTGCGGGTGCTGGGCCGAAGAAGCCTGCCGCCATTGCGGGACCCGTGGCGCCATCTGCGGGCGCTGGTGTCAAGCTCTTGACTGGACCAGAAGGGTACGTTGACCTTCCTTCCGCTTCTGCATTTTCTTTCTTTGCTACCCTTTTCCTCGATTCGGCACCGCTGACTTCAGACCAAGCGCAGACTCAGGCGCAGGCGCAGGCGCTAATCCTGGCCCCAGCGAGGCGGCGCCCCGCTCACTTGTGAAGTTCCGTCATCAGCAGGGCTTCGGCGCCGAGGGCGGGGCTGCCAGCAGTCGCCTGTCGCAGGCGCTTATGCGTAAGAAGGAAGCGCGTGAGGTCAAGCCCGTGTACCACCCTCAGTGGAAGCTGTCCAAGGTCATTTCTGGGCACATGGGATGGGTGCGGGCAGTGGCTGTCGACCCAGGGAACAAGTGGTTCGCGACAGGTGCGGGAGACCGTGTAATCAAAGTATGTCCAGCGGGGTGGTGGGCCCTCTCGCTTTTTTCCCTTGAGTGGGCTACAGCGCTTTAGGTGAACGCAGGTCAACTAACACCAGATCTGGGACCTCGCCAGCGGCGAGCTCAAGCTCTCGCTTACCGGTCATATCTCCACGATTCGCGGGCTTGCGGTCTCCGACCGGCATCCATACCTTTTCTCGTGCGGCGAGGACAAGATGGTCAAGTGTTGGGACCTGGAGACGAACAAGGTCATCCGGCACTACCATGGTCACTTCTCCGGCGTGTACAGTCTGGACGTACACCCGACGCTGGACATTCTTGCAACGGGCGGCCGCGATGCCAGCGTGCGTGTGTGGGACATGCGGAGCCGCGCCAACATCTTCACGCTCACGGGTCACAAGAGCACCGTGGCCAGCTTGCGATGCCAGGCGAGCGACCCGCAGATTATCTCTGGTTCGATGGACTCGACTGTGCGGCTGTGGGACCTGGCGGCCGGCAAGAGCATGACGACGCTCACTCACCACAAGAAGGCTGTGCGGTCCGTTACCATCCATCCTTCGGAGTACAGCTTTGCGACTGGTTCGTCGGGCAGCAGCAACATCAAGAAGTGGAAGTGTCCCGAGGGATCGTTCGTGCACAACTTTGTTGGCCACGACGCAATGATCAACACGCTCGCGGTCAACGACGAGGGCGTCCTTTTCTCGGGAGGCGACAATGGCACGCTTACGCTCTGGGACTACGCGACAGGCTTGCCTTTCCAGCACCTCAAGGATATTCCGCAGCCGGGCTCGCTGGATGCCGAAGCGGTGAGTGGCACGAGCGAGACCGGCGCTCGGGGGGACTACTCCATTGAGCGCCTTCCTCCCTTGCCTCTTCACTATGATCGCGACGGAGCTGACCCCAGGGTGTGTTCTGCTCGGCGTTCGACCAGACGGGCACCCGTCTTATCACCGGCGGTGCGGACAAGACCATCAAGGTGAGCATGTCAGACGGCACAGTTAACGTCAGATCTACAACGAGATGGCGTAGTGCGGTGAGAGGTGCTAGGAGGGAAGGACGAGCGGGGCCGTGTCAAGAGGCGCCAGGAAACCGTGTTGATGTCGTAGACCGTGGATGTATAACAGTATACCGGGACACGGAGTCACGATCATATGTCGGTGGGTGATGAGTTCCAGAGTCGTGGTTGCCGTGCTTTGCCGCGACGTTTGACGATCTGAGGGTGGAATCAGCGCTCGGCATAGGCGCCGCATTTCTGAACCTGTAGGAGGGGTTTGTCGGGCCGACCGGGCCGGACCGGACCTACTCCAGCCCACCAATACTCAACACGCCAACGTTCTCTTTCCTCACATCATTCGACAATACAGCCACACAGAATCTACTGTATACAGCAGCAAAGCCATGGCTTCAAAGAACAACTCCGAAGCAAAAGAGTCGCGGGTGCTTCGTGCCGGCGTGTGGGCGCCCATCCCAGCGTTCATGGACGAGTCGGAGGAGCTTGGTGAGTAAACGGGGACGGTGTGAGGTGCTTCGGCTTGGGGGGGGGGGGGGGGGGGGGGGGGGGGGGGGGGGGGGGGGGGGGGGGGGGCAAGACGGCGGGCATGGGCAAGTTCGTGGACTGAGGACGCCGAAGTGTCCGTGGCTCGGTGGTAGTAGGCTGGTCTCTGCCAGTAAGCAGTATCGCCCGGCTACAAGTCTCCTCTTCACGTTCAGTGCTCTTGGACCCTACTGACCACAGATATCCCTACCTTCCAAGCCCATGTCGTTGCTCTCGCGCGCGCTGGCATGCAGCCCGTCGTGAACGGGAGCATGGGCGAGGCGCACCATCTTACGGCTGAGGAGCGGACTGGCCTCATTCGTGCTGCGCGCGAGGCTCTCGACCGGGCCGGCTTGGAGGACACGGTTATTATCGGTGGAACGTGAGTTGTCGAGGGCTGGGAGGATGTCCGGTCTCTTGCTTTTGCAGTTTCAAGCCGCAACATTACGAGCCTGCCCCATCCATGTGCCATGCCCCGCCCATCGCTAATTCTCAGCGGCGGCAACTCGACCCGCGCTACGATCGCGCTGTGCAAGTCGGCGGCGGAAGCCGGCGCCGACGTTGCCATCGTCATTCCTCCTGGATACTTTGCCGGGGCGCTCTCCAAGGCGGCCATCAAGACGTTCTTCGCTGATGTTGCCACCGCATCTCCCATCCCCGTCATGATCTACAACTACCCCGGCGCCGCGGGCGGGCTGGACATGGACAGCGACACGATCGTTGAGATCGCGCGGGAGAACGCCAACATCTGTGGCGTCAAGCTGACCTGTGGAGCGGTAGGCAAGCTCACTCGTATTGCGGGGGGAACTCAGCCGTCTGCTCTCGCAAAGTACCCGCGCGCTGCGGCCGTCGCGCCAGAGTTCATCACGCTCGGCGGGTTCGCCGACTTCCTCCTGCCCACCGTCGGTGCCGGGCGCGGGCACGGCGCGATCATGGGTCTCGGGAACGTCTACCCCCGCTCCATCGTCAAGCTAATGTCTCTTGCGCTGAAGGAGCAAGCTGGCGTGATCACTAAGGAGGAGAAGGAGGAGGCGCTGCGCCTCCAGGACCTCTGTGCCGGCGCCGATGCGGCTTTTGCCAAGGCCGGCATCGCAGGCACCAAGTGGTGGCTCAAGACGCACTCTGGTAAGGGGAGCGCCCGGGTGCGCCGCCCCCTCCTCGAGACTACCGAAGAGGCCGGAAGTGCACTGCAGGCCGACCCCGCGATCCAGGCGTTCTGGGAGGTCGAGCAGTCGCTTGCCCGTGAATGAATGGTTCTGCAGTGACTTGGTTATAGCTCAGTAAATTAGATGCAGGGAGGACCAGTACAACTTGGGCAGCTTACTGCAAGGGCTACTACAGTACGTAGACCAGTACTGACATGATGTGACAGATGGTTGTTGCCCGCCACACGTCGCCACAAGAGAGAGAGAGAGAGAGAGAGAGAGAGAGAGAGCGTGACAAGAGATGCGACGAACGATGAATGACCGAGTGGCTTGGCTCATGGGCCAGCCTGGGCGATCAGGATCAAGGAACACCACCAGGCACATGCCCATATAATGCCCAGTCCGGCAGTTCCGCACGCACCATACCACTGCTACTCTTCAAACACTCAGAGGTGCTCGTCAGCATCATCTATACTCCACTCTGCCACTGCTAAATATCTGGCGGCGCATGTTGCTGCGCGTCGACGTGGGCAGAGGCTGTGCCCGCAGCGCAGCATTGTGGAGAGGGTTGCGTCAGGCGTCAGGAAAGACGCGGTCGAGCTCAGTCGCGTCAATAGCGGAACCTAAATTTCGGTAGCTTGGAGTGTAATGTCAGAAGGATCCAGGGACGGTGACATGCCTCCACCGTCCCTGCCTCCACCCAACGGGACCCTGCTCCCCGTAATCGACGATCACTTGGCTCACTCCTCGTCCTCGTCTTGAGACATCTCTTTCTCTCTCTTCATCGTTCTTCATCGTTCTTGCTCATCTCCTCCCCACCCCCCTCCCCCCTCTCACACTCATTCTCCTGCTCCCCTTCTTCTTGCTCTCTGCCCATCGCCTGCCGAGTCGCCTCCTTCCTGTCATTCGCCTGGACCGGCTCTTCCTCATCATACACCCTCTCTCATCGTTCCCGCGCCTCGTGCCATCCCCCATTCCCACCCCCCTCTCTCTTCTTCCAGATGTCCACATAGGACGCAATTATCATGGTCGACGAGCGGGCCGCATTACCTGTTACCGGGCTGCCCGCCGTCGCCGCTGAGGCCAAGGGCATGGCCGGATCTACATCTTCGCCCGCGCCCCCTCCCGCCACAATTGCGCCACCTCCCGCCTCATCCCCCCGCCCTCCTCCTATCTTGACATCTCCTCTGACAGCACTCAACGGCAGGAGCGCTGCTGAACCAGGGCTAAACGGTAATGGCAACGGTGGCAGTGGTGGCATCGGGCGCGCACGGACAGGGGATGAGGGCGCTCCTCTGCCCTCGCCCAGGACTCAGCGGTTTACGCCCGTGCGCGCACTCCACGTCGGGACGCCGCCCGTCCCCGAAGGGGTCGCCGTCACGGACGCTTCCACTTCCTTCACAAACTCGCCGCTCATCGGTTCTTCCGAACGTCTCCAACATCACGAGGGCGCTGCGTCAGCCAGTCCAACCTTCGCCCCACCCTCGCCCGGCCGCCTTGGCCAGCCCCAGTCTCATGTGGCAGCCAGGCGGATGTCCAACGTTGATCGGCGCGTCCGTTCAGAAGCTTTCCCCGTGCAGAAGCGGCACATGTCGATTGCCAGCTCCCGACGCCCCTCCATTCTTACAGGCGGCTATGAGAGCAGCACGGACGATGACAGCAAAGACGACGCTACAGCTACAGAAGTGCCTCCCAAGCAACTGCGGGGTACTGCGCTGCTCAACCACCACTCCCCTTCTCATTTGGCAGCACCCGGAGGGCGACGACGCGCACAGTCCCTTCTTGTCACGCCGCCCGCGCACGATTCCTGGTCTCCCAACCCTTCAGCTTCCCCGGCCACCTCTCGCCGCCCTTCCCGTCTCAGTCGGTCCACCGTCTCCGGCTCGCCTCTCCGCACTCCTGTTGGCGGACGGACACCTACAGACATCATGTCGCGCGCTCCCAGCGAGGCATTGTCGCTTTCTCAACTCCCCTCGCGCACCGGACGCAGCGGAAGCGGAGGTGGTCGGACGCGAGAACCGAGCGGCAGCGCTGCAGACTACGAGCGAGAAGACCAACGGAGGATGGAACAAAGGCGGGGCAATCCGCTCGCTACGAGCTTGGGCCTCGGACCATCGCGTCCCGTAATCCTGTCGCCCGACCAGATCGAGAATCTCCTAGGTGACGCCGACTTCAACTCTGCAAAGGCCCGCATGGCCAAGCCCATGCGACGACAGTCATCGATTACATCAAATGATCCGCCGCAGCAACAACAATTCACTCCTCCAACCACTTCCACATCCACCTTCCCTCCGCACCCATCCATCACTGTCATCACCCCGCCTCCTCTTTCCCGTCCCTACCTCGTCACCGCCCCGCCGGCACTCACCAACGGCGATTGGGCTGGTCGAGATCGCGCGACTTCTGTCAGCTCGAGCGTGGGCGCCAGCACGGTGGCTGGGACGCCCCACCGCAACGTCACTCCCCTTAATACACGCCGGCGGGCCTTGTCAACCGCAACGCTCGACAGCGACGGCGGCCATATTCCCTTCACTCATCACGTCCCCGCAGTTCTTCTAGAAGACGACGACGACGACATTGAAGATCACGAGTCGCCGCTAGAAGACTTGGCTACGCAGACTGCGGCGCCGCAAGCTGACGTGGACAGCACCACCACGGCCACACAGAACAACAGTGGCGACACAACGCCCATGGCACACAATCAGCTTGACGACCGAACACAAGACCCCAAAGCGCGCCGCCGTATCAGCGGACTCTTCGGCCTGCGCGGGCGGAAGCGCGACATGTCGCCACCACCACCCGCCACACTTACACATGTGCGATCGGCCCCGCCCTTGGCTAAGAAACGCACCGAGGCGTCTGACCGCACACGTGATCGCGATGCAGAGATGCGCCGGGCTGAGCTCGCGCGGCGCGAGGAAGAGCAGATGGAAGGTGGGATTGGCACACGGGCATCACTGACCGCAGAACAAAGGTACAAGGCTTTGCTACTGATCAACGCGCATCCTGCTTCTCAGCGACGCGCCCAGCGCGCAGCACTGCACCTCGATGGGTACTACTCGTTCATCTACCAAGGGCTCGAGAACCCGCCCAAGCTTAACCTTCTGGCGGTGCTGCGCTGGAAGCGCAAAACCGAGATTCAGAAGCAGGCGCGCGAGAAGTGGGTGAAGGAACATGTAGATTCGACACACCTCGCCTCGCCCGGTCTGTGGTCCGGCGGGTTGTCCGGCAGCCCTTCCTCGCCTGCCTCCGATGCCATCCGTGCACTCTCGCCCAGACTCTTCGGTAGCCCAAGCCCTCTTCCACCCCGCTCTGTCGCATCGGCCACCTCCAAGCCCGAGCATCGCGCCGGCCGCGACTGGCAGTACACGCTTGACGACATTCAAGGCTATACTGATACAGGCGGCCGTGTCGATTTCTTCATCCCGCCGAATGTCGCTCCGGAGCCTGTCGAGCGCGAGAGAGCGCAGTCACTCTCCCTTCAGTCTGAAGCGCAGCTCTCCGTGCCTTCCGAGGTCGCGGAGTCGGCCACGGGCGCAGAGAAGGAGTTGTCACCCTCCACCGCACGATTGGTCTCCCCCTCCACGCCGTCCCTAACTCGGGCGGAGGTGGTAGATGACGGCTCTACTGCCGGCGACCTGTCCAGAAGACCGTCCCTTGAGCCTAACCCGCCGCCGCTACGCCCTTTCAAGTCTAGACATCGCAGCCACCAGAGTACCAGCGGCTTAGCGCTTGGGCCTTTCCGCGCCTTGGGACGAAACTTTGCGAATGTAATGAACCCCGTCCCCGTTCTGACTGATAACGAGGACGAGCGGCGAGGCGCAAACTTGCCATGGGCGTCCAACGATTCGCCCAATAGCCCTCAGCATCAGGTCAGCGCCCACTCTCTGCGCGACACCCGCGGCCTTCTTGGTTTGCGCCGCACACATGAGCAGGTAGTCACTTCCGATGACGAGCCACCACATCGTCGTCGCCTCCTCCGCAGTGGCAAGGGATTTGACAGGGGGTCGCGACGTGTTGTAACGGCGAATGATCACACGTCGCGTGATGATCATTTACGCAGCCACGAGCAGGAGCGTACAACTGATCAGGCTTTAACTCGTAACCAAGCCCCCGTACCCACCGACACAAGAGCCGATCTTGAGCTTGCGGCGTCTATAATGAGACAGGTCGAGGACGAAATTTTCGCGGCGCACCAACAGTGAGTTTCATTTCTGGCAACCCGACTGACTTCAGGTCTCTACTCAACGCGCAGAGGCAGTTAAAGCAGGTCGAAAAATCCGAGTCTGACATGCGCAACGCCATTTCACACTTTGTTTCGCAGCTTGATGAAGTCCGTGGCGTATTCCACACGGCCGCGGACGTCGACATCAAGTTCGAGGGCCTCGAGGCGCTGAGTCGACCCGAGCTTCGTGCTTCGGACGATGAGACAGCCGACCAGTTGAGCCCACTTGCCTTCGAGTCGGACGTCAACTTTTCTGATCGCAACGGCCGGGGCGGGCCACGCCCCCGGCCCATCCGGCGCCCACCTGCCGCCACCGCGTTGCAGGCGCTACCGTCCTTTGCGTTCGGGCTGCAGGCGTGGCCGAAGCGCTCGACTCTGGACCCGACTCTCGGCGTTACAGTCAACCCCTTCCGCCGCGTTGAGTTGACATGCCAAAAGGCCGAGGCAACGGTGCGCGAGATGGAAGAGCAGCGCGCCTCGACGACGCGCAAGATCCAGGAGATGGTAGTCACAGTGAACGGCTTCACACAGCAGACCAAGGCTGTGCTCACCTGGGTCAAGGACGCGAACAACAAGATCCACGACGCGAAGCAGAAACGCGCCGCCCTGTCGCAGCAGGTCCGCGGTGGCCTCATCGAGACCGTGCTCATACTCCCCGGCTTTGACACCGTCAGCGACTTCCTCGTGCGCGTCTTCCTCGGCGTCCTCTCCTACCTCCTGCGCCTGCACCGCCTCACCACATGGGCCCGTGGGCGTAGCTATATTGCGTGGGCGCTGCTCTTCGCCTTCGTCGCCATGTTAGTCTTCTTCTACCTGGCAGGATCGGACGACTTGCCTGTCCCGCCGTCGGCGCAGGTCCCATCGCCCGTCACGCTTCTTGGCGACGGTGTCTCTTAAAGATAGAATCTGTAGATTGGGTGTTTTTTTTGTACGCATCATGTCACCTCGTTATGTCTCTTGCATTTGGGTGTCGTCCTGGACCGAGTGTCTCGCCCGTCTACTGCCGCGATGCGCTGCTTTACTTATCGTCCTGTGCACACGCCCTCGCTCTGGATCTTTTCCCCAGTGTTCAGCTTCACCCGTCCTGCGTACCGACATATCTACATGCATTGTGACTACAACTATGCGAAGGCCTTGGACAGGTCGCTCCCAATCGAGTACCCGCTAACCTTGTCCCAGTCAACACGCTGGCGCGTGACGGGCAGAGCGCGACGCAGCGCGCGGAACGCCTTGTCGCCGAGGCCGGCGTACACGTCGCCAATCTCGAGCTGGTACTCTGTCTCGACGCGGGCGATGTTGCTCACGATGGCCGAGGCGAGCGCCGCGTCCTCGCCGTCGGGCAGCTCGAAGGCCGCGCGGTGCTCCGTCGACAGCTGCACATTGCCCTGCTCGTAGTAGTGTACGTCGACGCGGATTGTGCCCGACACGGTGCGCGCAGCGCGGTCCACGACCCAGCGCGTACGCCACCGTCCCGTCCAGAAGTTGGACGGGTTGAAGCGGTTGCCCACGATCTCGAGCGTGAACTTCGGGTTGTCCAGGGGCGTGTGTACGGGAGCCGGAGCACTGGCTGGAAGCTGTGCTGCCGAAGCGGACGGCGGAGAGCTGCCGGCCGCGGGCGACGCCGCGTCGATGTCGATGGCGTCTTCGGCGTCCTCGGCGGCCAGCGCGTACGCCTCCTTCTCCTCGTGCTCGCGCTCCGCCTGCGCCGCCCCTTCCGCCTTTACTTCCGCGACTTCCTCGTCGAGCACGGCCAGGCCACCCTCGGCGTCCACCTCATCCTTGGCGTCGAGGGGACGCTGGCCCACGACTGGCGTGGGCTCGACCTCCACGCGGCCGGCAATGTCTCTCTCCGAAGCCCCTGTGTCCATAGCGTCCGACTCGGCTTCAAGAGCGGTCAACTTGTCCCCGGCGTCGCCGAGGCTCGCCTGGCTCTGGTTGCGAGATACAGCCTCGACACCCTCGTCAAGCTTGCTCAATCCCCCCTCGGCGTCTACCTCATCCTCCGCCGCCGGGGTCCTGCCGCCGATGAGGGGAGTCGGCTCCTCTTCCCTCATGCCCGGCTGATCGCGCTCGGCAGGCGTCGCAAGCCCAGAGGCAGTCGCCTCGTCCGCAACTGGCGATGCGGGAGGGGCGACAGGCGGAAGAGGCACCTGGTCGGTAGAGACCGACGCATGGCCGCTGGGGAAGTGGTTCCGCGCGTACTTGCCCAGCGACTCGGCCAGAACCGCGCGGAAAGTCTCGTCGGCCTCGGGGAGCGCGATGGGCTGATAGTCCGAGGGCAGCAGGGTTACGTGGTCGAAGACGAAGGTGCGGTTGGGGTGGTCGTAGAACCGCTCGGGCGATGAGTTTGGGACGATAGTGGCGTCGGAGAGGAGGGACTAAGGTCAGCGCGCTCGGGGCAAGAACAAGCAAGGATAACAGTAACGAGAAAAGCGAAGGAGGACTGAGGAAGCCAACGGGGCCGAGAGAAGGCAAACATACAGAGTGTGCTTCGACGCCGTCCGATGCGGCGTGCTCGACAACCTGGAGTTGCGCCAGATTGTATGCGCGCAGCGCGGGTACAGCATGGGGCATAAGGGCGTCATCGTCGCCGATGACCGCGCGAATATCTGAATGAGCGGGGACGCGGGCAGGTCACACCATTGACAACATCGCTGGAGTCAGCTTCGACACCATAGGAGGAGGGGCAGAAGAGCAAGAGAGAGAATAGACTCACTTAACCTCGCCGGGAGGGCTCTGCTCAATGAAAGAGACGGCGAGCTTGATGCGCTCCTCTGTGCTCAGTTCCGACATGGTGCGTGAAGCGATGAAGACAACCAACTATTGTGTGGTCGAGAGACCGCCGATGACGACCTCGATGCTGGGTGGTGACGTTGTGCCTCCGAGACAGGCCACGTGGGTAGAGGTGCCTGGGCGGTGTCAGATCTTTTGGGCAGGCGGCGCGGGCGGAAGGCGGCATTCGCGTCAACTTTTCTTGGAACCACACAACTCCCATCACTACCTCTCTCCTAAATCACAATGGGTGGCGGAAACGTGAGTACTCGATTGACTATGACCTCGCGTCCGTCTCCGAGTGATGGGCGCGCCAGAACATGCGCTGACGCCAGGGTGCAAAGGCCCAGCAGGCTCGCGAGCGCAACGCTGCCAAGGCGGGCAAGGGTCCCTCGTCGCAGCTCAAATCGAACGCGGCGGCTATGTCGATCCAGTGCAGCGTCTGCAAGCAGGCGTTCCAAAGCACTTCGAAGAGGCCAATGTGAGTGTCCAGCGCGATGAGTGGAATCTGGAGGTAGTGTGGAGCGATGTGGACGTCCGAATTGGTCCCTGCATCGTCAGACCCCAACACTGACCCCAGGCTTGAGCAGCACGTCGACTCCAAACATTCGAAGCAGGGCTTTGCGACCTGCTTCCCCAACTACACTGGTTAGGTCTGCCGGCAGGCAGTTATTATGTTATGTTGTTAGCACTGAGCCAGCAGGTTGCCGAATTTTGTGTCGCATCTCGTAGCACTTGGCCCGGAGCCGATCTAACAGCCTGGAACACTAACAGCGCATCACTTCTTCGGACATGTTCCCAACCTTCGGATCACTTCTGTCACGGCCAGTGCTCCCAAGCGATTTCACACCACGACGAACTGCGATCAACGTCATTTCAGCTTTCCCGGCTCTCCGCGTACACCCACCCAGATGGACTGTCCGACGAGCTTCTTACGCTTCACGCCAGTCAGCGAGCGGGAGCCGCGACGCTCGTTCCAGTTGCTCATAGCGACCTGTCCCCGCGCCGCAAGAGTGCTAAGCCCGTCTGTACGACCCTCGTAAGTGTACTTTGCGAGCCCCAGGTCAATGTCCACGGGTAGGACGTGGGCAGTGTACGGGCCCAGGCGGTCGAGGCCTCGCGGGAGGGGTGGCCGCTTTGCCTTGACACTGTCCCCCTTCGTCTCCTTATTGTCCCCAGCGTCCTTGCGTTCGGCCGAGTCTTCACGCTTCTCGTCATGGGGGCTGTCTGTGCCGGAGTCCACCTCGTCCTCCGACGTAGCCTCAGCGAGCTGGGCGTCCGCCCTGGGCGGCGGAAGGCCCAACAGCTCGTGCAGCTGTGCGGTATTCAAGATCCCGCATTAGCTTCCTTTCAGCGCCCACTTACGATGCTCGCAGCCCCGAAGCCACGAGAATGAGATTCGCCCGATTGAGGGCGTCCGTTACTGCGTTTGAGCGCTCCGTCGCACCACCAATATGGCTAGCTGTGCCGATCGCTGCGGCGGCGACAGTGCCAAGGCCAGGGCTGGATCAGCTTCGGTGTTTGGAGACATACATGAGGATACCAGCGGCGATGCTACCGAACTGTACCGCCGTAGCACGCGGGTTGGTCAGGAGGGCCTCGTTGACTAAGTCCAGGGCACGAGCCATGTCTGTGGGGTGAATGGGAAGGGCTTTTGAGGAGCCGCGCACGAAGGGGGCCTCGGTGTGCCATCGCTCTTGTGGGAGCACGAAGGGAGGCCGCGGGAGGTTAGTTGAGGATGAGCACGGGAGGGCGGAGGTGACTTTCTGCTTGTCGGCCACGGTACCGCCGGCAGCGCGGAGAGCCATGCCTGTTAGGACGTTCATGATATGAGCGATGAGAGGAGAGGAACGGCAGAGCTCTTGCTCTCGTGCATCCCATAAGCGACGTTTCGAGAGCGGGGCGCATGTGCGGTCCATAATTGCCCATTGCACCAACCGAGCTGCGATCGCAAAGATGCCGGCTGCTGTCGGCGAGATACAATGTGGATGCTGGTGCGATGGATATCATCAGGTGCGAGAGAGTTTAACAAGCAAACAAGGCAAGCAGTTGCACGAAGGTGCATAAGTCGAGGAAAGAGAGAGGATCAGAGGATGGTGCTGCGGCCTCGTCCGATGACGTACGAGGTGACTGGACTTTTAGGTGGAGGCCCTCCACTCCGTGATCGGCGTCGACACCAACTCTCCAACGCTTCATCACCAATGCCGCCACGGAAGATACCCCCAACACCCAAGACCAATGGTAGCCTTTTCGACTTCTTCGGGCGAGCAGACAGCTCCAGCAGCCCCGCACCGAAGAAGAGGAAGGTAGACGTAGGTTCCGCCGCTGACCCCGTCGTGATCAGCGACGAAGACGAGCCTGCACCCAAGCAGCCCCGGCGGTCGTCGCCGAAGAAGCAGGAGGTGCGGTTGGAGAAGAAGCCTGAACCAAAAAATGACGCCGACGACGAGGAGGCGGAGAAAGCGCTCGTCGCGGAGTGCATGATGTGTGGGATACGTTTGCCACCGGACTCAGCGGTGAGAGCTAATGTAGTCCAAGCTGATGACAGTCCGCCGAGGCTCACGTGAACGCCTGCCTCGATGCTACTGACGACTCTCCTGAAGTTGGTCCGTTCAGAAATGGCGCTCCCGAGGAGACCAAAGCTTCACCGCGCGAACCAAATCAGGAAATGTCACCTGAGATCGTGGTCCTTTCCCCCGACTCGCCAACGAAGCCACCGTCTTCAAGGGAGTCTTCGCCCAAGGCCAAAGAGAAAGAGCGCGACTCAACACCTAGACCCATAACGAGCATCACGCACTCTCTTCGCACCGATCCACCACCACCAAGCAAGCCCAACGCCTTTTCAGTCCTCATGTCGGGCAACAAGGACAAAGAGACCTGGGGTGAAGTCGATCAGCCCAAGAGTGTGCCGGGCCGTCGCCGTCCTGCACCCTTCTACAAGGTTGGCTAGAAATTGGATGAAGGCTGATGCCAGGTCTTGACCGGTATGCCCATCGCAGTGGACGCATTTTGCTACGGCGCAATTCCAGGCGTCACTGCGTACTTCCTCACGCACAACCACTCAGACCACTACACAAATCTCTCGAAGAGTTGGCGGCACGGTCCTATATACTGCTCTGAGACGACAGCAAACCTGGTCGTCCTCATGCTTGGCGTAGAGCCGCAGTGGGTCGTGAGTGCGCCGCAGACGACCGTGGAGCTGACCCAAGCATGGCATCCCGGATGACATCCCTTACACAATTCCCAACACGGGCGGAGTGACTGTCACCCTTATTGAGGCCAACCACTGTGAGGCTTTCAAGTGACGGCTTAGCTCACCTCAGGCCCAGGCTCTTCCATCTTCCTCTTTGAAGGTCGTCAAACGGCGCACGCTGGCGACTCATCATTTCGCTCAGCGTACGTTGGGAGCAAGCGCGTGTTCCGGTACCTGCACTGCGGCGACTTTCGAGCGTGAGAGTACGCGACTGTACTAGCTGACGGCAGTTGCCCGAAGCATGTCCTCCATCCAGCTGTTGCTAGAGCACCGCTGGACACGATTTATCTCGACACGACGTACCTCAATCCGCAATACTGTTTCCCGCCGCAACCACTCGTCATCGAGGCTTGCGCCCAACTTGCGAAGAAGATTGCGTTCGATGAGGTGGACATTAAGCCGAAGATCGAGGCAGCGGAAGCTGCCGGCGACGAGGACCTCGAAGCTGAGATGCCCGGGGAGCTGGAGATGCTGCCAGAGGAGGAGGAGGAGGAGGGGGACGTCAGGCCCAACACCGATGACCTTGATGAGGAGGACGTTAAGCCACTCATTACCGACGAAGACGTCAAGCCAAACATTGACGGGGAGTGTCCCGAGGAAGCTTACCCGCCTGAGGAAGATATCAAACCGGACATCAAACCTGATGTTGTGGAGGAAGATCTCAGGGTTGTGGTCAAGGGTGAGACGAAGCCGGACATGAAGCCAGATATCAAACCGCACCCCGCGGCGGTGGCGTACGACATCCTCGAGCGCTCTGTCACCATGATGGAAGGCTGGCTGAAGAAACATCCAAGCATGGAGGGCAAAGCCCCTAAACCCAAAGGACGCGTCCTCGTGCTCGTCGGCACATACTCGATTGGAAAGGAGCGCATCGTCAAGGGTGTTTGATGGACAATGGATTGCGCTAACTGCAGCTATCGCGCGAGCGCTCGATTCCAAGATCTACGCCGATGAGCGCAAGAGGGGCATCATCCGAGCTCAGGCTGACCCCGAACTTCACGCTATGATGGGTGACGACCCTCGCGAGGTGAGTGATTTACTTGAGGCTTGCCTGGAGAAGGCGTGCTCTCGGCATTACCTACTTGTCAAGAACAACAAGCTGACTCCAGTGCCAAGTACACATCGTGCCACTCTGGAATGTCCAACTTGAGCGACTGGAGCCGTATCTTGATATGCTCCACCCGCATTTTGAGCGAGTCCTCGCCTTTCGCCCGACGGGGTGGACATACCGCCAGCCCGCAGGCGCAAACACATTACCGGACGTCAACTTCGTGATCCAACGCGACCAGGCCCGAAACTTCAGTGACATTTCGTTGCGGCCAATCCGCGGCTCCTCCCGGCAGTATATGATGTTTGGTAGGTAGTCTCCTCAGTTCGCCAGCTGACAACAGGCGTACCGTACTCGGAGCATTCAAGCTTCTTTGAGCTGACATGCTTCTCGCTCAGCGCTCCCGGCAACCCCAAAATTATTGCTACAGTCAATGTACACTCGGAGCGTAGTCGACAGAAGATGCGGAAGTGGTGAGTGGTGAGAAGAGTGAAGCTGCTGACAGCAGGTTCGAGAAGTGGGCTGCGGAGAAAGCACGGCGCAAGGAGCGCGGACAGCCTGCCATTGTTCCCTATCGCGAGGAAAACTACGTGCGTCGGCAACGTCGAGAATAAGCTGACGTCAGTGGTGAAGCTTGGTCCATACTGAAAGGTCCATGATTATGTGCGACGAGACCAAACCATTCCCAACGACAGCACACAGGAAGCTGCACCACGCTACGGCACAGGCGTTGCGGCCGCCTCGTGACACAGTGATAGTCACATGCGTCGCCGCTGCCAGACGATGGGAGAATTCGTCAGTGGCAGAGCCGACAGTTGTCCAACGGTTCAATCTTGAGATGAGTGCCAAGTCACCGCTAATCTGTAGCTCTGTATTCTAGTGCTGGCCCACACATGGCTCCGCGATGTATCAAGTAGCAGGATCGGTGTATTCAATTCTCTGCGCCACACCGACCAACGCCTCCTGCAAATGCTTCACAGAGCGATCCATGCCACCATACGTATGCTATGGGTGCTTTCAGACCCGACATCGGCCATTCACGAACGATATCAGAGTATCTCATGACAGAGGAACCACCGTGAGGAGTCCCATAGCTGAAGAGTACCTGAAAATGCCCGCCGTGCGCGTCAACGATCTCTCAAGGGTGTTTCTAATTCTGACAGCTCCAACGGAACACGGTGCCACATCCAGTATTCCTTTGATAAACATGTCTTGCAGGCGATGAATGAGTAGATATCAGCGCGGGTCATGTGTGGCGCGGTTGCGATCGCCGGACGACGGCGTAAGGCTTGCACAGTATTGTCGTCGCGTGAGAACAGGCTTAATGGTCCCAAACCCCCCCCCCCACTAGTCTTTTGTCTTGGTGTCGGCGACTGTGGCTCGCGTTTGCCGTCAATTTCCAGAGTTATGATTGTGAAAGTTCCAAGGATATGAGTCAAGTGTAATCTTTTGGGTCTAGACGAAAAGCGCGCAAACACGCCGTGTAGTCAACGGCAAACATGGTCGCCATCTTTGTTGGGGCGTGAAGTATAATGTTCAGTACTAAGCAATGAATGTAGCTGGCCTTTGGTTCTTAGTGATCACCTGCCTCCGCTGCACCAGGCTCCTCTGTTCTGGAGTTTCGCTGCGTAGCCCTCGTGGTGTGCTATTCAACAAATACTCTCTTTGGAGTCAGCCCTCCCTCGCTCCATAACGTGAGCAAAGTGAGGGACTCTCATGAAGTCCCTTGAATATATGCTACGCGGCGCAGCGGTACATTGCTATATAGCGGATACAATGGAAGTGTACGGAGAAACTGTGAGGTGGCTCGTGAAGACATGAACTCGCGATGAGTGGACCGACAGCGACAGACACGTAGAATACGCCAGTCACCCCCAGATGGCCCGTAGAGCCGCGCGATTGAGACTGCACGTACAGGGCTTATCCGTCTCGCCAGCCCCGTTCCATAGACAACAGGCAGGGACATACGTGGCGGCTACCGCAGCGCGTGCAGCGGCGCGGACGGGTTTTGGCAATGATTTGATGCTGTTTTCCGCTTCCTCACGCGCGCTCTCTGCCATTCTGAGCACGGGAACAAGGGTGTGCCATGGTACGCCTCGGCCGTGCAGCGCATCTGCCAGCTCGTCAGCTCCCTTGAAGGTGGACAAGGGGAGGTAGACGCGACCACGGGCGCAGTCTGCACTGGCGGACGCGGCAATCGAGACGAGGAGCATCCCACGCCCCATGATGCGGGCTTTCCGAATAGTGTCCGCGCGAAGCAAGGTGCGGACCGGCATTCCGGCTGGCCACTCGGGAATGGGCAGTCCGGTAAATGGATGCTCAGCCTTTGACCAGCTGTGTGCAGCGGCCGGCGTGAGCGGTGAGGACGAGTGGTCCTCGAGGAGACTCCAGGCAAGATAGCAGGCAATAGCGGCGCTTGCACCCCCTATTGCGGAAACGTACTTCTCGAGGTGGGATGGGGTGTCAATAGACATGTGTTTTTTGAGATCGTCCCTCTGGGTCAAAAGTGGAACGGGAAGGAAGCGCAGATCTTCCTTTAATCCATTCACAATCTCGAAGAAAGGCCAAGCGGGAGCCAAGCGGGGCACTATCGCGCCGAGGAGGTAGTAAGGAGCTTGCTGGGCTGGGTCCACTGACCCCTGATGAAGGAGGTTGGCCTTGTCGAGAGCAGTCCATTGGTCCCAGCATCCTATCAGATGGTAGCGGATGAAGAACGAAGTACCCACGCGGGCTCTGTGCATGGTTTCGTAGTCGTCGATGGCGGGGATATCTCGTGCAAAAGCGGCCGTGGTGGCATACCACCAGTACACGGCCGTTAAAGCGATTCGCAGCTCACGAGGCACGGCTAGTGCCGCCAGCCGCAAGGGTGGTGGTAGCGGGGGCGCCTCTCTCAGAGCGAGTAAGACTCGGGTATCGGTCATTGGAGGTATAGCGACGACGCGTGCCAACAGAGTGATATGGCCCACAAGGTTGGCCGGTGGGGTGGGAGGGAGTGATGGGCTCAACAAGAGGAGGACGTGGACGTGCGCAACGAGGTGAAGCAAGAAGGTCGTGGCGAGGGCGGAGAGGACATCACGTGCAATGGTGTCAGCTTGGAGGCCAGGGAGTTGCTTGTTGACGCCTGCCATCGTCCATTCCATGAGTTGCCCATCACGGGCGAGTGTGGATGAGCTGAGGTGAGCTTTGAGTCCACGGAATGCTGCTGAGCAGCGTACCTACACGAAAAGGATGGGGATAGTGACGGCCAGGACGATTGCGTCGAGCTTGGCCACTCGCGCACCTGCCAGTAAGAGCGCTGCAAGAAACGGGGTTACAGCCATGACGACTGCGCCCAGTGAAGCGTATCCTGGCACGCCGACAAAGAGGTGAGTCCCGCCTGCGAGAACGACAAGGCACGCTGCTGCAGCACCTGGGTGGCGGACGAGCGTATCGACTTTTGGAGGAGGGGGAGGCAGTTTACTCCTTGGTGGCCTGGGCACAACATTGGGGGCAAACGGCAGGAGGAAGGTACGACCGACGACGATGTGAACAAGGGCAACGGTGAGTGCGCGTGCGCCCCCGCCAAACAGCGCACGCATGAGAGCTGGACGATCGAAGTGGGCTGACGTTGTTAGACACTGCTGTCAGTCTAGCGAGCAACATCGGATTTCACGTATTCCAGAACGGAGATGAGGAGACCGAGTGTCGTGGCCAGGGCGAGGGCCACACCTTCCCGCCGGTCCATGGAGGGCCTGAGGAGCCCAACGATGCAACATAACAGTGCCGCAGTTGGCCTGGGTTAGCAGCAAGACAGTGTTTGGGGGCCTACAGCTCCAGTCGCATGGCGAACGGGGTGATGGCGAGACGATGAGATCGAGGAGCGTTGTTGAACTGAGCAGAGTAGCAATGAATGGCGCATTAGTGAAAGCACGACACGGCCTTTGTTCCTTATGACGTCCCAGGCACGGGAACGTGTTTTAATCGTTCATGAGGATCTGAGCGGAATAGATTGTTACGGTCGGCTTGAAATCACTCCGAGGCTGAAAGTCATACAGCAAGATACATCGTACAGATGAGTGTACACCCCAGCAGCAGCAGCACTTCTACTACTACTTGCGAAAAAATCCTAAGAGTTGAGTTTAGACGGATAGATATGCTGAATACGACGGAGCAGGTGGGCGCGGAGCGAATCACGCGCCTCACCTCTAGCATCCACATTCAACGTTTAATGCCTCGTCATGCTTGGGCTGCGGATGAGTGTGAGGAACTCCTCACGCGTCTTCTGTTGAGTCCGGAAGCACCCAAGCATGGTAGACGTGACGGTCGTCGCGCCGGGCTTCTGGACGCCGCGCATCGACATGCACATGTGCCTGGTGTCAATAAGGCCTCGGTGAAGTGCATGGCTTACGTAGCCTCCATAACGACGGCGACGCCACGAGGCCTGATGGCCTCCATGATCGCAAGGGCGACCTGCCGCGTCAGACGCTCCTGGACCTGGAGGCGGCGGGAGAAGGTCTCGGCAATGCGTGCCAGCTTGCTAAGGCCCAGCACGAGCTTGTTGGGGATGTACCCGATGCTGATCTTGCCAGTGAAGGGGACCAGATGGTGCTCGCAAAGCGAAAACACGTCTATGTCGCGGACGATGACCATCTCCTCGTGGTCTTCGGCAAAGACAGCGTCGTTGATTACGTCGACCAGCCGCTCCTCGTACCCCTTGGTCATCCACATAAGAGCCTTAGCGTAGCGTTCCGGCGTGCGCTGTAAGCCCTCGCGGTCTGGGTCTTCGCCGATGCACTCGAGGACCGTGCGCAGCGCCCCAGCAAGCACCTCGAGGTTGGCGGCCTTCTCCTCGGGCGTCGAGTGGAGGCGGAGGTGCGTGCGCTTGGCTGAATTTTGTCAGCCCACCCAGGCCGTGACTCACCAGGCCATCCGAGACCTTCGGCGTCGGCAATCCCGCCCTCGGGGATGAGGGCATTGGCGCCAACTGCCAGGGATGCGGGCTGCTGGAGCGCGGCGCGCACGTCGTCGTTGAACTGCGCGTCCAGTTCCGCCGAGCCCTCCGGGTACTCGGGTTCGACCTCGCCCGCAGGCGGCGAGGTGAGCGGAACAGGGGTAGATGTGCCGCTCGCGGGGCGGAATCCGTAGCCCTCACGCTGCTGACGCGGGAAGAGGTTTGTGCGCGCTGCCGCCGATCCGGACGCGCTCCCAGTGCTGCCAACGCTTGCGATAGAAGAAGGGGCCGCAGGTCTGGTGGCTGAGCCGGAGGAGGGGGCGGCCGCAGCTTTGCTGAGACTCATGCTCTTCATATGGGCCTCGATGGTGGAGGGCTGGGTCGGGCTGCGGGCGTTCTGGGAGGAACGACCGCGCTCCCAGTCGCCGGTAGATGACTCGGACAGGCGATCCAGGTTCTGGCGGGTGGGGACGGTAAGGGGTGCCGCCTTTGTGTTGCTTGGGCTCGACATTATCGCGAGGTGGGCAATTGAGTGGACTGTCGTAGGAATAAATGTCGACTCCACATGATCTTAGACGGCCATGCGGCTGAGCTTGACCACTCACGTCATGCAATCCGTGGTGTTGGACATTTTGGGCTCTCCACTGTTAAACAGGCTATTTATTTTTGGCTTAGGTAACATCGCGCGATCCGCCAATTTTGACCCCGAAGTAATCGTGAAACCCTCTGGGACATCGGAAAGCCCCATCGGCGTTAAATTTGTGAATCACGTGATGCACGTTTCCGCGGGGCTTCACCAGTGGCGGTGGTCTGCGTGTGGGCGACGACTTGGCTGGCAGATCCAAGGCAGGTCCTCCTCATCCATCAACATCCGACACCAAAAATGGTGAGCATACTCCCAAACCACTCTCGCGGCACCGGCATCGACGACGGAATCGGAGACGGCAGCGCGCGCGGTGCGCGGGACACTCGAATCGATGGCGGGAGGCGAGAACGCGACGGCTGGCCTCAGTGTCGAGGGAGGAAGAAGGGATGGGCAGCGGAAGGACCGTTTGGGAGGGCACCATGCGCGTCCAGTACGCTTTCGTGCTCACGAGCGCCGAGATGTCCTGTCATGCGTGGCTGGCTGGCATCGAGATGCTCGTGGATGTGCGAATGAGCGCCAATATCCAGACGGGATTGCAGACGCGAGTGCTCTTCCGTCTGTCTGCTCAGGCCTCATCTCTCCCTCGCGCCTCGCCTTGGCCGAATCTCGCCCTGCGCCACCCCGCTCGCCCGTTGTCCCGGTCGTTTGCCGTTCCGCCGCGGGAGAAATTCGAGAAGCCAGACTAACCACAGACCAAGCGCACTAAGAAGGTCGGCGTCACCGGCAAGTACGGTACTCGTTACGGTGCTTCGCTCCGTAAGACGTGAGTCTACCCTCGCGGCTTGCTGCCGCTACTCTCTGCGCATGGCACCTTGTGCCACCCTTCGTTTGCTGGCTGACCCCTAGCGTCAAGAAGATGGAGATTACGCAGCACTCGCGCTACGCGTGCCCTTCGTGCGGCAAGAACGCCGTCAAGCGCTCGGCGGTCGGCATCTGGAAGTGCAAGGGCTGCTCCAAGCAGTACGCCGGCGGCGCTTACGTCCTCTCGACCCCCTCGGCTTCGACTGTCCGCTCTACCATCCGTCGTCTCCGTGAGGTTGTCGACGCCTAAGGGTCTAGAGGTGTATGTTGGTCGGATGTATAGCATTTCCCTACTGGGAGATGGGGCAGGATGGTGTGGTGGTGAGGGGCTTGATGAGCGGTGAGAGACGTTGGACTGATGACGCGCCGTTCTACGGGAGGGCCGACCGCACCGACAACAGTTACTGAAAGCGAAGTAGCCTATTGTTCACTGCAACAAGCATCTGGCTGGAGGGCTGCAAACTTCCGTCTTGCCCGCCAGTTGTACGTGGCTTTGGGATACCAGTGCAATCTCCACTATACATTGTGTTCCATCCATCAGACTGGCTAACTACAATCTGGCCCCCTGCACGGCCAGCTCAGCGTACAGCCCACAGTGGTCGCTCCAGTCCACGCCTTCCACGCTTCCCGGCTCGAGCACACGGATGCTCTTGCATTGCATGCCCGCGAGGGCGACCTTGTCGAGGCGGTTGGGGGGGAATGGCTCTTTGCTCCGCCCATCCCAGTTCCAAGTGAACCCCTCCCCGGTGCCCGCAACCTCCCACGCGTCTTCGAGCGCGTTCGCGCGGCACAGCCCCGCGTCCACGGGGAGCACGGCGTTCCAGTCGCCCGCGACGAAACCGTGCCCTCCGTTCTCCGCGATGCTGGCCGCGGCCAGCGCGACCTGCGCGGGCCGGAAGCTGGGGTCGTGCGCGAGGCTGTCGAGATGCACATTGAGCGAGCGGACGCGCACATCGCCGACGCGCACGTCACCGACGACAATCTCGCGCCCGTACCGGCTCGGAAGGGAGAGGCGGTGCACGCCGCCCAGCGCGCCGGCGAAGCGCGCGCGGCGCGCAAGCGTCGCTTGCACGATGAGCTCGGTGCGCGGGCAGGGGAGGGTGCAGAACCACTCGGCACGCACGGAAGGGTGCGATAGCAGGTGAGCGGTGTTGGCGGGGCTCAGCTCTTGCAGAAGGATGAGGTCGGGCTGGAGCTCGAAGACGTGCGCGAGAATCGCGTCGAGGCGCGCCTCGGAGGACGCCGTCCAGCCATCCACGTTCCAGGTGACGATCTTGAGACGGGGAGAGACAGAAGGTGAAGGAGCAGAGGAAAAGGGAGGAACAGGCTCCCACTTGCTCGTGTACTCGTGCCAGCTACCAGGAGTACGCTCGCCTCCCTTTGGTGCGCGCGGGTCGTCCGGGCCCGGGGCGCGGTGTCCCGCGATCACGTAGTCACGCAAACTGGCGATAGATGTGGGCGTGCTCATTGCTCTTTGTGTGTGTCGAAGACGGGCAGTTACGCGGAGCATACACTGTTGCTGGTTGTTCACTTGTGAGGTGGGCGCTGGGAGAAGTATGAGCGGTGTGACCTCAGATGCCGGCTACTTGTGTATCTGGCTTCGGCATGCGGCATTCGTCTAGATAGCCGGCCATATAGAGGTTCACCCGACTCGAAACACATCACCGCACAAGATACAACATGCATGTGATTCCACGCTCCAGACAATACAACTTCACTAATCTATGACTATCACTTCTGACTCGTCGTCGCTGGGGAGGAAGAGGGGTGCTTGCCGCCTCCGATTCATCCTTCGGCGTGGGGAGGAGTGAGAACGAGCTGTTGGCGACGAGAGCACGCGTGCCGGTGATACGGGGAAGGGTGGAGGTAGGTACCCGCGCGCCACTGGCGTGCGTGAGACGGATGCAGAACGTGAGGGAGAGACATGGAAATCCGCAAGGGCACGCTCGGGCGGCGAGGGGGGTGATGGTGTAGGTGGCGGAGAGCAGCGAGCAGCAACTGGTGCTGCCATTGTGGGGCTTCGAACTCCAGCAGGGGCGGAGGCAGTGGGAGCCTTCTTCGCGGGGACAGGAGCAGCCCGCTTTGCTGCAGCTGGAGCTGGAGCAGACTTCGTTGCAGAGGCCGAGGGTGCCCTCCTCGCTGGCGCCACGACCGCACCGTCGTCCTTTCCCCAAAGCGCGTACCAGACCTGATGTCAGCTCCCGTTATCTCTACCTCCGGTACTCACGGCCTTGCTGAGCGCGTCACCAATCCTGCGACGGCCCTCACCTGGGACCATGTCGGCAAACATAAGCTCTGGACCGCGCTTCCGTCGCCCGTCCTCAATCACGCCTTGCGCATGCCGGACCTTCATGGCCTCGTACAGAGCCCGTGGCGTCTCCCACACGTCCAAGATCGCGCTCACTCGCTCAGGGCTCATGCCCTTAATCACGAGCAGCATGCGCGCGAGATATTCCTTGGTCGTTCGCAGAGTTGACTTCTTGTTGAGCTCCTGAAACGCCTCAAATGATGTGAGAAATGATGTCTTGTGCGTTGCGCGTAGCTTTGTCTGTAGGGATGCGTAGGTGGTCCGCGAGAGGTAGCGCGAGGGAATAACACGCAAGTCGCCTGCTGAAGCCTCGATTACTGCCGTCATCGTGACGAGGTAGTCGATTGTATCGGCCAACTTGTGAGTTTCCTTGAGAAAGAAGCCGTTGATCACCTGGACTTGCGACTTGGCCGTCATGATTTGCTTGCCCTGGTACTGCATGCGCTCCGCCTTCTGGTAGTCCTCCACGATGTAGAAGACATTCCCGATCCCACTCTCGTTCAGTCGAAACTTACGTTAGTCTTCTGAGACGGAGGGCGACTCACGCATTGCTCGCTGTAGCGCCCGTCCCGGATGGACGAGACAAGGTCGTCGAGGCGCTTGCGCTCAACCACGAAGTCAAGCACACACTCGTCCTCCTCGGCTCCGTAGGCATCACGCCGGCGCGCAACCCAACACATATCCCCGAGCCGGAGAGCACGCGTTTCAACCTTGACACCCTTCCGTTCAAGGCTCTCAGCAATACGTTCACGGTTGGTGTTGCGCGACTCAACCTCACGGGTGTCGAGAATCAGCAAAATCTCGTAGGTCCCTTTGGTAAATACGATTGCGTCGTCGGGGTTGAAGTGTGCGTCGCGGTGCTCTCCTGGTAGCGGCAGCTGCGATGACAGACGAGGGCGAGAGGATGTAGTGCGGGCTAGTGTACGAGTTGGGGCGACGGAGGTAGCCCGGGACGTCGCCGTGGTCTCAGTTCGAGTGGCAGCATCGTCATCCTGATACTTGCTGCAGGTAGGCGGTGCCTCGTCCTCCACAAAGTAAGCACACAGCGTGACGAGCCCATCGTCATGCAGCGTCGGGTCGTCATCAACAAGACGTAGCTGGCCCACGATGGGGTGGTCCTTCTGCGACTCGAGAAACTCGATCTGCCGTAATGTTACAAATTCGACGGGGTCGAGGCGGGTACGAGCCGAGGAAACATTCTCGACCCGACTGCCATCGGCACCTGAAGTCAGATATCGTCGACAACCCAGGCTTACTGATATACCAGAAGCTGAAGCGAGAAGCTGAGACTCGTCTCGATGCTGGTGCTGTACTGCGGACCGGCTGCGGTGGAGGGCCAGGAGTGGACGTTGAGGACATTGAAGGGCGAGCAGCCATGGCGGCTGGACCAGGACCAGCTTGACCGAGTGGACGGTCCCACATTTCATCCCGGTTGGCGCGCTGAACAAATGGGACAATTTGGGGGCCACCTTTGAACTCGTCCTGCATGTTGCGCAGCACTACCGCGACATCGCTAAGATTGGCGCTTTCCTTCCAAAATGACTCACAATCCGGCCTCGGTGAGGGTATAGCGATGTGGGATGCCCTGCACCGCGACGTATCCCTTATTCACGAGCGTCTTCATACCATTCCATGCCGTGACCCATGTCCCGCGCTCTGAGTGATCATAGCTGGTGTCGCAATACGGCTGAGCGTGTCGCACAACCTCACCGCGAGTCAGCTGCTCGATGAGCGCATCGTCAGGCTCGTCTCCGGCGGCGATGATCATGCCGATCAAGATTCCAGCAGGACCGGATCGCGCAGCCGGAATATATGCGCGTTGCGGACGCTTGGCCTTCTTCGGCGCGGGTTCTTCCTCATCCCCTCCGCTGTGGGCCTTGTCACTGTGGGTGGGCCGTTTCGGAGCGGTGCGACCTAGCATCAGCTCCTGTCACGCCAGGCGAACTCACGGAGAGGAGACTCAGGATATGCTTTGCCTGTTGCCTTGCAATGCGCCTTGAACTTGGCGTCGAGAAGCTGGATCGTCTTAGGGCCGATACCTTGCAGCGGGGCTAGCTCTGCTGGCCTCGCATATGCAACTGGACATGCTGCAATCGCACGGCAGCCCTTGTTGTACACTTCAGCGACTTTGAGACCCTTTTCACGTGCAGCGTCACGCAACTCTACCGTCAGCCTGTCTACTAATCCATGAGCGACACACCTTCAAGCCACTTGAGGAATAGAGGATTGGCACATTGTTGAGGCGGCATCTTGCCGCCCCAGCTTCAAAAACGGTTACGTCAATGGGACGAACAGCCGGAGACGGGATATATGAAGCGTGTTGTCGCGTTTGTGTAGCGGGGAGAAGCCATGTGCCAGCCAAGTTGTGGTGTGAGGGTGATCGAGACGCGAGATCGCAAGATGCGAGAGACGCGACGACGTGAAATGTGAGGTGGAGCTGACTGGACCTGACTGACGAGAGTGTCAACAAAAGCGGAGATTGGAGGCCTCCCCGGTGAAGAGGTCACGTGATATGAAATGAGATGGGATTGTGATGACGCGCCCAGTTTGATCCCGCAAGAGAGCCGTGCGGCTGCAATTCGGCTTGGCTGACATCCTCCAGTTGCTGCTGTACTGCTGCTGTGCTGAATCGCCATCGCATTCTCTTTTGGTCGATCTGGTCTTTGCATCTCTCTTCAATTCTTCAATCTCTTCATTCTTGTTATTGCCACACCGCCTACATCACATCCGTCGCGCGTACTCGTCGCAGCAATCGCAACGCAGCTCTCTGCCCTTCAACCACCCCTTTCAGCCACCCCTCTACCCCCTTCTCCATCATGAGCGTCGCAAACCACAGTAACAGTCGACCTCATCAACTGCCCCTTCCTTCACATGCCACTGTACGCTCCACCTCGCCTGCTGTGGCCCGCAGGCCCATGCCGTACGAGACGCCAGACCCCAGCGGACGCAACTGGCTCGTTGAGCTCCCCGAGGAGATTCGACACATCATCTTTCTCCAGCTCGACCTCAACGACATCACCACCTGCTATCGGGTAAGATGACCTTGCCTGCCAACCTGACCTTTAGTTATGCAAGGAGCTTCACGCCTTCCTCACCCAATCAGCGGCGATCAACTTGCGACACACTCTGCTGGCTAACTCTCTTCATCTCAACCCTTTCGCCATGCAAGCCAATCCAAACATGCCCCGTCAGATGCCGCTGACCTCGGCCAAAATTCTCGCACACCTTCGTGAGACGCTCACGCGCTTTCGAAACGTCGCGCCCAAGTCAACGAGCACTGTCCGATTCCGTGAGCCCAGCGGCAGCCTTTATGAGTATCTGGAAGGCGTGCTCTTGCGGACATCTCGGGACCCGGCAGCCCCTCTGAGTTCCAAGTCGCGCACGCTACACGTGTACGACCTTCGCCGCATTGATGAGTGGGAGGACACTGAGGACGCAACGGACGCCGATGCCGAGGTATTCGAGACCTCCAGCGACAGCCCCATGGAGGGCGATTTCAAGACGCAGCACACTTTCGACTTCACAATCCGCGAGGTCGCGACGGACCCCACACAGGACCTCCTGATTATCGTGTCGCTGACGTGGGTTTTGTGTACATGTGGCGCTTACCCAAGTCCCATCAGCCAGCGGCGTCATCCATTTCCCAAGATGATCATGGAATTCCACCTATACAGTCTTTCAACCTTTGAGCCGCATCCCAAGGCCGAGAAACACATCATCGAGTTCCCTCAGCACCTGGACGGTGAAGACATCGCGCTCGACTTTCAGATTTGTGACAACGCGCTCTATGTCCTCTCCAAGGGCCCTGGGATGCTAGGTCGAGACGACAGCCCGGCGGACGTGCTGTACGGGTGGGAGTGGCCCACGGGTCGTCTGCACGTCAGCATTGAGGCGCCTGACCACATTTCATTTGAGTCCTTCGTTCTCCTCACTGCGTCATCCTTCTGTGTCACTGCGACCGTAGCTCGCGTCTCAAATGGCGAACTTGCGCCGGACGACCTCACACCCGAGGCTTTCCGCGAGCTCTACTGGACCCACCACCTGCACTTATATGCCTTCCCACCCATATCCGACCACCCCGCGGGTGCGCCCTGGACGGCCCAACATGTCTCTGTAATCAACATGCCATCGATCAACAACAGGTTCCTTCGGGGCATCCCGCCCATGCAAATGTCCATCCGCACCGACCCCCCGCCACGCACGTTCAACTCGCCGTACCCTATGCACGCGCCGCCGCCGTACCTCCCCGACCCAGAGAGTGGTGTTGCTATCGTTACTTTCGTTCAGCAGCGCGGCTTCTTTCCGCTGAATCCCCTGCTCCCGACCGCTCCAACGTTCACGCTCATCGTTGCGAAAGCGACGCTCGCGAAGCTCTTGCCCGAACCAACCTCGCCGCTGCTCAAGCAGACGTTTTCTCGACCTGTCCCGGTTGTGCCATTCTCGCGCCTTGCCCCTGACTGTCGTTTCTTTGGCCCCGATCGGGTGATGAGCTGTGAGCTTTGCCCTTCTACTCTGCTAACAGTAGCCTGGGTCTGCTTCGTATATCAGAATCGGTATGTGGCGCCGTATGCGCGCGTCGTGGGCACTGTACACTTGCCTCTCGCTGGGGACAATCCGGACGACGAGGAAACCGAGGAGCAAGAGGTAGTCGACCTTTCTCTCCAAGTCTTTGACTTTGACCAAAGGCGCGTGCGCAAGGAGAAGCTCGACCGCGCCAGACGCTTTCCCGCAGGCATGGAGGCGCGAGACGAGCAAATTGAGGGCGACGACGACGGCATTGATCTTGTTCTGAAGCCTACGCGTATTCAGCCCATCCCCTATCTCACCCTTGAGGAAATTGTTACAGGTCACAACATGCCGTACATACTCGTCGAGCGGGCAACGGACAGTGTCGATCCTCTCATTGACGGGCAGCGTATTCTCCTCCTTAAGAAGCGGCAGGCTCGTCGTGGTGCCGTCCAGAACCCACCTGTGCCCGACGATGACGACTCGGGCGACGACAGTGATAGCGAAGAAGAGGATTCGATTGAGGTTATGGAGTTCTAACGCACATGGCGGTTTTTTTAATCCCTAGACATCATGAATCCTTGTTCTTCTCATGCGTACGTACTCGATGGGCGGGCCCGCACCGCCCGGCCCGCACTTGGTGAACGTCTGGGAGCTCAGCGCCGCGAAGCCCCGCTTCTCATAGAACGCCCTTTGATCTAAACGCGCGTCGAGCTGCACGGCACCGGCCGCGTACTGGATGGCAGCCGCGAGCATCGCGCCGCCCACGCCGCGCCCCTGCCACTCGGTCGAGACGGCAAACTTGGGCAGCTGCACCCCATATTCTGGCGAACATGTGCAGTGTGCCGGCACTAATGTGAGGACGCCAATGGGAGAGGGACTGGAGGAGTGAAACGCGCCGAGGTGAATCGTTGGCGAGGCGTCGTAGGGTTGCGCCTGCGCTGACAGGGGCACGGTGGGCCACAGAACGGCATGTCGCAGGAAGTGCGTCTCTTCGGGGGGTATGAGGCGGATAGTGAGGCTTTCCGTGGGTGAGACTAGGCCGCTCATGGATCGAAGTCGAGTGGTACTTCGTGACGTTTCAAGCCGATTGACTCCCATTCCCCATTCCGCAGAACCATGTTGCGGGCCGCCTGACTGTTAACAAAGTGGGGCAGAATGACGGAATTTGAATCACTATCGCACCAAACTCGATCTGAACATCTGACCTTCCTCAAATCCGACATGACAGCAACAGAGGCAGCGCCCACGGCCACGCCGGAAGCCGTGAAGCCGGAGGCCGCCGCCTCCTCTCTGGTCGCAGACGACTCCTTGTCAGATGAGGAGCTGCACGCCCCATCCGCGGCCGCTAAGAAGAAGAAGAAGAAGAAGCCCAAGAAGAAGAAGAAGGCCATTGGCGGTGTGCCCCCCGAGACAGTGCCTGTTCTCGCCGAGACAGCGGAGGAGGCGCAGCGCTGGGAGGCGCAGCTGGTCCGCGGGGCTAAGATGTTCTCGCTGCCGCCTTGGCTGCTCAACGACAGTGTGAGTGCAGCATTGACGTGATGGCGCGTGGGGTGATGGGGAAGGTCAATCTGGCGCATCCTGCTGACTGTAGGAACGCGAAAAGCTCAACACCTTCCGCACGCCGGCGTGCGCGGGTTTCGCGTTGAGGACGCCTCGACTTGTCCTGCGACAGGTCGGGCTCGGAGATACGACAGCGATTCGCCGCATCAAGATGGAGCCAGTCGTGCAGAAGACGCAGTTGTGAGTGTGGCGGAGCTGGCGACCGCTGTCAGTGGTTTGGCAAGCCAGTCGGTGTTGGGAGAAGGAGATACGTCGAACGTGACCTGCTCCAACTGCTCGCGCGCGGGCTGACTCTAGATACGGCTCGCCTGCTGCCGCAGACATTCGTGACTCGTTCCAGCGGCGCTACGTTGCATCCTCGATTCCAGCGCTGGATCGCGGTGGCGCCTGGCGCGACGAGTGGGTGTTCGCCATCACTGCGAAGGACCCTCCATCACTCAAGCTGGCTCCCGGCACCAACCTTCGCATCACGAACCGCCTGAAGGACGCCGAAGGATACCTGGGCAACTTTGCGCTGTCCATCTCGACGCACCCGCACGCACCTTCCCTCGGCCCACGCCGCGGCGAGGTGTATACACACCCGTCGTTCGCGGATACGGCCGCGGCTGCGCTCGAAGGCAAGCTGTTCTACGAGCTGCACCCCCAGCTGTGGGGGCAGGGGCTCGCGAGCGAGGCCTTCGCTGAGGTCCTGCGCTTCGCGTTTGAGGAGGTCGGGTGTACACGCGTCAGCGCGGATCCTACCACGACCGCCGAGGCGAGTATCGCGCTCTGCAAGAAGTTTGGGCTCAACTTTGTGCGCCAGGAGAAGAACAATGCTGGCAAGCCACAGCTGTTCCATGAGATCACGCGGGGCGAGTGGTTCAAGAAGTTCCGCGGTATCGAGGGCAAGATTGTCGCGGGCGCGAGTGCCAAGATGGCTAGCAACGGCGATACGCACAAGCACAGCCACGAGCACGAACACGGTGAAGACTGCGAGCATGACCATGACCATGACCACGACCACGACCACGGCCATGGCCATGAGCATGGGGACGACTGCGCACATGACCACGACCATGACCACAACCACAGTCACGCAAAGGCCCATGACCACCCCCACAAACACCACCACGGTTACAAGCACGGTCATGAACACGGCCATGGCGGCTGCGACCACGACCACCCCCCGCCCCTTCCGCCATCGGCCACTGTCGATGTCGGCCCTGGGCCTTGGGCCGGCAAGGAGGTGTGCCGCTGGTGCACTGATTTCCGCACCCGGCCGGTAATTACGTGCAAGTGTGGATGGGCCAAGTACTGCTCGCGCGAGTGCCAGCGTGCGGATTGGGTGTGGCGCGGTGGACACCAGGGACAGTGTGATGCGCAGACGGGCGTGCAAAATGCGGATGGAGAGTAGAGAGAGACACTCATGTGCGTGTCCAGGTCATTAAGAGATGTAGGAGACAGACAAGTACCCTTTTCATGTATACCCGGCATCTAGCTGCTTGTTTATTATCCACATCGTGTACATCCCGTTCAGATCCGCGGTGAGCTTGGACGGCTCACCTCAGCGAAGCCTGCGTGCGCCGGTCAGCTCAGCGCCGCCACGATGCGATGCATCGCGGGCGCGAGCTGCTTGCGCGTGCTGTGTGCGTTGCCCTGACGCCAAACGCGCGTGATGCGCGTTGGCGCATCAAGTAGGGCCGGCGGGGGCGCGTGAGCCTCGTCCTTGAACTTCCAGGTCTCGAGGGCGAACGTCTCGACGTCCGCCGACAGCCCGGCGTCGAGGGCCGCGAGAGCGCGCTGCGCCGCGGCGAAGTCGGGCAGCGCGCCGCCGGCGCGCACGGAGATGAGGAGCTCGCGGCGGCCCTTGCCGGCCGAGTTCTTCCACGTCGTCCCGATGCCGAGGATGTCGAGCTTGCGCTCGGCCATGTACGCGTCCGCGATGGCGAGGAAGTTGGCCCATCCGCCCTCGTGTTTGAGCATCTTCTCGATCTTGACGGGGACGGTGCAGAGGCCGACGACGAGGCGGGGGGAGACGGCCGAAGATGTGTCCCACGGATACTCTTTGTAGTCGCGGAGGAGGAGGTCGTGCTCGCCCATGCCCGAGACATCGTACTTGGCGTCTATGAGGGCGGAGCTGAACGCGGCCAGCGACGCGGGCACGGCGCCCGTGTCCGTGGCCGACAGCGACACGTCGGCGGCCGGAGCGAGCGACGAGAGGGGATACAGGAACTCGGCGGCGCGCATGTCCAGCTCTGTCGCTTTGCCGCCCTCTTTGAGGCCTTGCGTATCAATCAGCAGCGCGGAGAGGAGGAGCGTCGCGACTTCGGGCGGCACGGGGCTGCCCGCCGCGCCGGCGGGGCCGGCGGCGCTTGCGCGCCACTCGTCCTGGAACGACAGGGCGACGAGCGACGTGCTCGACCCGTTCGGGACGGTCACGATGCGCGGGCTCGCTTGGAGCGACACGCCTTCGTCTTCGTGGTGGTCAATGATGGCGCGCACGGCCGCGTACGCCGCGTCCGTCGTCCCGAAGATCGGGAGGAGGCGGTTGTGGTCCACCAGCACAAAGCCCACGCCGGTCGAGAGAAGGTCGGACGCCTTGACAGGCAGGTCTTCGAGGTGGAGGAGCACGTCCGAGGGGATGTGGGATTGCGCGAGCGCCAGGAAGTTCTCCGGCCGCAGGTGCATGAACTTGCGCGGCGTTAGGATCACGGGGATGACCCGCTGCGCTTGTAGCGACGCGGCGAGGTACGCGTATGCGATGGAGGAGGCGATCGTGTCCAGGTCTGGTGTGAGCGGTTGTCGAGTATGAGAGAATTCTGAATATGATGGGTGATAAGATCGGCGAGGGAAGAAGCACGTGCGTCGCGAAGCACCTTGGGAGGACGCCGGAGCACACGAAGCTTGCACTCACCTCCGGCCTCGTTGCCGACGGCAATGAGCCAACCCTTTCCGCGCCCGGCGGCGAGATCGGCGAGAAAGCTCTCCTTCTGGCTGAGCAGCCAGTCAGCCAAGCGTCCGGGGACGACAGGTGCGGAGGTCATGATTGTTTGCGTGGTCGGTGTAGTGGAAAATGAGGAGGCGAGGACGATGGCCGGGGTAGTGGCAGAAAATGCTGTAGCCGAGCTCGTAGCCGAGGTGATGGAGGTCGTGGTGGAGATGACAGGAGTGGCGTGGGCTGTAGTCGTGAGCGTGCGCGAGAGGGTCGAAATGCGGACTGCGGCCGTGAATTTAGAGGGTCTGCTGGACGCGGCGAGAACTGCAGGCGCGGAGACGGGTGAGCACGCGACGGCGCGGTGGAGGTTATCAGATACGCGAGTCAGGTTGAGCGGAACGCAGAGGCGCATGTACTCTGGCGCGTGCGAGAGGAAGACTGGGATCGCGAGAGCGAGTGTTGCGAGAAAAGCGAAGACGATGAAGATCAGGCGGCGGCGTGTAAAGCGTCGTTCTGGCGTCGAGGTGGGGAGACGCGTGTAGCGATTGCGGTGGCGCTGAAGCATGCAGTGGTCTGCGGGGAGATGTGTGTCTTCAGATAATGTCGACGACGGTGAGGGCGACGACGAGGAGTGAGGACGACAACGAACGAAGAATCAAGGTCATCGTTGCGGAATGCACTCCTCTGTAACGTCACGCTTCACGCCTCCCCACTACCGAACCGGCTAATTTGGCCGAACATTCGACGAAGATAATTCATAACAAGCGAAAATGCACAACTACTCTGCGGATTTGCTAGGTCGTAAGCCAGTATGTTTACAACTAGATGCGCGCGACATGGGCGCAGGCGACAAGATGAACCGGACACGAAGTGAACGCGCACAGTGCTACGCACAGCCCCGTGAGCCGCAACGGAGGACAACGCACACTGCCTACTTGCTCTTGGGTTTCTCCCTCGCTGGCACGTATATGATGGGCTGGAGTGACCCCTTCGCTTCGCCATCCTTGGGTGGATCAGGCTGCAAGGCGTGGAATGTTACACGGGAGAAGGGGGTATGGGGCGGTGGAGGTTCGACTTTTGTACTGAAGTCAGCGCTGCGGAGTCCGAGTGCTGTGCGCAAGCGCCGGCCCACCTGTTTACCAGGGCGGCATGCAGCACTTGGGCACTCCGCGCGCCTCTGGCGTGACCCACGATGTCCAGCCCTCGGGAGCAGTGTTCGCCCAGGTGACTGGGGGGCAGTTGAGGCCTGGCGGAACGTAAGGGTAGGGAACGGGTCGCGACGCTGTGTGGGGGAAGAACAAGTGAGCGGGGTAGACTGGCTTCGCAGGTTCATTTGTGAACAGCGGACCCCACATCGCCATCATTTCGGCGTGCTTCTTTGCCAACTCGTCGTCTTCCTTCTTCTTCTTGGCCGCCTTGACCTTGTCGATAAAGGTGTTCGTGACGAGCTTGAGTTGCTCGCCGCCAAAGACACCGGCTGCCGGGCTAGCAAACTTGCTGATGTCGTCGAGCATGCCAATAAGATAAGTAGGGTCAAGATTTGACAAGATGTCGAGTGCCCGGTAGTTGTATGGCCAGCCGAGACCTAGACGACTCTTGAGAACTTCGAGAATAATCTTGCGTTTGCCTTCGTCCTTTGCAAGGGAGACGATGTTCTGAATGTCACCAGGATGGGCGAGGTCCCGCGTCTGATCGTCATTGGTGAACCATTGTATGTAGGACTTGACGCCCTCTTCTTGCAGGGCGGCACTGATGATGGTCAGTACAGATACTCAATAGGAATGCGAGGAAGGTGGACAGTAGTGCTGAATGATACTCACTTCGAGCCCATTGCCATACTCAGGTATTGGGAAGGGGCGGTATGATAGTTACCGTAGGTCATGGGGCCCATCGGCACGGCGCATTGTGGGACCCACTGACACATGAACATGATGGGAGGTGGGATGTTGTGAGTTGATACGCGAGAGACGAGTGAGAGGTGGTCGAGAGTTTGAGTTGCAGGGTGGCGTTAGTAAGGAAGATGACAAAGACGCGTTTCCTACTCACGGCCAAGGGCCTCTCATTATGTAGTGGCGGACAGCCAGGATACCCAGACATGCCGGGGTAGCCGTAAGGTGAGTGCCACATCTTGGACGAGGGTAGGGGCGAGGAAGCTGGTGACGAGTTTGACCGAGGATGGTCGAGGGGGTGGCAAAGAGCAGAGAATGGGAGAGGTGGGAAAGCTGTGATGGGAGATGCAATGACGGAGCGAGTGGCGGGCGAGAGGGGAGTGGGTGCCTGGGTGAGTGGATGGATGGAGATGGCGTCGGCGGCGGCTAGGTGAGGGAGGACGGAGGACAGAAGGACAAGTCGGTTGGGGCTGGGTGATCTGGGTGGTGAGTCAGTGGCTGCGTGTGGCCGTGCAGAGCAAGGGGTGGGAGATCATGGGAGAGGGTGCACGAGGGCCGTGGGGGAGTGAGAGTGTTACAGAGTGAAGGAATCGTCTGCGGGCGTCGGGGTTGAGGCCTGCCTGCTCACCTGCGGTGCTGATGTCCCCTATTTGCCCATGGAATCGAGTGCAGCGTTCTTGGAGCTCGGATCCGGATGTGCGTGAGAGGTGTTGAGTAGTGACGAGTCGAGTTGGGGCGTTGAGATATTTGAAGGTGAGTGGTAGAGTAAGAAGAAGAGTGAGAACGGAAGGAATGATAGCGTTGAGGATTACAATGAGATCATGGAAGTGTATCCGGCTTTAGCGGGCCGCTGGTTCACGGCCCATTGTGGCCATGTGCAAGATCGAGAGGTCAGGAGGGCAGGAGGGGGGGAGCAAACGGAGAGGGCGAGCCCGGCAGAGCTGCTCTGAGTGGCGGAGAGGACACGTCCACTCGCTTTGATGCACTGTCCTCTCGCGGCCTCTCGCCTCCCTGCCGCGGCGATGCACGCCCTCTGCACGAGGCCGTGAGCGATTGAGAACGTGAGTAGGGGCGTGGAGTTGAGAGGAAGCGAGCAAAGAGGCGGACGAAGGAAGGGGTGCATGACGAGGTTGCGAGGTTGACGAGGTCTGTGCTGCTGTACATGCGGGCGCTGGTCGCGTCAACTCCCCTGATGGTGGTCTGTGCTCACTGTATCTCCTTCTGTCACCCTCAGGCCCTCAGCGACCTCACCCCCCGTGCCCTCACAGCTCGCGCTCTCCTTCACCTCAGTCCTTCGCTTCTCTTCGCTACCTATAAGCTCTTCACTGCAACGCCGCCATCCTCTCGGCACGCCTCCCATGCCCACACCCCACAACCCATGCCAGCTCGTCATTTTGCCTGCAGTTACGGCGCAATTCTGGCCCCGGTTGATACTCACTGTGGCGGTCGAAGTGGGTGCATGAGTGGCGCATAGCCCATCCTCTCATGCCTCTCCGTGAAGAGTGTAACAATGTCCCAGTTGTCATGTCAGGATACCTCCTCGGCTATGACCGATTGCTTCTCGACCTAGGTCGACCTGAGCCGATACACATCGTCGTCTTTAATGGCGACGACTTTCAAATACCAGCTACCCAGCTATACCCAGCCGGCTATTACCATGCTCCACGTGATTACAGCCGACACTCGAGACGCTCGCAATGAGTAACTCACCTTAAGCCACTTTCCGCTGGATCTGGATCATCAGTCGAATCAGATCCCCAACGTACGAGCGCTTGAAGCTTTGCTTGGTCAGTGCTGTGCAGCAGTGCTGCGCCAGCGGGTCAAATGAATAAATGCTCAATGATCAGCCCGCCTCAACGGCCTCCGTCACCCTTCTCGGAACACATAGCCCGGATGTCCGCGCTGACTTGTCGCCGTGCATCGGTATCGCTGCTCTACCAGGTGCCCATTGTCCATCGCCGATCGTATCCTTAATTTTTGAGTTCCGGCAGCTCGCTTGCCTACCGTTAATCGGGCTTCCTCGACGCGGCTCCCTCGGCGCGGCTTCTTCGACATGTCCGGATCACACCAACAGAGCAACTCCAACCCACTCACCATGCCTTCAGGCTTGATTTCACGTCCCTCGGAGAAGCCCTTGGCAACGTGGACCCACACACCGGCGCCGAGGCCGAGAGACGCGCCGCCTGCCGCGAGCTGCACAATGTTCGCACGCTTGAGGAAGATGGCCGGGAAGAGGAGAATGCCCATGAAAGCGCCGATGAACGAGTAGTCGTCTGCGCGCACTTGCGTCTTCTTGTGCTTCTGTGCATGTCAGCAGTCATCCCAGCGGTCTCATGGTGGAAAGCCTCCACGAGGCCGCTCGTGTGACCACCTTCCCTCCACCTATCACTCACAAGACGGTACACACGGTCCTCGATGGCCTCCGGGCTCTGGTTCTGCAGGCGCGCATACCCGACACCCCACCCGAGAGCGGCAGCGCCGAAAACACTGATCTCGGCGCCGCGCATCGCGCGCGACACGCTCATGGGGCGCCGGCGGATGAGGGAGAGTCCGACATAGGCGGGAGGGAAGATCATGGAGGCGGCCTGGGCCATCTTGAGCGAGACATGGGCGCAGACCTGGTTGGTGGGCGAGAGGGCCGCGAAGCGCTCGTTAGCAGAGGTGGCCATCGTGGTGGATGATCTGTTGATGTTGAGGGAGATGGTGATGCTGGTGAGGAATGGCTCTTCGGTGGTTGGCTGTGAGGCTGATGCGTGTCGATCTGGGAGGGTTGAAGGGCATGGGAGGGGGTGGGGGGGTCGATCGATCTCGGCTACGGCAATGACGTCGATCACCGGCACCTCTTCGATTCCCTCTCGGAGCCAAATCGTGTCTGGATTTTGGGTTTGTAATCTCTTTGGTAATGATGGTATCAGTCTCGGCTTGAAACATAAGGGAAAGCATAGAAAAGGTGCGAGTGACACCGCGTGCCTGAAGAGCCTCCACCAGCGGCTTCGACCCCTGATGGTTGAGCCGAGTGCCTGCGCGCCTGCAACGACCACCGCGACGACGAATACACTCGCTAGTACTCACGATCCTCTTCTCACCCACTCTCTCTACCTCTCCCACTCCTCTTCCACGCACCCGGCTCTGCTCCTCGCATCCAGTTGCTGCCGCCCGCACACTGGCGCACACAGCCTGCGCCCGCATCTCACACATACCCATGCCCACCCACGCCCGTCATGAGTAACGACCTCGAGGACCTCGTTGACTACTCCCTCGGTAACTCTTTCTCATGTCTCTCACTCACACCCCAGAGGACGAAGTCCCAGACCACGAGATGGTGTGTCCCGCCCAAGTGCCCCTAACTGGACAGGAGAGCGTGTCCGGAAAGGCCGAGCATGAGACTGAGCCGGATGTCGACGGGCCGCCGACCGATAACGAGCTGCGCCTCGCCGCTCGCGTGCTTGAGCTGGAGCGCGAGCGTGATTCCTTGGCAGTAAGTCCACCATGCGTCCTCCCTGACAGCAGGATCAGCTGCGCGACCTGCAGTCGCAGTATCCCTCGCACTCGACCAGTATCCCAGTGCCAGATTCTGCGGAGCCGATCCACGTCCCACCGGCCCTTATCCCAGTGCTTTCGTTGCTGCGCGACCACATCCAAGAATTGGCGCGCGACAATGCCGCGCTCCGCTATACCTTCCTAGGGCCTAACCGCCTGTCGCCGGGCAGCAGCATAGCGACTACGCCACTGAGTGTCGACTCGCCTCTCACGCATGATGCCACGACCATGCCCCTCGCGCTTCCCGTACCCTCCCCAGGAGTGATGGGCGGGCTGGCGCCTCCGCGATCTGCGTCCGCCGCGCCTCCCGAAGCCGCTGGGGTCGACCTCTCCGCTGTCGTCGAGCGCGTGCGCACCCTGATATTGGAGAATGACGAACTCGGGGACATGGTAGCCGAAGCGGGCCGCGTTGACGGCGAGGAATGGCTGCGTACTCTCGACGAGTCCAAAGCCATGATCGCGTCCCTCGACGCGGACTTGGCGACCAACCTCGCGGTTATGGACAGCCTGCGCGTCGAGCTAGACGCGTACAAGGAGCGATTTGGGCCGCTGGATGGGCCAAGTCGGGCTCCGGCCGAGCGTGGAGAGCGTAACGACCGGGGGAGGGGGCAGCGGAACGCGCGCCGCAACGGGCGACAGGACGATCTATATCGCCCCTCCAGTGGCGACGGGCAGCGCGAGCGCGAGCGCGGCGAGCGGAATCTCGAACGAGGGGATCGATCGAGGGGTGGAGGAGGGGGAGGGGGAGGGGGAGGTGGTGGTGGTGGTGGAGGAGGAGGAGGGCAAGGGAGACGTTGGGAGAGAGAGAGGGACAGCAAGGACAAGGACGGCAAGCCGTACGGCATATCCATACTTGGCCGTGCTAATGAGGGGCATCGGCGCGGGAGCGAGGGGGAGACGCGCCGCGACGACGACGGATCGAGCAAGCGCAGGCGCTAGATCACATGCATACATTGTATCAGTGGTTGCCGCAATGCTGGGTGACGAGCGTGTGAGCATGAAAGCATGGCAAAACAGCAGAACCGCGAGGATTGCAGGAGCAAACAGTCGGTTATGGTCAGTAGTTGTCACGCTTTGGGTATTTGAAACCATTGCGGGCAGTCCACGGTATCCGCAGCACTCGGAACTCGTCCAGTGCGCCAGGAACGTCGATTAGTCCAAGTAGCCGGAGTTGTCTCCCGGCGCCCGGACGACAGTGAGGCAGCCCGCTGTTCCTTGATTTTGGGCCGACATGGCCACCGCACAGTCCCCACAGAGGCCACAGAACACCCCGCCCGTCGTTGAGAACGTCCGTGCCCGACAGCGCCTCAGCGCCACCAGGTCACGCGGCCGTCGAGCTCCCCCGTCTCCGCCATTCGCCACCCATCGCTCCCTCATGTCCAGTTGGCCGCGATGAGGCGTTGAGCCGTTTGCGGGTCCAGGGAGGGAGCTCGTTTCGACCAACGCGAGAGATGTTTGGAGGATTGAATGGATTGATTGGACGGTCAGTGTACGTAAGCGGTTGTTTACTTGTCTCTCGAGTGGCCGTTCCTGGCTTTGCCCTGTTCTCTGGTTCTGCTCTCTTCGACACTTGGATTGACCGTGTCGCGATACTCGTGATCATCTTTCCATCTTTCCATCTCTTTGCTCTCTGTCCACATTCATCTTACGACCTACACGACTTTCATCTTGACCACTCTCCCTACTCCCGCCGTCACCACTTTCCTTTCCCATATCCTGTTCACGACCTGTCGCCCGCCATGCCACCGGGCGGCGACACTGCCGGGCCCTCGACCTCGTCGTCTTCCTCCCCGGAAACATCGCGCTCCTCCCTCACCTCCCGCTCCCCCTCTCCGACACATCTCACGGCGCGTGACCCGCGCTTCGATGAGGCGTCCCCCTTTAGAACCACGCCCGCTGCATCTACACCCCGTCGCCAGCTCAACGCGTCCGACACCCTCGCTCCGATGGCTCCTTCCCCTTACCCCTACTCCCCAACCGCTAGCATCGCGCTCGAGCGCGCAAGCGAGACTTTAGCGGGGCTGGGACGGCAGCTGACGGAGCTGAATGGCGGAGATGAGCCGCGGTGCTGCTGTTGTCGCGGGCACGAGTGTGCTGCGCGCACTAGGGGCGATGCCAAGCTCAAGCTCTGTGGCGGTACGTCCCACACGCAGGCAGGGGAAGGTGGCGTGAAGAAGACAGAGGAGGAGAAGACAGTAGAGTGGGAAGCTGATGGCAGAAATCGGCACAGCGCTCCTCCAACGCTGCGAGGCTCTCGAGATCAAGCATTCCCGCGCAGAAAACATGATCGAGATAAAGCGCAAAGCGCTCGCCGACAGCTTGCGGCACGTCGCCAACCTCGAGCGCGCCAACACGACACATCTCGCCAAGTACGCTGAGCTGTCACACGCCTTTGAGGCGCTGGAAAAAGTGGGTGTCCGAGCGTGATCACATACACAAGGGGTGCGATGGGGAGGGGAGATTAGCGTGACGCCGAGGGAGTCACACCGCGTCGCGGATTGCGGAGTGCTAATCGCAGAAATATACACAGGCGCAGCATTCGCAGACCCTCACGCAGCAGTCGTTGACGCACGTCCGGAACGAGCTCACACGCGCGCGCGCCACCGCGAGCGTGCATAGCGCTGCCGGCGCTGGCGCAGAAGAGCGCATGGCCGAGATGGAGCGGCGATTCGAGGACGCACGCGATCTGCTCCAGGCCGAGTCAAGGCGGTTGCGTGACCAGATGAAGTGGCGGTTGATGGCCGAGGAACGGATAGGTGAGTGCCCGGATAGTCGCTGTTTCGCCGATCCTGACCGCAGCCGACCTTGAGACCAAATTGACTGCCTCTGGGCGCGAAGTCGAGGAGATCAAGTCTGCACGCGCAAAGGATGCGCAGGAGCTGCTTGCCAACGCCAAGGAGCGTCTGGAAGCGTTGCATTCAGAGGTGTGTAGAATACACCCTCTTGCCCAGTCGGGCTATATTGACAGCAGCTGTCGGAGACATTCCACGCGGACGCACCGTCAGAGCAACCCGAGTACCAGCGCACACTCGAGGACCTAGTGGCGACCAACGCGCTGCTCAAGCACGACACGTCTGAGCTGGCAGTGAACCTCGCCGAGAAGATGGAGGAGAACCGCCAGCTGCGTGAGGAACTCGAGGAACTGCGATCGCGGTCATCGCCAGGCGCGCGGCCTCTCAGCGCCGAGCTGCGTCCGCTGCTCATGTCAGGCAACAAGACGCACATCCGGACCGGATCCAACCCCGTAGTGGGCAATGAGCTGACGCGCCCGATGCATGCAAGAGTCGCGAGTGCGGCGATGCCTCGTACTCATCGCCGCCAATCGTCTCTAGCGCCGAGCTTCGCGTCAACGTCAACAACGGAGCCACCCAGCGTAACCTCCTCTCCGCCTCATGACACTGGCTCGAACGAGTCCCCGATGGCCCGCACCAACTCCAACCCTCTCTCCCCGGAGCAGCGGCGCTCATCGCGATCTTCCTTCTCCGGTGGCCTGCCCTACACATTGAACGGAGTAGTGAAGAGCAAGCGGCCTGTGGCACCTAGAGCCATGACGCACCCGAGCAGACGCAGCGTGCAGATCCACGCGCTCGGCGATCTAGCGGAGGGTGGAGTCGAGGCAGACACGATCGAGACTATGCTGGACACACGCGCTGATCATTCGACTGATATGACCACTACGGACGCGGACGACACCGACTCTCAGTCAGAGGCAAGCAGGCGCAAGCGCGCGAGCGTACTTCTTCCCACAATGACGTCCCCGAGGACCCACTACGACTCATCGCCCATGATGGACTCGGCCACTTTCGAGGCCCCCGCTCACTACCCATGCCCTGACACCAGAAGCGATCGGCGCGGCAGACGCACCCTCATGCTCCTCTCCACGTCGACGGGCGTGCAGACAGACCCGTTGCCGGAGCCACTGCCGAGTTCGATTCCCGAGGCGTTAGAACTCGAGCACTCGCCCGCAGTTACTCCGGAAGTGGGCTCAGCGCAACACTCGCGCAACGGCTCACGCATCGTCTCGGCGGGCTCGTCAACTCCTGCTCATACTCTCGGCGAGCTCGTCGACTTCCTTTCCAAGATACTCCTCAAACTGCACGGCGTGCACGTGCGCACGCTCAACGGGCGTTTGAAGAAGCACAACCTCCCCGGCGACGTAGGGCATGTGTCTCGCACCACAATCGCGGCGCTGCGCGCCGAGGTCAACGACATGAGGCACAAATTCCGGCACGTGCTCGACTCGACGTCCACCACACGGCGAGACATGACCCTCCTGCTCAAGCTACTCAAGGACGTCTTCGATGACCTCCTCGAGCTGCAGGGTGTTGTCAACGACGTAACGGTCAATCCCAAGCTCGCGAAGCAGCTGCGCGCCAAAGCGTTCGCGGATGATACGCCGCCGCCGCCTACACTTGGCGGCGGTCTGGGATGGATCGCGGCGCCCATCGCCAACTGGCTCATTCCGCCTACAGCTGGTGCACCGCAGCCAAGCCCGACTCGCACGCGAGTGACAAAGCCCGCACCCAAATTGCAGGCCAGCACGAGCGCGACCACCACTACTGTCTCTGTCGAATTCGGCGGCGCCGGCAGTATGGTGCGCAGAGCCGCACCGGCAACGCCTAAGAAGACTCGGGTCACGGCAGTTGTTGGCGGCGCAGACGTGTTTGGAGAGCCGGAACAGCGCAGCGTCTCAGCGCCGGTGGGCTCGGACGTCCCGCCCATCAGTCCAAGGCGACATGCGTCGCTCACGGCGCCCACGCGCAGGTCAGAGCTGATGGGCATCTTTGCTGGCGCGGCGCGCGACGTCTCACCCTCCCGCAGGATGCGACACGCCTCCTCACAGTATTTCGGCCCCAAGCCCTCTGCGCCACAGAACCGCCTCTCCACCATCGTAGATGCGGTACTCGATCCCGAGGACGCGCTCCCCGAGCCTGCACTCACGCGCCTTCGGCCGCGCGGGGGCAGTGACAGTTCGATTCGATCGGCTGTGCTCATCGACCCTCACTCGCTGGATACTGAGCCTGTGCCCATACCCGCCTACATTCCGCCAGCGGCGCGCTACAGTGCCGGTGCAGTGGCAGCGTTAGCCGAAAGTCTGGGGAGCGGCTTCGGCAGTCTTGGCAGCCTGGGCCGTAAAATCTACGGGGCTGACGAGGGGGTCTTGAAGCGTGAAACGCTACAGCCGCCTAAAGAGGTCACGGATACGGACGCGGAAGCAGACGCTGAAGCTGAGGCCGAGGCGGAGACACCACGGCCTCGACGGGTGCGTCGGAAGAAGCGCTCAACGGAACAGCTGGCGCGGCGGTCATCCGAGCGCCTGGCGAAGAGCTCGGCGGAGCGTCTCGCACCGCAAGAGGAGAACCTCGCACCGCCAGGGGCGCGTACGCCCACACCCAGCTCCCCGCTGCGCGCGCCGCGCACGCCTAGCCGCACAGCGCTGGCGCCCAGCCTGGCGATACCTGCCACAGTTGCCGGGGGGACGTCACCTGTTGAGAGCGCGGGAGGGCTGCTGGAGCGGCTGGCGGACGAGGGAAACGGGCTGAGAAGTCTCAGTCTGAAAGGGAGTGCGAGGGCCGCGCGCAAATGGCGCTAGGCAGGGAGAGCGGGGGGCGGAGAGGAAGACACGAGGAAGCAGCATTAGTCATTGTTTACGCGCGGTGTAGTGCTAGTATACCATTGCATGATGTATTGCTACAGGCGACGAGTGAGTGGGTGTATGATGATGCAATGGCGATGCCAGGGGGTAGGTAGAATGCGAATGTGTGGTGGTGAGGAGAAGCCAAGGACGGTGTCGTACCTGCGGGGTAACGCGATGATGTGTCAGACATGACGGCGCGACGTGGTGTTGGACGAAGCTGGGAATATGGGGGTGTTGGGAGCTAGAGGAAACCACGCCTAGAGCGACTTGCGCACCTTGGCAGCCTTGCGCTTTGCCCGCCTCAAGGCCGCCTTGCTCATGGGCTGCGCGCTCGTGAACGTCCCCTCGCCAGCCTCAGATGCGACTATTGACCCAGTGACTGGCGGCACCTTCTTCGCGGACGGCGAGCCGGGAGTCGACAGCTTGGCATGCTTGGGCGAGTGAAGTGCGGAGTCTGCTTTAGAAGCCTCGGGGGACGCTGGAACCGAGGCAGTCTTCGAGGCCTTTGGCGAGGTTGGGGCGGCCAGCTTGGGTGCGGCTGGTACAGACCCCTTTGTCACAACACGCATTGTTGCACTCCCCGTGTTGAGGCTCGCCGCGAGCGCCGCCGCGGCATTCACGCTCTCGCCGACCACCTTGGTCTTCTTCACCTTCGGCGCTTGCTTCGTTTCGGCGGGTGCGTCGTAGCCTGGGATCGGGTTCTTGAGGTTTAGCAGAGGGTGGACGGCCTCCTTCTTGCCCTTGGACTTGAATGCGTCCGCCGTCTTGCGCTTCTTGCTCGACACAGCCTTTGTGCGCGACTCGTCGTCGTCTCCTCTTGACGCCTGTGTGGCGGGCGCGCTGCTCTCGTCCTCGCCCTCGCTCTTCCGCTTCAGCGTCCGCTTCAAGATGTCGCCGCCGGCTCGTGAGACCTGCGCGGCGCGGCGCGCCTCGGGGTCATCCATGTCGGGATGCCCGAGTCCTAGCCTGTCCGAGCCTCTGAGCGCCGCGAAGGATCGTGCCGCCGCCCACTCGGCCTCCTTCTCCTCCGCTGTGCGCGTCACTCCAAACGACGGCGGGAGCCAAGCGTCGATGTCGGCATGGAAAACGTTGGCGGCGAGCGTGAGCGCTTCAGGAGTAGGCAGCGCTGCCATGGCAAGAGAAATACGATGGGAAGCTGTAGAGTTATGCCCGAAAGACAAGCATCAGCGAAATGTTTACGTGAACAGCCTCCACCTCCACTACCGCCACACGCCCAATCTCCGCCCCTATGCGGCCCCCCCGCTTGGCCTGGCACCTCCGTCGCCGCTGAGGGGCTCTTTTTCCACCGGCGGAATCCACCCACTACCCCATCCCATCGCCATGTCCGCGCACGCCGCCTTCCCCAACGAGAAGCCCCACGCCCACGCCGAGCCGCCCTCGTGGCTCGGCTCCATGGGCGGCCTTTTCGAGCCCGTCGCAGCCCCCATTGCCAGCACGTTCGAGCGCTTCCACAACTGGAAGGAGTACATGGGTCTCAGCCAGCCGGGGACGGTCGAGAACCTCACGCGCGATGTGACGAGTGAGTGCGCGCGCGCCGCGCAGCTGTGGACAGCGTCGGAGGAGCTGTAACAGGCGAGCGGGCTGGTGGGCTCGTCTGGCGCTCAGGGGGAGGGGCGCCGCCGTCTCTGGCGATGACCAAGCGCCCTCCCCTCGCCCTCGACGTCAAGCTCACACCCCGCCCTTCGCCCTCGCAATACGCGCTCGCGTCAATTACTGATCCCAGACACGCACATGTCCAACTACTTCTTCGAGGGTGCGCGCGCCGACCTGTCCAAGGTTGTCTCGCCCAACCCCGCCTTCCAGATCACCCACAGCTTCACCCTTGGCGCGCAGAAGTCGTCGTACATGCTCGGTGCGCTCTTCGCCGACCAAAACACCTTCCTCCACGGCCAGTGGGACCCCTCGACCGGCGGCGTCAACATCCGCGCGAACCAGACCTGGTCGGCGACTGATGTGACCAAGATCCAGGGCCAGGTGAGTGCGCGACCAAGTGGAGCGATGGCCGGAGTGCTCCGTGGATGGGGTGTGCCAAACGGAGACGGGAACAGCAGAATGTCTGAGGGAAGGAAGAGATGTCGCCATGACATGCGGAATAGCAGCAGCGCCAACGAAGAGAGCTAGCTGAAGATGGCTGCACCAGGCCGAAGTCCGGTGAAAACCGCCGACTTGGTGACTCACCTCATACATATCCTGGCTATCTTGAGCGGTCACCGAGCGCTGGACGAGTGACAGCGGCGCTGTATGCGCAGGCTCCTTGCTCTGATCTGAACTTTTGAGTGCAGAAACTGCAAGGCTGCTGAAGTTGTTGCTGTCCCTTCTCCCCCCAACTCGCTCCTCCGCGTCGCAATAGCGCTAACCCCAGCTCACCTCCACCCCTGGCCAGACCATGTTCCAGATGGAGCACGACCACATGGGTCCCCACTACTCGCTCAACCTGAAGACGATCAACCCATCGCCCCTTGACGGCAATGGGCTCCACTTCGTCTCGCTCCTCCACTCGCTCACCCCTCGCCTCTCGCTCGGCTTTGAGACGATCATTCAGAAGACGGGCCCGAACGAGCTTATCCCCGCCACTTCGTACCTGCTCAAGTACTCGTCGGTCGCTCAGCCCAAGGTCACGACGCAGGACGCCCTCCCGCCCTCCGCGCCTGCTCAGCCCGGCGTCCCCTTCGTCCCGGCTTGGACCGCGACCGCCCAGCTGCAGCCATCGGGTAACGTCCAAGCGACGTACTACCAGAAGCTGAGCGACAAGGTCGACGTCGCTCTCGACCTCCAGACCCAGGTGCAGCCCGCGTCCTTCATGGGCCCCGCCAAGCGCGAGGCGCTTGCTACCCTCGGCGCCAAGTACGAGTTCCGCATGGCGACCTTCCGTGGCCAGATCGACAGCGCCGGCAAGGTCGGCATGCTCCTTGAGCAGCGCTTCACGCCCGCGTTCGCATTCCTCGTGGGCGGTGAGATCGACCACGCCAAGAACTCGAGCCGCTTCGGTGTCGGAGTCATGATCGAGTCGACCACCATGTCGCCCGAGGAGATGCAGGCCGCCGGCATGCTTCCCCCTCAGTAAGCGCGCGAGTGTAGCGTGGGCTGCGAGCCGCAAAACGGGCGGCTGCGAGCGGCTGGCCGAGACTCTGCTGCGGGCGCCCGCTGGCCCCAGCCGAGTGAAGAAGGAGAGTGACGGCGAGAAGGCGAGGATGGCGGCGGTGGATGATTGCGCACATGGCGCGGCGCTGCGGCGCAACGGAGGATACCCGAGGTCGAGGAGGACTCACCCGGACGCGTTAGAGGATGGACGCACGCACGCATGCCGCACAGACGGACCTGCTTGTACTAGGCATTGATGCACTATTCTGCAATAGCTGCGATGGGAATAGGAGGAAGTGGATGGACGAGAGAGCAATGGCGCCCCAATCCGCGATGGCGAGGGGAGGTGAGTTTCTGAAGTCAATCGGTACCCACCGAGTAAAATTGGCTGGTAACCACAACGACAACCAGACAGGCGAGTACTAAATGCAATGCGAAAGGATACAATGGGGTTAATGTGTGATGCGACAGTTCTATGGTCGGCCTTCCTTGCCTTTTTCCCGCTTTCTCTCCTTGACGCCATCTCTCACCGTACTCTCTCTGTCGTTCTGGCCGCTGCCTGGCGGTCGCGAAGTGGGCGCTCTGGCGGTGCTCGCGCTCAGCGTCGCCCCTCGTACCTCGGCCAGGCGAGTCAGCCGCCTGAGACCTTCGACCTGCTCCGGCGTCACGCCACCACGGCTGGCCGTCTCGACTATCTTGTTGACGACGACCTTGAGTTCTGCAGGCGTGCTGACGCCGAGAGCCGCCATAGCGTCCGCATACAGCTGATCCTCCGGAACGGGCACGTCCTCGATGGGGAGGAAGAGGTCCTCCTCCTCGTCAGGCGGCGAGGCTGTCGGCGCCGTGTGCGCCTTATTCCTGTCCTTGTCCCTCGCCCTCTCTTCTTCGTCCTCGTCGTCGTCAGAGTCGCTCTCGCTCTCGCCCTTTGGCGACGTAGGAGGCACAAAGTCGGCGTCGTTGGCATCTTCTCCCAAATCGTCGAGGGTGAAGAGCGCCGAAAGGGACATGGCGTCGTCTGGTAGCTGCCAATTGTATGCTGGCAGGTTGAGCGCGTCCAGAGCTGCCTGTATTTCAGGGTCGATTGCGAACGAGCCTGCGTTGGGAGTGGTATGCAGCGGTGTGTTGAGATTGCCGATGGCGCTGGCTGGGTCGAGCGAGCCGACGTGCGCCACTGGCTGTGGTGCAAGATTAGGGAGAGCTGCGTTGGCCAGTGCCTCCAAGCCAGCATACACGGGCTGGTACTGGGGGACCATGAATGCGGGTGATGGCTGGTTTGGGAAGGCGGGCGGCGCCTGAGTAGCAAACCCTTGTGAGGCTTGATGGTTGGGGAAGACAACCTGATCGGCGACAGCGGGTGACGCATGTTGGCTGGTGTGATTGCGCGACTCCTGTTCGCTGCGGTAGTCGCGCCAGCTGCGCGACGGTCCGGGAACGGAAGGAAGGGGGATGCGGTGCGCCTGCAACGTCGCTTGTAGCTCTCGCACTCTATCGATCAGCAGCCGGTGAGCGCAGCCGACTCACTGCGCCTCGAGCTCATGGCATCGGTCTTCGAGGACGCGGCATTCGCGCGTCTTCTCTTCGAGTAGAATGAGATTCTCGTTCGCCGTCTGCTTCTTTTTCTCGCGAAGTGCATGCGCTGGCGTCAGCTCTATCATGATCATGTCTAGGCTCACCAGCCTCCTTGTTCCGTTGACGCGTGCGGTTCAACCGCTCCTTTGGATCAAGAGCGGGCCGGCCACGCTTGCGCGGCGGCTCTAAATGGTCAGAGTGGGAACCCTCCGTGCTTTGAGTGAGCTCGGTGTCGCCCTTCTGCGGCATCGGCGGCGGTCGTGAAATACGCCCGCTACGGGTCTGCACAGGTGACGCCGGTGCCCCGGTCACCTGTTGCCCAGACACGAAGAGGTCCACCCCACCGTAGAACTGCGGCGGGGGCGTCTAGCATTAGCAAACGATGACTTGGGAGTTTGTCTCACAGCGGTGCCCATGGCGGAGTGTGTCTAGCTGATGACAAGGAAGCGATGAGTGAGCGATGGCAACAAGGGCCTGGCCAGCACGCGTCACACAAACATTCGTCGCGTGGTCGCGTCGCGGAATCAAATTTCCTGTGCCACGAGTTTCAGATGGGTCGTGTGCAGTGTGGCTATATGGCTATACCACTCGATGCATCCTAGCCTCACGCCTCAACGTCAATAGACGCATAGACGGTGTTGGACGCCGCTCGTAAATGAGACTGCCTTCGTGATACCGACATACATGTGCGCGTACATGTGCATAAGGCCAACAAGCACTCGAGGCGATCAAACTAATCCTGTGGGAAGCATGGAGTATCTCTACTGTAACATCCTGTACCATCTCGGCATCGAGCATGTGTGACGAGCGACTGCACGCTGATTCAGGCAGAAGCCAGCCCCGTAAGAATGGTCCACCAGAGGGCACGCCAGTGAAGTTGAGAGCCCTGCCGTCAACTTGCCTCATCGCACAAACGTACTGTCTCCTGTAGCATCTCCACCTGCGTGAACCACTTTTGTCGCCGGGCCATTGGGGGCAGAATGAAGCGCTTGAATGTCAACGAACCTTTAAGAACATGCTGTCCAGCCTCTTTTCTGAAGCGGATGCTTTCCGGAAAGATCTGGGCGAGAACCTGACCTTCGTTCCATTCGAGACACGCTAAAACTTTGTTGAACACCTCTTGTGCGGGCTCGGGAAGAAAGAAATGCGTGTGTTCAGATTGAAACTGTCCTCGTTAATCAAGAAAAGAGAATCAACGTTGCTTCTATGCGCATTTGCTGAAGTAGTTGAGGACTCGACTCACAGAATAATCTGAGACGGCGCCGATCTGAGCCCTTCCCGCCCACATGAAGCCATCCAACGTACTGTGTGTTAGACGATAGCGGGTGGCAAAGACCTAGGGAGAGGGAATACAGAGGGGAAGCTGCGCGTAAACACTAACGCGTAACACCCTGGTGGAGGCTGGAAGACCTCAAGTTGGTGGGCCATCATGAGGTCGTGTGTGTGTAGCAGGTAGAGCAGATTCGAACTGGTCAAAAGTGAGCCTCCGGCAGTAATCTGAAGACCTTGGAGCTCACGTAAGACACCAGGGGCTTTCAGCAACGTCCTCCGCCTTCACTCGCTTCGCGGGGTTGGGTTGCCACAATCGTTCGAAAAGGTCTGCTATCAGCTACTGCAGCTCGTGGAGATCTTACCTCGGAGGGTTCCCGAGACTCGGATAGCAGGGTAAGACCGCCAGTCATTGTCACAAATAAGGCGTTGGTATGCTGGATCCTTCCGTAAAGCCTCTGACCAAGGAAGCGCTGGTATCAGCAGTGCTTTATGCAACTAACTTTGCGTCAACATCTCCCAGAGAACAACCCCTAAGGCCCAAATATCTATCGCCTTGGTGTCAACAAGGGGTTTGTTCTGTTTGTTTAGCTATCGTCAGCATGCATGATGGCGGGCTCCGCTGACCTCTGGAGATCGATACCCTTTGGTTCCAATCTTTCGGGCGGGGGTGAGGGGTTTTCCTGTGGAAAGACTAAAGTCGGTGAGCTTGAGGTATCCCTTGCGTCCGATCAAGATGTTTTTCGCATTAAGATTCAAGTGCGATACGCCATAGTGGTGAATGAAGCGCTAAGTCAAGAGGCTGCTTGAACTGTGACTCACCACTCCCTCGAGTATTTGACCAAAGTAGAACTGAACCAGGTCCTCGGGCAGACCCCACGTATTCGCATTGTCAGGTCGTCAGCCAAAGCAGAAGGGCTCTCATAGCGTACGTATATGCGAATGCAGGTCTCCTCCTCTTGCCAGCTCGAGAAAGAGGATGTGTTCCCATTTAGCTGTAGTTGCCGAGCCAATGAGCTCAATGACGTGGTAACTCAACCCCGTCTCTTGAACATGTCGAAGCAGCGTCAGTTCGCGTTGGTAAAGAGAGGTAATATCTTTTCCCTTATGTCTGACAAAGAATTTTGCGGCTGCTAAGTCAACGCGTCCTTGATGTTCCAGATTGACGAGATGTACCCTATGGTCAGCTGGGATGAACGGGCAACTTACTGCGTATGCTGGCCCTCTCCAAGCTTACGTACAGGAGTCCAGACGAACAAGGGTGGAGTATGGTCTTCCGATTCCATTGGCCAACAATCCATTGGCGACAGGGGTTTGGCGGGCTGCTGAAAGCAGGAGAAGAGGGAGACTTCTGGAGATGGGAGAGGATGGCGGAGGAACAGGGCACACTGAGTGGGGTGGATGTGGTGTGCGGGGGTAGTGAGAGAGAGAGGAGGTACCAAGGAGGGAACGGCTGGAAAAGAGAAGGAGAGAGGGAGGGAAAGAGAGGGAGAGAGAGAGAGAGAGAGAGAGAGAGAGAGAGAGAGAGAGAGAGAGAGAGAGAGAAAAGAGGACACTTGGATATTATATGGACATGGATGGTGGGGGAAGGCCAACTCGAAGACGTGCTGCGAGTACGGTTGACTGGACTTTGGTCGTGCTTGCTGATTTGCTGAGCCGAGGGAAGGTTGCTCCAAGCATAGACTTGTGTATAGTGTACTGTGCAACTGTGACGTACAGTCCACACTCAAGCAGAAAACGTGGAGGGTGATTATCGGGCGCACAAGTTGTTGACCTTCCCCCTCACCGATCCATCCATGTCATCCATTAGTACATCCTCTCTGAATTTGGTCTCTGATCTCTGTATTTCTGACGAGTAGGCTGGAGGCGATCGGCAGCTTGGGAGGGCGCCAGCGAGCCAGCGATCCAGTTATCCAGCGGCCAGCGGGCTAGCGAGAAAAGCTCAACAATAGACGCTATCTAGATATCCAGAGGCCAGACCCCCATGGCTCCATGCACATCTCGTTCACCGCATCGCCACTCCATGCTTCACGGACAACATGGCAGGAGTGACTACATCTCGCCTGATCGCCTGGCCGCCTGGTTCGTTTCCTGTGGATCTGGGCCGCCACAATCGGTTGTGGTTCGGGTCACGTGATAACATGATGTCAAAAGTCTGGGTCGCCAACAACACCCCTTAGCCTCTGCGTCTTTCTACCAACTCCCACATGCGCAGTGCGCGCGCTCTCCTCACTCGTTTTCCTACTCACACGCGCGCCCACCCCCCTCACCCCTCCCGGCTTTATTTCCTTTTCTCGCGCTTTAGCACCATGTCCCAACCACCCCCCTCCCCTTCTCTGCGCGACCTCCGACCGCCGCGACATGCAGGCATGACGACCCTCGACCGCTCCAAGTTCGCTCTCAGCGTGCCTGTTGTTACCGCGCGCATACCTGCAGCTTCTGTCGGCGCGGTCTTGAAGCACCCCATGCTCCGCGGGCAGCTTGTCGATATCGCAAAGGTCAAGAGTGTGCTCGTAACCCCTGGTGAGGAGGAGCGACGGATCCTACTGCGCGTCCGGACGCCAGAGCAGTTGCCCGCACAGACAAGGGAGTATCTCGAAGGCATCGGCGCGCAATTCGGAACCTACAACATTGACCTCGATTACGACTACTGGAGTGTGCATGATGTCCTCACCTCCATCCTCCCATCTTTGGATGGCGAAGACCCACCATCATCCTTCACCCAGACTGGGCATCTCGGTGAGTTGTGGTGCTGCGGAGAGCTGACGCATGCAGCTCACGTCAATCTCCGCGATGAGTGGCTGCCATATAAGCACATCATCGGGCAGGTCATCGTGGACAAGGTCTCGAGCGTGACAACAGTTGTCAACAAGCTCAACAGCATCCACGCCCAGTTCCGCTACTTTGACATGGAGGTGATCGCGGGGAAAGAAGACTTCGTGGTGTCCACTGTGAGTAGCGAACTTCCTTCCGCCCTTCCCTCATGCATCGCCAGGTGCTCGCAAACTCCCGGTGCACACCCGCTGACAGTAGCACGAGTCCGGCTGCTCCTTCACCTTCGACTTCTCCAAAGTGTACTGGAACTCGCGGCTCCACACAGAACACGACCGGCTCCTCTCCCTGTTCGCGCCGGGACAGGTAGTCGCAGACGCAATGGCCGGTGTTGGCCCATTCGCTGTGCCCGCTGCCAAGAAGGGCGCGTACGTCCTCGCCAACGACTTGAACCCCGAGAGTGTCAAGTGGATGCGCGAGAACCAGGCGCGGAACAAGGTGGCTTCCCGGTTACGGATCACGGAGGACGACGCGCGCGCGTTTATCCGCCGCGCCCCGCTCGAGGCGTGGACGCAGCCGTTCAAGCGGAGTGAGGTCGTGCGGAATCGTGCATGGGAGAAGGCGCAGCGGGCGGCACGAGAAAAGGCCAAGAAGGAGAAGGAGGAGCGCGCGGCTGCCGGCTTGCCCCCGCTCGAGGAGGAGAAGGGAGAGGAAGAAGCGCCCAAGCCACAGACCATCGATCACTATGTCATGAACCTCCCCGACTCGGCGCTCGAGTTTCTCGATGCCTATAAGGGCTCCTTCACACCCCTACTCCAGCAAGACAGGTACGACCGCGCCACTCCTCTTCCTCTCATTCACGTGCACTGCTTTACGCGTGAGCTCGAGCCGGATACCGCCAGCGCAGACATTTGTGCTCGCGCTACCGAGTGCCTTGGTCATCCCGTCACCCCAAACATGGAGGGCTTCAATCTGCACGCGGTGCGACGAGTCGCACCGAACAAGGACATGTACTGCCTCACTTTCCGCCTCCCAGACGCCGTTGCGTACGCATAGTAGAAGCTGTAGAGATGCACCGCCGTAGTCATACAAGTGTTATTGTACACATCAGGTCTCACTTGCTTACGGGCGACTGGGCGCGGCTGACGGCACGAGAAGCAGCTCGTGACGCCGCAGGACTCCGACCCAGTGGCGTACTACTGTCAGCTGCGGCATGGGGATGTCACTCACATGATACCGCTCCCAAACTGCGAGTGCACCAGCCCGCCGGCCAGCGTCATCTGCCCTCTCCCGAAACCTGGAAGCAGCATGCTTCCATCCCATCCGTCAAACGCGTCCGCACTCATGAATGTCGGAAGGTACTCGGCCCAGCCGTTGCTCGCCTGCGGCGTGCTCTGGGACGGGTAATTGCCGCCGAACGTAGCGCTCGGCGAATTTTGAACACTCTCGCTTGGTCCTGCCTGCGAGGGCAAGATCATCATATCCCCACCCTGCGGAATGTAGGCGAACTGCGTCTCGCCACCAAGGACGTCGCCATGTGGCCATGTCACCTCGTTCAGCAGCGCCGGGTCAAACATCTGCCCGCTCTCGGCGTTGCCGTTCGGCGCCGGCGAGCCGGCGCGGCTCACTGCGCGCGAAGGATGAGCACTGGGTCCGCGGCGATTCTCCCGCGTTTTGCGGACAATCTCGCGGATGAACGCCGAGTAGATCGCTGGCTGGTGCGATGAGTCGACCGCGCAATTTTCCAAAATGTCGGCCACCTCCGTCACGAGCTTGAAGATAGCCTCCTCCGAGTCGTGGTAGTTTCGTAGCTCTGGCTTGAGGAGCTTGAGAAGCGACAGCAGCGCATAACTGCACATGACAAAATTGGTGTCTGGAAGGTAGGGTAGGTAGCCGCGCTCGAGGAAGTGGTTCTTGACAACGGTGCACACCCGCGACGCAGCCTCGTACACGTTCGTAAGGAAGAACGAGATATCCATCTTTGAACGTTCCAGTGCGTTCTCCAGCCCGAACGAATAGAGCACGAGCGACGAGTACGCGTAGTAGAACTGCGCGCGTGAGTCGTACTCGATATGCCCGTCGGGTTGTGGACCACGGTTCCACTCGGACAGCCATCGCCTCAGTTCCTCATGCGCTGAGCGTACGACGAGCATGTCTAGTGTCAGCGTCGCGTTTTCGGAGCACAGCTTACAGTCACAGTCATCGCGTAGTCCCGAAATCGTCGTCGTGGAGGAGTAAATCGTGTCAATAGCACGGCTCATGATTTGCTGCAGCACAACATACGCAGCCAGTGCGTGGTCGGATGGCAGAGCGAATCGCTGCTGGTGCCACGCCTTCTCACAGGCGCCGCGGATGATGTAGTCCTCGCGCAAGGTGTAAGGCTTGCCCATTTGCGCGGAAACGGACCGATCGAGCACGAAGCACATCAGCCAGCAGCGCTCGCGGTTAACAATCTGGAGTTAGCTCTCGAAATGCGTTGTAAGTCACCTCCAGGTCTCGCTCCCGGCCCTCCTTCGTATCCAAACCCGACATGATCGACTTTCGGTGCAAGTTCAAGTCTGTGGCCATGCGAATTGCCATGCCCAGCATCAACCACGTCCGGTCCTGCTCGAACGTCTTCTCCGGTCCAAGGGTCCACATTGACAGAAGCAGGTACGCCTGGCACACCTCAACGCTCTTGTAACCGCGCGATGGGACCTCAAACGCGAGCCGCTTTGCGTAGATAGACAAGTTGTGGTGCACGTCACGTTTAGTGTAATACCGAGCCGCGATGGCGCAGATTCTAAAGTCAGCCAAGATGGGGCGCCTGAACCTACACAGTGCAGAGGAACTGGCTGCGTTGCAAGACCAGGTCCGGCGTGTGGAAGTCGCGATATAGTAGAGGGACATGTAATGACATGTGGTCGAAGAATATCTCAAAGAGCTCGTCAATCTCCTCGCGCGTGATGAGGTTGAGCAGCTCGGGAAGTCGCTCGTCGCCACCGGGGTGCACGGACAGGTTGCCGGGTTTGAAATAGTTTGTCGCCGCAACGCCTACCTCGGGTCCATGCCCGCGGACATCGCTCGTCGTTAGGCGCTGGTTGGAGCCATTTTGTCCTAGTTTGGCCGACACACCCAGGGTCAACGGAGACGGGCGCATTGGGGCGTTACCATTGCGGGAGAAGGTCGCGTGCTTCTTGGCTGGGTCAGTGTTCTGAAGACTGGCCTCGGCCAATAAACCGAGTGGAGAGAGAACGTTGTCTGGGAGCGAGTGAAGCCGCGGGGAAAGTGGAGGAAGATGGCTGCCCGTGGTCGCCTCATCTGTGCCGCGTCGCTCGCCCTCGTGCCCGTACGTGAAGCTGCGGCTGGACGCCAAGGTTGGCCCGGCTTGCGAGGCATGAGAGGAAATGAGCGAGATGACCTCGGGGTCGTTTGTGGAGGCATGCAGCGCCTGGGAGAACGAGTTGAGCGCCGTTGCATCCAGGCTGCTGAGTGCCTGAATGTCAGCTTGAAGCATCGCATCGCAAGCGGCGACTTACCCCGCCAATGCCCTTGAGCGCCGTCTCCATTTTGTTAATCTTGGCAGCCAGCGCCTCGTTCTTGCGTGTGCTGCGCTTGCCGCGGTTGGATTCTTCAAAGATACACTCATGACCACCTGACTTGCAACGCTGTGGAGATGGTCAGTCACTGCCGCTGGCTCGTGCGGGGCTACACGCCAGGCTCACCTTGCACGGCCCATTGGGACCGCTCGATTCGTCGGGGATGCATCGCATCTTGATCTTGCGACAGCTGCCTGGTGAGCATATTGTCAACACTTGTCCTTACGCTATGCAAGCGCGCGAGCCCCGAGTGAGTTTGACCTTGGGTTTGCCGTCAGGTCCTTTGACGATCTTGCGATTTGGCTTGGCCGCCTGCGCCGCAAGCTTGGCCGCGGCATCGTCGTCGCTCTCGTCGCTTTCATCCTCGTCGTCGTCATCATCTTCGTCTTTGTTACTTCGGGGGCGCTTCGAGTCTGTCTGGCTCCCGCCGCCGGGGTTGGATTGTGGGCCCTGGCCCATAAGGAGGGAGGTAGAGGGAAGGTTGGAATATGCCGAGGCGTACGGGTGATTCGACATGTTGAGCCACGATGAGTCCGAGTTATTGGAGTTGGAGTTAGTGTTAGAGGCAGCGACCTTTCGCTGGTGTTGCTGGAGCGTTGTGAACAACTGTTGAGCTTGACTACTGTTCCATGACCTCTTCATGGTCTATTGTTGTTCAGAGGAGCCGATGGCGTTGCGCGGCGGTGGCGGCGTGCGTGCTGAGTTGTCGAGGGTTGGTCGATGGGAGGGAGAGAGGAGAGAGGAGATGGAGAAGAGGGAAGTCGAGGCGGAGGGGCAACAAGAGGAGAACGGGCTGAAGGGAACTGACGGGATTGTGCGGGATATTGAGGAGGATGGATGGAGATGGTGGAGATGGATGAAGGAGTGATGTCGGAAGACAGGTGGTGAGTGAGGAGGGTTGTCGGCGAGTGGTGTGCCGGAGCCAAACTAGACGCACAGGAGGGGGGGGGGGGGGAAGAGCAGAGGATGTTCCGGTTGGAGCGACTGCCGAATACCCCGCCCACCCGGCAACTTATTCAAAGGGAGGTCCCACATGGCCGCCAGGTCGCAACAGGCTATGCCGCCTGGAATAGCTGGAATGTCTCTGACCCCGATTAGCCGCGGTTCTCGCCGCAAAGCGCAAAAATGCGCCCACGGGCATCCATCCATCTCCGTGCCTGCCACACACCGGCTATTCGGAGCATTCATCCGGACACGTGAGTACCACATGGCGTGCGGCTGCGGATCAGTCAGATCGGTCAGGCCATCGGGGCCGAAGTCGGAGGAGGCTCACCCAGATGACACCATCGTGTGGAGGATTGGACTTTGGATGGCGAAGGCAGCGTCAACACTCTTCTTCACCACATCTCCCACCTAGTCAGGTCCAAACAGTCGCCTTCCCACGTCTCCTTCTATCCTATCACACGCGGCACGCTCACACATACTGTGGCCACTGCCCACCTCCTTGACATGAGCGGACTGGCGCTTTGGCGCGTCGTTGCGCGACCCGCGGGGTGCGCAGTCGCGCTCGCCGCGCCATCACGCTCCATCACATCCAAGGCCCGTCCACCATTGTCCATACAACCTTCGTCGCACGCGCGGGCGCGTGCGCTCGTCCCAGTATCGGCTCGTCCCTCACTCCTCTCGTCATTTACCTCATCAGCCGTTCGCGCGGAGCCTCGCCAGAATGGAGTGGTCGACAAGGCGGCGGCGGCGGCGGCACCCAACGTGACTGCCGTGCCAACGGCAGCTACATCTTCCCCGCCGTCCATTAATCCTGATGTCGCGTCTGGCAAGGTTTCCGAGAAGAAGCAGGCTGTCACCGATTGGCGTATTTTGAGGCAACTGGCGTCCAACGTTTGGCCCAAGGGCAACACTAAGATCAAAGTCAGAGTAATCACCGCCTTGACCTTGCTTGTCGCAGGCAAGGTTTTGAATGTGCAGGTTCCATTCTTCTTCAAGACAATCATCGACAGCCTCAATGTTCCCATCACGAGCGACACTAGTCTGTGGATTGTCGCGGGCGCTTCCATCGCCGGATGTGAGTCACCGTCCGGTCACTATTGATGATAGACGGCCTCGCGCGTATTTTCTCGACGGTGTTTGGCGAGATGCGCAATGCCGTGTTCGCGACTGTGGCGCAGGGCACGATCCGCAAGGTCGCACGCGAGACGTTCTCCCACCTGCTCAACATGGACATGAAGTTCCACCTTGAGCGCCAGACCGGCGGCCTGACGCGCGCCATCGACCGTGGCACTAAGTGAGTCTCATTCGACGTAGCTCAGCTGACGCGCAGGGGCATCTCGTTCATCCTCTCATCCATCGTCTTCCATGTCATCCCTACGGCCCTCGAAATCTCGATGGTGTGCGGAATCCTCTCGTATAAGTTCGGCTACACGTTTGCGGGCGTGACCGCTGTCACCATGCTCTTGTATACCTGGTTCACTGTCCGCACCACGGCGTGGCGTACTCAGTTCCGCAAGCAGGCGAACGCCGCGGACAACAAGGGCGCCACACATGCCGTTGACTCGTTGATCAATTATGAGGCCGTCAAGGAGTTCAACAACGAGAATTTCGAGATCAAACAGTACGATGAGACGCTCAAGACGTACGAAAATGCCTCGATTAAGATTGCCACCTCGCTCGCGTTTCTCAACTCAGGGCAGAACATTGTGTTCTCATCCGCATTGACGATGATGATGCTGCTCGGCGCGCAGGGAATCATCAACGGTGAGCCTCACGCCATCGACTGGTGAACTGACTCCAGGCACAATGACCGTTGGTGACCTCGTGCTCGTCAATCAGCTGGTCTTCCAGCTCTCGCTCCCGCTGAACTTCCTTGGCACCGTGTACCGTGAGCTCCGCCAGAGTCTCATCGACATGGAGGTCATGTTCAACCTCCAAAATGTGAAGCCTTTGGTGCACGACAAGCCTCACGTCAAGCCGTTGCACCTGCGCGGCGGCGAGATCCGCTTCGAGAACGTCAACTTTGGCTACCACCCCGACCGTCCTATCCTGCAGAACCTTAGCCTGACAATCCCGGCAGGCAAGAAGGTGGCGCTGGTTGGTCCTTCAGGCTGCGGAAAGTCGACAATCTTCCGCCTCCTTTTCCGTTTCTATGACCCGCAGTCGGGTCGCATCCTAGTGGACGGGCAGGACATCCAGGACGTCTCGCTTGATTCTCTGCGGCGTGCAGTCGGTGTTGTTCCGCAGGACACACCTCTGTTCCACAAGGACATTCTGCACAACATTCGGTATGGGCGGTTGGACGCGAGTGAGGCCGAGGTGCTTGAGGCAGCGCGGAAAGCGCAGCTCGACAAGACTATCGCTCGCCTGCCAGAGGGGTACGCGACCAAGGTCGGAGAGCGCGGCCTCATGATCTCAGGTGGCGAAAAGCAGCGCGTAGCCGTTGCCCGCCTGCTTCTCAAGGACTCGCCAATCAACTTCTTTGACGAGGCAACGTCAGCGCTTGACGTGTACACCGAGACGGAGATCATGCGGAATATCAATGCCACGCTGGTCGACGGGCAGAAGACGAGTGTCTTCATTGCGCACCGCCTGCGTACCATCTCGGATGCCGACGTCATTATTGTGCTCCAGGACGGTCATGTCGTCGAGCAGGGCACTCACGAGGAGCTTCTCCAGATCACCGGCGGTGTTTACTACAACCTGTGGCAGGCGCAGTTGACGGAGAGTGTGAAGGAGGAGGTGGAGGTGCTGGGTGAGGAAGCCCCGCTAGCAGCGGGCGACAAGAAGGCGACCACATAGAGTTACGGACACATCTGCATGTATGCATTGGGCTTAGGAAGGGTCGTGCTTCGGCGGTGTGCATGGACGACCTCCACTGTCTCTAACGGGGATGTCGAATAAGATGTCACGTGATTCAGTGGCGCGACTTGTCATCGTCCACTGACGCCAGCGACGGCGCTCGTCCTGAGTGCCGGGCTGAGTGATCACTGCTCGTCACAACAACACTTCCACGTAGCCGAACAACACCAGCAACATAAGATGCCACCCAAAGCGTAGGTCCATTATTTTGCCTCGAGCTCAGCTGACGAACAGGGACTGGGAGAAATGTACGGAGCTGGTCACGTCCGTGAGCTGACCTTAGATGAGCGCAAGCTTGATGAGAAGGAGGAGAAGATCGTCGCGCTTGACGAGTCCGATATTCAAATCCTTAAGACCTACGTGAGTTGGGAGCGTTTACCACGTCGCAGCCATTACTCGTTGCTCGTTGCTTGTTGCCGCTTGAGCTGCGGCGTGTTTGGCGCCTGACTGGTGTCGCGCCGTTGCGCGCTCCCCTACTCCATGCCGCAGTCCGCTAACCCGCAGGGCCAGGGACCTTACTCCATTGCGCTCAAGAACATTGAGAAGGAGCTGAAGGAGATTCAGAAGCGCGTCGATGAGAAGATGGGCGTCAAGGAGTCGGATACTGGTCTCGCACCTGCAAACCTCTGGGACACGACGGCCGACAAGCAGCGCCAGGGCGAGCACCCACTGCAGGTCGCGCGTTGCCAGACGATTATCCGTGCCAGTGAGTTTCATGTGGCGAGGACCTTGTGGGATCGTGCGTTGGCCGCATGGTGCTGCCTCACCTTCCTCACTTTGCACCAGCACTAAACTGACTTCAGCCAACCCTCAACCCCAGATGGCCCTCAATCCCCAGGACGGCGCCGGTGCCGGTAACCCCGACGGAGACCGATATGTGATCTCGATCAAGCAGGTCGCCAAGTTTGTGGTAGGCCTCGGCGATCAGGTGTCCCCCACCGATGTCGAGGAGGGCATGCGCGTCGGCGTTGACCGCACCAACTACAAGATCTTGATTCCACTGCCACCCAAGATTGACCCTTCGGTGACGATGATGCAGGTCGAGGAGCGCCCTTCAGTTACATACGCCGACGTGGGAGGGTGCAAGGAGCAGATCGAGAAGCTGCGAGAGGTTGTCGAGCTCCCCCTGTTGGAAGTGAGTCTCCACATGGGGTCATGACTAACCTCAGCCTGAGCGCTTTGCCAACCTGGGTATCGAGCCGCCAAAGGGCGTGTTGCTCTACGGTCCGCCGGGAACGGGCAAGACGCTGTGTGCGCGTGCCGTGGCGAACAGGACAGACTCAACATTCATCCGCGTCATTGGATCGGAGCTGGTGCAAAAGTACATTGGCGAGGGTGCGCGCATGGTGCGCGAGCTGTTCGAAATGGCGCGCTCGAAGAAGGCGTGCATCATCTTCTTCGACGAGGTCGACGCAATCGGGGGAGCGCGCTTTGACGATGGCGCAGGCGGTGACAACGAGGTGCAGCGCACTATGCTGGAACTCATCAACCAGCTCGATGGTTTCGACGCGCGTGGTAATATCAAGGTCATCATGGCGACCAACCGTCCTGACACGCTTGACCCTGCGCTGCTGCGTCCTGGGCGACTGGACCGCAAGGTCGAGTTCAGCTTGCCAGATGTTGAGGGGCGCGCGCACATTCTCAAGATTCATGGCAAGAGCATGAGCGTTGAGCGCGACATCCGTTACGACCTCATCGCTCGTCTCTGCCCCAACGCAACCGGTGCTGAGCTCAAGGCTGTCGCAACGGAGGCGGGCATGTTTGCGATTCGCGCACGCCGGAAGGTTGCAACGGAGCGCGACTTCCTTGACGCCGTGGAGAAGGTTATTCGCCAGGGTACAAAGTTCTCTAGTACCGCGCTGTATGCGCAGTACAACTAGTGTATGCATAGAAGATGTAAGCAGCGAGCATGAGAGAATGGGAACATGTTGCCAGCAGGAGCTTGTACACTTCAGGTATACATGCACAGACATGAGATGGTGTAAGGCACGCGACTGCCACGTGAGTCCCACGTCGCGCCAATGATGCCACACTCCGGAGCATTCGAAACTCCGGCCAAATTCGAGGATTCGGGGTGCCTGGCGTCCTTGATGGATGTCGAAGTGTACGCCAACGACGCCTGTGGTCTCTCTGTCCGTCAACGATCCGCAAAAATGGCCAAGTCCAAGAACCACACCGCGTGAGTAGCGTGCGCGCGATGTGAGTGTAATGCTGACGGCAGGCACAACCAGACCCGCAAGGGTGAGTAGCGAGCGAGCGCGCGCACGCGAGGACGAGACGGAGGAGAGACGGGCGGTGGGAAGAAGGCGCGGTGGGGTGACGAGGGACGGACCTTGGGATAGCGGCAGCGGAGAGAGCGGTCGCGGCGCGGGCGTTCAACGCGCCGAGAAGCGCTGCGCAGGAGAGCTGCCGCACCCACGAACTCGAACCCCACTCCCCGAGAATCGTCATGAACCGAGCGCGAGGAGGTACGGGACACAGCTAACGCCCAGCCCACCGCAACGGCATCAAGCGTGTTGCCACCCAGCGCTACAAGTCGCTCAAGGGTGTCGACCCGAAGGTGTGTAGAGGGTTACATTAGTCTGGGCGTATGCTGACATCCGCTCTTTCGTCTGATCCGTCCGCCTATCGACTCGCGCTGTGTGTTCTCGTCTCGTTTGCCCCCCCATCACCTCGACCCGTATCACCCTTCTCCCATCCGGCGCACTCTCCACCTTTCCTGCATCAACACCGATTACTACGAACCTCTTCGACTTGTTATCCCCGTCCTTCCGCGCTCGCTTGAATTCCCCTCCGATTTCCTCGCCCACGTTATACCCTCCAGTTCCGCCGCAACGCCAAGTTCGCTGCCCAGGGCACCCAGAAGGCCGTTGCCGCCGCCAAGAAGGCGTCGGCATAAGCGTCTGTAGTGTTGCAGTGTACCATCATTTCACGGGATGAGACCATTGGCCTAGCAGACGAGCACGGGGGCTGGAGTCTCCAGCGTTGTGATACATATTACTAACATGTCTATGTTGAGCTAACGAGTGTCTATACTGCATCCTGCTCTGCGCCGACGTCTCCTCTTTCCCGCAACCACTAGTACTTGGGGTTGATCCACACCGCAACCTCGTGCCCGCCTTTCTTGACCGAGCTCCCGGCAGCGACGAGGATGACGCCGAGCTGGCGGGGAATGTACAGGACGATCTGAACGACAACCCATCCGATGGCCCAGACGACGACGCCGAGCAGCCCAAACAGCTTGGCGAATACCTTGAACGAGACCTCCTGGAGGGCGGTGAGAGCGTGCCAGATCTGGCGCGGCACATTGGCAATAGCGGCCATCATGGCAATGAAAGCGTTCCAGAGATCGCGGAGGGTGACGTTGCGCGCGCGCTGTAGCAGCGAGATGACAGCCATAGCGGCGGTGTGGAGGAGTGCTATAGGCTTAGCGAGGAGGGCGACGAGCGCGTTTCCGATGGCCACAGAGCTGGTCTTGATCCATGCCCACACGACCGCGAGCGCGGCAGGAAGGGCCTTGATCATGCGCCACAGCAGCTTCGCCGTAGCCTTCAGGAAGTCGCGCGTCCACCGTGCCGTGGTCTTGGTCGCGCGCCACAACGCGCCTGGCGTGGCAGCGAGCTTTCGCCCAGTCCACGTGGCCGCGTCGGCGGTCCAACGCGCGACATAGCCGGCCGCGACGGCGGCGCGGCGCCCCTGCTCGGCGACCCACGCCGGCGTCGCCTTGATCACCTCCCATGCGGCCGAGCCTGCGGCGCGCGCGAACCGCGCAAAGGCCTTGGATCCGCGGTTGATGCGCGCGGGCATAGCGCGGATCTGCTCGAGCATCCACGCTGCCGCGGCCCGCAAGCGACCGGGGAGGAGTTTGATCTCGCGCCGCAGCGCGCCGGCGAGCTCGTCGACGAGCACCTTGGTCTCCGCCCACAGCCACTTGGCGCCGCGCCCCATGCGCTCTCCCACGCGCTTGGGCACCGTCCAGAGGAAGTACTTTGGGACGTCCCAGACGAAGAAGCGGGCGAAGTAGTACAGCGCCATAACGGCGGAGCGTGCGCGGTAGACGGAGCGCTCGTTGTGGTGGCGCCAGCGGCGCCATGCGCCGCCGCGGCGCGCGGGGAGCGCGTCGACGAGGTCGCGGTGGCCCGCGTCCGCGGCGAGACGGAGCGCCGTCTGCCCGTCGGGCGCGACGAGTGCGTCGTCCGCGCCCGCGTCTAGCAGGAGGCGAAGCATGGCGAGCTGCCCCTCGGCAGCCGCGAGCATCAGCGGCGTGCGCTGCCGCTCCGGCGGCGTCACGCCGTGCCGCTTGCGCCGCCAGCGCGGGAGGTGTTGGTCGCGGCGGGCCGCAACGAGGTTGACGTCCGCGCCAAGGTCGAGGAGGAGCTTGGCCATGAGGAGGTTGCGCGCGTCGACGGCGGCCGCGAGCGGCGTGCTCCCGTCCTCGGCGGGCACGTCGGGAGACACAAAGCCGCGGTTCACCATCGTGTGCACGACCTCAGTGTTCTTCGTCGCGATGGCTTGGTGGAACACCTCCACGATCCGTTGCCGCCGCTTCGTCTCAGGCGTGCATATCCCCTTCCACGCGTAGTCGGAGATTGGGAGGCCGGGGGTATCTTGCACATCGTCGAAGCTGAAGTGGGCTGCGCCGTACGCGGGCACACCATCGCCAAACTGCTCGCGCATCGAGTCGGCGAAAGCCGCGTCGAACGCGTTGGCGTGCGTGCGGAACTCGTCGGGCGTGACGGGCATGGGGGGTGGAGGGGAGAGACGAGGTCGTGTGATGTCTGGGTATAGTTGGCAGAGATGGACACTGGATGTAATGACAGTTGCGGATGGGGTGGTGAGTGGGTGGGTCAGCGTTAGCGGCGACGCGAGGTATAAGTAGGAGATGCGGAGGGCGATACACTTGCGCACGGACCGCCAAGCAATGAATGGCAATGAACGCGCTGTTTGAAAAGGGCGGGGCGGAGACGACCGTGCTGGGGCGGCGGGCGGTGCGCGTGACTCGATTGAGATCTGGCGAGTTGGCGAGATGGCTCGCGGACTCGTAGGCTTGGGCGTCGGACTAGTGGCGCTTGAATGGGGTTCAGCAGGGCGGTGCTGGAGAGTTGAATGCGTCGTAAACAGATACAGGCGTGGATGAGTACGTGGAGATGTACATCAAGGCATGCTCGTGTCTGTGCATGCTAGTTTTGGGGAAGTTTAATAAGCGTGTCGATGCGGAAAGATGCGGCAGGAGTAAGTCACGAGTTTGAAGACAAGTCGCGCGGAATGCAGACGCTCTCAACAGCCCGCATCAGCACCGCCTCGATATCCACAAGCTCTCCAATGTGTCCACGTACCCAGACACTCTCCGCTGTCAAGGCCCATGCCCCGCCTCTTCTCCCTCTGTACTCCATTCCTGAATGCACGGACTCGCCATCACATGTAGCTCGGCGCCACCATTTGGTGCCCCGTCGCCATTGACCACGCCATTCAGTCGACAGTCCGACACCCGGATATATCCGCATGCTGTCACCATTCGAACGCGCCAGGAACGGCGCCGCGCTAGTGAAGCGGTAGCGCGCTGCGCCCATGCGTGCCATGCGTGCTCCCTCCGCTCTCCGCTCTCCCTTCCCTCCTCCTCCTCCTCCCTCACCTACCTCCCTCCCATCCACACTCCATACCACCACTCCGCGCGTTCGACCCCACCTCAGGATGTTATACACCAAGTTGTTCCTGCTGAAGCGCACCAGTACTCCGCGTACACGGTAGAGAAACGGGATTCTGACGAGGTCGGTGGTCTTTTATGCACGTGCGCGATGGCAATGCATGCGTCCGTGCGCATGCATGTGCTGAGGAATGCATTGCATTGCTAGAAAAGGGATTCATGCCATGTCCATCCACCGTCTCCACCGTGTCCGGGTCCACCGCTCTACGCATGCTTGGTCGGCACAGCCCCCTCCTCCACAAGCCGGACCATCTTGTCGCGCACACGCACATATCCGCGCCAGTACCGTGTCCACTCTTCGCCGCGTCCGATCGCGTCCTCCTCGCCAAACCCGCTGGCGGGGACCTGCCCCTCCTCCGCCGCCGAGAGGGACATGGCGCGCTCGTAGCTCTCCGCCGCATGCTCGAGGCGGTGCAGCGCGTCCGACTTGTCGCGCCGCCCCGCCGCCGAGCGCTCGAGCAACGCCGCTTCCGTGTAATACGCTTCCGCGCCCGTCGTCAGCGTGTCCCGCACGAGCCGCTTCGCGGGCTGCGTGCACACGTTGCCGCGCGGCTGCGCCAGCGCGGCGGGCAACGTGGGGTTCAGGACCGAGAGGAGGGCCTCGGACGCCTCGGCTGCTTCGGCGCTCATCTCGAGCGGCGAGACGCCCTTCGTGCCCTGCGCGTGGGCGACGCTCGCCGCGTGCAGTGTGAGCAGCGCGCGCCGCTGCACCTCCCACAGCTTTTGGAGACCGGACGCACCCTGTCCGGGGCCGGGCACCGATGGCTGCACGGCAGGCGGGAGCAGGCGGAGGGCTTCAGCCTGGATCGCCGCGGCGGCGGGGAGTGCGCCGGACTGCGCGGACGCCGCGGAGGCGGAGACGAGGATCGAGACGGCAGCGCGGACGATGGGCGCGGGGAGGGGCGCGGAAGTCGGCAGGTCGTCGGCGCTCGTCGCGGTCGAGGGCGCGGCGGAGCCGGAGCCGCCAAATGGCCACCAGCCGCTCGCGCCGGACGCAGCGGCCACGGGCGAGTCGGCGGTGGGGAGCGACAGAGCAGCGCGCTCAAGGCCCCAAGCCCACCACGCGCGCGCGACGTCGGGCTCGGCAGCGCGCTGCGCGAGGTCGCCGAGCTTGTGCGCGAGCCGCATCGCACGCGCGGCCTTCACCGCCCCGTCCTTGGCCGCGTCGACGCCGACATATGCCGTCGCGACGCGCTCGTAAAGCTCGCGCGCGTGGTCGAGGGTCTCGGGACCCATGCGCTCGAGCACGCCAGCTTTGAGGGTGAGGAGGTCGAGCGCCGTCGGGTCGGCGGGCACGGACGGCGCGGCGAGTCCGGCGGGGCCCGGCTCGCGCAGCCCCGGGAGGTGTGGCGGGAAGGCCATTTTTGCCTCGGCGACGCGGATCGCCGCGTCAATGTATTCCTCGGCCAGCTCGTATCCCCGGTCGACGCGGTTCACGGGCGAGGCCCCGATCATGCCCCGCTTGAACTCGGGGTGGCGCGAGATCGTGCTCCCCGAATCGCCGGCTCCCCACTCCCAGCAGATCCAGGCGCCGCGCAGCGCGTGCCGCCCCCGCCAGCCCAGGCGGGAGTCTGTGCCGCCCTTCACGCCGCCCGTCCACGCTTGGTTCTCGTCCGCCCACGCCCACTCGTCCCCGTCCACCGCCCGGCTCGGCGCCGCAAGGGATACGTGCTCGACGTAGGCGTGCGCGCCTTCGAAGGCTAGATAGGCCGTCGCGCCAAGACCCATAGTCCCGTAGATGATGTACTTGATTGTACGGCCGATGAAGGACACCGTGTAGGCCGCCGGACCGGCGTAGTCTTCGCGCGGCATGTCTGGGGGCATGGGGAGAGGTTTACGTGGCACATTAGAGATCGCGCGCACCGGCATCGTGTAGCGGGGTGCTCTGCGCCGCACCGCGAGGCGGCATGTCGTCGTGAGAGGCCGCAGCATGCTTGCCCAAAGGTCAAGAGCGGCGAGACGATGATTGAGTGATGAGAGCGATGACGAAAACGACCTCCACCAATCTCAGTCTCAAATCTCTGCCACTCCGGTGGATCATCCACCCCCTGCGGGTACATGACTCAGCTGACAGTGACATGCACAGTATGCATCGATACAGGACTGCAATTATCCCAGTTACAACCTTTCCATTGCGAACATCCTCCGCTTTCATGGCATCACTTTAGATCGGCACTTCACTTCAGCCGGTCAAGACGTCCACGACTCTTGCTTCTGGACCCGCCGGCTCCTACAGCGTCGCGCCCTCGTGCCGGCGCGTTCTCATCGACCACGTCCAACTCAAAGCCGAGCGTTGGTGGCCTACTTCCGCCCGCTGAGTGCGGGTGCGGGTGCTCGCGCGTCTCGCGAGGCGGCGTGTGCGCGCCACTGTGCACTCCAGAGTGCGTGCCCGAACCAGGAGGCGTCGCGTCGTGACGAGTGTGCGCAAATTGTGCTTCCCACCAGCCAGCAGTCCCGGGGACAGCCGCCTCCCGCGCACGCGAACGGCCACGCCGCTGTTCCGCACCGCTCAAGGGACGCGGGGGTCGTCCCGCCGCGCTCGGCGAGCGACTGCCGTTGCCAGGGCGGGGTTCGAGCGACCCAGCAGAGGAGTTGGGCGTGCGTTCCTCGCGCTGAGCTGAGCGCCCACGCGTTATTGTTATCGTGTCCAGCTCAGCCGCCAGCGCCTCGGGATGCAGATGGGATTTGTGCATGCTGCTGGGGCGCGAAGTGGTGGCGGGTTTCCTAGTGCCGCTCTGCGAGCGCGAGCGCGCCCCATCCGTGTGAGCATGGAGAAACCGGCCGCGTTCCTCTTGACTGTCGTGCCGGATGTGCGGAGACGCCCGAGAACGAGAGCGATCCCGCCCTCGGCCCGCGCCGTCGGGGTGATGAGTGTGGATCGGCGAGTCACCGGGTGCGCGACGTCCGCGATCGCCGACACGGGCACGAGACCGACTGCGGCTCTTGGTGCGAACTTCACGCCAGCCAGTCACAGCGTCAGACTCACGCACACGGCGAATGTCCCACCTTTTCAGGGGGTCGCGGTGGAGCGTGCCGTGCAGAGCCTCGATCCACTCGTGGCCTACGTACGGCTCCTCCCATTGCCCACGGAGGATCTTCATTTGGAGGCGCGGGTCAAACGAGTCGTTGAACGGCAAACGGCCTGTCAGGAGGGCATACAGAATGATCCCCAACGCCCAGATGTCCTGCGCGAGGGAGGGACCAGCCGGTGACGGATGTAAGAGCTCGGGGCAGGCATAAGGAAGGGAGGCGGAGGGGCATGGTTGGTGCCCAGGCTGATTCATATCCGTAGTAGCGAGTGTGTCGCGTCGCCGCGCTGGCGAGCGAGACGGGTTCCGCGGCGAATCTGGAGCAGACGAGAGTCGCCCACGCGCCTGCAGGTGGGCGGGAAGGTTTGATGGACGGCTTGCGGGGGAGGGTCCCCGCTTGGGTGGGCAAATCTCAACTTTGCATGCCATGCCAAAGTCGCCGACGCACACCCCACCGTGGGCGTCGACGAGAAAGTTGTCGAGCTTGAGATCCCCGTGCATCATCTGACCCTCGAAGCCCTCGAATCCCTCGTGCAATGCCGCAACTGCCGTGACGCACCCGGGGAACCACTTGCGTGCAGTGCTCTCGCTCCCTCCCTCGATGCGAAGGACGTCCAACAGGCTGCCCTCCAGGCGAGGCATGATCATAAACGTAGCGTACTCGGTGCGCATGATATCGAGGAGGGGCAAAATGGCGGGATGCCGAGGTAAAGTCTGCCAGATGCGTATCTCGTCCTCGAAGCGGGCGGCGGATCCCGACTCATCGCTGAGATCATCGCGAGTGACAATCTTGCACGCAAACTCCTCCCCGGTCTTTACGTGGGTAGCGGCGCGCACGGTGCTGAAACCGCCGCGCCCAAGCACCTTGCCGAGGATATAGTCGAGGACACGGGCGCCCTGCGCGTCTGGAGCGATTTCGGAGGGCGCCGAAGAGCGCGACGAGAAGGCCTGGAGGAAGGCGGTGGCAGGAGAGAAGGTGCTTGAAACAGTGCTACCGGGCGAAGGGGGGGTCTGGCAGTTTGGGTCAATCGTGATGGGCGGTACCGGGCCCGGGTCGCTCTTATAGGACAAGGCGGGGGACCATGGTTGCTGTTGGGGCGGTATGGCGTGGTGAGCGAAGAGAGGGTGTTTGGCGGCTGCGGGAGGGGTGTAATGCGATGCGGGTGGCGAGGGAGACTGGAGGCCGGCTCCGGCGGCGGCAAAGGAGAGGGGTCCATCGGTGCGTTGTGGATTCTTCATACTCTGGGAGCGGCCGAGGTGAGCGCCGGCATCGTGAGACTCTTGGGAAGCCTGTGAGGAAGTCGTGCCGACAGAGAAAGATCGATGTGGTTGGTATGCTTGCCCCGAGTTGAGGGCAGCCATGAAGCTCGCTGCCGCGGACACCTGGCGTGGCTGCTGCCCATTTTGCGGGGGGGCGGGGTGCATCCTGTTGATGTTAGGTGTGGTTCAAAAGGTAGAGAGATATGAAGCGAGCAGGGGGGCGAAGTGACTGGGGAATAGTGGTCGCTGAAAGAAGAGGAGCGCCTATATAGATGAACTGGAGGCTGGAGGGGGAATGGAGAATGGAGAATGGAGAATGACTGGAGGCGACTCACGAGGTGCTTGTACTTGTAGGTTTGTGATGGGATGTGATGTGACAGTGATGACAGGAGACAGGGGACGCGTGTGTTGATGTAGAGGTTGAGTGAGCGGAGTGGGAGTGGGAGTGGGAGTGGTCGCTTGAAGCAAAGTAGAGGAGAATAGAGCAAACTGGAGAAAAAGAAGAAGAGGACGAGTGGTCGAGTGCTCGAGTGGATGATGGATGGGTGGGAGCAAGGCGAGCAAGATGCCGGTGCGCGTGCCGGGTGCGGGGTCTGCGGATCTGCGGGGCTTCCACCAGCGCGAGCGGCCTGTTTGGTCCCGCTCATGCCGCTCACCCCTCATTCCGTCTCTTGTGGTTGGTCCATGCCGCCGGCTCCGCTCCTCCCTTGCTCGATCACTCTCCACCACCACTCCATCGCTCTCTCTCATCTCACATCCTACAACACCACGCACCGTGCGCAAATGCACGTACCTACCCTCCTGTCTCCTACATTATGTCTACTCAGCAAATCTGGTTGAGCGCTGAACGGCATCGCCATCCCTCTCTCTCCCCCACTCGGTGCTTTGTGCTTGAAACATCGGGTACTTCGGCCCAAAATTCAGGCACTTTGTTGGTGCCGTGCCTGGGCTACTCGGTCGCTTAATCAGTTGGAGACCACCATCACATGGCCGGCCAGCATTGCAGCATTGGGACCTGTGTTAATTCGTTAAGCTTATGCCGTGTTGCGGCAGCAGTGCTACACTTGAAGAGTTGCGAGAGAGAGAGAAGTTGAAGGAAAAGTTCCCTTCAGACTGCTTATGAGCCGGGGGATAGTCATTGGTTCGACACTTTTGGACTGTCTATTGATCTATTGCCCAGCCGATCATTGCTCATGTTTGATCACCGGATACTGCCGCATCTCGGATCGGCAGGCAAAACGACACATCCGGATCTAAGCCAAAATACAGGATCCAGGAAACCTTGACGCATTCGGACGCGATCGGACGAGTGCCGCGGCGGGACATCCATGCCGTCCAGACACTCACTGGTAGTGAACCTCTGAATCACTACACTACTCAACATACATGCGATGCACAAGATAATGCTTTACAATGATGAACGTGAACAACCCTACGACCTGTATATATGATACTACTGCCTCGGCCGGCGCAGCGCCTCGCGCTCCCGCCGCGCCTCCTCCCTCGCCCGCCCCCACGCCGCCTTGGCCGCATCACGCGCCCGCTTGACCTCAAGAAACGACGCATAACTCCATGTGAGGTCGCGAGCGCCGCGCCCCTTGCCTCCGCGAATCTGCTCGCTCATCCTTCCTCCGCGCATAGTCCGCGCAGCCTTGATCACAAAAGCGTCCGCGACGCGCCCCAGCGCCGTCATCGCGCGCTCAAAGCCCGCTGTCCCGGCAGACCAGCGCCCAGCCTCCCACTGTACGAAGTGACCAGCGGGTCCCAGGACATCCGACCAGAATGCGGCGTTATTGTCGTCCAAATCGATCTTGCCCGCCTCGGCGAAATCACGCTGGGCGCGATAGAGCGTCGTTGCGACAGCAAATGTCGTGATGTACCATGGGTTCCCGCCAGAAAAGCCCACACCGTCGTAAACGTCCTCAGCATAGCGCCCAACGAGCCAGCCGTCTGTCCAGTTTCCGCTGTTCGTCTCGTAGAGCCCGGCAAATGAGAGGACATACTGGCGCAGGCTGGAGAGCATAGTGCCGGGAGCAAGATCCTCGGTGGCATTGCCCCCTCCCGCATGGAGGGACGCGAGGAGGATGGCGGCGTCAAGGCCTGTCCGCCGGCCCGGGTTGTCGAAAGCGCGCCATCCTTTGGAGGCGTGGTAGTAGCTCTGCATGTGCTCGCCGAGCTTCGCGGCCTGGGCTGCGTAGAACCCGCTTGCGCCATGGTCCCCCAAACGGGTAGCGAGCCTAGCGCCAGCCTGCAACGCACGGCGCGCAACGGCGTCAGTCCACAGGTGCCGAGTCTGCACCTCTTCCCACAGATCAAAGGAGGGCCGGTGCCAACTGTTAGCAACCTCCTCGAGATCGTTCTTGAGCACAATCCCGGGCTGTCGGATCGCGTGCGAGTCGTACAGCGCTCGACGGACGTATGCAAGGTCCGAGGAGTGGCCTCGGTCGAGCAGCCAGTGAGCGTATGGGATGAGCGCGAGGGCGCGCAGTGCCGGTCCGTCCCGTTGTGGACGACCCCAAGCGCCCATGTATGGAGCACCACTGACTGTGAACTTGGGCTCGGCAAGGCCGCCTGTCCATAGATCGCCCGAGGGGTTGGGAATGCGCTGAAGCTTGGCTTGAAAGGAAATGTAGGAGCGCACAAGGCCCTCCAGGAGTGGATCGGAGTTCGTGTGCGACCGCTGAAGGGGAGCGTCGGTCGACCACACACTGTGCCATGGAGATAGGTATGACTCGGGAAGGAAGGATGGAAGAAGTGAGGTGATGGTGAGAGCCGCGTCGCGTGTCCATGTGTACTGAGGTCAGCGTTACCTCCTCGTTGTTCGGTTCAACGAAGTGGGTGGCACTAACAAAATAGTCTGGCTCCGAGCTGTTGTCCCCCTTGCTCGGCGAAGCAATTACCACACCGTCGCGAACGCCTGCGGCTGGCCCGATGTTATCAAGAATGCGCTTGTACGCGAAGTCCGCCTCTGCGAGGATCCATTTATCGAGCTTGGGCGCCGATGGATGATGTGGTAGAGCGGCATGAGTCTTGCGGATGGCACGGAGGTGAGGAAGGGGCCAAGGCAGCGCGGCCCCAAGGAGCATGGGGGCAAGGAAGGCGCCCGCGACAAGGAGAAGCAGACACCATGCCCACTGTGAGCGGCAGCGGCCATCACACTCCCACTCCTCCTCCTTGAAGCTCGTGGCGAGAAAGCGCGGGGGAGGGGGAAGCAGCTCCTTCTTCTCGTAGCGCGGCGGTGAGCGAGCGAACGCTGCGATCCAGTCGGCCTCGCTCATCGCGTCGATGCTTCTCTGGGCTCTCTCGGCTGCCCATGCTGGCGGTCAGCTCAGCGTGCAATCCGGCTCCAGCGCTTGGACTGCGCGGGGGAGAAGGTCCAAGCGGGGAGGGGGGGGGGGGGGGACTAACAGTCTCTGTATCCGCCAGGAGCGGGATAGACGCTCTCAATGTCCTCGCCGTGACCAGCGAGCCAAAAGCGCGCGCGTGAGCGGTTCTTGCGCATGCTGGATGGAGCGGAAGTGAGATGGGTCTCGGTGGTGGTCGCGGTCGTTGGGGGCGAGATGATGATGGGCAATGTAAGAGGGAGAGGAAGTGGGGGGGAGGGATGGGGAGGGGCGTGTGCGAAGGCGAGAGTGTGTGTGTGGAGATTGACGTCTTGCCGCCGCCGACGTCGAAGAGTGGTGCGAGGTGGCGAGTAGCAGGGAGAGAAGCACGGTGATGGTGATGAGCGAGAACAAGGACGAGAGGATGGGCCCAGTGTATGGCTGCCCTCCTCTCGAGTCATGGCCTGCAATAGCCTGCAGCCAGATGACGGCGAGATGGCGTCGACGGGGGGTGGATGCAAGACGCGTCGGATGTGAATGCGGGAAGAGCAAGATCACTACGTATTCCATTTCGAGCTGGTCATGTTGCCGTAACAAGCTAGTGAGCTGGAGAGCAGCAAGGGCACGTCCCCGCGAACGGTAAGCCGATTAAGCGACGTTTAGAACCTGATACAATGCCAATGAGCTATGTGGTGTGCTGCTCTGATGCACTCTGCATGCATTCGTCTAGTGCATCTAGTGAAAGCCAGTGACAGCGTCTGAAACACGGTCAAGACGATGCCAGACCGCAGCCAGTTGCCGGCATCTCTGAGCGGAATAGTCTACAGTATATCCCTCTCCGCGCTCTCCGGCCTCTCCCAATCCGCGTCCAGAGTGCACGTTGCGGGAGCCCGCGTCCCTGCATACCGCACCCCGCATCCTAGGCCTCGCGCAGCCCAGCTCCGGCCGGTCCCTCATTCCGCCCAGGTTGCGCATCTGAAATCTGCTGAAATCTCCTCGTTCTTCTGCAACGAGTCACCTCGTCTTCACGTGCTGTCAGACTCGTACAACATGCATGAAACCTAGGTGGACTTTGTCGAGCTGCAGTCCATGACATCCTCGCCCTCCTCGACGAACCGCTTGAGCTCCTTGCGCCACGGCTCCCACACGCCCCCGTACTTCTTCAGGAGGCCGCCAAGCTCTGCGCGCTGCTCCGTAATGACCTCGGGGATGTGGTCGTCCTTGCTGACCGTCCACACGTCGTTGAACATTTCGCTCAGCTTGGGCTTGGGCAGCTTCTCTGCCCGCGAGAATGTGCGCAGCACCTCCTTCTTGTTTGCCGTGAACGCGGCCTTCTCCTCGGCCTCACTCCACCAGCCCTGCGACACGAGCCACGCGCGCATCCGCGCAATCGGGTTGTCGACCACGTTCCACTCCTGCACCTCCTCCGCGGGACGGTACTTGCTCGAGTCGTCCGACGTCGAGTGGTGTCCGATACGGTACGTCATCGCCTCGACGAGAACGCCCTTCTTGCCCTCGACGGCGCGGCGGCGCGCCTCGCGCACCGCCGAGAGGACAGCAAGAGCGTCGTTGCCGTCCACGCGGATCGTGTCGAGGCCGTACGCCGGACCGCGCGACGCAATGCCGTCACCGGCGTACTGGTCCACAACAGGCGTGGAGATAGCGAAGCCGTTGTTACGGCAGAACCAGACGATGGGCCCGCCGAGAGTCGAGTTGATGTTGAGCGCGGCGTGGAAGTCGCCCTCGGATGCAGCGCCGTCACCAAAGTAGCAGATGACGCAGTCGCCCTCGCGCTCCGGGTCCGTCTTGATGGCGTACGCGGCGCCGGCCGCCTGCGGAAGCTGCGTCGCCAGTGGCGACGTGATGGTGTGGAAGCCGAGGTCCGGCGCACTGTAGTGCACAGGCATCATGCGGCCCTTGGTGCTGTCGTCCTCGACGTTGCCGAAGCACTGCGCCATCATCCGGTTCAGGCTGAAGCCGCGGTAGATGAGCGCCGCCTGCTCGCGGTACTGCATGAAGATTTCGTCGTTCTCATGCATCGCGGCAGCTGAAGCGACGACAGCTGCCTCCTCGCCCGCGCACTGCATGTAGAACGAGATGCGGCCCTGCCGCTGCGACTGGTACAGGATGTTGTCGACGACGGGCACGAGAATCATGGCGCGGTAGCTGTGTTGTCAGCGATTATCCACGGGACGGAGCTTGGAGCTGGAGCTTGCACTCTTGCTCTCGCACTCTACACGCACATCTTAAGCGCCTCCTCCTTGGTGATCTCCGGCATGATGGCGCCCTTGACGGGCCGCCCCTCCTCGTCCAGCACACGGTAGGTGGGGATCGTGTTCGCGACAGCGTTGAAGAAGCCCTGGTCGGCAGTCCACCACGACTCGTGTGCACCACGGCGCAGCGGCGACATGCTCTGGATACGCTTGGCGACGGCCGCGTGCCCACCGGGCACATACGCCGGCCCGCGGTCCTGGCTGGGGTCGTCGGCTGAGTGCCGCCCGCGCGCGTGCGGCCCCAACAGCGGCGTGAAGGCTGGCACGGGGGTGGGGTTGGGCAGCGGGGTGTTGGTCGCGGTCTGGTGCACGGCCGGCACGTCGGGGGGAGGCCCAGTGATCTGGTGTGAGCGAAACTCTCGTTGCTGTGCGGAGGTTACTTACGAGGGTCGCCCGACCGAGGAGCCCGACAGGAAGGCGCTGGACGCGTCGAGAGAGCATGGTGGGTGAAGGAGAGATGGACAACGGAGAGATGTGATCTGCTCTGATCTGCTCTGATCTGGTCTCTGCGATGGCGAGGGTACTGCCTTGCTTGCTTGCTGGACGAGCTGGATACAAGATGCATGCACCGAGGCGCGAGGGAGCGGCGTCATGAGGAGTGCCGGAGCAAGGCCGGTGCAAGCTCCGACCGGCTCTTGTCACCTGTTCCCCTCCACATTGATTCAGGGCAGGAGCCCCGCACTTGGGTGAATGCCGACAGCCGACATGTGACCGATCCTGACCGACTCGCTCCTCCGCGTGACTCTTGCATGTCGTGCGTCTCACCTTGTACGCCTCTTGCATTGCTTCGTGGTCGAGGGTGGCGAGCGCTTCTGCCGCCGGCGCGATCGGAACGGGGTCACACAGAACACTCAGAAATTACATCTCCTTGACAACTCTGTGTCATTGCGACAGTCGGCCGAAGCGATGGTACAACCATCACGCTGACGCTATCCCGGCCTTATCTCACGCGCCAACAAGCTCACAACGCGCCAACTCGCGGGACATGTCACACCGTGCCGGACGGTAATACAACAAACAATGCTACACAGCACTCTACTCGTCCTGCGAGTGCATCCGCGCCACGCCGCCGACGATCACACTTCCGACAACAAGCACCAGCACCAGGCCGGCGAGCAAGGACCAGTGGCGCGCCCTGCGCTTCTGCGTGCGGCCAAGGAGAGGTTGCCGCTCCGAGTCAGCGGGGAGGGCCACGCGCTCGTCCTGCGGGCTGTTGGTGTGGCAGTCGAGGTCGGGGCAGCACTGCGGCGCCGCGTCGTCGACAAAGGGGTCGACAACGCTAGCCTCCTTCTTCTTGGGGCTGCGTTTGGGCGGGGACGGGTAGTCGGACGGCTTGATAGAGGTCATTACGCGCACGGGGTAGGGAGAGGACGCGCTCGGCCTGCGGCCAGTGGACATGCGGCGGCCCGAGGGCTCGGAGAACGTGACGGGCATGGCGATGGGGCTTGTTTAGGTGTGGGGCATGGGCCTGGACAAGGGAGTCGTGAAATGGCACAGCGTCTCTGTCTTTGAAGTCGTGTCGTGTGAGCGTAAAGGAGTGGGGGAGTGGACGATGTGGAGTCTTGAGATAATAAGAATGGCGATGGTAGTTCAATTCATAGCTGCGGCGTGGGGAGTGATGCTGGCGATGGCCAAGGCGTGTGACGTTCCAAGTGTAGACCAAAGTGAGCATGCCACCCTGGGCATCCCCTGGTGCCTCCTCTGGGGCTGCCCTTGTGCCACCGATCAACCGATTGCACGTGTGCCACAACCGCGTGGCACACAAATCACCGGGGTGGGGTCTGCGTCGCGTGGCAACTCCGTGGCCTTGACTGTCCCGCTCCCCACGCCCCATGTTCCAGGCACGTCAGGCTGATTTGTATGGGCCCAGCGCGACGTGGAAGAAATATCACGTCCCGCATCATCACTTGCATCTCTCTCTTCATCCCACCACCACCAACCAAAACAAATCTTTAAAAATGTCGACTGCCGAGCAGACCTACATCATGATCAAGTGAGTCGCTCGTCGTTTCTACCTCGGCTCGCGATCGGTGCACTCCTCTCCTCGGCGACTGAGTAGCCCCGGCTGTGCTGGGCAGCTTCGGCCTCGCTTTGGCACCTTCCCCCTCTCCTCCCAATCGCTCATTACTAACCCACAGGCCCGACGGCGTCCAGCGCGGCCTCGTCGGCGAGATCATTGCCCGCTTCGAGAAGCGCGGCTTCAAGCTCGTCGCCCTCAAGCTCGCCACCCCCTCGAAGGAGCACCTTGAGAAGCACTACGCCGACCTCTCTTCCAAGCCCTTCTTCCCCTCGCTTATCAAGTACATGCTTTCAGGCCCCGTCGTCTGCATGGTCTGGGAGGGCCTTGACGCCGTCAAGACCGGCCGTGCTATGCTCGGCGCCACCAACCCCCTTGCCTCGGCCCCCGGCACCATCCGTGGCGACTACGCCCTCCAGGTGAGATAACCTTCCTCAAATTATGCTGACTTCAGACCGGCGCCAACGTCTGCCACGGCTCGGACTCGGTCGAGAACGGCCAGAAGGAGATCCAGCTCTGGTTCCCCGAGGGCATTGCCCAGTACAAGCTCTCGTCGGCTGACTGGGTTTACGAGTCGTAATTGCGTTCCTCCCGGCGCTTTATATGTGGCCGTTGTAGCATAGATGCACATCTGGTCTTTATTTTGGTTCGCGACGCGTCGCGTTGATTCACCCCTGTACGCTGGTTTCAGTGTGTATGTACGCCCATGCCACACACTTCCATCATGCGCGTGGTGATGATTTTGCTTGCGACTTTTCGCAACGAGGCCTGAGAGTATCGATGACGCGTGATGTTATGTAAGAGAAGCACAAGCTCATTTCGGCCAAGTGGCGGACTTGGCCGTGTGATCCGCCAGGCACATCACGCACCTCTCTCGCTAGTATCGGCATCGACATTTGGAGCTGCTGAGGTGAGCGCCGCGCCCATCCTGACTCGGGCCAGCCTTCTTCTCGATGTCCATTACATCTCGCGCCTTGTTCTCTCTGCCTCATTCTCTCTCGTCTCGCATTCTGACCAGCTCTTGACGAACGCCTCGATCATCCCATTTCAGAGCCCTATGTCCTAAACCCCTCCCCGCAGACCGCCAAGCCTCGCCTGCGTCGGCTACACTCCCTCGCGCCACCTAACTTTTGTTTTTACCCATCCACGATGCGTGACGCGCCGCTCCCCAAGCTCCCCCCATCTGCGCCGGTGCTCAACGACGTCGAGAGCGCGCCGGGAAGCCGGGCGCCGACTCCTCCAGGCGCCGCCTCTCCCTCCTCGCCGACAGATGTCAAGGACAAGAAGGACCGCCGCGCAAATAAGCGCGGCGGCGGCCTGACGGAGGGCGACGAAGGTGAGCGCCGCAGCGGCGGAGCTGATGCCAGAAATGGAGGAGCTGCCGAAGAACAACCTCCTCATTGTTATGCCAAGGTAGGACACATTGATAATCGGCTGACGCTAGCCTCTGCCTCGTGTTATTCCTCGCTGCCCTGGACCAGACGATTATTGCCACGGCACTGCCGACCATTGCGGGGCAGTTCAACGCCACACCGTCGCAGTACTCGTGGATTGTTACGGTGAGTGCGGGAGAGTGGAACCGAGGGCAAGCGCACCGACTCGATTTCCGCGTCCGACTGTCCCAGTCGGCCTCCCGGCCGAGTCTGAGTCGCTGACTCCAGTCGTACCAGCTCGCGATGACGCTCCTCACTCCGGTAAACGGGCGCGTGTCCGACATCGTGGGCCGGAAGCCGATGCTCTACGTCGCCATCGTGGTGTTTACGGTATTCTCGGCGCTGTGCGGCGCGGCCCAGAACGTCGAGTGGCTCATCGTCTGCCGTGCGCTGCAGGGCCTGGGCGGCGGCACGATCATGGGCCTGGTCAGCATCATCGTGAGCGATATTGTACCGCTCGAAAAGCGCGGGAGCTACCAGGGCTTTATGGGTGCGTCGTGGGGCGTTGCCGCCGTCGTGGGGCCCATCCTCGGCGGCGCATTCACACACATGTCCCGTAGCGGCTGGCGCTGGTGCTTCTACATCAACCTCCCGACGGCGGGCGTCGCGTTCGTCCTCCTCGTGCTGTACCTCAAGCTCAACAAGCCGCGAAACCACACGTTCGACGAGCTGCGGCGCACATTCGACTTCCTCGGCCTCTTCCTCATCATGGTCGGCAGCGCACTCCTCATTGTCGGCTTCAGCTTCGCTGCCGACCACGGGTTCGGGTACACACCGAGCATCGCGCTCATCGTCGTCGGCGGCGTGCTCTTCTGCGCCGCCATCGTCAACTGCCTCGTGACAAAACGCACCGCCGTCATCCCTGCCGTAAGTCTACGCCATCTCGTCCCACTCACCCCAGCGCCTCTTCAAGACCCGCACGACGCTCTTCTACACCATCGCGTCGACGCTGCACGCCGCGGCCTTTATCCCGTGCAACGTGCTCCTCCCGCAATTCTTCCAGGGCGTGCACGGCGCCGACGCTTTGCAAGCCGGCATCCAGCTGCTGCCCTTCGCCATCTTCGTGTCGTGGAGCACGGTGGTGGCGGGCCAAATCCAGAGCCGGCTGCGCATCGTCCGCCCCGTCACGTGGTTCGGGTACGCGGTGGCCGCGCTCGGCTTCGGCATCCTCTACGGCTTTTGGGACTGGGACCTCAAGCTGCCGGTGCAGCACGGGACGTCGATCGTGCCCGCTGTCGGCCTCGGCCTCTCGCTCCAGTCGCCCATGTTGATTCTGCAGGCCGCGATGCCGCTCAAAGACATGGCGGCCGTCACGTCGGCGTGGGTGCTCACGCGCAGCATCGGCGGCTCCGTCGGCGTGTCCGTGTACACGGCCGTGCTCAACTCGGACATGCGCTCGCAGTTCGCAAAGGTCCAGGACAGGTGGGGCGGGGGCGCGCGCGTGCCCACCTCCGCGGCGGGGTATGAGATCATCCACGCCCTCCCGGACGGGCCGATGAAGGAGGACATCTTGCGCGCGTTCGCGGACAGTTTCAAGCCCTGTTGGATTATGGCGATGGCTCTCCTCATCTTCTGTCTTACCATCACCGTGCCGACGCGCGCGTACTCGCTTAATCGCCCGCGTGGCGCGGCCGCGAAGGCTGACAGCGCCGAGGGCGAGACGCCAGAGAGCGACGAGGCACGCCTCGAGGCCAAGGTCGCGGAGGAGCAGGAGCGGGTGGCGCAGGGCGAGAAGGGTGTGAGTGGTGAGCCGATTAGTGTCGCGAGCACGCCGACCGCCGCCTCCAACGCCGCCTCAACGGAGAAGGAACGTGCGCCCGAACTCGAACGGGGGCGGGGGGTGGAAGCAACGCAGTAATCGCCCAATAGATCTGCGTCTGCGTCTGCGTCTTATATATTCTATAACATCTTGCGTCTTGATCCATGCAGCATTGCATTGTCCCTTCCCAAGCCTCCCGCTTCCCTCAAGCATATGTATGCATACAATAAGATCTAACCGTATACTTTTGTTGCGACAGGATGGCGCTCAGCGGTCTCTGCGCTTCGCAGCTCATAGTGGCCCGCGATCACCTTGACTTGCCCTCTAGTTGACGCTCACGAGCTTGACGTCAAACTTGAGCGTCGAGTTGGGAGGGATGCCGGGGATACGCTGCGAGCCGTACGCGAGCTTGGCAGGGATGGTGAGGCGACGCTCGCCACCAACAGCCATGCCGACCAGGCCCTGGTCCCAGCCGGCGATGACCTCGCCGCGGCCGAGGACGAAGTTGAAGGGCTTGCCACCAGTGTTGGCGTCAAACTGCTTGCCGTTCTCGAGCTTGCCGATGTAGCGCATGCCGAGGCGCTTGCCGCCCTTGGCGACGGGGCCGGTTCCGACCTTGATGTCCTCGATCACGAGGCCCGAGGGGAGGGTCTTCTGCGCGTTAGGGATGCTCATTCGGAGTTGGGTAGAGGGAAGATAGGATGAAGCATGCGGGGAAGAAGGGGTGACGAGGCTGAAAGACAAGGGACTAGACGAAGAGGTCAACCAGTACTCTGTGCTAGTGCATGAACTATGTCCATCCCTTTCACATGCACTGGCTCTACACAACTGCTCTACTCTCTCATGGGCGTGTCGCACATCTAGTTCTTCTTCTCGTGCTTGTGCTTGTGCTTCTTGCTCACCTTCTTGCTGTCCTTCTTGGGCTCCTCCTTGGTCTCCTTCTTGGCCTCCTTCTTAGGAGCAGGCGACTCGGTGGGCGCGCCGTCCGCCTCGACCTTGGCCTTCTTGGCGAGCTTCTTCTTCTGCGACCGCGACAGCTCACCCTCGGCCTTGGTGGGGGTCTCGGAGATCTCCTCGGCCTTACGCTTCTTGTCGACCTTCTCCGACTTGGGGGTGTCGGCCTTGTCGGCGACAACGGCCGCAAAGGTCTTGGCCTTGGGCTTGGGCTTCTCGACCTCGTCCTCGACGGCGGTGATCTTGCTGAGCATTAGTGCTGCTTCCTGCGGATATCAACTCACCCCTTGGGGGCCTCCTCAATGTCCTCAGCGAACTCCTCAATGTCGAACTCGTCCCGGTCGTCAAGGTCCGAGTACTCGCCATCCGAGTAGTCCTCGTCGTCCTCGCTGTCGCTCTCCCCACCCTGGTAAATGTAGTTGCCGAGGAGGTGGACAGCGTTGGGGCCGTTGGTCTGGAGGATGACGAGCTCGCCCTCGATAAAGGTGATGTTGAGCTGCGCCTGCTCGATCCGGCCCGGCGTCAGGGCGCAGAGAACAATCTCCTCGGCGACGTCCTCAAAGTCGTCGTCATCGGAGCCCTCCGAGCCCTCGGAGTCGTCCTCGTCGTCCTCATCCTCGTCCTCGCCCATCTCGTCGTCCTCGTCCTCGTCCAGCTCGTCGTCCTCGTCGGACTCCTCGTCAGACCCAACGACCATGTCGTCCTCGTCGTACTCGTCATCCTCGTCGTCCGAGTCGAAAATGTGCTGAGGAATGGGCGAGTGGGTCACCTTGACGACGGTGCGAGCGGTCTCGCTGTCCAGCTCCTCGGCGAGAGCAGCGTTGGTGAGCTGGAAGTCGCGGCGGACGTAGATCGGCACAGGCACTCCGGGCTCGAGAGTGAGGGACTGGAGGTTAGCATGGGGTGGGAAGCACAGAGAGGTAAAGGGCGAACGATGGCGGCGGCAAGGTTGCGAGGGAAGGACTGCTGCTTGAGGACCAATGTTTGGTGCGGTGTGCGGTCGGACCGCCTCCAGCACCAATATTGTTGACGGGAAGCAGGGTGGTGATGCTACCCCGTCTGCAGGCTTGCCGTCGCTCCTTGGCGGTTCAATGGGGTGCGTGACTTACCCAGAGGTTGAGCTGAAGAGGCGACATGGTTGATAGATGTGAATGAGAGGATGAGGTTGGAGGCAGATTGGAAGAGTGGATGATGGAAAGATGCCTGGGTGAGGGGCGGCAAGATTTCAGCTCAACTTTTGACAAGCAACGTGCATTGACCCCACGGTGGTGCCTGAATCCTGCACATGCCAGAATCAGCTTTTCAGGACTACACGTCATCGCCCACGTCATTACTCGCGTGGTCTTTATCAGCGCCAAGAGGAGGAGGACCGAGAATGAACGAGGTGCTTTATTGACATTACAGCATCTGCACCATGGCCCCGCCCTTGTCGACCGACGCCAAGCGCCTTCGTGTATGTTCAGCCTGGGGAACCTCAGTGGCTGACTTCAGACGGTGGTGATCGCATTCCCTGTGCTCGTTGTCACATCTGCCATCTTGTACCGACGAGGTAAGCATCAACTCGGAGGGATCGAGTGCGGCGTGGTCAGCGAGTAATAGCTGCTTCCTCAGCTACTTCCTCCGCGTCTCTTCTCTTCCACTGTCCCTTCGATGTCTACTTGACTCAATCCAAGCTGACTCCAGCATTCATGGGTGAGGAGCAGCGCCGCATCCCACGCCCTCAGGAGGTCCTCCGCCCCGAGGCAGGACAGGATAGTATCCTCCACCATGGCAAGGCGCTCGGCGGCGCTCCTTGGGTCCGGCAGGGTGATGAGGAGCAGCGGAGGTAGCTTAGCCGTCTTCCCTCCCTCCCTCCCTCCCTTCCTTCCTCACTCTCATCCAGCACCACCCCACGGCATAGTCCCCCATCAATAGCTAGTGCGCATTTTATATCTCTAATCGACGATAACCCCTGATAACTTAAGCCTTGGGGAGGACCTTGGTGCCAGGCAGCACGTAGGGGTTTAGCGAGTAGTTGCACTGGTGTGAGCGGAGCCCGGGAGAGCGGGGTGGTGAACAGCGCCTGACTCGAGGCAGTGTCGAGTGATGGCTGAGCCGGCTGCTGGAAAAATGCAACACTCACGTTAGAGTAAGCAACACCGGCACCGAAACTGCTGTCAGCGTACGCTTTGCTGCGATCTTACCCAGTCGAGAGCGCGACGGGCCACCCACGGCCTATTGTCAGCTGAGTCTGGCACGCAATTCAATAAGACATACGGCGGAAGAGGATGACGGAAGCGACAATGCCCGCGCCGAACCCGATGCCGGCGTTAACGAGGAGGTCCGCAAGCTGTGGTCAGTTGGTGTTGCGAGGGCAGATCGATGAGGGCCGCAATGTGGGCCGACGAAAGACGGAAGATGGTTGCGCGAAAGGCGCAAAGGGCGCAAAGGGCGCAAAGGGCGCAGAACGGCGGGCAAGAAGCGTCCGGAGTCAACAGGCCGCAATGCTCTGGTTTAGAAGACAGCGCATGTCTCATGACGCCATGTCCGCAGCGCCGACAACCTCATTGCTCAAACCCAGTCCGCAGGCAAGAACACGGCACTGCGCGCACTCGCCGAAGCTCGGCGGCTGCGGACGTCACCTGCTCGAGCTCAAGAGCGCAGATTATCGCGGTATTGTGAGCCCCTCCCCGTCCAGTCGTCCTGCGCCTCCTGCGTCTCCGCCAGTGGTGCGCGGCGCCACGCGCGTTATCGCCGGGAAGACGTCACATCCGGCTCTGTATGTCGACGGGCTCCATGTCATACTCACGCAGTTGTCAAACTGGTGTCAGCTCCATCCTCATCCCATCTCTTAAAGCTGCGCGAGTCCCGCAAGCACTGCGCGGCTCGGCGCGCAGCTCAGCCGCCCAAGCACAGGCCCTTGAGATCTCCGGCCTCGTGCCTCCAGAAGCGACGAGAGCGACGAGCACTCGGCTCCCACTCGCCGCGTACGCACCTTGCGGGCAATGATGTCCTCGGAGCGGACGGCGGGGACGGGGACGACGGCGGAAGGGGCGGGGGCGGCGGACATTTTGTGGATGATGACGACTGGAGAGCCCGAGAGTGGATCGGATAGCTTGGAGGAGGGCAGGCGCATCATCGCGTGGGAGTGACCGGAATCCACCCACGCGCGCCGGGGGAATGCGGGCTTTGAGTTGTGGCGCGGGGTCCCCGCGTTTCTGTTATGTATGCAGCCAGAGCGCTGGACTGTGTCTTCCGATCTGGTAACAGGCCATGCATGAGGAACTGCGGTGGCTTCCGCGTGCATAAGAGTGTGACGATGTGAGGTGCGGCTTGGTGGACAATTGTCTCAGAGCGTGGGTGTGGCACCTCTTGTCGTACCTCTTCACCGACAATCACCTGTCTTGCCTTTGCTTAAACATGGGCGCCTTGGCTTCATGTGGCAGCAAACACCTCCACGCCTGACCCGGCTTTGGACTCACAGATGCCCGTCTCGCATGGACATGCCTGCCGCTTCACGTCTCGTCAATCTCCGCAGCCGCTTGGGCCTCGTCCGTGCTGTGGCCGGCGGGATGAGGCATTGCGGCCATGCGACGAGTCAATAAACAAACAAGCAAGACTCACCGGGGATTGCAACACACTGCTCGCTGCTGCTCCTCATTTGCTCCACATTACTCTGTCCCCTCACCCAATCACGACTCCCGCGCCGGAGACAACCTAGTAGCGAAGACTCACTCCTGCTGGCCCGGTCAACACTCCTGGCGGACCCAGTCTTGCCTCCCAACCCCGCCTCTCGTCTCTCCATGAAGCTCGACATTGACCACATCCAGCATCTTGCTGCGCGTGCGGACGTGACGCCCAATACTTTCCGTGCTTCACCTCTTCTCTCCTCAGCTGACAGCAGAGACATACACAATTGTCGCGGCCTGCCTCTTCATCCCTATCACGGCCGCAATCTGGCACACGCCACATGTGCGGGACGCCTTCGTGGGCCCCAAAGTGTTTGTAATCTTCACGCACGAGATGTTCCACGTCCTCGCCGGCGTTCTCTGCGGCGGGCGGCTACATGCGTTCGTGATCGATCCAAACCTCGGCGGATACACTGGCGTCTCGGGGCTCAAACGCACCGTGCCGCGCACACCAGACCCGTATAGCTTGCCGACGCCGGAGCAGCTGTTTTGGAGTCCCAGTGTGGTTGTTACGCTCCTGGCGGGACCGCTTGGCAGTGCCATCATAGGGTTCCTTTACATCGTGAGATTGCAAGCTACGGCCTGGGTTGACGGCAGTTTGCGGGCTGTGCGTGAGACGATGGAGTGTACTTATACAGTCGACATCGTTGCCTCTAAGATCGCAAGCTTTACTATCGCACTCGGTCTACTCGTGGCGGGCGCGTACGCCATGCATTGGATGTGAGTTGTCAGTCGCCCGGAGTCGGGCTTAGTTAGCACCTACATGAGTGTATTCTGCTCCGAAGCCATCCTCATCGGCCTGTGGTTCGGCGCGCATGGCAGTGCCTTGCGCTTCCTAGGTAAGCAGCTTACTCCGGACCGTTGAGCTAACGCTAGTCCTCTTCTTTGGTATGTCCTCTGCCGGTCTGTGGTTGCGCTGAAACACGCAGGGGCAATGCACCTATTCTACACACTCTGGGACTACCTCGAGGACGCGGTGTTCGGCAAAACTCACCCCTCCGACTGCCAGGAGCTGCAGCGCAACCTCGGCCTCTCCGCAGAAGCATGGCTTGCGTTTATCTTTCTATTCGAGGCGCTCGTGTTCATGGCTGCCACCCTGGCGGGTATCTGCGTGTTCAAGGTACGTGGGTTGCATTGGACCAGCTGATGGCAGAAAACACCGGAGGAGATGTATGCCAACGCGTGAGTTTCTCAGCAAGCTCTAGCTGACGCCAGCGCGGGTTTCCTTCCGACATGACGTGTTGATCATGGTGAGGCACTGCCTCATTAACGACGATCATTGCGGGGCCTTACCGCGCACGGAATTACCGATGGATCGTCGTCATTCTCACAGCGGAACAGCGGAGTGACAACTCGCGGTGATCGCCGAGCGATGATTACCTCCGAGGCCAGATGCAGTTGTGAGAAGGACAGAGACGCAGAACTACATATGGCATATCATTTCAATTGACAGTGGAGCGGGCTGTTCCGCATGTTCGACGACATGCAATGGGTCGCAGTGGGGTGCGTCAACTCCTGCTGTGCCACGCTCTCTGTCATAGGGGCATCGCCGCTGGCAGTATCGCGGCCTCGTTGAGGCCAGGCTCCGATGCCCGATCGACACTGACGTGGCGTTGCACGCAGCAAGGGTTCCGCGTCTAAGATTCTGCGCAGTCCAGTAATGCAGATTATTTGAGATGAGCAGTAAAGCCGCGTCGAGCGCAGTCTGGCCCAGCAAGGCCAGCAAGCTTATCAGAGGCACTGCTGACAAGCAGGAAGCAGGGGGATGGCGTCAGAGTTGCTCAGCCCGCGGATTTTGCGCCTCCGCTCAGCCAGGCCGGCCAGGGCCGTCTTCGTCGGGCCATGTGTGCCGATAGTCCCCTCGCCGGCCGGCGTACGGCGTCTAGCGTACCAAGATTTCGATTTCGAGCCCACCGTGCCACCGTCGTCAAAACATCCATCCTCTTCATCCCCTCTCCCATATACCCGGCCCAGCGATCATGGCAGGCGTCGACCCCGTGGCCGCCGCCGCGCTCTCCTCGGCGCCCTACTCCGCGTCCGACCTCGCCGCCCTCGCCTCCAGCCTCGCGACTGTGCCCACGGAAACGCTCCGCGCCGCCCTCGAGGCATGTTCGGTGCCCTCGCGCTCGCCCCTCGCCGTATTCACAAACTGGGCGCGCACATTCGAGTGCCGCCCGCAGCGCGTCTTCGCGCCTACGACCCCGCTCCAGTGCCGCCAGATTGCCGAGCTGGCGCGGCGCGACGGCGCCACCGTGCATCCCGTTGGCGTGGGGCATTCGCCTTCCGACCTTGGGTGCACAAACGGATGGCTGGTGCGCATGGAGGGCGTGCAGGGGACGTTGGATGTGAGTCACCTGCTCTTGAAACGCTGCGCTCCAAGGCATGCTGCGTGCGCCGGGGCGCTAGCCCAGCGTCAGCGGCTGATTCCAGATTTCCCACACTGATCGCACGGCGACGTTTCAGGCCGGCACGACGCTGCATGCCGTCCACGCCTCCCTGGCTGCCGCGCAGCCGCCACTCGCCCTCCGCAACATTGGGAGCATCAGTGACCAGACGATCGGCGGCCTGATCAGCACGGCGACGCACGGCTCAGGCGTGACATACCCGGTCATCTCGGCGGACGTGCGCTCACTCGTCCTCATCCTCCCGCTGCCCGGCGCGCCAGTTGTACGCGTGTCGCGCGAGGCGGACCCCGCGCTCTTCGCCGCCTCGCAGTGCGGCCTCGGCGCAACCGGCCTCATCCTCGCGGTCGAGATCACCGTCGAGGACGCCTACCGCCTCGAGGAGGTCAAGGATGTATACGGCGTCGACGAGGTTATTGACAGCCTGGACGAGATTAGCTCGTCTGCCCAGCATGTCCGTGTCTGGTGGTACGCCAGTGGCGGCATGGTCGTAGCCCGTGCCAACAGGACATACATGCCTGCCAACCCCCAACCAAGCCTCATGGGCCACATCCTCGGATACCACGTCACACAGTTCCTCCTCTTTGTTAGCCGCTTCTGGCGCAACTTTACACCATATGTCGGCAAGTGGGCGTGGTGGCTCGCTGGGCGGCATAGTGTGACCGTTGACGACGGGTACAAGGTCTTCAATTTCGACTGCCTCGTGAGTGCCCTCATCTCCCGCGCCTTCGCTACTTTGCCGCCCAAGCTGATCCCAGTTCCCGCAATACACGTCCGAGTGGGCACTCGACGCTGCCGCCGCCGCCGACTGCCTCCGTGCGCTCCGCGACTATGTCGCTGAGGAGACAGCCGACCCCAACGGACAGCGCGTCCACTTCCCCGTCGAGATTCGGTGGAGCGCGCCTGACGACATTCCCCTTTCGCCCAGCTACGGGCGGCGCACATGCTGGATCGGCGTCGTCACATACAGACCATACGGGCTGCCCGTGCCCTACCGGGTCTTCCAGACGCGCTTTGCGCAGATCTGCGCAGCGCACGGTGGCCGTCCTCACTGGGCAAAGGAGCACTGGCTCGCGCCAAAGGATGTCGAGGAGACGTACGAGCGTTTCCCCGAGTTCCGGTCGGTGCTGCAGCGCGTTGATCCTCAGGGTGTGCTCCGCTCCGAGTATGTCAGGAGGCACATTCTTGGCGAGGACTTGCCGTTGCGCATGTTCAAGCGGCGCCCGTGAGAGAGGGTGGTGGTGGCGTGTAGTAGAATACATAGACTTTTAATGGTTACAGGATTGGGTATGGGGATGCGGGTTACCATTATGTCACTTGGTATCATCATGGTTCTACTCCTCGTCCGAATCTACCAACTGTTTGCCGCGATTACGTACGCGCCCAGCTGCGAAACGGTCCTTCCATGGCTCTTCGACCTGCTCGCGCTTCAGTTCCTTCGAGTCCTCTGACCTGCGCGCCTTCTTTGCCGGGCGGGTCGCAGCGGTAAGTCGGGCAACATCGTTGGCGAGCGTGCTTGCAAGGTGTGGCTGGTGTTTTAAGATCTGGCGTGAGCAACACTGTCAAGTCCTGTTCAGCACGAGGCTCCGCTACCTACTTCCAGGCCCATTTCGTATAAGGCGCGCTCCTCAGGAGAGTCACGGAACGCCTTGTCGTGTTCCATAGCTGCGGGTCAGCGGCAGCGTGGCTAAACGACTCACTGGAGATGCCCAATTTCGTCAGTAGGTCCTCTCCTTCGCTAGACGGTCCGGTACCGTCCGAGATCAGCTCGGTCAGGAGGCTAGCCTCTTCCTGCTCCGCCGCCTGGCTGGCCTTCCGCTTGTCGCGCTCCCGGCGGGCTGCGGTGACACCGTCCTCCTGGGAATCAGCGCTGCAACTGTGCAACATACCTCATCCCCACTATCATTCTCGTACTCGGCCTCGATCAGATCCAGCCGGAATCGATCTTCGTCTTGACGGACACGCTCAAGCTGAATTCAGCTATGCTCAGCGAAATGCTCACATTGTTCTTGACATATCCCCCGGGCCAGTAGCGGAAGAGGTTGTGGACCCCAAACAGCTCGCCTTTGTCGCTCATATCCGTCGCGCCCTCGTAGCCCGCATGAGTTCGGCGCTCGAATGTGCCTTTGTTCATTTGACGAGAGCGCTGCTGCTTGTAAACTTGGGTCAGCACTCCACGAAGGTCAACGTACTTTGCCGCTCGTACATCAGTTCTTCCACAGTGCCTTGGCCGATGAGCCGATACACATCCACGGGGCGAGTTTGTCCAATGCGGAAAGCGCGGTCCATGGCTTGCAAATCATTGGCAGGGTCTGGGATCAGCCATCGGGGCACTCGCAGCCAGACTGAACGCACTCCAGTTGGGATCAAAGATCACGACCTTGTTGGCCTACACATGAGCTTCTGTGTGACGTGTGTTACTTACGGCAGTGAGGTTAAGTCCTACGCCGCCAGCCATTGTGCTGACAAGCATGATTGATAGGTCGCCATCTGGGTCCTGGAACCTATCCACAATGCCCATGCGGTCCGCCTTGTCGACTTCGCCTATGAACAGTTCGCAGCCAAAGCCAGACACTGACAAGAGTCAGCATTGAGCATCGAAGTTGCCCACGAGATGGAGTGGTATTTATAAACTCATGAATCATGTTGAGCAGCCGGACCGAATTGGAGAAGACCAGGACTGTCGTCAGCGTTCAACACCACGGAGGACGCACTCTTATTCTTCTCCTCGGGACGCAAGCGCCACTCCCTCAACATCTGCACCAGTAGGAGCCATTTGCCGCAATTATCGGGATCCCTCATGCTCAGTGCTACCCTGCTACCTAACTCACAGTGCTGCCTCGATCTGATTATGACGGTTGGGATCGTATGTCAAACCCACCTGTAATCAGTGAGTGTCTCAGAACCTATCTTACGCAAAATTCAAAGAGGCGCTTAGCCGTGGCTTTCTGGAGTTAGTGAGCTCTCATATTGCTTGATCCGGCTCACGACTTTTGGCGGATCATTTGGGCCTGGTAGTGGTTAGTATCATGCGCTAGCCGCGACCACATACTGGAGTACAAGAGGGCGAGGTGATTTGCACAGCGCCCAAGAGCGTGGAACCTGGCATCAGCCAAAGCATAAAGTCGTTAAAACGCACATCTTCAAGACGGCTGTCCGATAGTCGTCACCTTGTGAGTTGACCTCTGCGCAACAAGCCATCCGCCTGGCCCGTCAGTGAGAGTACTGGGCGCCCCCAAACCCACATTCTGCCCGATCCGCAGTCGCAAGGATTTTTGGATCCGAGGATGAACATCATGTCTAGCGCGTCAGCAACAGTGTTAACTCGACTAACCAGCCGAATCGACAACCCGTTTGTACACTGCCTCCTGATTCTTGGCGAGGGGGCACAGCACGACCTTATCATGCTTTTTAGGTAGCTGTCGTGTCAGCCGTTACCTCAAAATCACGCACCTCATGAGCAATCAGTCCTTTGTCGCGGCGAATGTAGAAATGAGGTAAAACCTTGTCCTTCAACTCTCCTACACGTTTCTGTATATCAGTACCTGCAAGCAAAGATAACACATACAATGGCCTGGACAACCTCGAACAAAGTGCCGTCGCGTCGATGGCCACGTGTGACGGGCCTCGCTGCAAATGTCTTCCACTGCTTGAACGTGCCGGCCCAACCGCGATGAACCTAAGCAGGTCAGTCACGCTCACTGACATGCGCACAAAGTCGAGAACCGACCACATCTCTTCCATGCGATTTTGGATCAGAGTACCTGTCAAGGCAAAGCACGTGCCGGCGCGAAGCTTCTTCACGGCCAAGGTTAAAAGCCCAGTGGGCTTCTTTAAGCGGTGCGCCTCGTCCACGAACACGGTCCTAGCATGGTTAGCGCTCAAAAGGGAAAGCCTCACGAAAATGGGGCTGTCTTCAATTCGTCTGCAAACTTGATGCACATCTCATAAGAGGTCAACACTTGGCGGGCGTGAGCACGGCGGCAACGGTCACTAACAAATATCGAGGTATCCAAGTCGCATAGTCTCAATATCGCCTCGATCAGAGCTGGAACGTAGGACTTTGTACTCGAAGAATCCCCACTGCATGTTAGCGGCGATGTGAACTATGCGCACAGTGTCCAACTCTCGGCTCCACTGGAAGTTAGCTCCAACTTCGGTGTGGCGCAGCTCACGTTGTCAACGAGGGATGTCGGACACACGATAAGGGCGGTTGGCCACCTCTTGGCGGCAATGCTCTGAACATTGGTACTGCGGATGAGATGCTTGCGGCGGCCTTTGTCCTCAGCTGTGCCCGTCTTGCGCATGATAGCTGACAGCTGTATGTCAGCATAGTCTTGGCTTTGCGAGTACAAATGCGATGACTTGTACAGTCTTGCCCAATCTGTTCTGTCAGCGACGTGTCGCAATGGTTACCCACCCCATATCATCGCCGAGGATGCCGCCGTAGCCCCTCTTGTACTTGGAGTAGAAGAATTCGACTCCATCGCGTTGATAATTGCGAAGAAAACGATTGATAGAGGATGGTATCACCATGGACGAATCATCCGAGTCGATGTTGTGAGGCCCAATATTGAGCTGCTGCTCCGTGCACGGGAAAGCCGGACGCTCTTTGACAGCGATGACCTTGGAGCCGATTGGCACAAGCGAGTGTTCTTGAGACTGCGATGACGGAGCTGACGTTCGCAGTTGCGAGTTGTCAGGGGGTGCAGTGGTCAGCGCAGGGCACGGCGAAACTCACTACTAGAGCCCTCGTCGTCAGAGTACACCTCCTCGGTCTCATCTTCGGTATAGACTTCCTCTTCCTCTTCCTCCCCGGGCGCCTCATTTGCTGCTGGAAGAGGTCGGTTGGATCCCCAGGGCGCGATAATGACATCTTCACTGTAATCTTCCTCGTCCTCGCCAACTTCGCTGCTTTGCTGTTCGTCCCCTGACAGCTGGGCGTTGAGGTCTGCAGCTTGCAGGGCGGCGGCGGACGGCTTGATATCGAAGTCAGACGGACGGCTTGGCTTGATTTCGGGAGAGATCTGTAGCTTCACGTCGTGGTGCGAAACCACGGGTTTGACGTCCGCGCTAACGTGAGGCTTCACATTGCGGCTGATATTAGGCTTCACGTCAGCGATATGTGGTCTGATGTCGTGCTTGATGCCGGCCTCAGGCTTGACGGAGGAGGTTGTGCCCGACTCTGACTTGAGCCATGAAAGCAGGCCGTTTCCAAGCGCACCAGGAGGAGCGTCATCGACACGGGTCTTCCTAGGTGGTGGAGCTCGTGGTTCAAGTGCGCGCTGCTTGAGGGTGATCTCGTCGGGTTCGGTACCTGGAGGCAGGGCTACAGTCAGCGGCATCAGGGTCGTCGAACTCACATGCAAGCTCTACTAATGGGTCAAAAGGCAAGATTCGCTCTGGCATCAGTGATGCCTTCCCGGAAACCCACGGCCTTCGTACTGCAGTTCGCGTCCCCCAGAATCGACCCCCGGTGTCCCGTCGGAGTCATCGGAGTCGTCGAGGTTCTGACGCTTGCGTGGGTGCACGATCTCTCGCTTCGGCTTAACGGGCATTTTGAGAGGCTTCTCGCCTTGCGCTTTCCTAGCCTTGTTTGCCTTGCGTACCTTCTCGCGCTCCATAAGGTACATCTGCTCCTCCTTGTAACCATTTGCGTCTTCCGCTGCATCGAGATCGAAATCATCTTTTGGAGCTAAAATCAGCGACAGAACACAGACATAAGCTGACGAGGAGACGCGCGTGAGGCCTTTGGCTTGGTATCCGCCTTTCCCGCGCCTTCGGGATGCTTGGTGTGTGGCTTGCCGTTGCGCTCCATGTCGCGCTTCATGCCAGACCGTCCTAGTGTGAGCAATAAAGAACGAAAAAATAGCATTCAGGTCTCACTCAATGGCTTAGAGCTTCTCATGTTGTCAGCCATTCATTGTCGTGCGACGCAGACAACGAAGGATGGAGATTGCGATGGCGACTGTGAGTGTGGAGGTGGAGGTCAATGGGTGATTCAACCTCAACAACAACAGTAACATTACTCTCCCACGGTCAACTATCCCACGGTCACTCCGCACCTCCACTTTCGACCATCCCCGGTCCGACTTTCTTCGAGACGCGGCTGCCTTACCTCACACCACCCCGCAATGAGCAGGCTCCTCTCTCACCCGCTGGGGCGCCTGCCCCGGCTTTCCAGGAGCTCTCCGGCTCCTCGTATCCTTGGCGTTCGCTTCGCCAGCGAGGCGAAGGACCAGGACATCCGCAAGAAGTACTCTGCGACCCTCCTGCTACCGAAGACGGACATGCCGTTGCGCGTGAAGAACCCGCCTGCGACCGAGGACAAGTTCCGGCACCGGACGACGGACGAGCTTTATCGCGAGCAGGTGGGATGTGATTTTGCATGGCTGACAGCAGTATGCGAGCAACGAGGGACCGGTGTTCGTGCTGCACGACGGACCGCCGTACGCGAACGGCAACCTCCACATGGGTGGGTGCGGAAATGGCACGTCTGACTTCAGGGCATGCGCTCAACAAGATCCTCAAAGACATGATCAACCGCTACAATGTGATCCGCGGCCGCAAGGTTCAGTGCGTCAGGCCCGTCGGGCGTTTGCCTGTCTGACCCCAGCTACATTCCCGGTTGGGACTGCCATGGCTTGCCGATCGAGCACAAGGCGCTGGCGGCGCTTGGCGTGAGTTGAGAGTGTGCACATATTGCTAACAGTACAGAAGTCTCACACGTCTCTTGACCCAGTGAGCGTGCGGCAAGAGGCGCGCAAGTTCGCACTCGAAGCCATAGACGTCCAGAAGGCCGAGATGAAGCAGCTCGGCGTCATGGCTGATTGGGACAATCCCGATGGCGTGTACCGCACCCTTGGTAGGTAACTATGCTTCTCACCACGCTGCTAATTTCAGATCACGAGTATGAGATCCGTCAGCTCAAGATGCTGCAGATGATGGTGTCCAAAGGTATGGGCGGCAGCCTGGTGCGATCCTGAGCGGCTGCTAACATCAGGATTCATCACACACCGCCTCAGGCCCACATACTACTCGCCTTCTTCGCGGACTGCTCTTGCGGAAGCAGAGCTCGAATACACAGACCTTAAATCTACTTCGGTATATGTTGCGTTCCCCGTCGCCGAAGATGGGATGACCCCACGCCTGCAAGAGGCGTTCCAGAAAGGCAAGGAGATCAGTCCGGAGGCTAGCTTGAGTCTGGCAATTTGGACAACGACACCATGGACGCTCCCGGCAAACATGGTGAGTGCGAACCTGGTGTTCTCCCCCTAATGTCAGGGAGTATCGGTGCACAACGAAATTGTGTATGCTGTGGTGCTTGATCGGGAAAAGCGACTTCTTGTTGTAGCGGAGGAGCTCCTGGAGCCGCTCCAGGAGCGATTTGGGAAATTGGATGTCGTGGACCGACTGGAGGGTTGGTTAAATCATCTGAAAATTGCTCACTTTCAGGCAAGGATCTCGTTGGCACCAAGTATCGCAACCTTTTCCACACGGGCGATCACTCGTCGCTCCCAACAATCTTTGCGGCGGACTATGTTACGCCCGAGTCCGGAACAGGTCTTGTCCACTCCGCCCCAGGTCACGGACATGACGACTACGACGCGTTCCAGGCTCAGAACATCCCGATGGATGACCTGCGTTGTCCCGTCGATGACGAGGGGCATTTCACAAGCGAAATTGTCCAGTGGTCCGGGAACGAGGCATTTTCTGCTCTCGTTGGAAAATATGTCTTGGGCGCCGGGGCCAAGTTGATGATCGAGCAATTAAAAAACTCGGGTGTCCTGCTGGCTGAGGAGAAGATTGAGCACCGCTACCCCATCGACTGGCGGACCAAGAAGCCCATTATTATTCGGGCAACGCCCCAGTGGTTCTGCGATGTCGGGACTCTCAAACCGTCCGCGGTCGAGGCAATTGAAAACATCAATTTTGTTCCTCCTAATGGTAAGCTCTGACATGGTGTGAAGTTGCTGACAGCAGGGCGCAATCGACTTTCTGCCACTGTTCTCTCGCGCTCCGAGTGGTGCATTTCACGCCAGCGTAGTTGGGGCGTTCCAATCCCCTCCCTTTTTAACGCCGAAGGCGAGCCTTTACTCACTGTGGAGTCGCTCGAGCACATTATTTCTGTACTGCGGGAGAAAGGGGTTGACCACTGGTGGTCCGGATCCGACGAGGAGTTTGTGCCTCCTAGTCTCGTAGGTCAGAAGCTCACGAAGGGCTTCGACACGCTCGACGTCTGGTTTGACAGCGGCACGTCGTGGTCGCTGATTGCGGATGCTCACTTGCGACCGGCATCTGAGCCATTAGCTGATGTCTATTTGGAGGGATCTGACCAGCACCGTGGATGGTTCCAATCATCGATCCTCATCCGGCTGGCAGCGCTGGAGAAGGTCGGTGACAAGCCGATGGCCCCATACCGGAACTTAGTCACGCACGGCTTCTGCACGGACGAAAAAGGCAACAAGATGAGCAAGTCGCTGGGCAACGGCATCTCCCCGATGGACGTGGTGAACGGGAAGAAGGTTGGTGGAAGGCGGTGCCACATCCGCTAACGCACCACAGGGACGGGACGCTTTCGGATCCGATACTCTGCGCGTGTGGGCTGCTGGGGCTGACTACACGCGCGACGCCTCGATCGGGCCCTCAAGTATCTCACATGCCGCTGAAGTGTTGCGCAAGTTGAGGAGTACTCTGCGTTTCATGCTTGCCAACACGGCGAGCGCCACACCCCTGCCTCTAGAGCGGGTCCAATTGACGCTAGTAAGTCGGCAATTTATGTTCCGCAGCTCGGGAACACCTGACCCTGACCTCCAGGTAGAACGATATGTCTTGCACGAGCTAAGCACCCTGGAGCAGGCGGCACGAGCAGCGTACAATGACTTTACTTTTAACAAAGGTGCGTTGCTCGGGAGCAAGGCTAGGTGCGAGTGCGGGGACGGTGGCGCGTTCCGCATGTGGTGGGCTGTTGTGCTTCTGTGGAATATGGGCTTACGGTTTCAGTCTTGCAGGGTGTCGCCAGTTTCACATCGTCAACCCTCTCGTCTTTCTACTTCGACGTTGCCAAGGACACACTGTACTGCGACCCTGTGGACGGGGCACGGCGGCAGGCCATCATTGCCACACAACACTACGTATGTCTGATCTGGACCTGCTTGAGATTGCGTTTGCTAACAGGGTTTCTCAGGTGCTAAGCGCCGTGCTCAAGATTGTCGCTCCTATCGTCCCACACCTCGCCGAGGAGGTCTACGAAGCCATGAGCGTGGGCTCCCCACAGCGCAAGAAGTCAGTATTCCTGGAACACTGGACGGACGGGGTAAGTCCGAAGCCGGGCCTCTCCAAATTCTGCGGGGAGGTTTCGGGTTTTGCTTTTACCTGCGGCTGCTGACACAATAATTCAGGAGAGCTGGATCGACACAGAAGCCGCGGACCACATGGCCGCCATCCTCGCCATTCGGAACGAAGTGCTGGGCATGCTTGAGACGGCACGGCAGGACAAGTACGTTAGATCCAGATTCAGCTGCTTCCGCGGCTCTGGCTTGTCCAGACGTAATGCTGACGCCGTGTCCATCAGGCACGTACGAGTGCCTACCGAGGCTGCAGTGTACCTTAACGTGTCGCCCTTGATGGAGAGCTTGTTGAAGAGGCACGGTGAGTCGGGGCTCTCACGGATAACGGACCAAGCCGTCCTCGTCGCGACCGCAAACGCGGACGGACGGTGGGCGGTCGGGATTATCGGCAAGCATGTGCAGGAGGGCAGGTGGCCTTGGGGCATGCGGGTGTGCGATGGCTGGCGCGTCCTGGCACGAACAGCATAGTCTGGTATCGGGCACTAACCTCTCAGCGGCTCTTCTCCCAAGCATTTTGGGAGTGTCAAGCGTCGAGTTTACGACTCCACCAGCGTCCACGTGGAGTGTGACGGCGCCGCCATCAGAAACGGGTGAGATAACAACGCCCCGGTTTACCCGTGATCGTAGAACATGCTGACAACAGTATCGATCACGCTGGCTCCTGCGCCCGGCCACCAGTGCCCCCGGTGCTGGTTGTATACGGCGCCCGCGGAGACGGCGCTGTGCGGGCGGTGTGACAAGGCGCTTGGACAGCCCGCCGCGGGACAGTAAAATGGTGGGGTTGGGATATGGGGAAATGAGTGGAGACTTGGCGTCATATCGCGCCCCAGAGATCCAGAGATCTGCTCCATTAGTTTCTTTATGGCATCGCAATCACCTGTCCGACACGCACGGCACAGACAGGCTACGGGCTGCCGACTGCGGCTACAAGGAGTCAGGTCGGATCTGTAGTCGTACTCTCGCCTGGTGTGCGTGTCCACATGCACATGACCTCCTCGTTGCCGGTCTTGCCAAAAGGTCTGTTGTCGTGATCAGAGGTGGAGTCGAGCCGTCCGCCGTTCCGCCGTTCCGCCGTATCGCCGTATGTCGTGTCGCATTTGTCGTATTTGTCGTATTTGTGGTGCGCTGCATCTCCCACGGAAAACGGCTGTTGTGCCTCGTGAACGGCGTCATCACTCCTGCCCACGCCCGGTGCCCAGCTGCTCAGCTGCCCGAGATTGCTCATGCCATGGCCTATACACGGCGGTCATGCCCGAGGAATGCTAAGATCTGACGGCAGAGGGGGCATGGGGTGGTTACAGATGCCCGAAGCCCTGGCCAGCCGGCGTGTCTGCCGGTGATGATGGATGATGGATGATGGATGATGGATGACGCGCATGTTGCGCAGGTAGAGAGGTGGAGAGTGGAGCGCGACTGCTAAACTGAGCCACTCCCAGTACCTGCCTCCCTACTATCCTGCATGATCCTGCAACTCCTGCACCACAGGTTCAAGTCCTGCAGGCAGCCAAGTCCCACTCCTGCAGGTGCACCGAAGAGTTTGTTGCCGGCTTCGGCGGGCAAGGGAGGCTGCCCGCTTGCCCAATTATCCAGGCCAAATATCCACGGTCCCCAACAAAAAAAAAACATGAGCTTGCCGGACCTCGGGGCTAGGGGTTGGTCGGGGAACAGTCATTGACCATCCCGGCTCGCCTGACTGTGCCTCGGTGGCTCGATAGGTCGATAGCCTGATGCGGGTGCAGGGTGACAGCCATGACATGACATGTGCACGGGATGAGCGGCATGAGCGGAATGTGCTGAGTGTTGGCCTGATTGGCATGAATTGCTTCGGATCCGCCGATCCTTGGTGCCCTCGCCAAGGTCAATTGCGGGTGGGAGTCATCAAGTCACGCCTAGTCGCTGAGCTCGCCGAGAGCGGTGCACGGAGGTGTTTGAGGTTTTGCTCACTGGGATATGGGACAGGGAAACCTTGCCAGGGCCTGACAAGTGTCCCCGACGTCCGGTCCGAGCGCGAATCCATTCAGTTTGGACATTTAATCCTGCCAACCTGGCTGTCAGATCCTGAACACCGAATATCCTGACGCATATGAAGTCACGGAATGAGGAGTAAAAGAGGGAGGGGGGGGGGGGGAGAGTAGAGTAGTAGTGCATACTTTACCGGGCGGGCCTTGGGGACCTGGCGGCCTGATGGCGGACCTGGGAGACGGGGATGTCCGGGATGGCTCCGAGAGGACTGCGACCAGGTGTCGCACCAAAAAGTGCTGATTGGGTGGGACCGAGATATGAGTCGGGTTAGAGTGGGGGTAGCGACCCCTTGCTGGCTGTCCCGGATGCATCAGAGGTTACGAGCCCAGAAGCTCGGGACGTGACCGAGGAGCCGACGAGATCCGGCACTAGGTGAGATTTGTGAGAGGGTGTTTGGGCGTACGAGCTGGACACCAGGGGTGCGGTAAGGTCCGCTCTGAGGAGGGGGGCCGTAAGGCTGAGAGCAGAGGCAAGAGACCAGGGTGAAGGGATGCAGGGTTATGAATGATGACGAAAGTTGGCAAGGAGAGTTTGAGAGGGAGGAGAGGGAGGAAAGGGAGAGGAGGGTCAAAGGCAAGGTTTGATGAGATGAGCACAGTCCCGTAGAAAGAGCAGAGGGAGTAGTGACTGAGTGAAGTGCAGCAGAACGAGAAAAAGGAGAGAGGAGAAGAGAAGAGGAAGAGAAGAGAGTAGTGGAAGGGAAAAGATGGAAAAGGGCGAGAAAGGGAGGGAGAGGAGGGAGGAGGAGCCCATGTGCATTGAGAGTCGAGCCCGGAACATTTGATGAATTGACTTGAGACTCGACCGTTTCGCATGCGTTTGCTGGAATCCATGCCGGCACGCTCTTGTCTCGCTCGCTTTGCGTCAATTGTCATATGGTTTATCAGAACTCTCCCTCTCCCCTCTCTTGCCCCCTCATCAACACCACTGTCATCTCCGGCACACGACTACTGCACAGCACCAGCTCAACTGGTGCCCATCTGCTCACGCGCTCTACCCTAAATTTCATAATACACAACCAAACTCTTGTATCGTCTATACACGGTCATAGGCCGGTACGCCGGTACACTCGTAATCCATCGTCCATCAACGCCATCATCCATTCCTCCCCCCATCCCCTTCCAATCCCTCCCTTCTGACCACCACCCACCCACCCACTTCCTTCGTCATTCATTCAACTCATCCATCATCTCATTCAACACACTTCCCCATCTCTTCAAGCCTCAACAAATCCATCCTTGATCTCGTCTCTCTTTGGCTCTCTGCGCAACAATTCTCCTCTTGCATTGATTTCACTGCACAGCCCAAAGTTCGAACTGCCCTCCACCGAGCGGGGGAGCTGTCGCCCAAGCCTTCTCCAGACCCATCTTCGCATTCGGCAGCCTTGGACGCCTACACAAGACGCGCGTCAACTCTGTCCGTCTCTGCGTTACAAACGTGCAAGGTTCTACGTACTCGCGCTAGGCCACCAACTCGTTGGCACAAATCCCCTGCCGTCCTCCCACTCCAGGCACCTCCTCCATTCGCCGCCTCGATCGTCGCCCATTTGTTGTTCGGACAAGAACTTGTCCGTTATCCAGAAACTACAACAAACTTCTACAAGATAGCCGAGTGACCTAAAGCTGTGCACTCAAGCGTCGACTACACCGACGCGCGCACGACTACGTCTGGTCCAGCCCTCGCTCGCTTAACAGGTGTAGCTTCAGCGTGATCATGTAAACACGGCCTGGCGACATCATCCCACTTTAGCTTCCTCGCCCATCCTCCCGTTTTCCACCGACGATCCTCCCACCCAATATTGCTGGCTTGCTTGTGAATTCACGACCAGCGGATCATTACCCCTCCCCCACGCTCGCTTGTCGCCGGTTGTTACCTCGACGCCACCCTTTCAACGCCACTGCGACGCCCAAAGCGCCTAGCGGTCGCGACTGCGTGGATCTCTTTGTCTGCAGGGCATGTCAGGTCCACACATGACGCAAGAGAACGACCAGCGGTGGGCTTCGACTACTTCGCGGCCTTCGTCTCCACCTCCGCTTCGTGCATCAACATCTTCATCACCGCGATCCATGTCGGCCGGCGTCTCTCCACCATCACATCACCACTCACACCACTACTCCGGCCATGGGGATATCGGGCCTCAGGCTGGTCCGTCAAATCGACATACCGCTCCATCCTACGGCCCTCCCTCAGGAGAAGGTCCATCACACCCCACGGGACCCTCATCGTCGTCTACATCGGCGCAAGGAAGTTGGGATGAGGGCGAAACAAAGCCCAGCAAACCATCCAGCCGCATGCCCGAAAAGTCGATGATCTTGCGCCGCAGAGAGGCTAATCGTCTGGCAGCCCAGCGTTTCCGTAATCGCAAGAAGGGCTACCAGGACAGCCTCGAGGAGCGGGTACGTTCGCTCGAGCAAGAGCGTGACGATCTTATCGAGCGCTTGGAAACGGCAGAGGCGGCGGCAATGAGCCGCGATTCGCATACGGTGTGGCCCACACCTTCCGCAAAGCACCGCCGGTCAGGTACCGGAACTTCTGCAGCGTTCTTTAGTCGTAAAGGAGGAAGTGGCACTTTTCCACCTCCCTCTCCTGACGAAAGTCTGCGGCTGAGCGGCGTCGAGGCGGCCAACCGCCGTCTGCAGGACGAGAATAAGTGGCTGCAAGAGGATAACGCTCGCCTTCAGGAGATGCTTGACCGCTGGGTGGAGTGGGGCCGAGGCCAGCCTCGCTCCAGAAGCTACGACGCGCCTTACGATCCTCCGTACGACGACAGTCGCGTAAGTCACCCCCAATTCTATTGTTCTTTGGGCTTGCCTGGACTCATTAGTTGATTGCTAATCGACCAGTATCACCACCCTCATCCGCCACCTCCGCCGGCGTCGAATCATGGGCCCGTCCCGCCAACGTACGCTGGACGCACGTCGCACTCTGTTCCGCCCTACTCGCACGTTTCGCCGAACCCTCAACCATCACCGGTACACTCCCCACCGTCGTCGTACTCCCACCACCACCCGTACGGTCCACCTCCTCCTGGCCGACCAGCAATGGACCGGCAATCGAGTTCTGGGTCGCACGCGGGATCGTATACTCCTAGAGGGACTGGAACCGGCCTTACCTTGCCGCCATTGCGACTGGCTTCGCGCTCTCCTTCGGGGCAGGTCTACACATCCTCATCCGCCGGACGCCCACCTAGTCGTGACCTCGAGACCCTGCCTCCGGTCGCACCTCAGCGGGTTCATCCGTGGCCCGCCTCCCCCCGCCAGCAGCACCACGATGTGCGGAGGTAACGGCGGATGGGCCGGACCAACCCGTCCCGTAGATCTGTTTGTATGTGTCTCACGTTGTGGCGCGCCCATGATCGGCGCCTTAGTCATTGGGCACCACCCATGTTATTCACCCTGCGCTCCTGTGCAATTGAGAGATAGTGGCTGTCGAGTACGCCCAGTCTGAGGATTGAGGCGGTGTTATCCCCTTACAGACCGACACAGGTAGCCCGCAAGATGGCGTAAGCACCGGTCAGGTGTATTCGGTATTCCCCTGCCGCCACACCCAGGATCTGGTCTGGACTCGATGCCAACCCGTCACATCAACCCTAGAGACATGCAGATATCGGCGCACGTCACAGCGACGGCCGAGCCCAAATCCGAACACCGGAGGCGTGCAGCTGACCACGTTGGTGCCGGCGTGAAACGTTGGGGTAAAGCGATCTGACGACGAGCCACATTCCGCGCTCGCTCCCGTCAGCCGGCTCTTGTCGTATCCAGTGATCCAGTGACGGCCGCAGCTGTGAGATGGGGTCATGGGAATGTAACCCGTAACATGATTCCGTGCGTGCGGATCAACTCCTATTTTGGACAAAGCCACGTTCGATGTCACAGGGGCGTGGCGTTGAATTGTGGTGACTCATGACTGGCGATCGGCACACGCCCGCGCCCAGTTGCGAGTTGGCGGATTGGCGGTGAATGAACGGCGGCATGTGCCGTGAACGACACTATCCTCTCGGGCCGTGGTACCGCCACCTTCGGATGCAACCTCCACCGTGCCTCTTGGGGCGTGCACTTCGCGTGGTAAGGGAGATCACAGACATCTCCGTCTCAGCTGCCACGCGCACCTCGCGTGCGTGCGGAACTATTTACGTCATGATCTCGACCTGGACGTGTCTAACGTTGGAACCCAACATTCATCTCACACTCCCATTCCACTCTCCCACACACCTTACAATGACAAGGACACAGCACCAGCTGCATCCCACAAAGTCCTTTCCCGTCTACTGTCTTGACTGGACCGACGACTCGACGCTCCTGCTCGGCGGCGGCGGCGGCGCGACTAAGAGCGGCATTGGGAACAAGCTGGTGCGACGCGTCGCCACCTGTCGCTGACGCCAGAAACTCATCGATGTGTCGCGGGACGGGCGCCGCGTCAAGGACGTGTATGAGCTCGGCCTGAGTAGCGAGGAAGACGCGCCGATGACGCTGGCGCTGGACCGTGCTGTGAGCGTAGTCAGGGATAAGCTGACGACAGACTGCGCAGCTCGTCACCGGCATCAACGCGTCTCAGGCGACCATCGAGGGCGGCGCGAACGAGCAGTGCCGCGTATTTTCGTACAAAGATAACAAGTGTGTACAGGCGGTACCAGACCTGACCGCAGACTTTCCTTCATCCGGGCGCAGAACACCATCAATGCCAAGTGGTCGGATGACTATCCATATCAGGTGCGATGACAGATGGTTGACCGTGGCTGACGGCAGAAACTCACTGCCCTTTCCATTCCGCCCAATGAGGGTGCATCTGCGTCATTCGTCGCTACGGGCACAACGGACAATCAGGTTGCTGTGCTCACGTTCCCATCTCTCGAGGTCGTTTTACCCCCCTTCAGTGTCGACGGCGGAGACCTTGTCGACCTCGACTGGGGAGGGCCGCAGGGCGCATGGGTGAGTTCCCTCCGTCCATTCAAGCTCACCGCAGCTCGCCATCACGACGTCGTCGCAGCTGGCAATTTACGCTTTCTCGCAAGGGAAGCTTGAGCTAATGCAGACGATCCCGGCGCCCAAGGGCGAGGATGCGGTGCTGGCGTTCCGTGCTGCTCGCTTCGCGCTCAACTCGCCTGAGCGTCCGGCACTTCTTGCAGCATTAAATTCAGCCATGCCTCCTCGCCGCGATGTGCGGCGTAAGGCTCGCAAGGCGTACATCGCCAAGTTTGAGCCTTCGGCCGCAGAGATGGGGGAAGCGGAGAAGCAGGAGGTTTTGGACGAGAAGGCCGACAACTCGAATCCTTCCATCACATGGAAGTTTGCCAACAAGCGGGAGGTCGCCGGCAAGCCTATCACAGTACTCGATGTGAGTGCTGACGGGCGCCTCGTTTCCTTCGGCTGCTCCGACCTCTCGATCGGCATGCTCGATGCGCACACACTATCGCCGCTTCTCAAGATTCTGCACGCCCACTCGTTCCCGCCCACCGCATTGAAGTTCAACCCGTCTGCGACACTGCTCGTGTCAGCAAGCGCCGACAACACTATCCGCACGCTCGTCGTGCCTAAGAGCTTCGGCGCCAGTGGTGAGTTGGTAGAGACAATGTTCAACTCACACCAGTGCCTTCGACCCTCGTTATTCTCGTTCTCGCTTTGTTGGTGTTTGTATTGGCCATCCTTCTTCGGAAGTAGTAGCAATAGATCAGGATGTATACAAAAATCGTGGCCGTGAGAGTGGGGCAGCGTAATGTGACTGGTGGAGGTCTGGTGGAGGCGAAATGGCTTCCCCCCCAACTTCAGCAACACTCCATCGCACATTCTCCCACAATGGACCTCGCTGCGCAGGAGAACCACGCCCGCGCCGAGCGATGGGAGAAGGGCACCAAAATCGGCGAGGGCACGTACGCCAACGTGTACAAGGGTGCGTAGAGCTGACGGCGCGGCTGACGATAGCGACCGAGAAGGCGACAGGACGCAAGGGTAGGTGACCCGATGTCTGGGCTTCAATTGACAGCAGTGGCGATCAAGAAGATCAAAGTCGGGATGATGATGGACGGGCTGGACATGAGTGCGCTGCGCGAGGTCAAGTTCCTGCAGGAGTTGCACCACCCCAACATCATCGGCGTGCGTTTGTCCAGCGGCCACCGGCTGATTCTAGCTCCTCGATGTCTTCTCCGTCAAGCAGAACATCAATCTCGTCCTCGAGTTTCTTGATACTGATCTTGAAGCAGTGATCAGGGACAAGGCGCTCATCTTCCAGGTCGCGGACATCAAGGCGTGGATGGCCATGAGCTTGCGCGGTCTCGAGTACATCCACCGGCACGGGGTGCTACATCGCGTGAGCCGTCCGACGCCTACTACAAGGACCTCGCCTGACCCCAGGACCTAAAGCCTAACAACTTGCTGATTGCGAGCACGGGCGAGCTCAAGATTGCTGACTTTGGTCTTGCACGCGAATTTGGCGACGCTGCGTACAGGATGACCTCACAGGTCATTACAAGGTGAGTACGGCCTCAGAACACCACACTCACGCCAGGTGGTATCGCCCACCTGAGTTGCTCTGGGGCGCACGGCATTACGGCTCCACGGTAGATATCTGGTCCATGGGCACAATCATGGTCGAACTTGTCCTGCGCGTGCCCTTCCTCGCGGGCGAGACAGACATTGACCAGCTCAAGAAGACGTTTCATGCCATGGGCACGCCGAGCGAGCAGGACTGGCCGGTAGGTTGTTGGAAGCATTTTGTGCTGACCCCAGGGTCACACCAAGCTCCCAGACTACATCGCACCGGACCAGTTCTTCCCACAGAACCCGTGGTGGAACATGATCTCGTCCGTTGGCAAGGACGGGCAAGACCTCTGCCGCGAGATGCTTAAGTATGACCCACTCGCACGACCGAGTGCGAAGAAGAGCCTCAGCCACAAGTTCTTCACATCTGCACCACGGCCGACGCCGCCCATTCTCCTGCCCAAGCCCATGGCGGAGCTGCGCCCTCGCGAGATCAACCCGGGGGACTTCGGGCCTGGCCCCGCCGCCGACATTCCCAAGCGCAAAGTCGTGTCGCCGAACGGCGAGGGTGAGCTCAACGATCGCAGTATAGCCCGCCGCCTCTTTGCCTAGTGTTGTACAGTATGCATGATATATTATACACTGTTGCGCTCCCAGTATGCGCGCGCCCACCCTGGCGCCCCGGGCCCCGTCACAGCCCGTCCCACGGCCGCCGCGAGCCGCCCGCTCGCGTCCTCCTGCGCCCACACGCGCGCAGCGTCCAGCGCCAGCCGCTGCTCAGGGGCGGGTAGCGCCGTCCATGGCCCCGCCACGGCACCGCGGCTTGCGTGCTGGAGATGAAAGAATGGCCCAAGCTTGCAGGGGATACCTGCGACGGCGTCGGAGCTGACGAGCGAATACGGCGCCTCGAAGGAGCGTCGTGCAGGGCTGAGCTCTAGGAGGAACTGGAGGAGCGCGCGCGTCGCGGCCGTGTCCCTCGTGCCGAGCTCCCACAGCGTGCGTGGCGCCGTGCCGATCCACTGCGCAACGAGGCCACGCGCAGGGGAGGAGAGAGGCACGAAGAGGGGTTCTGTTGCGAACGCGTCCTCGTGCACGCGCACCACACGCATAAGGAGAGCGTCAGATGCGCGCCGCTTGGCCCCGCTTCCCGGCTGCCTGAGTGCGGCAGCGCAAAGTGCCTCGAGCATGTCCGTGTCGGGGCGGAGGAGAAGCTCCCACACAACGGGGAGCAGGGTCGCATATACCTGCGGCTGGAGGGCAGCGAGGGCGTCCGCGGGTGCGAGGGCGTCGGCCGCCCACTCTGCCGCGGCAGCCAACGCGGCGGCATTTGCCTTGTTGCCGCCGCGCATGTCAGCCCACGCGGCCTCGATAGCGCGCACCCGCGCGCGCCACCCACCCTTCTTCTGCACGAGCGGCGGCGCGGGCGGCGCGAGCAGCGCCGCGAGACGCGCATACTCGAGCGAGAGGGAGACGTGTGTGTCGCTCCCTGAGAAGGGAAAGTATCCCGCCATGCGCTTGAGGAACTCTGCCGCGCGTGTGCGCGTCGGCGCCGCGTCTAGCGGCGCGAAGTCGCCCAGCAGCGCCGTGGCGAAGAGACGCACTAGTGTTGCGGTCTCGGCACACAGCGAGAGCGCTGTCTCGTCGGGAGATGAGACGAAGGCCGCGGGTGCGGACTCCATGAATGTCGAGAGGAGGAGGGCGTGCAGTGCTGCGTATGTCGCTTCGAGCTCGGCGGCGGCGCCGTCCCCGCCCTCAGCGGCCGCAGGCTGCGTCCACTCCAGCGCCCACGAGTACGTCCCGAGCGTCCAGTCGTCCTTCACCAGGTCGGAGAGACTCCAGGTCCCTGCCGTCTTCTTATCCTCCTCTCGCTCATGGTGCAGGGCGCGCTCCACGAAACTGCGTATTGTGCGCAGAATCACGAGCTTCCCCTTTCCGTCAAGACGATATCCTGCGCTCGCTTTTTCTTCCCCAAGGCCCGCAGCCAAACGCAGACCGTCGAAGATACCTGCACTCCCCACGAGCGAGCTGGTAGATGGTGGCTTCGCGGGCCATGCCCCGACGATGTCTGCGTCCGACTCCAGCAAAAGAAGCACGAGGCGGCACGTGTCAAGACGGATGGCGGGGAAGATGTGACTTAATCCGCTTGAGATCTGGAGTGTGAGGGTCGGGAGGTATGCGCTGAGCGCGAGAGATGGGAGGCGCGGGAGATACCACCCCACAAAATCATGCAGCGTCCGCCGGACTGACTGCTCCTCGTCCGAGATGAGGCTCCCAATCCCCCGAATTACCTTGGCCACCTCGCCGTGCCGCGATCCAAGGGACATACCGAGTGTCACGCCCGCCGAGAGCACATCGCGCAGGTGTCCGATGGCCTCGCGGCGAACATGTCCGTTCGGGTGGCGCGTCTGCACAAGGATGTCGTCCAGGCTCAGCCCGGCAGCAGTGCGGGGAATCGAAGATGGCGGGGCATCTAAGGATGCGGGAGCAGCGTCTGCTGCAAGCGAGCGCTGTAGAGCCTTCTGCGAAGGAAGGGCGACAGAGCGCGCCTTGAAGCTCGTGTCGGTCGCATTCGTCGCAGCTTTCTTGCCCTTGCCAAGCTTGAGCTTGGCTTTCTGCTATCAGCGGTGGCGGCAATGTCGGCCAACCTTGAAGTCTGCCTCCTTCTCCTTCTTCTTTTTTGTTGCTTTCGGCATGTCGGCAGGAGTGGGTTGTTGTGATCCTGCACCGGTGGCCACTGAACTGTGAACTCCTGTGGCCAAAATATCTTGAGTGTGGAGGTCGATCGAAGTGGAGGTATCGGGGGAAATAGGCGCCCGGACGCGTATTATTAATTCATACACAGGGTGGCGCAACGCACGCCTAAAACTGGAAGCCGGGGGCCGTGGAGGGCGACCGAGGCGGGGCACGCGTAGCTTCATCGCCATCCCTTTGCTCGACAACATCATCCACCTCTGGCCACCATGGGGCTCTTCAAGCGCAAGAACAAGGACGTGGTCGAGGAACCGCCCAAGGACAAAGTCAAATGGAGCAAGCGGCCCGCGAGTGCGTGCGCCCGCAGATACGGCTGACCCAGACACGGCGTTCAAGCAGCAGCGCCTCAAGGCGTGGCAGCCGATCCTGACGCCGAAGGCGGTTTTGCCAACGCTCTTTATCATCGGACTTATCTTCGCGCCCATTGGCGCGCTCATCATCTGGGGTAGTGGCAAGGTCACGAACTTCACGCTCGACTACACTGAGTGCGACGCGCAGCCAGGGGATGGGAGCTGGGCAGAAATGCCCAAGAGCAAGTGGGACTGTGAGTCGGCATTGAGAGGTGCGCGCCTGGCGGGCGCGCGCTGCTCAAGAAGAAGGAAGGAGAGGGCGAGAAGGGGCTGGACGGAGGCGTTGATGCGCGAGCCAGGAGGAGAGACAGAACGCGCATCTCTTGCCAGACACCACGCACATGCTCACACCCAGACGAGCTCAAGACCGGCTCGCCCGTGAGCAAGAGCAGCATCAACGCGCCAAAATGGGCATTTACTAGTAACCCCTCTGGGCCAGTAGGGGAGCGATCGCAGTGCCGCATTCAGTTCGATGTGCCGTATGATCTCGGTGAGCCACCTTCGCCTCGGAGACTTCTGACACCAGGCCCAGGCGTCTTCATGTACTACAAGCTCACGAACTACTACCAGAACCACCGCCGCTATGTGAACAGCTTCGACTCGGACCAGCTCCTCGGCAAGCGGCGCGACGTAAGCGGCATCGATGGCGGCAACTGCAAGCCCATCACCAGCGAAGGCGGCAAGGCATATTACCCCTGCGGGCTGATCGCCAATTCATTCTTTAACGACACGTACGGGACCAACCTCGTTCTTCTGAACGCGCCGAGTACGTCCGTGGGCGGTGATAAGCAGCAGGGTTCGCGCAGAAGAGCTCACACCAGACGGGGAGCAGAACGCGACCTACTCCTTCACCGAGAAGAACATTGCATGGCATGGTATTGCTAAGCAGTACGTCGCAAGGCCGTATGTTCCCAACGACGACCCGACCCAGCTTCTCCCCCCGCCCAACTGGGCTGAACGCTACCCCAACGGCTACCAGACGCTCGAGGACATCCCGAACTTGGAGGAGAACGAGCACTTCCACATCTGGATGCGCGTGGCTGCGCTGCCAACCTTCCGCAAGCTGTGGATGCGCAACGACAACGACATCATGGTCGCCGGCACATACGAGATTGTCATTAACATGAACTACCCCGTCAAGCAGTTCAGCGGGACCAAGAGCGTGGTCATCTCCACCGTCAGCTGGATTGGTGGCAAGCAGCCCTTCCTGGGCTGGGCCTATGTTGCTGCCGCGATCCTCTGCGTTGTCCTCGCCCTCGCCGGCCTCGTTCGCCACCTCATCAAGCCCCGCAAGCTCGGCGACATGAGCCTCCTGTCCTGGAACCAGCCGACGCAGCGGTAGATGTAGCTCCACGCGGCTGGATGTCGCGATCGATAGAGAGATGTAGGTTAGGTTTGTCTCGCGAGCCACCGGCGCAGTGTACACCATAGTCTAGAACCAGAATGACACGCTCCAGCACGGTCCCTTCCCCTCGCCCCGCATAGCATGCCACCAACTGGGCGGGAGGACGAGGAGATCCCCGGGTCCGAGCACCGCCTCCATTGCGCGGGGATATACGTGCTTGAAGAAGACTGGATACGCTGCCTCCAGCTCTGTGAACGCAGTGTCGTGAGCGGGGCGGAGGAGGGGCACGCGCGACGTGTTGCCCATGTACTCCTCCGCGAGGGAGGCCGTCTCTGCGTCCGTAGCGGTGCCAGCATATGCGTACATATGCTGCGATGCATCGGGCGGCGCAAGCCACACCCGCTTGTATCCCAGCACCTGCGCGTAGCAATTGTAGTACGGATCCTGGGGTGAGCTCGTCCAGCCGGCACTCACAGTGTGGGCGGGGGACACGACTTCGTGCCCGCCCGGCCCAATCCAGGCGTTTACGAGCACTTCCGGCGGGGGGCTGTACTCTTCCGGCGTCTCCGCCCACACACAATCTGGCGTCGCCATGTCGGCCTCGAGCGCGGGGAACTGGCGAAACAGCGATGTCTGCGCAAGATACTGCGGCGCGTCGTCCGCGTCCTGCTCTCGCGCGTCTGTGGCGGGGACATCCCACCCCACCCGCTGCAGAAAGCCCTCCCACCCCACCAGGCGCTGCGTCCATCCGCTGTCGTCGTATGCGTGCCCGCACTCGACGGGGACTATGCGTCCGCGGCCCGTCCTAGAGAGGAGGTATTCTGCGGAACCCCAGCGGCGGAGGGCGGGCCACGGGGGATGGTGCTCGCCGGAGGAGAGGTGGGCACGGAGAATGAAGGGCGCCGCGGAGAGCGGCGGGGGCATGCCGGGCGTTGGGATGGGGGAGGGGGCGAAGAGGGGCTTGAAAGCCAGAGGGGAAGGGGGCGAGGAGCAAGGGGCCAGGGAGAGGGATGATGAGCGCCGCCGCTTCGCACCTCTTGGTGGGGGTTGGAGCGCGGTGATGAGCTCGTGAGCCCACTCCAACCTTCGCGGACCCACGGCGCCCGCGACGATGATCGCGCGGTCCAATGTGTCCACCATGTGCTTCCAGTCCGGCCCATCTCCTCCGTGCAGGAACAGCACGGCAATCAGCATCGACGCGTCGGTGTAACCGCGCAGAGTGGACCCCGAGACGAGGTGAAAGGGTGTGTGCGCAACACGCTGGCGCGCAAGCGTGAGGAGCGCGCGGAGGCGAATGCGCAGAGTCTCACCGAGGTCTGCGGGTGCAGGGGAGGCGAGGGAGGCGAGGGACCTGAGATCGCGCACGACACTGGCGAAGACGTCCTGCTCCTCGAGGTCGCCTGCGTCAGCTGTATTGTGCGAGAGCGTACCTCCTTCAGTCTCAAGCTCCGCCGCCATCGTCTCGAGGATGCCCTTGACGAGTGCGGCCACATGTGCCGACAAAGGCATTGTATTTGTGATGAATGAAAATCACCGACGATCTCGGCCAACTTTTGTTGACAACTCGAATGTGACGTCAACCCAAACAGACCCCGCAAGCTACAGCAAGCACTGCATGCACTGTCCAACATCTATTCGAGTCTATCCTACAAAAAGGCGGATAATAAGATACAGCGTTGCGCAGGCGAAACGGAAGGCGGCCATGCCAGCCACGAAAACGAGGATGACGAGCATATACACCGACTGCTTGTTTCCGCCCTGCGTGAACGCGCCCGACGGGTCACCCGAGAGGATGAGGCCGGCCAGCAGCGCGTTTGTAAGCGACCAGAAGAGGAGGAGGTTGGTGCGGAAGTTGGCGTAGGTGTCCTTCTGCTTCTGCTCCTTGGCCTCGGGCTTGTGCGGCACCTCTTCGGCGTCCACGCGCGCTCTCTTGATCCGGATGTTGTCGAGCGCGTCCTGGTAGGCTGAGTCGATGTCATTTTGGGCTGACACGAGGTGCACCTCGACATCCTTGCCCACTCCCTTGACGGCGCCGAGATCCGACTCGACTGTATCGCTGCCCTTCGTGCCCCACGACAAGTCGTGCAGGTTCGAAAAGGCGTAGATGTTGAGCACATTGACGTACGCTTATGTCAGCCGCGTCGAGGGAGTCACTTACTGGGCTGGAAGAGCATGTACTGCAGGAAGCAGGTGAACATGTGCCACGGGTCCAGGGCAAGAATACTGGACGCAATAAAGACACCGTACGTTGCGAGCAGCGACACGATCATGCGCTGGAAGATGGGAGAGTCCATCTGCCGCACCGCCTCGACGATGCACAGCACACCGCAAATCAACATGCTGCAAGGTTAGCGACGACGAGGTGACAACGCACTAGAACGTAAGGATAGCGAAGATGTAGATCGCAGCCTTGTACTTGAGCGGCGCGCCCTGCGGGCGGTTGCCCATGCCGAAGATGAAGCATGCGATTACCGTGCCGAGATAAATGTACTGCAGAATCGTGTTGAGAACATGGATGCCCTTAATATTGAACTCGGGACCGTTGAGCGCGTTGGTAAGGATGACGAAGAAGATGTAGAAGTTCGCAAGCGAGAACCAGCCGAAGACCAGATTGAGACCGTTGTAAATCCACTCGAGCATGAACATGCTCTTGCGGATGAACGTGTGATCGGAACGCCACACCTGGCGGAAGTGGATAAGGGCGTAGACGGCCGCGAAGAACGAGCCGTTGAGCCAGCGACGACGCTGGCCGATGAACTCCGGAATCGTGTCGGGGCAGTCCGTCTCGCCGACAGCCGACTTGACATACTTGAGGACCCAGTTGTGATGGGGCTTCGCACTGGAGGTTAGATTTGACCCAATCGAGATCAGCCGATCACTTACACAATCTCAAAGCAGAGCACACGGTCTTCGGCGAGGTACATGTTCCCGGTGAACGAGGACGCATTCCCACTGTGGATGCTCTCGCCCGCAAAGTACGAGGCCAGCGGACCACGGCCGAACTCATCGTTCTGCAGCGCTATGTACTGCGCGAATCAGCACATCTCCGGGCTTGTAGACTTACGCGGTAGGCAGAGAATGCACCCGGGAGCACGGCACAGTAGCCGAAAAGACTCTCCATTGGCTTGTCGAGGATGTTGGACATCTTGTACTCGAAGCACTGGGCGGCGACAAGCGGGTTGAGCAGACCCAGCCAGCTCCGTCCCTTGAATGTGGCAATCTCTCCACACGCGCCGCCAACGTTAGAGTGGCGGTCGAAAGACTTCCAGAGGTGGTAGAGCGACTTGGGGCCGGGCATGGTGCCAACGTCAAGCAAAATGCAGACGTTGGGCTGGAGCAGCGGGCCGAACGCGTTGAAGAACCAGCGGTGTGAGTTGATCTTTTTGGCCTGCTGTGAGCTCTGCCATGCGACGTGTGCCTCACGTTCTTTTCCTTCATGCAGAAGATGATCTGGCAAGGAACAATTCCCTTGTCCGGGTACTTGAAGTGCAGATCGGGGTCGAGCGCGAAGCTGGTTGTGTACTCAAACACGTGCGCCGTAACAGGCTTCTCCTTGACGCGGTTGGTCATGGCACCTGATGTCAGCTGTCGAAGTGGTTCACTAAGCCTCACCCTCCTGGTAAACGCCGAGAGCAGCGAGGCAGTCGAGAACGCGAGGATTGACATTCTTGCGGCCGTCGGCGACGATGCACACCACGATCTTCTTCCAGCCATTAGGGCCCCAAACGCGAGAGTTCTGGCGTCCGCACATATGCGCAATGTTCTTCATGACGCCGTACAGTGTGCGGCAGAACAGGTTGGCATCCTCGTTGTACATTGTGATGACAACGAAGAGCTCAGTCGCGCGCGGCGGGTTGAACATGTTCTGACGCAGACGGGCTCCCGAAACGGCAAACCCATCGGGGTCAGTGGTCACGGCAGTGTACCTGCTGTCAGTCCGGTGAAGGTGATCAAAACTCACCGTGTCGTCTTCTGCTCTTCAACGCCCTTGACAGGCAGGAACTGGGCGAGACGAGTCGGAATCGGCATCTCAACGGAGAGCATGTCCGACTCGTCGAGGGTCACGAGCTTCTTGACACGCTTACGGATGGCGTTGTGAGTGCGCCGGCCCACTCTGCCCTCTGGGGCAGGACCGAAGTGCTGCGTCGCGTCCGGATCTTCCTGGCCTTCAACGAGAGGAACCGGCTCGAAGCCGTCCAATGGGGCCTTGTAAATCGAGGAGCGGTCGCTGACAGGCGGCAACCGCCCCATACCGTGAAGTGAGAGGTCACCGTTGGCATCAGGAGCCTCGCCAGTGGTCATGTAAGAGAGACGTGAGGCGGGAGCTGGGGTGTGGGGTGCGGTGTGGTTGCCGTAAAGGAGATCATCCCGGTCATTGTCCGACAGCAGCGCCTTTTCGACGTCGGTGCCATTTCCAAAGTTGTACCGCACGGAGTCATCAAAGCCGGGAGACGGAGACCGGGATGGTTCGCGGCGGTACCGACTGTCCTGGGCAAGACGAATAGTGTGCGACTGGGTGAAACCCACACTAAGGTCCGGGTGATTGGGGTCCTGTGGTGGGAGGTACGATGGGGCGGGCTGGGGTACGGCCTGAGATGTGAAGCTCACGGGCGTAATAGGGGGCAGAACGGGAGGTGTTTCCCCGCGAGCTCTGGCGAGAGCCGCCTCAAAGTGTGGAAGTGCAGATGAGGCGCGGGATATCTGCGTCGGGGCGATCGTGGAGGGTGCCATGGTCGACGGCGCCGAGGGGTAAGGTGCGTATGAAGGCGGGGTAGCGGAGTAAGGCGAAGGGGGAACGGGACTGCGAGGGGGTGGGAGGGGGGACAGTGACCGGCGTGTCTCGGACGGGGACATGAAGCTGTTGGGCGAGCGGGGTGGGTCGTAAGGCGGCGCAGGCGAGGGGTCGCGCGACGTATAGACGCCGAGGTGATTGCGCCGCGGGTGCATGGTACTTTGAGATGTTTTGACGACTTAAAGGCGATGGGGAGATGGTGTCCAAGAATGATGAGTTATGAAGAAAGAAGGGACAGGAGATGAGAATGTCATGTCCCGGGTCATGTCGTCGGCAATGTTTGTTGTGGCTGAGGGACTGAATGTAATCACGTGATTTGAAATGAGAAGTGTTTGGGCCAAGAAGTCAGGCGCGTTATGACGCAGCTAACCGGGTGACATCTCACCGGGAAAAGTGAGGCGGTGATTGGGCCGTGCAGCCATTCCTCGACGTCAACAAATCCATCTCATTCCCACGTATCAACGCCTGTGTTGTGCGGCTGCAAGCTCACAAAGAGCGATTGCCTTGATGTACGCTGTGAGATGTGATGAAGAGTATGATGCGGAAAAGAGCCATCAGCCAGTGAAACAGGCTGTGAAGATCTAATAAGGCATAGAAGACAATGTCTAGCTAGCTAGCTAGCCAGTTGACTGTCGCCCAACCGCGGAATTGCGGGTAGCGCGGTAGAGAGGTCTGTGCGAGCGTGCGAGATTGTCGGTTGATGTTGCCTCTTCCGTCTCTGGATCTGTGAACGATCTGCGCGATCTGCGCCTTCCCTCTCCTTCCTACCTCCTTGCGCACGGTTCAACTCGGTCCAGTCACCCCTCCTCACAACCTCACAACGCTCCTCACCACTTGTCATCAATTCATCCTTCCTCACTGCTACTCTCACCTTTCCGCATCACTGACAAGCTGGCAGGCAGCGACAACCAGCAGTAGGCAACACGCAATGTCGCTCCCCATTCCATCGCGTGAGGCCCAGGTGCGTAGCCTTGCGGTATCCGCACAGCACTTGCTCACTGCCAACAGGCCAGCATGGTCACTCCCTATCAGGAGTGGTCTCCAGGTAAAATCACAATCCCCATGCCCCCGAAGGACATCGAGCACACCGAGAGCAACGTTCGCAATGGGCTCGACGGATGGGACCGCGATGTTGTCGAGTACGGTCGCGACAGCTACGGTAACCCCTTCATCGACCTCGGCGTGGACCACACTACTGCGCACGCCGAAGAGCAGAAGCGTGCGCGTAGAGCACGCAAGCAGGTCGCCAACCACAAACTCACACAGTTGAGCCTCGAGGACGCGTTGAAAATCGGCACTGAGGATGGCGAGTGGACTGAGGACAGCACCTGCAGCGTCAATACGGATATGTGAGGGAAGACTGCTTCAGAACTGACACCAGCTCGAGGCCACCCTTTCAGCGACGTAGAGGAATGACACGTTCGCGCTGATCAAAGTTCACGAAGCGAGCCTCAGTTTTTTCCACACGCGCACAAGCCTTTGGAATAACATGCGTATGCGGAGCCAGTGGCACAAGGTACAACAGTTTAAGGTGGTTGGCTTACATGCAGATGCGCAACGCACTCGGCATTGTGACTCACCTGCCTGGGCTGCATTGGCCTGGTTCTGGCGACACCCCTCAATGGTACTCAATGACTCATGCGGCTTGCAGTTCCGCCACCAAGCGCCAGAAGGAAGGGTACAAGAATTGGGAGATTGGGGAGATCTGCCCCCTACTTCATAGCCCGGAGCGCGCCGTGCGGGAGTTCCTAACCATCTTGCGCCAAGAGGGTGACTCCATTTGGTGAGCTGCGCCGCTTGTCTGGTCTGACTTGCTGGAACCCGTCGACCGCGATTCGCACTGCCGGTGAGTGATGTGAAGAGAGCATTTCGCTCCTTCCTCTACTTAACTCACGCGCTAGAGATCTTCGCAGCTTTAATGGGCTATCTAAGCTACTACGAGGTTCTCTCGGACGATCACATCGCTCCCAGCTTTGAGCGCGCCGTGAAGCTCGCCAAATCCGGCCCTCGCCTTCTGCGTGAAGCGTTCAGATTAGAGGAGGAGCTTCTAACAGGCTTCAACCGCGCGTGTTGGGAGCTTACAGGCAGCTCGGATCTAGTCAGCAATCATAGCTTCTCGATCCTGTCATCCGACTCCATGGAGGGAGAGCCATCCGTACCCGAGGAGGACAGGCCATCGGAGCCCAACGAGGACAAGCCACTGAAGTTCAAGGTTGGGAAGCCATCTGAATTTCCAGATGAGAAGCCGTCTGAACCCACGGAGGGAAGTACACCCGAACCCGCAGCGGAAGTTTCATCCGGGTCTCCTGAGCAGCACGCTGAGAAATGGTCCAGCGGATGGTTTACTGGCTGTTTTGGTTCGTTGAGTATTACAGATGGTTCCTCTAACCAGCAGAACCCCCGATGCAGCCCAGCATCACCTCCGAGCAGGCTGCGCGGATGCTGGGACCTCTGGTCGCTCCGCACCCGGTCGATTCGGTCCTCCTCATGAGCCCCATCACCTACAGCTGCCGCGTTGTTACCGCTGTTTACCCACCAGAACGGCAGGAGGGCCCAGCTTTCCAGTCCAGCTTCTACCGCTTGCGCACTTCTCCTGCTCCGTGGACGGAGGACGAAATGCTCCACGAGAGAGGCCCCGCTCGAGGCTCCGAGACCGATGCCAGTGGTGGCAAGGCCTATGGCGAAGATGTCGAGATTGTCGCGCGTCCGTCCGTTGGGGGAGAGAAGGCTACCCTTACCGAGCCGGCCGAGCTCGACATCTGGGTCGATGGTGTGGCTCTCGGTCTTGACAGTAATGTCCACTGGCTCGTTGGTATGGGTATCCGCGCCCACTGGGCCCAGATTGGGGTCGAGAACCAGCACGTCTGGTGGATCGCCCATGTGAAGGATTGTGAGTGATTGCATGATTGAGCAACTCGTCTGACTCCAGATGTGCTCCCCAGCAGTTGGCGGACGCCGGCCGCTGAGCAAGATGCGACGACCAGGGACCCTCCGCTTCCCTACAACCTGCCGCAATACCTCAAAGGCGTCGCGGACGGGAAGGATGCGAATGTTAGCACTCCGGATGCGGGGTCTAGCATGGCGCAAGAGGACGACGCTGCATGAACCACCTTCTCAGCCAGTCACTTTCCAGTATTTACGGGGGCTGGCAATGTCAACGGCATTACATGTCAGAGATTTTTCAGCATTCAATGTCCACACACCTTTCCGCCACCTCTCCGCCACCTTCACGCCAGATCCATCTAAACTGCATGAATCCCATAAACCTTGACTGCTAATTGAACTGATTGACCCACATGAGCCTTGAGAATGCAACATACAGCCAGCGGAACCAAACGAGCTGGCTCGCATGTGCCCGCATCGCGTACAGCGTCTGCGCATACTGCGCAGGTGTGCTGACGAAAGTGGCGTGGTGCGATGGGCCGCGACGCAGCGCGTCTCGCGCAGCGACAAATATGGCCCATCCAACGCCAGTGAATTTGGTCGCGAGCCGTGGCGAGTGCAGCAGCAGCGACTCTAGCCTAAGATGTGCACGCGCGTGCGCCAGCGCAATATGGTTAGGGTGCTGAGTGACGCCGGCGTCATCGAAGGTCAAGAGGTGTGTGGCGCCGCTGGAGGACGCGATGGGCGCGACCAACTCTGCGATATAGGCGGGGTCCCATGCGCCGTCAGCTCCCATACTGTCCGGCAGCAGGGGGTTGTCAAGGAGTACTGGGGGAGTGGAAACGCCGAGACGGGCGTAGCTCTCCAACAGTTCGAGAGAGCGCACACCGCCAAACCCAGCGGCGTTGCCTGCTGTCAGTAGATGGTACAACAGGCGGGTAGAGGCAGAAAGAGGGCAGGAGAACGCACCCGTCGACATGCAAACAGGGAGAACGTCCCACCCGGCCGCAACGAGGTTGAGGATCGTTGGCCCGAAGAACATGGCCTCGTCGTCAGGATGCGCAGTGAGTACCAGCACGGCTGGCCTGTCGAAGCCCTCGGCGAGCGCGAGCGCGGTGCGCTCATTCGCGCGCGTCACGATGAACTGGAACCCAGCGACGCCGGCGGCAAACAGCGCAGCGAGGAGGAGGAGCGCGCCAGTCGTAGCGCCGCGGGGCGTCGCCGCTCCGAAGGCACGGGCAAACGGCTGCCCCTTAGTGCTCCCCGGTGTTTCGGCTGGCGTTTTGGATGCCGCCAGCTGGTCCGTGATGGTGTCGTCTTCGAGATCTCGGGGAGCCGCAGGGGGAGATCGGGGTACGCGCAGGTTTGAAATGGATATGCGTAAGGTGCGGGTGATGACTGGAGTTAGCTGCTTGCGGACGAGGGAAGACAGGCCATGACGGCCGTGGCGTGAAGACATAGAGAAGGGACACACCGTAAGCCACCATCTCGAGCATGATGAAGAGAACGAAGGGAGCCGCAATGGCCAGTGCGAGAAGCCGAAACACTAATGGGACCTAAGGTCAGCTGCTGTGCTCATCGCAGGTCAGGAGCATCTCTCACATAGTTGAAAGGCGTTGGGAGCTCAGGAGCGACAAGTAGCGTCCACGTCCTGCGCGCTGTTTCCAAGAACGTCATGGTCGGGGCAGGATGTGAGGGGATAATAGAAAAAGGAGAAAAGGCGGTAGTGAGGAGAAGCAGAGAGAAAAGGAGCGTTGATCAACGAGTGATGAGACGGGGGACAGATATGTTTGCGTGGGAGTCGGGCCTGGGTGTCGCAATCCGTGAGGTGTCGGGCCGATAACCGGCAGCAGGATGCCGAACGAACGAGTGTAAGAGATGATAGAGGAGGGGGCGGGTCGCCTTGGCGTCGCCGCTTGCGAATGAATGAGTCCGATGGAGAGAGAGAATGGGATACGTGATTGTACGAGTCGCGGCGCGGCATGTCCAACCCCGCAGTTGGACGTTCCCCCGCACGCCGCTCGGACGCGGCCCTAGGCCGGACGATAACGGCCGGCCCATCACGTGTTCGGTCCACGTGGTTGTCAATTCCGCCCATCGAAATATTCAACGTGCCGCAATCAATTTCGCTCTTCCCCCATCTCACCATGTCCGACGCTCCCACCGGTGTGCTCGTCACCGCCACCAAGGTCTCGGTGCCCTTCAAGACCGAGCTGCTCGAGGAGATTAGAGCGCCGCGCTTCGCGAAGCGCGCGCCCCACCTCGTCGGCATCCTCGCGACTAAGAAGGAGGACGCGCGGAACTATGCTGAGGTGCGCAGCCCTATTCCGCCCGGCCCTTCCCTCACCTAACCCCAGTTCACCAAGCGCGCCTGTGAGGCTGTCGGCATCAACTTTGAGCTCCGTCTTGTTGGTGACGCGCGTGAGGGCCTCGACAGCGCTGGCGTGTCCATCGGTGTCGAGGAGGCCATCCTCGAGGCGAACGAGGACGACGATGTCGACGGCATCATGGTCTACTACCCCATTTTTGGTGACCGGCAAGACCAGTACCTTCAGTCGGTTGTCGACCCCGTTAAGGACGTCGAGGGGCTCAACCACCAGTTCCTCTTCAACCTGTACCACAAGTGGGCCTCTTCTATCAGCGCGTAGGCTGACGGTAGCGTGCGCTTCATCTCGCCCGTGACACTTCGCCCCATCCCCGAAAGTCACCTTCCCCAGCCCATCAAGGGCGACTCGGACCAGCCGCCCCCTGGCACTGTCAAGTCCATCCTGCCGTGCACGCCCCTGGCCATTGTCAAGGTGCTGGAGAGCATCGGCGTGTACAACTCGCTCCTGCGTTATGGTGACCGCGCGCGCGGCAAGGTTGTGACCGTTATCAATCGCTCCGAGGTTGTGGGCCGTCCGCTCGCCGCGCTCCTCGCGAATGACGGCGCGCGTGTCCTGTCCGTCGACATTGACAGTGAGTGATTGAGAAGTGATCGGGCCAGAGTTGGTCCGGGTGACAGCTATGTGGTGCCTGGACGGTGGTGCTCGTGCATGGTAGCGCACCAGCCGAGACCACTTGCTCGCACGCTGTTCTTGCTTACACCAGCCATCGTCGAGTTCTCCAAGCGTCCCTCGGCTGAGACCGCCAAGTCCAAGTACAACCCGCACCACATTATCTCGCAAGTCGATATTACGCTCGAGCAGGCACTTCAGGTGTCCGACGTTGTCATCTCGGCTGTTCCCTCGGAGGGATACAAGGTTCCCACGCGCTGGCTCAAGGACGGCTGCGTGTGCGTCAACGTCGCCGGCGAGAAGAACTTCGAGGCGGACGTGCGCGAGCGGGTGAGTCAGAGCAAGGCCCAGATGGTGGCCAAGGCACCGGGCGTCCAAAATATTGCTTGCTGACCACCAGGCATCCATTTACGTACCTTCGGTCGGCGTCATGACCATTTGCATGCTGCAGCGCAACCTTCTCCGCCTGTGCCAGTACCAGGACATGGTGCGCGAGCACTACCGCGCCGCCGCGGGCAACTAACACCGGCGCGCCCCCTCTTTCCCAGGGTTCAACCCACACAAACACACAGTGTTGTAGATCAGATTGTTGATGGATAGGTGTCTATGCATCTGGATACTAGAGTGCGCGGCTGCTTCTGCTGAGTTGAGTCTGTTTGTCTACGGCTATTGCGCGCCTCGGGTCGTTGGGTCCCACGCAGTCCCCTCGAGCCCGTCCATCCTGTGCAACGGGTGCTCGTCACGCGCCTGCTCGAGCAACTGCGTGAGGTTCTGGTTGTCCGCGATGGCTTTCTGTAGGCGCGAGGAAGTATGGCGGAGGGATGAATAGCAAGACATTGAAGGTCGCGCATGCGGGGAGAGCGGGTGTCAGCTATGTTCTCCCATCTGTTCCCAGCATCCGATTCCCAGCTTCTGTCGCGGCCATCTTGACGAGCTCCAACTCCACCTGCACCCTTCCTCTGCCGCCTCTCCTTCCGCCCCGTCATCTCCCATCTACCCCTGTCACCTCCTTCACACCTCCTCTCTACTCCGTTGCCTCTCCATCCTCCCCTCACTCTCCCTCGCTCACTCACCCTCAAGCACCCCTGATACTCCTTCCAGACCTTGCCGCACTGCCGCTCATACTGCGCGGCCTTGATCTGTGCGCGCGTCATGCCCTCGGTATCCATAGGCGGCCCCTCCTCCTCCTCGAGGTCGAAGTGCACATGGGACGCGCCGACCATGTCGTCCGCCGCCGCGGGGGTCGCCATCGCGCGGCGGCGGAACGCGCTCGAGTACGCCCACGACGTGACGAGGCGGCGGCGGTCCTTTGGCGCGTCTGATGCGGGGGACGAGGAGGAGGAAGACGAAGAAGACGAGGAGGCGGAGGACGAATCGGAGAGCCCGTTCACGGGCGAGCGCCGCACCCCCGCCGCGTCTAGCGCCGGTTGCAGGTAGCCTTCAAACCACAGGTTGAAGCAGGCGTCGTAGCGCTGCTTCAGGGGCGTGCACTCTTCAGCGAGAGATCTGGGTCAGCGCTGCTGGCGCGCGGGCTTACTGCATGTTGAGGGCGGGAGATGGTCAACTTCAGATGGCTGCGGAGGCGGAGGTTGGTCCACTTCGGCTCGGAGCGAGTTTTACGTAACGGAATTTCCGCATCAGTCGTTTCGGCAATGTACAAGATAGCAAATGACCTACTGCTGACCGCCGCTCGCCACACTACTCGTGCAATGCAATACATAGAATGGTCTGGTATCTGCTTTCGACTATTTGTGCTGACCTACGCTGCCGATGCGGGCTGAGGCTCGCTCTCGCGCGCACGGGGCGGGCGCTGGCGCTGCTCGCCGTCCTCGCCCCGGCGCTGCCTGGCCGGCCGCTCGCCACGCTCTCCGCGGTGGCCGTCGCGCGCGCGCCCCTGCGCCTGGCGCGACCGCTTCGTCTCCATCTCGGCGGCAAAGTCGACCTTGCCGTACCCGATGCTCTCCATCTCGTCAGCCACAAGCGTGTGGCGCTTGTCGTCGTGCGCGACACACTTCATCCCGATCTGCTTGTAGATGCTGCGCGCGGGCTTGATGCCGTCCGCCTTCATCTTCTCGAGATAGTAAAACGCGTCCTCATACTCGGGCTGACAGAGGGCGAGGCGGATCATGCTCTCGTACGTCGAGGTCGTGGGCGCGAAGCCGGCGTTCTCCATCTCGCCGAGGATGGTCTGCGCCAGGTCCTTGTGCCGGGTGGTTGCGCACGCCGCAAGCACGAGGTTGAAGGTCTCCGCATCGGGAGTCACGCCGAGCTCAGGAGCAGCGAGCTGGGTTGCGCGCGCGCGCTGCAGGTCGCCCGCCTTGGCCGACGCTTGGATGAGCGCGTTGAACACGGAAACATCAACGCCCTTCCCGTCCTTCGCCCGGTCCTCGAGGCAGTAGAATGCCTGGTCGATGACCTCGGCCGAGCGGAGCACGTCCACAATCGGGCGCACCGTCATCAGGCTCGGCGTGATCCCGCTCTCGCGGATCAGGCCAACCGCCTCAATCGCATCCGGCACACGCCCGTCGCGGCAGAACGCCTCGATCAAGGGCGTGAGGTGGTGCTCCTTCTTGGTCACGCCAATGTCGGAGAGCGCGGCGAGCGCGCGCGTCGCGAGTGTCGGCTTGCCCCAGCGGGCCGCGACGGCAAGGACCGACAGGATTAATCCCTCATCCGGCGTGTACGCCTTGACGTTGACCACACGCTCCCATGCGGCCTCGACGGTCGGTAGGTCCTGCTGGTCGGCTGCGGCCATAAGGATCTGCACCCAGCTCTCGGATGTGACCTGGGGCTGCCCCGGCACCTCCTGGATACGGTGCACGAGGTCGAGAGCCAGCCGGCTCTGTCCCCACTCGCACAGGAGTCGGATCGCGTGGCGCACAATGTTCTTGCTCGGCGCCATATTCTGCTCCAGCATCTCGACGATGATCATCATCAACTCCTCGACGCGCCCGGGGAGAAGGGCGTGCGCAGCGAGCGTGTCGTACGTCTCGACAGTCGAGATCTGGCGCTTGGCAAACTCGAGCAGCAGCGAGGGAAGGATGTTGGGATGGACGATGGAGAAGCGGAGAAGCTCGTTGAGCGCCTCGGTGCCCAGCTCGATGCCGCCTGCCTCAGCGTCGCGCATCGCGCCGAGCGCAATCTCAAAGCCGAGACTGAACTCTCCAGGCTTGGCGTTGCTGCCTCGCCGCGTGCCGTAGTTGGCAGCCTCCTTGATGAGGGTGTTGTACGCGGCAGCTGTGGGCTTGCGGCCCTCAGCCTTAAGCGTCGCGAAAGTATTGAGGAGCTTCGCCAGGTTGTTGGGGGGAACAAAAGGCCCGCCTGGCGTTAGATCACGAAGAGAGGAGAGGCAATGACGAGCACGAGGACGGAAGCAGGGACTAGCTGCTGCGAGCCAGGCTTCCGCAAGGAGGGTAGCCTGCCTTCCCTCAACGACGCGCTCCGCAACGGCGCATACCAGCCGAGGGGAGGTTGCAACACGACCCGTTCAAAAAGATCGGGCGACTCCACTGTCGCTCGCACCCCGACCGCCATCGCGCTCACACGCCCCAACCGACTCACGAGATCCTCCGGCACGGGGCTGCTGGGAGTTCTGGCGATCGCGATTTCCGCCGCGGCGTTGCCCCTCAACAGCGGTGGAGAGGGAGCGGAGACGGGGTGCGGCGAAGGGCGCAATTGGCACGGCGCGGGCAAGCCGCCCGAGACGCGGGAGGCTGGCTAGGCTGGACATGGTGCGCCGAAGGAGGGAGTTGGAGGAGTTCGGTGCGCGAAATCGGAAAATCCAGAGAAAGAGCGGTTCGGAGCGGGAGCATTTGGGTCCGCCTGTCGTTGGCATGAGATTTGGAGGCCGCAGCTGGTGAACCGGGGGTCCGCTTGCAGATCGCGACACCACTATCCGCTGGAAATCAAAGCAAGGATTAAGCTGGGCTCACAAGGCCGTGGTGGTGTCATATGCGGCCCACGTAAAGGTGGACTGAGGTTTCTGCGTTTTGCTGGTCAATCTCTACTATTGATACGGTTGGACAGCTCGGAGATCAGCGTCAGTTCGATACAGAGGGAGGGCTGCAGAGATTTGTCTGGCATGTGGATGATACACGTGCTCGAAGGACATCGGATGGCCGGATGTACAGATTTGGGTGGCAAAGAGGATTGTGACGTGTCATGCTGGGACCACTGCAGTCGCTGGGCACGCGCCGGGAGCAATAATGAGAGTTGGTGAGTGAGGCTGGGAGAGGGTCAGTTGACGCCTTGTCTAGTGCCAGCCTCGCGCGGCCTCCCAAGCCTCGCGCAGACCTGCAACCTGCAGCCTGCAGATCCAAGTCGTGCATGGTGCATCGTGGATCGTGCAATCCTGCATGCCTCAACGCGCAGCTAGCTAGCCAGGCTTCCGCGTCGATTCGATTCATGCAGACTTGCAGAGCGATTGTTCAGAATTCCAGAATCATTTAGGGCATCATCCTAATTCTGGCCCTTGACACCGCCACCACCACCACCAACTCTGATTTCACTCTTGTCATCATCATCTTCAACTAGCCTCGTCATTTCCATCGCCTTCTCTCTCTCCTCCTCTCTTTCTCTTTCTCTCTCACTCTCTACCCACTACCCCGCCAACCACCTCACATCTCTCTCGGCCTCTGTGCTCCCTCCCAACCTACTCCAACCAAACTCTCCTCCATCTTCATCGCGACTTACCTCCGAGCCACCCAACCATCCTAACCCGCCATCCCCTCCCATCTCTGTTCCCTGTCTTCACAAAGGACTCTTCCGCCCTCTCCCCAAGTCCAACTCGCAAGCGCTACCCATCACTCTCCTTGTCTTTTCTCAACACAACCTTCTTCCACGTCCGCAATGCCTACTCTCACCGCGCCGCATAGCCCAGGCGCGCGCGCTCGCTCTGTCTCCCAGCCTCTGCGTGAAGGTATCGAGACCGACTTTTTCGCTTTCGTTCCCGGATCGGACAAGCGTCCCATGACATACGGCCGACCCACTACCACTACCAACACCTCAGGCAGCTTTGGGCGGTCGTCCGGGACGCAGGCGCAAGGCCTCATGCCCCAGCAGTCGCGCAAGGGTCGCACTCGCTCCGGATCGCTCGTGACCGTCACCGAGGTAGGCGGCGACGAGCCCGAAACAATCAACGACCGTGTTGGCGTGTCCAACCACAACGCAGGCTGGGTCAACGCGCCTGGTGCTTGGGTTATTCACCCTGTGCTCATCCTCGGCGCCAAACTCCTCATCGACGCCATCCCAGGCATCGACAACTCGCTGTCGTGGACCATTGTCAACGTTGGATACATGATTGTGAGTTCACCCCTTGATCGCGCACAGGCCCCGGCCAGACTGTCTCGGACCGATGCTTCGAGTCCCAGCATACCTTCCTTGACCGAGGCGATGAGCGAAGGCCTCACAGTACACCGGGCGACGAGCCCATTAGCGAGCGCAACCGGCGCACGTGCGCGCGCCGCTTGGTGCGCTGCTCGACACCGATTCGGTTCGATTCTCAGCCGCCCCACCCCGCTGTCGGGCATCGCAAGTCACTGACCCACAGTTCTCGTTCATCATGTTCCACCACGTCACAGGCATGCCATTTGAAACGGCGTGAGTTGGGCAACACCGATGTCACTGACAGGCAGGATGTCGACAGGCGGCGCATACGACGAGCTCACCCTCTGGGAGCAGATTGACGGCGGTGCGCAGTACACGCCTGCCAAAAAGTGGTTGACAAGTGTGCCCATCGGACTGTACGTTGACCGGCGCTGTGCACTGCACGTGTCATTCTAATGTTCAGGTTTCTGATTTCGACACACTACTCAAACTACGACTACAACCTATTCGCGATCAACTTTACGGCTCTCATCGTGGTCCTCTTCCCCAAGCTTCCAATTGTGAGTGCAGCGAGGTAGACTGCAGTCGGGGTGACGGAAGCGGTCTTCAAGGCCGCGCGTCGCTTTTCAGCCTGCGAGCACGCAGCTTGGTATGCTGGGTCAGACCACCGTATCCGCCCGCCGGCGTTCACGCAGCTTGCACCCGATGTCGCTTGCGCGCACCACCTGGTCGACCAGCCTTTTTCTGACCTCAGCTCCATCGCCAGCGCATCCACTTCCTCCAGCAAGATCCGGTCACCCCATCAACATCGCGCCCTCCCTCCCCGGGGCCCAAGGGATCGTTCTAACAGAAGCAGGACGGTCGTTCGGGATTAGACGCAGTATGCAAGGTATGACTCTTTCAACCTCTTGCAGGAACGTGAGACGATGGCCTCGACCCTGGCGCGTCGTCCGATTGACCCGTCAGGGTGCCGCCGTGGAGATGTCGTGGATACTATCGACAAGACTGACATGTGCGTGCGGTTTGCGTAGTGGCGACGCACTGGTCTAAGCAAGATTTACTTACAGGCATCGGCGCACGCGTATGCATGCCACTGGTGATACGTCGGGCATCTACCGCGCCAGACGTTTGCCCTGATCTGCGCAGTTCCCACGTGTGCACGGGCTCGTCTCCGCCGTCAGCTTCGGGCCCGACTTGGGGACGATGATTTACCTGTATACCAACGTCGTATTGCAGGGGTAGTGCTTACATCTCACGGCGCAAGTCGTCGCTCGGTATCGCGGCGCTTCTATTGCTACCCATTCCCATCGCCATCTTGAGCAGGAATTTCTCCCCAGTCCCGTGCAATAGAGGGGTTGCTATTGGAAAACGATGCTCGATGGTGGTGGGCGGTATGAGCTCGAATGATCTGTGATCTGTGAACCGCGATCTGTGAGAGGGGAAGATCCGATGTCGAGAAAAGCTGGCGAACGTTCCGGCGGCTCTGACCGGAAGCGGATATGCGGAATGCCTGCTAAAATGATAATGACGTCGGCAATTCAGTAACATCCCACCTCCACACACGCAACACACCTGCTTTTTCTGCAACGCACAACGCACAACGCGGACCAGACGCTGTCTTCTTGTATGGCAGTGAGCCCTCAACTCCACTCTGTACCTGCTGATGCCCGGCAGTGAAGCTCCACCGCGATGTGTCGGAGCACCCCACATCCGGCGGGCTGACCGAGCTAGTTGACGCCCAACAGGATGCCGACATCGAGAAGGACACAGCCGCGGATCTACAATTGATAACAGTCCTCTCAGCGCTGCGAAACGGATATTTGCCCTCCAACGTCCAGCTCTACGGCTGGCTTGACCGCGTGTCGTCCCTCAGCGCCGATGATGCTCTATCCGGCGAGACGGCCGCAGCATTGGCCGCACTCAAGAACCTCGGTGACACGCTGCGGAGAGTGTTGGCCGAGAAGAACGGCGACGAGCTGCTGCAGGACACGGTGTGGATGGCGTGGTACGAGACGCGGAGTGGTAGCGAACGCGCGCACCTCCGAGCCACACTCCCTGTCGCCCCGCCGGCAGGGGAGGGAGTCACAGGCGGGGAACACGATCGGTCCTTCGAGGACGCCCTTGCGCGCGATGTTGACGCTGCTGCGCGTAAGGCGGGCGACCGTGATGGCGAGCTGCGTGAGGCCGTTGGGCATATTCGCACCCTGGGGACGATCCTCTTCACAAACCCGCAACTCAGAGCGGCGATCAGCGAGATAACTGCGCTAGCGCGAGAGTACCGCCGTGGAGAAGAATCACGGACTGAAGAAGGGAGTGGTCCGCCCGGCGTGGGCGTCGAGCCGGATACCGTCCAGGACGGCGCAGCAGTCGCGATCGGGGAGTCGGCGACTATCGAAAGCGAAGACAGGGACTGGCGCGACCTAGACGACTTCCATATCCCGGGCGAGTTCGGGGATCCAGAGAGCGGATGGGGCGCCGACGGCGAAGTGTTCTTTGACGCCGAAACGACCGTGACGCTGGACCCCCGGGTCACGGCATTCCTGTACCAGCTGCGCGATGCCATCGCCAGAATGCAAGAGCAGGAGGGTTACCCCGCGGCCATGGCGTGGCTGCTGGACACGTTTGCGGCGTACGAGTACGAAGTGATCTGTCGGACACATCCTGAGCTGGCGCCGGACTACCCCTACCAGCCGCGCATGACGCCGACGCGCCGCATCCTCGCCAACCTCGTGACGCTGGCGGAGCGCTTCGCGGCCCACCGCTCCCTGGGCCCCGTGCAGCAGTCGATCAACAAGTTGTACGCGTACGTCCTCGAAGACGTGGTATCCCGCGCCCTGTCGATTGAGATTGATGGGTTCATCCGCCAAGTCTTCCTAGAGAAGGGGTACGTGTCCACCGACGCGTGTGTCGTGCGCGCCGCGCAGCTCTGGGACCGCTTGAGCGCCTGGCTGTCAAACGAAGTACATGCGGCGCAGTGGAACGCCGCGTGGGCGGGCATGGCGCATTTCCTGGGCATCGAGGCCATCGCCATCTCCCGTCCCAAACTCGCGAGCTGGTTCTCAGACGACCCGCTCACGCAGGAGCTCGAGACACGCTGGACTGCCGTCACCGACGCCCTGCTCCTAGATAACAGGCGGCTGGCGCTCAAGCGCAGCCTGTGGTCGGAGCTGGGACGGCTGGCCGCGTCCGCGATCAACTGGCGCGGCTTTGTCACCTTGCCCCGCATCGAGCTCGTCACGCCCGGCATCGAGCTTATCCTGGAGAACGTACATTTGTCGCTAGCGAACCTGTTCCCCAGTATCCTGGACGTCCAGGTATATGACCGGACGCGATTCAGCCCGTTCGCGGACCTGCGCGCGAGTTGTGCTGCAGCAAACAAGACGCGCCTCCGCGTACGAGGCGAGCAGATTCAGGCAGATATGCGAGACGCCCTTATTTCTCTAAGGTTCGCCAAGCTAGGCTTCTCCGACCAAGGGCGAGGTAAGTTTGCCCGAGTAACATGCTGACGGCAGCGGATATTGCTCTGACACGCCGCGGGATCACATTTGACATCGAGCTCGAGTTCGACACGCACCCCGACGCGAAGCACATCATCACGGCGACCCGGATTGATTTCGGCATCGACGAGCTGTCGCTCACCGCGAAAGGGACCCGCCGAGACGGGCTGTACGCCGCTCTCCTCCCGTCTCTTGGTGTGCCATTCCTCAAGTGGCGCATGGCGTCGAAGTGGAAGCAGAAGCTGGCCCGTGGGATCCGGTACCTCAACACGGAGCTGTGCGAGCTGCGCGACCGTCTCAACGTTGAGAAGGGGCGGGCGGGAAGCAGGGATATGCGCGCGAGCACGCGCCTGTTGAAAGTCACCGCTGAGCGGCTGCAAGAGTTCCGGTCCGTCGTTGCAGAGCGCAAGGGGCGCAGGAAGCGCGCGATACGCGCCTATCGTCGAGAACGGGGATATGGGAGCAGCTCCAATGCCTCAGACACATCATCCTCGGACGAGAGCAGCGACGACGAAGTGGGGCCGGGCGAGCCGGACGTCCTGCGCGGATTTCGCATCTCCTTCGCCCTTGCGGACGCCATCCTCCCGCACATCACCGCCGATCCTGAGCGGTCGCTGCTGTATCGCCGCGAGAGGGCCGAGAAGGCGGCGCGGCGGGCGCACCTGGATAATGGGAGATCACACACGTCGGTGCCATGCGTAACGGCTGTTGGGTTGGGCCACACAGTGGTCTCGGCGGCCGCCCATGGCGGAGTCCAGTTTTCAGCTGCACGGCATGACGACCTGGTCACCAGTCGCGCACGTGCAGTGAGAATCGACGCTCATGTACCGGCACCAGCGCACACTCAAACTGCACAGGATTCATGGTCCGCTACGAGCCAATTGTTCACATGCGCTCATAGCCGCTTAGGCGAAAAGCACATTCGTCGTCCAAACCTGGTTAGTGTTGCCATCACCACACTGCCAGACCTGGAGTCCGTTGCCGTTCTGGTCCGAGCCGTCCGTGAGGTCGAGGCAGAGCCCCTGACCCGTGACGGCGATGCGGTCGTCGTCGGTATAATACCAATTCTGGCGCCTGGCGTCAGTCCCAGCCGCAGACGACTCACAGGGACTTGTCGCAGCGCTGGATTCTGACGCGCGCGCCGTTCCAGTTGCCGTCCGCCTGCAGGCAGTAGTTGGTGCCGGTCACGAACACCTTGCCGTCGCCGCGGGCGAGGCTGAACTTCTGTGCAGCCGTTCCATTGCAGTCGTAGCTTCCGTCAGCGCCCGGGGTGGGGGTTCGCTACTCACATCTGCACGACGGTGCCGGGGGCGATGTTGCCGCCGCTCACGTCGATGCATTTGCCCGCGTTGCCGTTCGGGTGGAGCGCCACAGTCGGGAGCGGAGTGGGGAGCGGGACGGGCTCGCCGGAGGGCGCGGGCTCGCCAGGCGCAACGCCATCCTGAGGGGTGGGGATGGCCTTGGCGAGGGCGAACAGAGCGGCGAGAGCGATGTACCTCATGCTAGTCGGCGTGGAAGATTGAGTTTGGAGGGCTTAATACTACTTGGTAGCTTGTGAGACGTAGAGACGCGCCATGACCAAGTTTATATCATGCTCGCACCTCGGTGAGCTATGAGAGCAGCGACACCGGCGGAGGCACCCTGCGCTTGCGGCGAAGCTCGGCGGTCCCACGACGACAGGGCGGCACCGAAGCATGGGGAAGCGCTGCCCGAGATGCAAATAATGCGGTAGCGTCCTGTAACGGCCGTGTAAGTAAAGTGCACAGCATGTGCTCCGGTGGACGTCAGCATAGTCAGCAGAGGCATGCCAGTGCGGTCGACATCGCGGCAGCATGGTAAATCACAGGCATGGGTGACGGAGACGACGTCTTGGCGCGCTCATCAGTCCTCAGAGTCATCAACGAGAAGTCCGCGATTCAGTAGCATTGAGCAAGTGGGCAGCGCAACACGTGTAGTAGTCTGTAGCTGCACAGCCCCGACACCAAGGCCACCGGACCGCTCCACCGCAAGTGACACGGTGCACTCACGGCTCGATCCCCGTCTGCCTGACGTATCTGGGAGCGACGCGAGCCGAAGTCTACCATCTGCCCACGGCATCGGCAGAAGTGCTACCGCGGATTGCGTGGTCGATGAATGTGGGCCATGTATGGGAGAGAGAACGCAAATTTCTAGTCTAGCGCGTCCAGCTGTGTGAAAGCAAGTTGTGCTCAGCTGGCGCAATATGATGTAGGGTGGCATGCAGTCTTCAGATGACACCAGCCTCCGAATCCGGAGAGCTAGCCGTGAGGACCGTGACAAGCAGATCTTTTGGTAAATGGCAGCTCAGTGCATTTCCCACTGCGACAGATCCTTTTTGCGCGCAAGTCGCTGCCTCCAGCCGAGACATTGACTATCTCTCCACCACCGCGATCCGTCTTCACCTTTCCCAACCGATCAACAGTCGCTCCAAGCTTCCAGTGGTACGGAATTCGACTCTTTGCTCACACGGTCGGACCCATGCGCATCTAGCGGGTTCGTGACAGGTATCCTCAACCTCCCAATAAGCAAAATAGTAGGCAGAGGAACTGAATCCTCGTCTGACGAGAGTGGGATTCGAACCCACGTCCGAAGACTGCGGATGATACATGTATCACCTTAACACAGCGCCTTAGACCGCTCGGCCATCTCGCCTATGGAGGACAGAATCACGTGGTCCTTCAGTCCGCCGCGGGCGCCTGCGTATTATACTTCGGACGGCAGAGACGATGCTAACGACTGCATAGCAGGCCTCAAGGCGGGGCCGCTCTTATATTGCGCCTAATAACAGAAACATATCCACTAGGCAACGATGCCCTTCACTTGATCGCAACTTCATACGGGCAATACGGACTACGAAAAGGTCCATGGCCTTCAGCGTCCTTGAAGCGCCTAAGCCTAGCCACGGTAGTAGCGGCGGCGGATGACGTTGGTCGTCCACACCTGGTTGTTGTTACCGGTGCCGCACTGCCAAATCTGCACGCGGTTGCCGTTGTTCTTGTTGCCACTGGGCAGGTCAAGGCAGAAGCCCTGGCCCTGGGGTCAGCGTCAGCAGTCCCCGCTCAGACGTACGGTGAGCGCGATGCGATTGTCGCCAGTGTAGAACCAGTTCTGCTGGGGCACGTCTACGCAGCTCCAGATTTTCATACCGACGCCGTTTCCGGGGTCTGCGTCAGCGTGTACGGTGGCGAGCTCACTGGTGCCGGCGTCGAGGCAGAAGTTGGTGCCGTTGGCGGAGAGCTTGACCTTGCCTGCGCCGCGCTGGAGGGTCCATGCCTGAGCGGGCGTGCCGTTGCAGTCCCAGCTGATGTTAGTGTGGGACGGGTAATGGCGCACATTTGCACGGGGGTGCCGTTGGCAAAGTTGGCACCTTGGACGTCGAGGCACTTGCCAGCGTCGCCGTTGGGGTGCAGGACCGTGCCGGTCGGCGGGGGAGGCGGCGGAGTCGTTGAGCTCGGAGGCGGGCAGCTCTGAGCCGAGACGAGAGCCAGAGTGGCGAAGGCGGCGAGGGTGTTAGCGAGCATGGTGTCGAGGTGTGATCGAGGCTTGCTGCAGGGCGTCATTCTAGGGGTGGCAGACAAGCGTCTTATAGCGTGAAGACCTGGGGCTTACGCGGACTGTCAGACGGCGGAGGGTCTGAGAGGGGGAGAGACACGCAGCCAGACGCCGTCAGCAGAATGACCTCGTGCAGGTGACTGTGGCGTAGACCGAGGCCGAGGCCAAGTCCAAGCAGGCGTCTGTATCCCGACCAGGCCATGAGTAGTTACGCAACCCACTCGTCAGTCCCCAAGTGAGTTTGCGCGTGCCGAGCTCCTATCGGGGCTGTGTTTCCGCACGCATCTCCGCTCAGGACGCCGACAGAGTAGCTGGAGGAACATGCCAGGCAGCATTCAATGGAGCGTCCAGTGGAGTAAAGAATGTTCTTGGCGGACGTCCAAGTGAGTTCCAAGATCACGGCTGCTTTGAGCCAAAATAGCGGAAAGTGTGCGGATTGCGGAGACATTTTGCGGATTGATCTCTACTAATCCATGTGTTGGCGCAGCTGCTCTGTACATTCCGAGATTAGTTGGTCCCGAGTAACTGCCATGAACGTCGCACGCGTCGCTCCGCGAGCAATCGCCACCCAACATTCCGCGACGAGGTATTCTGGATCAGTGGCAGTGCAGGTTACGTGAGACGGCCAACGCGGCATGGACGCCGTATTGTGTGCATGTGCCTCCGCCAGAATGGAGAAATCAACGTCGGCGGCGAGCTGACGGATATGATGTGACCTCGGTCTAGGCCGCACCACACTTGTCGAGTAGCTCCTCGACGTCGCTGACCAGCGCCTGCGCGGTGGGCAGAAGCCGCCACTCTGCGCTTGCCTTGTAAAGTTCAAGCACAGCTCGAACAAAGCCCGCGACATCGCTATTCCCCGGTCGCAGTCCTGGTTCCGTGGGAGGGTTCTCATGTTAATTCTGCTCTGGCTCGATGACGTCCGGCGTGCGCAGCTCCAGCGTCCGCAGTACGCCGCGCCTGCGTCGCGATCGTCGCGGCGTGTGTACACCGCTAGGACGCTGACACCGGCACCTGCGCATGCCACACCGAACCCGAGACCGACCTCAAAACTTGGCGCTTGCCGTCGCTTCTGGGGGGGGGGGGGGGGTCTGGCGGGCTGCCTGTGCCGGGTCCGCCACTCGACCTCTTCACTCCCCTCGCGTCCGTCGTCTCGCTCGGCACTCACCTCCAGGTTGTTCCGTACACACGCCCAGAACCCCTTCCACCCCCACCCCGCATCTCGCGCAAGCAGCCCATCGACCTCCTCCGCCCACTCCGCCTCCCAAGCCTTCCTGCCATCAGGAAGGACAGCGTCCCCGAGCCGCGTTTTGATGTCGGACATAACATCTGCGATGCCTTCTGCACATCGGCCGTGGTTGGCGCGCAGGGCGGCGTAAACTCGTGGTAGAGTAGGTGACGAAAAGAAGTTGTGATTGATGGAGATACACTGATGTCAGCCTTACGAGTGACTGCTCCTGCCTGAGAGGCAGGGAGATGGGCGCCACGTACGAAATCGAGGTTCAGTACCTGGTGATGCCATCCACTCGGGACAAAAATGACCTCGCCTTCCTCCTGGACCACCTTGAGGGTCTTCGCATCGCGGACGTCAAACTGAAGTTCGCCGTACTGGTCGCGCGGCTCAGTGCCAGGCGGAAAGAGCCACCACAACTTGCGTCCAACAACATTCGCGCTCCAGCTGTACGAGCCGTACACATCACTATGGAGAGGAGTGAATGTGCCTGCCGGGCCAATGTACACGAAGCGGAAGTCGGCGGTGGATGCGGAGGTGGTGGAGGAAGGTGCGGAAGGGGCATCGAAAGGCGGCGAAAGCCAGTCGTCTGATGTCAGCCTTATCAATAGCTCTGAGTTGGCAATGCCCTCACCTAAGAAGCAGTCCGGGGGTCTGTACACCCCGCTCGCCTCGCGCCCGCCCCCGAGCTCAGCGACCAAGTGCCAGTCCTTGACGTATAGGGTGCGCCCCTCGCCCTTCTCCCACAACTGCAGCACCTCGCAAAGAGGCCGCTCGTCGCGTGCAAACTCCGAGTATTGGCGCTGCGCCGTGTCCGCCACGGGGACGACTTGGTCGCCATAAGCGGCGAGAGCAGAGAAGTTGGGAAGGGACGGTGGTTGGGCGCGGGAAGGTTGGGAAGAGCGCGGCGTGACGTCGGCTAGCAACACGCTCATCTCCTCCTCCGGTAAGCTCGCTAACAGTTCACTCTCCCGCTCGGAGATGCGCGGGCGAGCCCAATCCCTCCGCGCGCCCCAGCGCGCCGTCGCTGCGGGCGAGAGGAGGAACGGCGTGTTGGGAATCAAGTGGTCTTGCTGCCGTTAGCGGCGCACTATGGCTTGGTGGACGCACCAAGAAGCGCTGGTACGGCAGCTCATCGTATGTTAGGAGATGTGAGTCCGCCGGAAGTCGACATGTCGGCGTCATGTTGATGGGAGAAGAGTGATGACGCGAAGATTGAATTCTGGTCGGGGCGCAAATGATGCGGAATGCGGAAGTTAGGCGGGTCGGCCATCTCCAACGGATCCGGTGTCTTGTCTGCCATCCCGCTGGCTGCTGGCCGCGGGCGTCGAGTCGTCTCTGAGTCGCTCATGCGAACCTTACGAGTGGAGACGAGAGACTGACGCTGGTTGGCTTACCAAGCGCACGATTTGACGTCGGGTACTTGATAAAGGCCAACACCGGCGTACATGCCTCATTTCCCATATCTCACCGCCCACCACCATAACCCTGCACACAACAATGGCCAGCCAGGACATCTCCGCGCTCAAGAACTACAAGGCACTCCTGTTCGACTGCTATGGCGTAAGTCGGAACGCTTGTACACCCTTACACCAGACTCTGATCGACTGGGAGCGAGGCCTGCTCGCAACGCCCCAGATCCGCGGCCTGTTGGCGCAAGACGGGGCGCCAGACGAGCAGGGCCTGTTGGCAGCATTCAGCCCTAACGAAGTACGCGTGCAGGCTGCCACGCCTGGCATCGTGTACGACGAGGTGTGAGTAGTTCGCACAACGGTATGCCGGTCTCGCTCACCCAGCCTCACCCAAGCCTTCAAGGACACGGCGCACGACCTCGGCCTCTCGGCCACTGACGCCGACGCGAAGGCTTTCGGCGATAGCGTGCCCTCCTGGCCCGCATTCCCGGACTCTGCGGACGCCCTCAAGCGCCTCTCGGACATGGGCCTCAAGCTGATCATCCACAGCAACGTGCACAATGCGGGGTTCGCTGCGTCGCGCAAGAAGCTCGAGAAGGGGTACGAGTTCGACCAGGTATTCACGGCCGAGAACAGTGAGTAGGCAGGGCAAGCATGGTAGCCTCTCCCAGCTCCCTTGTCAACTCGCGGGCATTGGCCCCGCCCATGTCTATGCTGACCACAGTCGGATCGTACAAGCCCGACCATCGCAACTTCGAATACTCCATCCGCCGGCTCAAAGAGCTCTACGGAATTGAGCGCGACGAAATCCTCGTCACCGCCAACTCAAAGCTGCACGACCACGAGCCCGGGCACATCGCAGGCCTCAAGGGCGCCTGGATCAGTCGGCCCGGCGCCAATATGGGCGTCAAGAAGTTTGACCACATCGTTCCCGACTGGGAGTTCCCAACCATGATGGACTTTGCAGACGCCATGGAGAAGGCAAGGGTGTAGATGTGGTTGTGATGTACATTGCATGAAACTGGCACACTGTTCTACTCTACACTCTACAAAGCCATGATCTTCTTTTGTATCTGCTCACTGCTCCTTGCTCACTGCCCACTGCTTGTCACTGTCCGAGAAGAGTGTCAACATGTCTTGTCTGTCTCTGTCGGGTATCTTTGTGATGTCACACCCTCCCCCCCCACGCTACGCGAGCCCAAACAGGCGCCGCCACCAGCGCTTGAAGCGGAACCATGTGCCGCCCTCCCATCCCGCACGGCGGTCCGCACCGCCGGCCCACATGCGGCCGGTGCCGCAGCGCACGACACCGGCCTCATCCTCTCGCTCCGGGCGGGGAGTTCGCACCTCGATCCCGTCAACACTAAGTGTGCTCCAAACGTCACTCGCCACACCAGACACGAGGCCGAGCTCGAGGTCCTTGTCACGCGGGGCCGGGGTGCTGGCCTTGATGCGAGGGTCGACGGTGCGCCCAACGAAGCGCGGGAAAAGGGCCATGAGCGACTCGGCCTCGTCATCCGCAATATGCGCTGGGAACGTCCACAGCCGGAAACGGGGACGGTTCAGGTCCGCCTCCTCCTCTCCCAAGTCAAAGGAGCGTGAGTCGATGCTGTCCTTGTCGTCCGCGACCATTGCCGTCAGGCCCAGGGGCGAGCGCGACGCCCCGCCCAACAAAGCCTCGCGGTCACCTGGGCTATTCGGCGACAGGGGTGGAGATGACGGCGCATCGTCCAGGTTAGGCGAGGCCTTGCGGCGCGAAGGGGGCGGCGGTGGGGCCGGCCCACGACCGGACGTCTTACGCGGTTGCGGCGCGGGTGCGCCCAGGGTGCGCTTGTCCGTGAATGGGTCCGAGCCAGCGCGTGCGCGCGAATCATTGTCGTCGGGGGTGCTGGGCCCCGGAATAACACGGCGCAACTTGGGGGGTGTGCTAAGTGGCTGATCCTCGAACCCGAGGATACCCTTGAGCACGGCCACAGCTTCGGACATGAACTCGGGTCCACCTGATTCGAGGAACACGGCGTCATCAATCTCCCACACAACGCGACGCACACCTGCTCCTCCGCAGCTTGGTCCGCGACTCTGCACACGCAGAGCGCCCCACAGGCCGCGGAAGAACGGAAGCTGCGGGCCGGTGGAAGACGTGCCCCATGTGCGAATGAAGTGGTCAAGACGCTCTGCGCGTTCGGAGCGTGCACGGGCACTGCCCAGATCCGAGCGGGCGGGCAGGGAGAGTGAGCCGTTGGAGATAGTCGATGACAGCAGCGCATGGAAACTGCTGATGCGCACTCGAAGGTGGTGGAGATGCGCCTCAGAGCGCAGCTGCGACTGCACGCGAGTGTACGCGGCGCGATGAGCGGGAGGAAGCTTCGCGAGCGTTGCAGAGATGTACGCTTGTGACGCTTCTGGCGGCGTGGTGGAGAAGAAGAAGAGGCGGCAATGGTGCGCAAAGAGCTCCAGTCCCTGCTGTTAGCTTGTCCCGAGCCGCATGAGCTCACCTCTGGAGGAGGACTGGTGATGGTCTCGTTGCGCCGCGAGTAGGTGCTACCTTCACGACCTGAGAAGACGCTGGGACTCGGCCCGCGCGATGGCAGAGGTGGCGGCGTGAGACCCTTCTGCGCCATCGTCACCGGGACGGGCGAGAGGATCTGGCGCGCTTGCCCTGCGCGCCCGGTTGTTTCGGCAGAGTCACGGCGGGCGGACTGGCGACGGGGGGCAGCTCGCGACTGTGCGTCAGCGCAGGGGAAGGGCGAAGGCGGTGCAGGGTGTCAGCTTTGGCAGACTACTCACCGGACTGCGGCTGCTACTCCCACTTCCATGGCGCGGGGGTAGGGGTGGGCGCTCGCCGCGACCGGGACGGCTGGGGTCCATGATGGTTTAATAAGGCGGAGTTGGGTGCGGATAGAGATGGGAATGAAGTGAGAGGTGCGCTGGCCAGCAGCGTATTGGTCGGTTTATGCGAGGATGCGAAGGCGGATGACGGGGATGAGAGACGCAGGGAGAGCAGTCGGGAGGTCAGATATGATGTTGGGGACGATGATACTGTGGATGCTGCTGTTGTTGTTGATTGTGTTGTTGAAAGGAGAAGAGAGTTGAATTGATCAACATAACCCGGTGTGGCCTTCCACGGGGGTCGATCGGCAGATCAGGGTGCCTGTGGAGAGACTAGTGAATGCGATGCGTGCCGTGTCCATGCGACGATGACTGCGTCTGTTAACGGTATTTGTACGCTGCACAGCGGGGAGTCAACAAGTGGAAGATGTTTGGGATGGAGTGAGAGTGTGAGAGCGAGAGCGACGAGTGTATAGATAGGTGTTGTCGCGTGCAAGACGAGGACTATGAGGATGCGATAATTGGGGGAGAGCCAAGGGATCCCGGCTACTGACGCGTCCCGCTCGTGCCGCCCACTCAAAATGGCGCCACGCGTCTTTTAGGGGTCCCCAGCATCTCCAGCCATGCCAGCCATCATTCATCCCGAGCATGCCGGACTCACCCTCGTTTCGCTTCACTACTCTCCTCAGGTCACTTCAGTCTGCAACCTGCGAGTACGACGCCATCACACGCCCCAAGCTTGCAGCGGGATGCGGGCCACCTCGGCACCGATCCAAGCCCCACACTCGAGGTCAAGGCAGTGGCGCTTGGCGTTTGAGGCTCTGGCTCGAGTGAGCCTGCACATATGATATGGGACATTGAAAGACAACACAAGATGAGACATCGCCAAATACCTGGAAACGGTGCATATTCAGCACATCTACAGACAGACAATCCTCACAGCGCCACACACTCTTACACTTTGTTCAAGTTTCGCACATACATACTCAGCCACCCCCACTTGCTCTTTCCGCAGTTTCCCACCATATCGACAGTCGCTCGTCTCTCTGTCAGCTGTCAGCTGCATTATTCCCGCACATGCAATCATCAATGCAAGGGCTCGACGAAAAGCCTGACAACCCAGCCCTCCCTTCTCCGGCGATCAACATTATTGCATTGCTTCTTGGCATTGACTACTCCAACACTGTTCAGCTTCCGCTTGATCTGGCATTGATACAAGTACACGGCTCGGCATTTAGTGGTTCCTCGCCGTCAGCATGGCTGGCATGCAGCTCACTGCTCCGCCAGAACAACACGGGCGTTGAGGAACGTCGCTGCGGTCAGCTGAGCCTGCCCCAAGTACTCACTGTAGGCGATCCAAGCGCAGTAGGGGACGGTGAACCAGTTGGTGTTCATGGGCGCAACGACAAGGTCGCTCATCTTGACGGCCATCGTGACAGCGGTACCGAGGAGCGCGACCGAGTTGGCGAGCGCAGCCTGCTTCTGGTTCTGGCCGACGAACAGGGGCTCCCAGAGGAGCTGGAGGCCGAGCTGCGCGTAGTAGAGGAGGAGGGCGTTGGACGCGTCCTCGGTCGTCTGCGGCGTGGGGGCAGCATCGAATGCTCGCACCGTCAGGTGCGCAGCGTAACCGGTCAGGCCGCTAGCAGCCATCCAGATCTGTCGTTAGCTTAATTCTTACACCCGCCGATCGGCCCCACGTTCACGCACGTAGGAGAAGGCGGGGTGGGGAGGGCAGACGGCCTTGGGGGCCTGGCCAGTGCGCTTGGCGCGGATCTCCGAGGTCACATAGTTGCCTGCGATGCCGAGGATGATGGGGAGGCCGACTGCCGTTAGCGAGCGATGCAGGAGGCGCGAGGGCGAGGGGGGCTGCGAAAATACCAACGCCCCCGACGCCCACGCCCACAACGACTAACCGGCCAGCGCGGGGTTGCGGTTAACGGCAAAGGCAAACTCTGGGAGGGGCGACATGGTGAGTAGAGGACGTGGGAGGACACATCTCGGCGGCAAGACTTTATACTGAACACGGCAGGGGGATAACACGGGGCTGTTGATGTCATTCCCTCTGTGCAGGTGCGGGAGCGCCTACGTGCAGCGCCGGCATGGCTAAATGAAAGCATGTTGATGGGGGATGGGCTGGGGGCAGATGGGGGGGCAGATCGAGGCCTGGGCCGAGCCGCCGAGGCTGACGCCAGGCGAAGGACCAATGGGTGACTAGGTGAAGCACATACGTCATGAAACGGGAGAGTTGTTTGCGCCAACCATGAAGCGCTCTTTAGTCCGGAGTGCCGGGCGGGACGGGACCGCTGCTGAGGGGCTGGTACACAGAGGCTCATGTCACGGGGAGAGCAGCAAGCGGTCGGAACATCCATCTCGTCAGCAGTCCGAGATGGAGATCAAGGAATAGTTGTGACGTCACTATTCGGTTGAGAAACGCGGAAACCACGCCTGTCTCACGTGACGCAATCACGTGATCTCAAAAGTTCGACGAGTTGCCACCCACATTGCCTTCAACGATCTCCACCACCATATCGACGCAAAACATGAGCGAAGCACACCCACCAGACCAGCCCGCGCCCGTCGTGCCCGACGTAGAGGAGGTGGCTGAGGCGCCGGCTCTTAGGCCAGACGGCAAGGGATACATCGACGACGCGGCGACGGAGCTATGCGACGACAGCGAGGGCTCGAGCGTCGAGGAGAGCTTGGACAGTGCGGACGAGCGGAGCCACGGCGGCTGGCCGGAGGCTGAAGAACCGCAATCCGAAGAAGAAGACGAGGACTGGGGCGTTGAGAACGAGGACTGGGAGCTGGCTGACGGCGGTGAGTATTCCGCTCTCTAAGCATCACAGCTCATGGCAGACTTCACGAAGCAGTACAACCGTGTGAGGCAGGCGTATACTGCGGTCGGAGGCTCGGCCCAGCCGTTACCTGCGCGCAATGCACACGCGCCGAAGGCGATGAAGCCTGCACCGAGCAAAGCGGGGTCGCTCGGCAAGGCTCTCGTGAACCCGGCGTTGCTCGGCGGCGTCGGGCACAACCCGAAGAGCGCGGCGGAACGGCAGAACCAGAAGGACAAGGCGGACCGCGCGACACACGAGCAGGTGCTGGACAACCGGACGCGCGAGACACTGCAGAAGCTCGTGAACCGCGGATACTTCGAGGTCATCGCGGGCTGCATCAGCACGGGTAAGGAGGCGAACGTGTACCTCGCCCACCCGGGCACGGACACGCCGTCCGAGCCGTTCCCGTACCCCGCAGCAGTAGCGGTCAAGATCTACCGCACGTCGATCCTCAACTTCCGCGCGCGGCAGAAGTACATCGAGGGCGAGCACCGCTTCGCGGGCGGATACTCGAGCTCGAAGAATGCGCGCAAGCTAGTGCGCCTGTGGGCGGAGAAGGAGCTTCGCAACTTGCGCCGGCTGGTTCAGGGCGGCGTGCGCGCGCCGATTGTCATCGAGCAGCGCTCCAACGTGCTGGTTATGGAGTTCCTCGGCCGCGACGGCGTCGCGTCGCCGCGGCTGCGCGACGCTGACCTCTCAAACTCAAAGCTCGCCCGTCTGTACGGCGAGCTCCTCGTCACCATGCGCAGGATGTACCACTCATGTCAGCTGGTGCACGCCGACTTGAGCGACTACAATGTGCTGTACCACGATTCGCACGTATACATCATCGATGTGGGCCAGAGCGTCGAACACGACCACCCCCGCGCTTTCGACTTCCTCCGCACCGACATCCGCAACGTTGAGGAGTTCTTCAGCAAGCGGTCCGGCGGCGAGGTGCGCACGCTCGGGCTGCGGAGAGCATGGAGCTTCATTGTGGACGAGAGCGTCGGGCTGGCTAAGGAGGACGAGGCGGGCGACGAGGGCGAGGACCGTCTCCTCGACGTGCTCCGTGAATGGCTTGAGCGGCCCGAAGAGAAGAGCGAGGCGACCGAGGTCGACGACGCAGTCTTCTTCTCCTCGTACATTCCCCGCACGCTTGGCGAGGTGTACGATCCGGAGCGCGACATCGACATCTTGAAGTCTGGCAAGGGCGACCAGCTTATCTATGCGGGGATTACACAGCTCGACATCAGTGGCAAGGGCGCGGAGGACGAGGCGACGCCGGAAGAAAAGGCTGAGGACGAAGCGGAGGGGGGAACGGAGGCGGAAGCGGAGGCTAAGGCTGAGGCTGAAGAGATGCAGCCTGAAGCCAAGGGGCGACGAGAAAGCAAGACCGTGCGCTGGGCCGACTGGGAGACTGAGCCGGACGCTGAGGTCGACCCGGACGCGTTTGACCGGAAGCCGCGCGGATTTCGGCACGAGGATAAGGAGTCTAAGAAGGTGAGTTGAGCGGTCGGTAGGACAGGGTGGCGCAGGGCTGACGGCAGGAACGCAAGAAGGCACTCAAGGAGGAGAATCGCGAGAAGCGCAAGAACAAGATGCCCAAGGGCGAGAAGGCGCGGCTGATCAAGAAGAGTAGTGGGCGGTGATCTGCATAGTGTTTGCGTTCTGGCGCTGTACTTTCTGATTTCTTCTGATAGCTTCTAACTTCTTGCTTCTTGCAGCTGAGGCTTGGGCTCGCCCGGCCTCCCGGCGGTTCCTTGCTTGCGTCTGGCGCCGCAGCCCATGAGAAACTCTAACTCGCCGCAGTTGTTCTCACTTCTCACCTACGCCCGCGGCTCGCGCGAGCGGATGTCGATTCGCGGACCTGAACTTTGCCAAACTTCTATTTGCACTAGTTTTCGTCGCCCGAATTAACGCACGCCCGGACTAACGCACGCCCGAATTGACACGCTGGCGGGACCGTTGCCTCGGGCCGTTGCTGAGATGCGCCGGAGGCAACCTTGTCTCCCTGGCATAGCGGCCTATCAGCACCCTCGCGGGACCATGACCCAAGTTAACGCTGTTCCTGTACTCCTGTATCCGGGCGAGAGGGCTGCCGCCCGCGTGCCACGACTCATACTGAAGTCCGACCCGGCGACACGCTGCGCGGCAAGAAGGTGTACGCAGCCAAGCGACCTGGCCCGTCAGGGTGAGCGCCAGGATTGGGTCCGTACGTTCGTAGCCTCAGGCGACATGGCCCGTATCGGGTGCGGAACGGGTATCGGGTCCACATAGTAGCATCCTCGGGTGGGAGGCGGCGCCTGGTGCCGGTGCTGGTGTGACCCACGCGGTTCGGACATGAGCAGTACCCAGTCATTTGGGACAGTGCCGGCGAGCGCGTCATAGCTGCGACGAGAACGTAGAATGCGGCCCAGATGATCGCGACTAATGGTTGATGACGAGATAGAGTGCGTCGGGTTCGGGATTGCCCTTGCATCGCCTCGCGCAACTCAACCTCGGTTTTGGACGGGAGAGAGTGGGGGAGGGGTAGGGGTAGGCAGGGTTGACCATCTGAAACGATGCGAGGTTGTGGCGGAGGCGGGTGCCACTCTTGGTGTCAGAAGCTTCCACAGCGGCGCATGGTGCAGACCTCCATCACACCACACCATCAGTTCACTATCACCACCACCTACCGTCCCCACCGACCTCCGTCCGCCACCCAGTAACCCATCACCACCTACATACGCGACCCGAGAATTTTGCAAGCGAGCCCCGCCGATCGTCGACACATGTACATCGCGTAAAATTGTCTTGCGGTCGCTTAACACTCGCTGCCGCTGACGCTGTGCTGTCATGTTGAGACAACTGTCCCGCGATCGGGTGACTAACCGTCTTCGAGGCACGGCTTCGCACGTGTGGCACACGTGTGGCAAGATCTGCCAACTGTGAGTGATTCCACCCGAACTAACATACGCAGGCCATATCTACGCATGCCGCAATCCGCAGACTTGCCTTACGCAACACTTGCGCAGACCACAGAGTTGACCTTCAGACGCTACATGATAGGCCGACGCACGCACTGCGCATTTTTCTTCGTGCAAATATCTTTGGCGGCGGGGCTTCAAGCCCGGCCCTGGCCCGGCGACGATCAGGTCGCGGCAGATCTCTTGGCAGGAGGCACAGTGATCGACATGGCACTTATTAGGCTGAGGCGCCCGGCACCGCGGCACCGGGACTCGGAGCCATGTGCTCCACTCGCACTGTATCATGGCGATCTCGTGCCGGCAAGATTGGAAGGCGAGAGCGTCGAGTCGAGTCGCGATCAGTGCCTGCGCTCGGAGGCTCGCGGAGGCGCGCCGAGGATTGCACATGCTGCGAACATCTGCATGGGCTGTGACGTCGTTCGCGGGTGTGTTTCGCCGGCTGGTCTCGTCGGCCCTCGTGAGTCGGCGTACGTCATTCGCCATGGTATCATGGAGACGGGCGGCAGCGCCTAGCTTGACTCTGGCAGTATACAAGCAGCGGCGTGCGCACAGAACACCACAGGTAAGACTCTAGAAGGACGTGATCCGCTCATGTGGCCCTGCAGTGTGAAGGGGTTGGGCGATATGTAGGGGGAGGAAACTGCGGTTGGCCCATCTATGGAACCTGGGGTTTGGGCCGGTTGGGCATGTGGATGCGGATGTGGCACCGACATGCTGATGTCGCTGACAAGTGGCAGTGCACAGACCGTGGGCTAAGGGGGCGAAGGGAGGGGCGCAAGGCCCAGATCATGTGAAAAGCTCCGAGACGAAGCGCGAGGGGAAGACATGGAACGAAGCCTGTCAGTCTCACATATCACCTATGTACGTACAGGTAGAACTCAATTCGAGTTCTCCTCTTTTGTTCAGGCGGCCACTCTGAAGTGCTGCACGCGGTGCTCAAGCTAGAGCACCTCGCTTGTGTCCGCTTTCACGCAAACCCCCGCTTTGTCATTTTGTCATGAGCTTCCACTGTTCCGACAGGCCTGCAGCGTTACTGGTGCGGCAGTGCGATGCAAGACCAGCGGTCGGCCCAGGGACGTCCGCGCCGACCGGAATTGGGTGGCCCTTTCCCTAATGAGCTGATGAGCGATGAGCGCATCACTCTGGACCCGGTGTCGGGATGACATCTGAGAGTCGGGAGCTGGAGCTGCAGTTGGATCGTTGGGAGGAGGGGAAAGAGGAGTGCGCACGCTGAACAAAGGAACCTCGGCAATGATGGGTTGCGGCATTTCCATTCCCCCTTTCGCCCCTTTATCCGGTGACCCTGGTTTCCTTTGTCTCGCCTCCGGGCCTCCGGGGACTCCGGGGACCAGCCAGAACAATCTTCCTGAAACTCAACCTGGTGGTGCCTATACACACCCCTGGCACCGATGTTTGAACTCCCTGACATGTCCGGAACGCGGGCGAACGTGAGACGTCAGAGGGCCAGAAGGCCAGAGGGCTACTGTAGAGTAGAGCGTCAGAGCCCCAGGGCGCCGCTGATACAAAAGAGAGGCCGTGGAGTGGAGAGAAACCGTCGACGGATCCATTACTCAATTGCTCTTGCAGGTCCAGACCTCCCCGTTCTTCTCGCAGCGCACGGGCGCAGAGCGAGGTGTTCGGCATGGAAAATTGCTGGGATGAGGGGATGGGCGGGTCCCTGACTTTACCCTTGGTTAGTTCCGTCATTCAGGCCAGGTGTTCCGCCGTCGAGCACAAACCTTGCTCCTTGCGCGATCTCTTGAGACGATGCTCTCGTGCTCTCGAGCTCACCAGATCATCATACTGTATCATCATCGGCTCATCAGCAGCTCATCAATGATGAGAGGAGAGGATAGCCAAGGATTCCTGGGAACGACGTTGGATCCGTCTATGTATGATCTGTACCTTGGGCGAGTGTGCGATCTGGGACACGCAATCTCGGGTCTGAAACTTTCATGATCAGAGCCCTCCCGCCGCCGTCATTTCACCACTGCTCGGTGCCGACAACTTCTGCTCATGAATCATCAACAGTAAAAGTTGGGTGGCAAATACCTTTCGCATCTCTCAGTAGCATTTTTCACTCTCAACTCACAAATCGGCACCGTCGCACCACACTCCTTTCTCTGGATCTTTGGGAACGAGCGTAACAGGGGAAGATCGACAACCGGTTAGATCGACACCGCCTCCGTCGCCCCCTCGGCCCCTCGGCGCCTCGGTAGCTCGGAATTGATCCGTGCTTGATTCTCGGCGATCCCTCCACAGATCACACACAGACACACATACACACACACACAATCACGACTGCGGCCGAGGACACGCGAACGGCTTCTTCCTTCCTCCAGCCCTCCTTCTCTCGACTCGTCTCTTCATCTCTTTCAAATCCTCCCTCTTCTTCATCTCTCAATCACTCCATCTCGTCTCCACCTGGGTTTCCTTGCCGCCCTCGTCTTTTTGGCTCAAGCCACACCCTTTATACCCCTTACATTCCGGCAGGTCAGAGTCACAGACTGGCCACACGCAGGCCGACACGAGCAAACCCGTCGTCCGTCGTCTGCAGGCTTCTCGGCTCTTCTGTCGGTTCTATAACTATCTAGGCATACCCTCGTCGTCCCTCCGAGGTCCAATTCACACCCAACCCGACACCCTGGGCGCCGCGCTAGAATCTCACCACGGTCTCACTCAACACGTGGGTTTCAGTCCCAAAGCAAGACATCGGCCTCGCGCGCGGCACAAGCGGCACAAACCGCACAAGCTCGGCGACTAAAGACTTGGGTCACAACGCGGTCATCAGGCAGGCCAGCAAGGCCAGAAGTAGAGTGGGAGGGGAACCCAAGGATTGCACGAACAAGGACAACGTTCCCTTTCGACACCCGCTCCGCGCACCATCGCCCAGCTCGCAGTTTCCCAGCTCCTCCGTTCCCAGAGCCACCACAGCAGAGAGCGCAGAACTGTTGGTCCGCCGCACCAAGCGCTCCCCCCTACTTCCCCTATCATTCAACTCATACACTCGTACAACCAAATTCACTTTCCTCGTCATCCTGCAATCCTGCGTCCTTCACAACCGTCCCTCTTTCAACTTTCCACGCTTTAGCCCATCAAAGTCGTGGAGGAACTCGTACCGCCCGCCTCCCCTTACCATTCTCCCGGCATTGTCCTGCAACTGTAGCTACGAGTACCGTCGCAAGTCCACCGAGACGCACCCCTCCACCACTCGTCCGTTAATCCACCCACCCACCCATTTCTTTTCTCTCATTGTCATCCTCATACCTCACACTTCGCCCACTTCAGCATTCCCACTTGCTTATCCCTCTCTCGACATTACGACGAACTCTCTTCGGTTGGTCTCACGGTCCCTGCAGTCACTCCCCGCTGCGGTCGATTCGGCACGCTCGGCTCGACGAACTTCAAAAAGGTATTCAGGTCAACGGATCGGTTCCTAGTCCTAGTGACTCTATTGCCCGCTCATAATCCTTTCGTCACCAGGACTATCCCTCCATTCCTCAGGTGAACGACTGCTCGTCAGCAGCACCTAGCAGTCTAAAGCCGACTAGGTACCATGTCGTCGCCGCCTCTAGGTGGTAGTATGACTTGGGACACGTCCCAGCTGCCGCCGCGTCGTGCATCCGATTCCGAGGTTGTCAGCAGCAGTAAGGGTTCAACGGCCACGGAAGAGGCCCCTGCTTCCGGTGACGAGAGCAAGCCAGGACCACCGCCACCGTCCAAGCCCACAAGGTCAAAGCCCAAGATTAACGTTGTATCGCCTAGCCCCGCGGTCGAGGGAGAGGCAACTGCAGGTGAGTTTAGCACCATGTCTAGCTAGCTGGCTGGCTTCGCTAGGCGCTGGCGGACCGGTGAACCAAAGCAATGACCCGACCAGTAATCGGGCGTGCTGGGTGAGCTGGTCCGTCTGCGACAGGGGGTCCGCTGAAAGGTGCCCCTCCCCATGCCTCCCACCCCCGGAACGTGGCTTGACGACTAAACCTTGCAGCCGCTTCCACACTTTCGCATGCCACCCCTTCAACTTCTGCGCCGCCGCCGCAACATAATGATTCTTCTTCACAATCATCCACCATCAAAATCCATTCTGCTGCCGTCAAGTCGAAGTACCACTCGACTTTCCCCCACCACTCTATACCAGCGGCAGCAATGGACCCCCTCGACCCCGCCGACCCCTCCCCTCACCATCACCAGCAGCTTGCGCACCCTCCCCCTCACCACCAGCACCCTCCCCACCCTCATCATCCCGGCCATGTCCCACCCCGGCATGGTCTGCGTCCCCAGCCTCCCCCTCACGCTGGCCATCACCCCCAAGCCCATCCCCAGGCTCACCCTCAGGCCTATGTCTTCGCCATGCCCCCAGACTCGGCCCACTACCTAGGGTCGCACCCACCTCCCATACCCACGAGTGCTGCGATTCAGCAACAACAAGAGCAGCAGCTCAGATACGCCGATCAGGCGTATGGAACGCTTCGGCCGGTTTACGCACCCCAGCTCTACTACGACCCTTCAATAGCTGCGGCTGCAGCAGCAGCTGACTATGCCGTGGACCCTACACACGCGCTTCCCGGCATGTCTTCCCGGTCGTCACCAGGTGCCGCCTATACTTCACAACCAGTTCCACCACAATATCACCCCGCCGCCACCACGCCTCCAGTGCCGCAAGGTGCTTGGTCCGGATCGCCTATGCCTCCACAAACTGCCTATTATGGGTCGTATCCGGCGATGCCGCCTCAGCTTGGCACGCAGCAGCATGCTGGTGCTTCTGGCATGACCGACGAGCTTGGGCGTAACCGATCCATCTTCCTACCGCACGCCGCGCCTGGTCCCGCTTCTGCCTGGTCAGCCTCCTCTGTCATGCCGTCACACTACCAGTTCTACACCCCATACACCACTTCGACAGAACGGTTGGAAGGTATGTCCCCTGTCGCTGAGGCATGGTCGCCGCAAGGGCAACCGCGGCCGCTACCTGCCCGCCCCTCGTACGTTCCCCCACAAGCGGGTTCATGGGGCGCAGCAGTTCAAGCGGCCAACCCAAACCCAGTAACTGCGGCTGTTGCGGCCGCTGCTACGGCTTCGCAGGTGCGGGAGCAGCGTGGATCGATGAGTGCGCCGGGCGACGAGAGCTCGAAACCTGCGCGGCCCAACCAATCCCACCAATCCCATCAACACGACGGCGAGCGCGAGCGCAAGGAGTATCACCCACAGCCACCTGCTCGCAGGAGCGAGTGGGTCATGTGGGTTGGTAACGTGTGAGTACAACGCGGGCGTACACATGGGTATGTGCTGACTAGTGAGGCCGAGCAATGTCTCTCACGAAGAGCTGTGGCGCTTTTTTAACACCACGACTCCTCCGTCCGCGCTGAGCAATCCCTCCGAGCCTTGGCGTGGACCGTCGTCCATATTCTTGATCTCGAGGTCGTCATGCGCCTTTGTCAACTTCTCATCCCAGGCCGATCTCGATCGGGCCGTGCCATTTTTCCATGGTCTCTCACTCCGTCCCTGGGACCCGCGGTGTCCTCGAATGGTCTGTCGCGTGCGCCACAAGGATGATGACCTGCGTGCTGGCGTCGGCGCTCAGCGTGGTGTCGGGATGCACAGGGCGTGGGTGGAGCAGCAAAAGCAAGCTGAGAAGAATTTGTCGCCCAAGGCGCCAAATCTGGAGCTGCCCGACCATCCTCACAGCCAGTCGTCGTCGTCCAACCACAAAAGCTCGGCGAGCTTTGCCAGCACGAACTCGAGCTTCTTGGTTCACCACTTCCCCAAGCGCTACTTCATTCTCAAGAGCTTGACGATCGTGAGCCCCACTCTTGAGAGTATCTGACGTTCAGTCCGACTTGGAAGAGGCTGTTAAAACCTGCCAGTGGAAGACACAACGTCATAACCAGCCCATTCTTGGTGCGTGCTTTGCCGACGCCCGTGTGACATCCGTCAGTAGCTAACTCGCCCCAGACCAAGCCTTCCGGACGTCCCAGGAAGTGTACCTCATCTTCGGGGCGAATCGCTCGGGCGAGTTCTTTGGTTACGCCAAGATGGTGGCACCGAGTCTCCGCATTCGGACCCCTGCCACTCGTGGCACATACGGCTCTATCAGCTCACTTGTGCCACTAAGCCCGCATGGGCATGAGGAGGCACGGGGAGGTGGAGGAGCTAGGCCACAACTGTCCACACCCGCTCCCATCATCCGGGAAGAGAACGAGTCGCCTAGATCGCCTGCGCCACGATCCGCCACGGATCCTTACTACCGTCGCAAATCGACAGCCTTCCTCCACCCAGGTCACCGTGCATCGTCCCCTGGGCCTATTGAGGAGGAGGACGAGCTGCTCTCGCCGTTCAACAACCTTGAGGTGTCGCATCATGCTGAGGACGAAATGTTCCGGTCCGAGTCGCCCGAAATGTTCGAGGAGGCTCTCAGGCGTGCGAGTGTCAACACTCTGGACCCTAACTTGCTTCGCGGCAGGCGCGAGTCTACTCGCTTCTCGAGATTCAGCCACATTGAACAATCCACGTCGCTCCAGATTCCAGTTGGAGGTGGACCCGTAATCCGGAAGGAGTCGGCACTGACGCCCATAATCCGCAAGGAGACTGCGGAGCCTGCCAAGCCTGACGATGGCGGTGCGGATGGCCTTGCCGCCCCTTTCCAGCTGCAGTGGGTCAAGATCGCCCCTCTCAGCTTCTTCCGCACACGCCACCTTCGGAATCCTTGGAACGGTGACCGCGAGGTCAAGGTGTCTCGCGACGGCACCGAGGTCGAGCCCAGTGAGTCATGAACGAAGTCGTGCGCAGCGAGATAGCCGGTTGACTGGACAGATGTCGGACACCTCCTTATCAGCGAATGGGACAAGCTAGACACGGAGACGAATCCCACGAGCGAGGAGGGCAAAGGACAAGCACACGAGGGCAAGGGCAACGGGGACAAGTCCACTGATGGTTCGGCCGCTGGAGGAGCAGGTGGGGGGACTGGTAATGGGGGAGGCGGTGGAGGTGGGGGCGGAAGTGGAGGCGGCGGTTCTGGGAAGGGAGGAGGAGGAGGAGGAGGAGGGGGAGGAGGAGGAGGGGGAGGAGGAGGTCGGTGATTAATACTTACCTCGTTTCTTGGAATCACATACATACGCATTTCTGGTTCATACAAGCAACCACGCCCAAGTCACGCATCGTACGCATCATTATACACACGCGCTAGTCGGACGATCTATGCATTGCTGTGGAAATTACAAAGGGGGGGCGGTGCGGCGGTGGGGGTTGTGCATGAGGTGACTGCCACAGTATAGGAGGAGGAGAGTGCGCGAGTTCATTGTCATTGTCAGGGCTGAGTGGATGGAGGCGCATAAAGGCATGGGTGGTAGCCAAATACGGAGCTGATGGAGCTGAAGCGGATACGGAGAGGCCGAGGGCGGAGAGAGTGAGAGTGTGATGCGTTCCGATCATCCGATCCCGGTGGAGGGCAGGCAAGGGACCTCGCTCTGAATTCATCGTGTGTAATAAACGTCACCCACCTGATGCACCTGATCCCACCTGATCCGCCTCCACCCGCCTTTCTGTCCCGCATGTCCCGCGAGGCTCGACAGCAGCCCGGCTTCGGTCCACGCTTCGGTCCTCGCTCCTTGCTTGTTGGTCGCGCCACCAAGCTATTCTATGTACTACTCCACACTCGTCCCTTCCTCCATCCTCCGTTTACACTACACATCTTAACTCATCCACCTCTTCCATCATCCATCATCCACCATCAATCACACATCTCCCATCACCCTCTAATCATCCACACATCCACATGTCAGCCCCACCCGATCTCGTGCAAAGGCTGCGCGACCTCGGCATCTCGGACCGCACCGCCCGCTTTGCCCTTTCGGTACGTACCGCTACTCCCAGTTCCTATACCCCGCTAGAACCTCACCCCTCCCTTCGCGCTCGGATCGGCGTGGATCGCGAGCATAATGGCTCATGGCCCATGGTCCACGATCCGCCTCCCACAAAAGCAACGACAGGGGCGTGGATTGGCGTACGCGGCTCGCGACTCGCGGGTGCTCATTCCGGCGAGATGATGGTGCCGTCTTTCCGCCCACGCGTCCGCGTACCCGCGTTGAGCATCGCCGCGGCCCGACTCTGCATTGCACCTCGCCAAGAGACGAGTCAGCGATAGTGCCTTCTCCACCGATCCACGCGTCCACACCACACACATTCTCATATTCATAAACGATCCACCAACGCCCTCCTCATTCTCTCGCATATTTCTGCGCCCTTCCCTCCTCCCCTCCTCCCCATTCTCGCTCGGCTTCACGCCACTCTCAATATCCTCTCCTCTCCTTCGCCTTTCCAACCATGCACTTTCCCACTTTGCGGTTCTCCTCTGACTCGCAGCGGACCAACAACAACGTAGAGCAGGCAGCCGAATACGGTAAGTCGCATTCAAGGTCATGTCTTGAACTCGCTGTCGATCGGTGATCGGGTGATCCGGGCGGCGGCCACCTGCCTTATTGAGCGTGACGACCAAAGGACCCCTCGGGGCCTCGGTCTCGTCGGCGCCCGACGATGGCGCGGTGACGAGTCGAAACCGCCGCGTGGCGTGTAACAAGCAACGTGTGTTGCTGTCGCCGCTCTCGCGCCTTCCCTCTCCTCACCTGAAAACATCCATCCCACCCCATCACCAACGCAGCACCACCACAACGCTCTGGTTCTAACGCTGACACTTCTTCTTCTCGCTCTCCTCGACATTACACACTTACTTTGATCCTGCGTCACAATCAACTCCTATCACAACTTCGTCTCTACCGTCGCTGTCTCAACCTCTCTGGTGCCCTCGCACTGCTCTCCTCACCCCAACATCCCCCGCACTCTCACTCTGCCTCCGCACAATGGCCCCGCTTCATCGTTCCTCATCCTTACCGCCTGCACTAACGGACTATTTTGGCCGCCTTAAAGTGCTCTCTGGAAAGGCCGACAAGGATGAGGTATGTTGCTCGTATCCCGCTGTTCTCGCTGACTCCAGGTAAGCCAAGATGCTTTTGCAACCGCACCAGACAGCCCAAGCTTTGCGCTGGACGGTGATCCAGCGCCACTCCAGCGCGTCGACTCTCCCACAATGTGGCAGCGCTTTCGCAGGCGCATGTCAGTCGATATGACGCCGCGTGCGTCCAGCGATCTTGAAGACGTCGATGAGAAGAGCGACCCGTTGCCCCCGTCTTCTCAAGTCCCCGTACTGACACTCACAACTTCTCCCTTCCCCCCTGCACCACCTTCCTTCAAACCTCAACCCTCCCCTCTTTCCGATACCCGTACCCTTGAACAACAGTCGAACGACTTGATCCTCGCTGCACTCGGACGCGGCCGCACACCCACTGGGTCTGCAGCTGCATCGGGCACATCCACGCCGATTGCCTCTAAACCGGCCGCCGGCGCTCTCGCAGCCCTGGGGCTTCGCGCTGCCGCTGTGGCAACCCCGTCCAGTAACCCGCCGACAATCGTTCCTCCGTCTTCCATCGAGACTTCCTCAGCCGCGCCGTCCAAGCCCTCGAGCAAGTCGTTGTTAATACCTTCCAAGCCAATTGGTAGCAGCTCGGCCAAGAAACGCGCGTCGCGCGCCGACCCAACGTCGCGCTCGCCAAGTCCCTTCTTTCGCGCGCGTAAGGCGCGCGAGGAGCGCCGGGAGCGCTCGCCCAGTCCCGACATCGTGGCACTGCGCAAGGACTCGCTTGCTGCCGAGTCGGACGTTGAGGGTATTGCCAACGACCGTGGACGCGGGCGGTACCGCCCGCGCACTTCGGCCTATGACTCGCCCGATTCCAGTGGCGGCGAAGAGACCGAGGGCGAGCCCAGTGTTAAGATCGCTCAGAAGCCCGTAGAGAAAACGGTCGTCCCCCACGACGATGACGATGACGACGACGACGATGACGATGATCACGACGACGACGACCATCACGCGGACGACGAGGACGACGAGCCGCTCAACTATGATGACGATGACTTGTGGGATCCCGAGACCTTCTTCGACGAAGAGACGGAGAAGAACACTGAAGCGAATGCGTTCTATGCTGATTCTGCCTGTAATGACGCCGTCGACCCTGAGACCAAGCGCGATAACTTTGATGTTTACGGCGAGGATGTCGAGCAGGACCTGCTGGGCGAGGGCCCCAACGTCGTTGTGGCCCCCGAACCGTTATTTGCCAAGCCTGGTGACAAGATTCGCAAGTCGGAACGCTCTGGTCTCGACCTCGTTACTTCCCGTCCGACCTTCGCCCGCGACAGGTGTACTATCCAGCTCACGCAGGGTGACCCCGATGGCGTTCTGGATGAGAGCGGCAAGCGCATGCGGCGCTACCTAGTCCTAAGCGATCTCTCCGAGGAGAGCCGTTACGCCGTCGAGTGGGCAATTGGTACTGTCGCGCGCGACGGTGACGAGGTCTTCGTCATCTCGGTCAACGAGAGTGAGGACAAGGTTGATCCCAAGAGCTGGAGTAGCAAGAACCAGCAGGACAAGCTCAAGGTGCAGAAGGAGCGCCAGACGACTGCTCTTCTCCTTGTGCGCCAAGTGACGGGCCTGCTCGAGCGCACCCGCCTCAATGTTACTGTGACATGTCAGGCCATGCACGCCAAGAATGCGCGCTACATGCTCCTCGATGTCATTGACTTCCTTGAGCCGACGCTCGTGATCGTCGGTTCGCGCGGTCTCGGCCAACTCAAGGGGTAAGCTTTTACGCACTGGACCGAGCTGACAGCAGCATTCTCCTTGGTTCGACGTCGCACTACCTTGTTCAGAAGTCGTCGGTTCCTGTTATGGTTGCGCGTCGCCGCCTGCGTCGTCCCCTGCGCCGTACCAACCCCGAGGACCTGCGCCGCTCGCCGCGAGTCTCCCTGGCGTCGGCCAACATCGAGAAGTCGGCGCCCAAGAAGCAGGAGGACGATGTTGTGGATGCGGCCGACGACGACGACTATGATGAGCCCAAGCAGCAGGACAAGCACCACCACCACCATCACCACGAGGATACCAAGGTAGAGGTGAAGGCAGTTGAGGCTTAGAGCGATCCGAGTCACCCTTGTCGCTGTTTTCCGATCTTTCAAGAACTCCACCTTATACCGAGTATGGACGTTGTAATATGCAATGCCGTTTTGCGCAAGGTGACGCAACTGACGCTTCGACCGATCCCACGACGTCCTCAACTCTGCACTCTGACATGGCACACTACTACCGAGATCTTACACTCCTCCGCAGGGTTCACATTTGACTACCGATTCTACTCTTCAACGTCATCCTCGGCCTCAGCGCGCTTCTTGGGCGGCGGGTGGCCGTCTCCGGCAAGGTCGCCATCCGCCTCGCCAACTTTGCGCTTCTTGCCCGCGACGATGTTGCCGTCAAATGCCTCATCCTCGTCGTCGGTCTCGACGTCTTTGTCCTGCGGTAAGCGGCGCTCACTAACTGTAGTGACACGGTCGACCCTCCACTGCGTCGATCTTCACTCACCTCGACGAGCTCGGCGAGCATACGGCGCCCCTCAGCGTTCTCGTCCTCGTCGTCCTCCTCATACTCCTCCTCATCATCCTCGACCTCGTACTCATCGTCCTCCTCCTCGAACTCCCCGTCGTCGTCATCGGCAAGCCCGTCGTCCTCGGGCTCGGCGTCGGCCTCGTCGCCGTCGCCGTCCTCGCCCTTGGCCGCAGTGCCGTTCTTGGCAGCCTGGCGTGAGTACGCGGCGCTATAGCATGGCACAACTCACATCCACGACCTTCTTGGCCTCCTCCGTCGCGCCGGCCGCGGCCTGCTTGGCACCTTCCGCCGCACCGGCGGCAGCCTGCTTGGCGCTGTCGGTCGCGCCGGCAGCAGCCGCAGTGGCGGACTCGGCGGCGGTCGCCGCAGCCTGCTTCGCGCCCTCAGTCGCGGACGCAGCAGCGGCCGTGGCGGACTCGGCGGCGTCGCCGAGCGCGGCCTTCGCGTTCTCCACGGCAGTCTCGACGGCCTTGGCGGTATCCGCAACGGCGGTTTGCGCCGCGTCGGCCGCGTTCGAGGCGGCAGCGGTCGCGGACTCAATGGCTGCGTCGACGGTGGCCCCAACAGCTGTTATCAGCGGGTGTGGGCAACGAGGTGCGGAACTGGGGCGTCCAGCATGGGTATAACTGCCTCAAATGTCCCCTAAGTTTGCCTACACATGGATGGATAGAGTAAGACGAGGTCCAAGGCCCCTCGTGTCAGAAGTGCAGGTGGATGCGACGAGGATATGTCGGTTGACAATCCCTCGTTACTCGTCACCAGGCGGAGCTAACCCCGCTGCCTCCTCCGCCTCCCATACCACACGTAACGCGCCTGACGGAATGCGCGCCTGGATGCACGACGATGGATCTCCATTCTCCCATACCTCCATTCCATGGCGTGGATGCGCTGAACGCGGTGACTTCACGCTGATACGTCAAGTGGGAGCGTGAGTCACCCCGCCCAACAATCTCGCCCCTCCATCCACCTCCACATTCATCTCCCATCCATCCACCTACCACCATCTACCTCCTTGCACCAGGACTCACTCTCGTTCTTCTCGTTCTCTGCAGACATGGTATGCGGTAGGTTTGGCGAGTGAGAAAGTGTGTGTTGTGTGAATGAATGAGTCGACTTAGATCGGTTGTGGCGTTGTGTATACTCGGTGTGAAGTCATCCGTGCCTTACCGCTAGCCGGGCCGGAGAGCGTGGGCGCCGCCCTCTCCGATTCCGATCCATCTCGGGGCTCCGGCCAAAATCACCCTCACTTACTTCCTGACGCAGTGCGGCCCACAAAGTGCTCTTAAACTGCTCACTTCGACGCTGGACACTATCCCTCGTCAGTCAGTCATGACTCCACAGCTCAGACCGGTGGCCCCGCCGCACGTCCTCACCATCGCCGGTACGTCATTATTCCGCGCCAGAGCTGCGCCAATTGCGGACCTCGTCATCGCAAACTGCTGCCTCGCCGACCCGAGCGGCTCCTCGATCAGCTCTGCAGCCCTGGGCAGCTCCAGTCTCCAAGCTAGCACCTCGAGACTGGCGCCCGCGCTCCACACCTGCTTTCGCTGACTGCAGGCTCCGACTCTGGCGGCGGCGCCGGTATCCAGGCCGACATCAAGACCGCGTCCGCTCTCGGCTGCTATGGTAGCAGCGTGATCACGGCGCTCACGGCACAGAACACGCTTGGCGTGCAGGGCGTGCACGTTGTGCCCCCCGAGTTTGTCGTCGAGCAGGTGGGTGGCGTGCGCGGCAGCACGAGCTCCGCCGGCGAGCTCGCGCCTGCGCCTCTCTTCTCCAGCTCGGACACAAAGAAGCTGACGCCAGCTCAAGTCGCTCTTCGCAGATGACTTGGTCCCCAGCGCCGCGAAGCTCGGCATGCTCGCCTCGCCCGAGACCATCACCGCCCTCGGGGCGTACCTCGCGTCCCTCACGTCGCGCCCGTACCTCGTGCTGGACCCCGTGATGATCTCGACCTCGGGCCACGAGCTGCTGGCGCACAGCGCTGCCGACGCGCTTCTCTCTGACCTCCTTCCTCTCGTCGACCTCGTCACGCCCAATATTCCCGAGGCCGGCGTGTTGATGGGCACCCGCCCGTCGCCCACGACCCTCGAGGACGTGATCGCCCTCGCGCGCGAGCTGCACCCCGCGCTCAAGGGCCCCGCGCTGCTGCTCAAGGGTGGACACCTCCCCGTGTCCCGCGACGCTGTGGTCAAGTTCATCGAGAAAGAGAAGATCGAGGCTGTGTGGCTTGCTCCGCCCCCCATTGCTGTCATTGCAGACTACCGCGAGGTCATCGGACTACCGGAAGAAAAGCCGGACGTCGTCGTCGACGTCCTCCTCGACGGCGGTATCACGCTCTTTGTCGGGCCGTGTGTCGATACCTCCTCCACCCACGGAACGGGATGTACCCTCTCCGCCGCGCTCGCGTCATGCTACGCCCTCGAGGCGTCCATGGCTAATGGGGACAAGGCTGGGGCGCCGCGCCGCATCTCGCATGACGCGGTGCGCCGCGCGATCAAGTACACGCAGACTGCGATCGCGACCGCGCCCAAGCTGGGCCGTGGCCACGGGCCACTGAACCACGGGCACTGTGCGATGCAGCGTGTGATTCCAGCGTAAGTTGTTCTCAAGCTCACTGGTCTGTGCCTCCTGAGCTTATATCTCACATCCGTCCTCTGTCTTCGTCGTTCGGGATGAGCTCACGCACAGCCCCTCCATCCACGACCCTACCCCGTTCACCTCATACCTCATTGCCAACGCGTCTGAGTGGGACGCGTACGTCAAGCACCCCTTCGTCATCGCGCTGGGCAAGGGCACGCTGTCGCACGAAGCTTTCGCCCACTACATTGCCCAGGATTACCACTACCTGCGGCACTATGCGCGTGCCCACGCCGCAGGTGCCGCCAAGGCTGACGACATGGCTACGATCCGCGCGCTCGCCGATATTGCTCTGCATGTTGCCAAGGAGAGCGAGATGCACGTGGAGGTGAGTTAAGCTGGGCGGCGGTGTCCCTCTATCATCATACCTCGCCGCACCTCGGTCATGCTCACACCAGTTCTGCGCTTCTTTCGGCATCACACGCGCGGCCCTCGAAGCACTCCCCGAAGCCGCCACGACTTCCGCATACGGCCGCTACGTCCTTGACGTCGCGCTCTCAGGCGACATCTTGGACGTGCTCGTCGCAGTCCTCTCCTGCCTGATCGGGTACGGCGAGGTAGGCCTGTGGCTCCGCAAGCAGGTTGCGGCCGGCGAGGCTGTGCTCGAAGGCAACCCCTACAGGCGGTGGATGGAGGACTACGCCGGCGACGACTTCATCGGTGCCGTGCGCCGCGGCATCGCGACGCTCGAGGAGCGAGTTGTGCGCGAGATGCCCAGCGCGCCAAAGGTCGAGCGGCTTGTCCAGATCTTCGCCGAAAGCACGCGGCTCGAAAAGGCGTTCTGGCAGATGGGTCTGGACCAGAGCTGGTAAAGCCATCGTTTTGCTGAAGCCACCGTCTCGCACCGCCGGTACGGCGAAACAGCATCGATATCTCCATATAGACCTATGCATAGACTTTCGAAGGCCACGCTATCCCGGACGCCGCTCGCCCATCAGACTGAGCGTGCTCCTGCTCGAGTTGGACGGCGGGTGGTAGACGTAGCTGTCCTCTCCTTCGTACTGCACCGGAGTGTAGCATCCCTCGCGGCCCAGCGAGATGTGGCGGGGCGGCGGTACGACCAGCGCAGCCGGCGGCTGGTGTGAGTTTCGATGTTCCTCCTTCCGCCCTTCTCCTTCTGGCCTGTTTGTTCCTCTCGCGCCTCTATTCTTCCCGCTGCCACTCTTTACTTCTCCCGCTCCCTCTTCCGCCTGTCACCACTCACCTCCGCCCTGTCCTCAACGACGACTACCGCCTCCTCAACCACCGCCGGTGTTTGGCGCTGGCGCCGCTTGCGCGCCCGGACCCATAGCAGTGCCACAGCGCCCAGCACGACCAGCGCGCCGAGCGTGCATCCCACCGCGACGCCCGCGACCTTGCCCTTCGCCATGCCACTCTTATCGCCCACGCCCGCGCCCTGGCTCGCGCGCTCACACCCGGCCTGCCCGCAGCCCGAGGGCGTCGCGGTGGTGGCCGTGGGCGCCGAGACCGCGACGGTCGTCCACGATGTGATGGTTGCTGTGGTCGTCGTGTCCAGGATTAAGAGGGATGAGGGGGTCGCCATCGTCAGAGAGAGTCAAGGCCGACGGAGGAGAGGTAAGTGTAGTCAGAATAGTGGCGAATCAGGCGTGACGAAAACTCGTGTGGTGAGCACAAGCTCGTCGATGCCCAACCCCAACCCGATCAGGCAGCGCACATCTGGCGTGGGTCTGTGCACACCGTTACCTCGCTGGTCAATGTTCTCACGTCGGTCTGTGCGGTAATATGTCCATGCGCACACTCTATCCCAAGACACTGTTCACTACAGGATTTTGATTACTTCGCCACTTGAGGCTGGTGGTCGATGTTCGGAGGAGGATAGACTGAAGGTGACATCTGCTTTGGCGTGGCACCTCGTACACCTCGCACCGGTGCCACAACCTCTGAGGGGGGCACACCAGGATGCCATTTTCTCAATCCCACGCTCGCACTCTTCTCTCCGTCGCTCGCGTCGCTCGATCTCGCGCTTAACTCCACAGTGGGAAATCTGCTGGCACGTCGAGCGCATTCCACGAGCCGGTGTTGATGCTGTTCAACCCGCCTTCCTCGTCCATCAGGAACGAGAAGATGTCAAAGCTTGCTGATGGGTCGACGCCGCCGCCGCTCGCGTCGGCCGCAGGAGTGCCATTGGTCTCCCCGCCCATGCCGCTGAGGGCCAACTCGGCGTTGATCGCGTTGGGCACGCCAGACGGCGCGCCAGGCACAACGGTGCTCGTGGCCGCTTGACCGGCGTTGGTGCCGAGCCAAGCTCCCGCCACGCTAGCCAGCGATGGCGTGTTCTGGTTCCCGCCAGAGACCTGCGCAGCCATCCCGTACGGACCGAACGAGTGGAACGCACTTGGGGGTAGGCTCGAGGGGATGTTGCCCTCGGCCTTGGCAGGCGCGGCGGGCGCGGCGTTAGGCTTGGTGCAATTCTTGCGGACCTGCGCCGCCGCCGCTGCTGCCTTTGCTCCGTTGGTGTAACCGGACGCCTTGTGATGCGAGGTAAGCGGGTTGAGGAAGAGGTGCTCGAGGAGCGTGAGCTCGTACGGCAGAGTGGTGGGCGGCAAAGGCGCGGGGAACGTAGCGTCGTTCGGGAGCGGGTCGTCGCGCGCCGAGCTGAGAGCCGCGGCCCGGAAGCGGCCTCCTGGCGAGCGCGCCTGCGGGAGTCCATCCTTGCGCGGCGGGGACATCTTGGAGAGCTGCTCTGTGATGGCTTGAGAGACGCTCTTCATCGTGTCGTGGCACGCCTGCGCCGAGGGCACACGGGCTGCCGTAAGCAGGCTGCCTTCAAACGGCATGCAAGGCCCATCTTGAGGTAGCAGAGGCGACTCACGTGCAAGGTACTCGAGCACGGCAAGACAAGAGTCGATGTCCACCATCGCCTCGTCCAGGGTAGGGACACGTCCGTCGCCCAGGCTGTACAGATTGTAGAATGCGTACAGGTACGACAGGCCGGCCATGAAGGAGAAGTGAGACGTCATCCACAGCCAGCTGATGCGGTTGTTGATCTGCATCCTCCGGTAGATGCGAATAATGTAGCTTGAGCTCGCTAGCACGGTGCCCAGGGAGTTACGACTGGGCTTGGGGTTACCGCGAGACGGCCGGAAGAGGAGCAAGCACGAGTTGTGGAACGAGATAGCGTAGCCTTCTGTCGACACCGTGCCGCGCGGCTCCGGCGCACCAGATAGCCACGACTTGAGGCGCTCGAACATGTCGTCAAACCACTCCTCCTTGGGCGGCGGCTGGTTGTTGACACCATATGTGTTGTTCAAAATCTCCGACTGCAGTTGGCGGAGCTTGACCGTGTGCACGAATACAGCCTTGTAAGCGCAGGGCTCACCCGTGTATGGGCCGTACTGGCCGGGCTTTATATCAACGTCGTGCTGCACCGCCGGCATAGGGACGCAAATGAATCCGTCAGGAATGCTGGGCGGGCGGCCTAGCGACTGCGAGAGCAGCCGGTCCATCTTATATGTGATCCAGAACAGGCGGCGGCGCATGTCAAGTTCAAGATTGTCGATCTTCTCGGTCTGCGAGTTATTCTCGTTATGGAAGCCGAGGTCGACACAAGTGCGCGTCGCGAGGCCGACGAGGAACCAAATGGATCCCTTGTCCGGGTTAAGCAGGGAGTACCACACAAGAAGCAGGATGGCCTGCAGGCTGATGTAGTTCTGGGACTCGAAAACGGAGTCGAGATGCTTGAGCGCCTCGTTGTGGAAGGCCTCAGAGCAGGTACGCAACTCATCGGGGGGGTCGACGAAGCGCGAGCTTGCCATGGTGCTTAAAGCCAGCACCATCATGACGACAAACACGTCGCTCTCGTCGACATCGACGCCCTCACGCATGCGCTGTAACTGTTTGCCGAGCGTCGGGATATGGATGATGGGCGCAGTGACGCCGACGAAATCAACGTACGCAGCCACAAGGCGCTCGACCGCAGGTTGGGGCGGAAGTGGGGGCACGACAAAGGCGCGGCGCATCCGCTTGCCTGACGAGGACGAGACAGACGGCGCACGCCCGCTCGACATCGGCAGTGCCCCTGATCTTGGGGTAAGGACATGTTCCGGCGATGTGTGGTAGTCGCCGTCACGGTCCTGATCCATGTGGGTGACGGGCGAGTCCTTGCCGTCACTAGGCGACTCGCCTGCGCGCCCGTTGGACGAGTTGAAGAGTGTCGCACCTCCAGAGCTAGAAACGGCATGGCCAGTGCGCAGCGCGGCGTCCTGTACCATACGCGTGAGCGAAGTCGCGGCGGCAGCGCCAGATGTGATAGGATTCTGGTTCCGCTCTCGCGAGACGGACCGTCGACTGCTGCTGCTGCCGACGACGGGCGATCGGGGGGAGTCTGTAGTGCCGAGCGGGGTGGGGGGCAAGGGGTACTCGGATCGGCGGCCGGGCATCCCAGAGGGCGAGTCCCATGGCGAGCGCATCGGCGGCTCGCCCTCTGGTCCTTGAAGTGTGGGGTCAATTGCCAAGCCTGACGAGCCTCCGAACGAATTGACGGCATGGGAAGCATGAGCGGCGATATCGCGCTTCGTGCGGCCGATGGGATCAGCGCCCCCTCCAGACTGCAGCGAGGCGACCTGTGCGCGCAATGAGGCAACCTCTTGCTCCAGCTGGTGGAGATAGCTAGACGGTTAGGAAGATCTTTGAAGAAGACAAGAGAACTCACTTTCGTGAAACGTTTGTCTTGGAAATGGCGTCAAAACCGATGCACTCGACCTTTGCGCGCTCACATGCAGAGCAAGCGGGAAGCTTGCCGTCACATTTCTGCTTGCGCGAACGGCAACGTGTACATGAGGAGATGGCGCGGGCAACCTTATACGTCGGCTGCTCGGGGCCGGGGAGGGGTGATTCTGGAATGGTCGGTGTCGAGTTTGTGCGAGCTGGCGGGGCGGGCTGGGAAAAGTTGGGAAGCGACGACGTCGGCGGGTACGGAGAGTAGTGACCAGACGCGTCTGACGACGAGCGGCGTGCAGTGGGGACCTTCATGCCGCCGGATGGGATGCGGATGGGTGCGGATGGTGACTAGTAGGAGGTAGGTAGTTGGTGAAGGGGTGGGCAGCGCAAGCCGGTGAATCTGTGACCGGATCGGACAAGAGCGACAGCCACGAGCGGGATAGTCGCTACCACGTTTGGATTAGTGTCGGGGAGTGACAACGTCCAAAGCTTTAAGCCGGATGCACTAAATCCAGTGGATGGAAACCCACGAGCGGATGCTGGTCTCGAGAGATGAGATGAGTTGAGTTGACCTCTGTGGGAGAATGGGAAAGGGATGGCGAGTGGGACGTATGCTAGTGCAGCCCGTGAGAGGGCGGCGGGCGGGGGGGGGCAGCCGGGGGCAGCCAGCGGCGGCGCGGGTCTGGCGGGAGGCCGGTGTGAGCAAGAGTATTAATGGTAGGGCCTATTGGGGCGTGCCTTCTTGCTAATGGGTCGGCTGCTGATATCCTAATGACCTTGGCTTGGGAGCTGAGAGCGCACGTCACCGGCCACATCCGATGTCACAACCTCAACAAATGACTCAGCTCGCACGCCTACTTCCGAGCTAGTTAGGCGCACCTTGGCAGAGAGCAGAGAGGTTGACTAACCTGGCGTCACGTGGGCGACGCGTCGAGCGCGTCTTCCTCATGACGCTCACTGTACTGGTCTGTTGACTTTTGACTTCTTCTTCTCCACTTCTTCGGTTATCAGCACAATGAGTATGGTTCTCCACATTTCTTACTGCTGACTTTAGGCGAAAACCCATACTACGCGGGCAGAGAAGGCGGCGGGTTTATGCAGGGCGGCTCGCCTTACGGCGGCGGCTCGCAGCAGAGCCCCGGCGGCGAGGGACGCAAGGTGAGGTCGATGAGGGTGGAAGTTGGTAGCGGAGCTAATGGCAGCGCAACAACCAGTCGCTCCGGCCCGTCACGGTGCAGCAGATCCTCAACGCCAGCCAATCTGCGCAGGAAGCAGACTTCCAGATCGATGGTGCTGACATCGGGCCGGTGAGTGAGGGTCGTCGAGGAAGGGTGGCGACTATGGTATCGGCAATGAGCGTGCGGCGATCTGCTCGAATGTCTGCGCATGCAGCACTTGGTGACAGGTCGAGCGTGCGGGCAGATCTGCTCACCACCTCCACGAGCACTCCCCAACAACATGGACTACCGAAGCTATGTGGTCGAGACCTCCCTCATTCCCCAACTCTCATCCCACTCACCCTTCTGACACGCAGATTCAATTCGTTGGCACAGTGCACAATATGTCCTCCACGGCAACAAACCTATCCTACGAAATTGGAGACGGGTACGGCTACATCGACGTGCGTCAGTGGCTGGACAGTTCGGACGACGAGTCGGGGAAAACGGAAGGCATTGAGCAAGACAAGTTTGTGAGCGTCATTGGCACGATCAAGGTCTTCGGTGGCAAGCGTCACATCTCGGCGCAGATGATCCGACCCATCGAGGACCACAACGAGGTTTACAACCACTTCCTCAAGGCGCTGCAAGTCAGCCTCTCCATCCGAAACCCAGGTGCAGTGAGTGTGCGTGGTTTATCAATCCTAACAGCAGGCCCAAGGTCGAGGTGGTGCTGCCCCGGCTGGCGCCGACGCCAACAGCTACGCTGCGCCCGCGGCGGGTGGCGGCGACAGTTACGGCCACCTTCCCCCGCAGCAGAAGCAGATCATGGACATCGTCGCGGCCGATTCCAGTGGCGAGGGTATGCATGTGACGCACATTGGGCGCATGTGCGGCGGCATGACCCGCGAGGAGGTGATGGAGGCGATCGAGCACCTCATGGGCGAGGGCTTGCTCTACTCGACAATTGATGACCTTGTGAGTAGAAAAGGACAACACGTGAAATTTGGCTGACTGTTAGCACGTCGCGGCGGCGACGTAACATGGGGCGGCCAGTGTGTTATAGAAGCTGTAAAGAAGCGAGTGTACGCTGTAGACGTAGCTGTGAGCCATGAGTCAAGCGAAGATGGTGGAGGTCGCATGTTGCCGGACTGCTGGACATGGCTGTCGAGGACTGGCGTGGCATCATCCGAGAATTCGCCGATGTCTGGGACGCGACTACTCGCCAGGATCAGCGTGGACGGCCGACAGACTGACAGAATTCAGGTTCACCAGGACAAAACTGCACCCTGGAGGGCTGAGGATCATAGCGCCACCCCATCTTGGCGTCCGCGTACTGTACTGCACTTCTTCCTTGTCCTCGCGCCTCTCCTCCTCACCTCTTGCTCGGCCTCGTCCCTCTCGCTCCCTCTTCGCTTCACCGCAATTCAATCATCCTTCCTATATTCCCATCCGTCCCTCGCCATGAATGCCCATTCACGCGCCTCTTCCCGGGGCATGTCGCCCATGCACAGGCCACTAGCCATAGCCAGGCAGACCGCACAGCCAGCCGCATCCGACGCCTGACGCCTGCTGGCGGCCTGCTGGCCTGGTGGCGCCGTGCGGCGCAAACCTGTCGCAATGTCTAGCCACACCGCTCATATCATCTTCGGCCGCGCGCTGATCTTCTCCTCTCGATCCTCTCCTCTCTGTCTGTTGTACTAACTCTCTTTATCTCTCACTCACATCCGGCTTGACAAGATGCGCGGCGAACACTGCATCGCGGGCGCCTCGGTGCTCACCTTCATCTCGATGATCCTCCTCCTCTTCGCCAACATCGGCCAGGTGTCACCCGGCGCCGTCACCTCGGGCCTGTACATGGTGCAGGTGGACGTTTCGGGCTTCGGGAATGCGCTGCAGAGCGCCAACAAACAGAGCAACAACCTCTACTGGACCCAAAACACGCCCATGGGCGACAGCAAGGGCCTGAGGCAGTACTACCGTTACGGGCTGTACAGTGAGTGCGGAGCGAGCCCGACGTCCGGCCAGCCCGCCAAGGAGAGCCGGCTTGGCTGAGAGGGCTGGTTATTGGCGCATTGAGGGGAACCGGGCATGGCTTGGCTTGACGCAGGCGCAGAGACAGCACTGACTGCAGACGCCTGCGGATACCAGAAGTCAGGGGGCGTGTGCAACTCGACCATCTTCGGATACCCGTACGCACCCTTCGAGCAGATGCTGGCCGACACACCGAGCAAGCCGAACGACTACAAGAAGATGACGCAGGACATCATCCCCTCGAGCACGTTCAAGAACAACGCGTGGAACGGGACCATGTCCAAGTCCGCGAGCTCGCTCATCTTCGTAAGTTTATGCCTCGAGTGCGGCCCGTCCCGGCTGCACAGACCATTCAACATATCCTCATCTCTCTTTGCGCTCAGCTCGCTTCATCCCCCGACTCCTCCCTGCGACCTGCTCACACCAGATCGCCTCCATCCTCACAGGCCTCGCGTTCGTCTTCGGCCTCATCAAGTTGCGCCTCTGCTTCCTCCTTGCGGCCGGTTGCTCGGGCCTCGCGGCATTCTTCCTCATGATCGGCGCGGCTATCTGGACGTCCATCATCGCCAAGAATGCTTGGCTCACGATCGTCAAGGTCCAGGGCGGCGTCAAGCTCGGCATCCTCGTCACGCCCGGTCCGGCGCTCTACCTTAGCTGGGTCAGCTTCGTGCTCGTTACCCTCAGCGTCGCGCCGTACGTCATCTCGTGCTGCACGTACCGCAAGGCGCCGAAGTCTGCGTCGTACTAGGGGCTATATCTACAATGAATGCTGAGGTGGATGTATTTGGACTTTAGACTCTGCGGATACATCATTCTGGTTCTGTGCTCTACACTCTACGTCCTCTTATCTATCGGTACAATGGTCGAGACGTCTTGCTGTACTTGCTGTCTCCTCGGCTCCCACCACTCACAACACCTCCACCTCCTGCTCTGCGCCACACGTACAGCGCTGAATCGTCCGCGTGTCCCCGTGACGATTTGTGACCTCTTCTGCGTCTTCAAACTCGTGCACGTGCTGCGCTTCTGTTCGTCGCTGGTACTGATTGTTACGAGTGCGTTTCCGCAGACTGAGGTCAGCGACCGCCGTCCCCGGATTGCTGCAAGCTTTGACTCACTCCCTCAATCCCGCTTCAAACTTTGCTTCGCGCTTGCGCTTCTTGAACTCCTCGCGCCGCGCCCATTCTTCATCCAAACCCTTCTCTCCGCCCCACTTCTTCCACGCCACCTCCTCGACCTGCATCCGCAGAAACAGCATCATGTTGGAGTAGCTCGCGGCGTGCGGGTTCGCCTTGAGAAGATGTGGCAGGAGGTCGGTGTCGCGCAGCTCAGGATCGGTGAGGAGGTAATCCTGGGGTCAGCCCCGGTCACTGCGCAATCCCACTTCTTTGCACTCGGTCTTGGTGAGGAGCGAGTACTTCTCCGGATACTTCTCCTTGCAGTTCTTGCACACGCGCACGTCAAACACCTTGACGAAACTCTGGTCGATCTCGAGGCTTTTGCACTCGTCGCATCGCGGCGACGAGTCGGGGAAGATGGGCGGCTCTTCACCCTCGCGCATCATCTGCTTCTCGCGCTCCTTCTGCCGCGCGACCTCGACCACGCTGCGAATGCGGTCGCCCTCCAGGTCTTCTTCCGTGAGGAAGCCACCGCGGCTGTTATGCAGCTTGGACAGGTCGTACTCGAAGTATTTGCCCAGCTTGGGGTCGCGGCGGAGCGGGGCGGCGCTGGACGCCGCGTCGGCGTCCGCTTGGGCCGAGACCATGTTGCGCGCTGATGTCGGAACGGGCGCGGCATTGTGCACGAGGCTGGACGAGGTGGTTGCCGGCGCGGAGAGCTTGGCCTTCGCCTTCAAACGGTTGAGGGCGGCAGCGCGCGCCTGTGCCGGCGTGAGGTCTGGCATGGTGTGGTAGTTTCAAGGAACAAGACGTTGAGTCATGAGTCATCGAAATGTCGGAGCGTGGTGGGTGGCGATTCTGAAGTGGAGGCCGAGAATGACCTTGCATTGATAGCCACGCGAGAACCACGATCGCCCTAATGGTGATGGTGATGGCAGTCAGAGTATCAGCATCTGATCATCATTGATCGCAGTAGCAATCTCCCACGATCTGACGCTGACATGACCTCACTAATGACCCGCAGCCGACGCCCTCATATACGATTAAACGCTCTATTCCTTACGAGCATATTGCGACGTGTGTGTGATTAATGGGGGAGGCCATAGAAGGCTGGGACGAACCAGGTCTGACGTCAAGGTCAGCTGATGGTAGCACGCTCGCCGCGCATCTTGGTCATGCGCCCATGTATCTCCCTCTAGCGCTCTCTTTCTCTTCGGCTCCATGCCTCCATGCATCTTTGTCCTGTTACCAGCCGCGAGCTGCGCAGCTGCCCATCTGCCCAGCCGGCCAGCCAGCCAGCCTCTTGGGCCCAGGCTCCTCGTGATCAGCGTCCAGTGTCCGTTCTCACACACATGGCCACCTGCTATATATACAGGCCACGTCGCTAAGGCCTCTACTATCACGACGTTATTCATATCTATCTCCTACAGCACAGACAATCATGTACCCGACCCGCTTCCCCTTCAACTCGAACCAGCCGCACCGCCTGGCGACTGATGTGAGTGCCACTTTCAGACTTCGGGGTGGCCGATGTGGCTCCCATCTCGGCCCACAGCCTGACCCTCCCCTCCCACCCTCCCGGCCTACCTGCCGCCTTGCCCAGCCTGACTCCAGGTTGATCCCTCCAAGCTCTCGTCGGTCCGGAACATTCAGCAGGCCTCTTCGCAGGTCAACCGTATGGCACGCCGCGACCCAGCCCTCTACCCGCTGTCGTTTATCATGGTCGGCATTGCGGCCGTGACCGGCTACTTTATGATGAGCAAGACGACCGAGACCGGCCTGGACCGCAGCATGCAGGCGCGCGGCATGGTCAACCCATGGGACGACGAGAGCAAGCACGAGGTACAGGCTGGGTGAGTCGAGTGGCGAGCCCACTTGTCGCAGATCTCGGCAGGCAAGAGGGACATGTCATGTTCCCAGCGCCAGCTTCCCAGCCATGGCCAGCCACTCCTATTGTTGCCGGCACGTGTCATCGGTGGTGCCTTCCACCGGCCACCCCGTGCCATGGGCCATTGTTCGCCGCCCCTAATCATAAGATGTAATCTGACATTGCAGCCAGACCGCCGCGTTCAAGTATCGCTACAAGACACGCGACGGACACATGGAGGACGGGTACCCAACTATGAACGTCGATGTGCGCAAGGTAAGTCGCTGCTGCTGTTCTCGGTGATAACGAGCTGACGCCGTCTCCATATGCGGGGCACACCGGTCTACCATCAACGCGCATATCCCCGCTGATTGTCTCTGCAGGTTAAGGGCGACACCGAGCACAAGTACCACACCTCGTAATTCCGGAGAGGAGCGCATCAGAAGTCAGAAGGATAAAGAGTGAAACGAGAACAAGATCAGAAGTGATTCCATGCATAAGCGATGCGCGTACGCCTGTATGTTGTGGCGAGGTGAAGTCGTCAAGTCCGTCATGGACATGATGGAGAACGGGTCCGTCAGGAGATGGTGAGATGAAGAGATGAGATGGAGAGATTAGCAGAAATGATGAAATGGCACACTCGGTCCCTACAGCCAAGCTTCCCCGCATCCCACCTCCTGCACACGCATACACTGACTGCCCTTACCTCGCACTTGCCAACAAGTTCCCCTCCGGCACCGCATGCACGGCACCTACGATGAGTGCGCATCACATCGCTCTCTGTCGCTCTTGCGATCATTCTGATAGCACGAGGCTGGCACGCGCATCTGAACACTCGATGGTGCAAAAGTGGGCCAAGGTGGTCTTGACAAAGGTGGAGAGTGTGCCTAGAGCTTTGGGTGGACGCGCCGCGTCCCGCGCCCAGGCCCTGCATTCTGCTCCCGCGTCTCCAGCACACCACCACCCCTCCTCACCTTGACCCCCTTCTCCGTGCTGCATCTCATCCCGTTCTCTCCTCTTTCTCTCTCTCTCTCTCTTCATCATGGCCTATCAGCCCGGCCCCAGCTACCGCCCTCAGCTCGACGACCCGCACGCTCAGGCCATGGCTGGCGTTTCTGGCGGCCAGGTCGGCCGTACCTCCCCCATGCCTCCCGTTCCCTCAGTCGCCCAGTCCAACATCGGGCAGCCGGGACAGTTCAATCAGCCCGGCGGCGATGTGACCATGGGCTCGCCGTACCCAAGCAGCCCAAGCACACCGGACCGCGGGCCAGACTACGTCTACTTTGAGCGCCGACCGCAGCAGTTCAGTGAGGACACTCGCGGCAGGGCGACCGCCGCCAAGATGAAGCTTGAGTTGTACTACAAGGAGGCCGTGGAGAGTGTCGTGGGGCGCAAGGAACGGTAAGCCTCTCAGTCTTCAGTGGCTGATGGCAGCCGGACAACGCTTGAGAAGCAGCTGGCCACAGACCTCGTCACGCCAGACAGCCTCAAGGCGCGCCAGCTCTTGGCGCTCGGCCGCCGCGAATCCAAGTGAGTTCGTGGAGGGATGTAACTGACCCGGTGTAGCTTTTTGCGCCTGCGGCGTACGCGTATTGGTCTCGAGGACTTCCGTACCGTGAAGGTGATTGGCAAGGGTGCCTTCGGCGAAGTGCGTCTTGTGCAGAAGGCGGACACCGGCAAGATCTACGCCATGAAGAGTCTGCGCAAGAACGAGATGTTCAAGAAGGACCAGCTTGCTCACGTCCGCGCCGAGCGCGACGTACTCGCCGAGTCCAACTCGCCATGGGTGGTCCAGCTCTACTACTCTTTCCAAGACTTGAACAACCTCTACCTCATCATGGAGTTCCTTCCTGGCGGCGACTTGATGACAATGTAAGCTTCCTTTGGCTCACCCTAGCTGACACTAGGTTGATCAAGTACGACACTTTCAGTGAGGACGTGACAAAGTTCTACATGGCCGAATGTATCCTCGCAATCGAGGCTGTGCACAACCTTGGCTTCATTCACCGTGACATCAAGCCCGACAACATCCTCATCGACAGCATGGGACACATCAAGTTGTCCGACTTTGGCCTGTCGACTGGCTTCCACAAGCAGCACGATTCGGCTTACTACCAGAAGCTGTTGGGTGGGGGCGACGTCAGCAACCACCGACACTCGGCGGCAGGAGGCGCGGCGCGGAACTCGGTCATGGTCAACGCCATCAACCTTACTATGACGAGCAAGCAGGACATTGCGACCTGGAAGGCTAACCGCCGTAAGCTCGCATACTCGACCGTCGGCACACCGGATTACGTGCGTGCCTGCTAAGGAAGGGACTAACACCAGATCTCTCCAGAGATTTTCCTGCAGCAGGGTTACGGCAAGGAGTGCGACTGGTGGTCGCTGGGTGCGATCATGTTCGAGTGTCTCGTTGGTAAGTTTTTTTTTTTTTTGTATCGCTGCAGCTCCCAAGGGCGGCTTGGTGGATTGTCCGCCCGTCGATCAGTGTGTGCTAACGACAAGGCTACCCGCCGTTCTGCTCGGAGAACGCACATGACGTGTACCGCAAGATCATCGATTGGCGCAACCACCTGTACTTCCCTGACGACGTGCACCTGTCGCGCGAAGCCGAGGATCTGGTGCGACGCATGCTGTGCGAGGCAGACCGTCGCTTGACGGTCGAGCAGCTGAAGGCTCACCCATTCTTCTACGGCGTTGACTGGTCGACAATCCGCAACATTGACGCACCTTTCGTGCCCCATTTGCGCTCGATGACCGACACAAGCTACTTCCCCACCGACGAGCTGGAGCAGGTTCCCGACGTCCCACAGGCGCAGGACAACGGCTCGAGCGCGACCAAGGATCTTGCATTCTTGGGTTACACGTGAGTCATGATTGCCACGGACGACACCTGAGCACACTCGTCGTGTTCGGATGTTGCCGACGACACGCACCTCGCATACATGACTTGGCTGACCTCAGGTTCCGTCGCTACGAAATGCTCTAGATTCCCATGCCGCCCAGCGGCCCACTCATTCTCTCACAGGTCATAGGGATCCGATCGATAACTTGTATGCATGCGCCAAGCGCAACGTCTCCACGCGACACCGCCCGCGCTCTGAATCCCAGGAAACATGGCAGATTCATTAAAACGCTACGTAAAAAACAGACGACCCCGTGTATCGCCGTCTGTTTGTGGTGGGGGCTCGTGTGTCATTTATGCGAGGCGAGCGGCGCCAGGCTGGAAGCCACTCGGCTGCTCAGTGACGGGCGCGGGCGCGTTGGGCTGGAAACCGCTGGGATACTCGACGTTGGGGTTCGACGCCGACGTATCGATAGCGGAGGGAAGGACGGGGGGCGCATCTTGGCCGATCTCACGGGACTGAGGCATGTCATTGCGCTGATTCTGGTGAGGCGATTCGAAGGTTTCGGTGGCGGGATTGTACGTGCCATCGTTGGGCATGTACGGCGCAGTGGGGGGCACGTATCCGCTCGGCGAGCTCTTGTTTCCTGCACCGGGCGGGGCAGTGTCGAGGCCGGGGCTGTCGGGGCGGCTGTCATCGCCAGCCTGGAATCAGCCTCGTCCTTCGTCGCCAGCTTGTTGGCCGCTTCCTCACCTTCTCAACTGGCGTTCCGGCTTCCTCCTCCTCGTCATGCACATCTCCACCCGTCTTGCGCGCCCTCCACTTCCGCCATAGATAGACCACTACGATCAGGAGCACGATGGCACCGATGATGCTGCCCACGATGATGCCCGTCCTCTTGTTCATCGTCTTCTTGGGGCACGACACCTCCCACCCGTCGGCGTCGTAGCACACCCGCACCGTCTTGCCACCCTTCACTGAGGTGCTCGTGCGCGTCGGCTTGCCGACCTTGGGCGCGCTGCCGCCGCTGCCGGACTTGGTGCCCGAGCCAGACTTGGTGCCGGAGCCAGACTTGGTGCCCGAACTGGACGAGCCTCCCTTGGAGCCGCCGGACGAGGAACTGCCTTTGCTGCCTGTAGACATTGTATCGTAAGAAGGTGTGAGGTAGGTAAGGAAGATGTGAGTGCGCGTGACCGCTTTATTATGTTGCAAAATGTGGCAGCGGACGGCCAAGGCGTGGCGTCGGGCGTTAAACAAATCAAGGCGCTGCAGCGATGCCGAGGTCACGGGCCAGACGTTGCAGGACGACCAGGTAGTCAGGCGCGCTGTGCCGAACAAGAAGCAGCGGTCCGTGGTCCGTGACATAGTGGCGAGCGAGCTGGTGAGATGCCTGGTGCGCACAGAGATCGGCCGTGGCGGTGTAGTGGCTGACGACAATTCGTTCCTTCATCCCTCGTCCACACCCCGCCGCCCTCCCCGCCCTGGCATATCCTCCGCCCCGCTCTTGTTCGGATCGACTATGCCCCGGGTCGTGTGATTGTGTGCGATATTGCGTCGCATCCGCCGCCTCCGGAACTGCCGGAGGTGCAGTGCATTAACGCTTCGTGATGGTACACGGTGCGGATAGAGGGGAATGTGACAACAGGGAATTTAAGGATAGCAGTATTTGTCGCGGCCCAGATTCCCACCACTCGGCCAAGGCGCCAACGGTCGCCGCGATCCGCAGCGCCTGGACTCGGCGCATGTTCGGCTTCGCGGAACGCGGCCTCGTGAACGGCTTGGCATACACGCCATGGCCTAACTTCATTCTCTGGGCAGTGCACAACCTAGGGCTCGGCAAGTAGCGATCCAAAGCGCCGCCAGACCGCCAGAAGGCTCCAAAGTCTCTTGATGCGCACGGTCAGGCTTACTTCGAGCTCATCCACCGCCGTGCGCTGCTGGCTCAGCTGATGACACACTTCGCCCCTTAAAAAGATTCAATACTTCTGATAGATACATCGTGTATTGCCGCTCTGCTACAAACGCGCCCTTGGGTGACGCGAGCGCCAAGGACGACAGATTATTAACAGGATGGCCAAGCAGACCGATATGTTTTCTGGTCCGCGCTTCTGCGTGAAACTAGCGTCCATAATTTAGGTTCTGGTATCCCGCGTTGTAACCCTGGGTCGGGGCCTGCGTGTCGTAGGTGTTTGGCGCGTACCCCGACTGGTACGCTGTCTGGCCGGGCGGCTGGTATGAGTTCGGCACAGGGCTGGGCTGATATGTGTTGGTGGACACCTGGTAGCCTGTGTCCGAGGCGGGTGAGTTGTAGCTCATGGCCGGGGCGTTGTTAACATCGGCCGAGTGAGTGTACGCGAGCGGCGCGGTGGACTAATGTCAGCGAGCTCCTCCGCGAAGTGGTACTGGGACGCTCGACTGCAACTCACCTTCTCGACGTCAACTGGCGTCCCGCCGCCAGCAGCCCGCGCCTGCTTCGCCTTCTTTCGGCGATATAAGAAGATGATGATGAGTGTAATGATGAGCGCGGCAATGATGGCGCAGGCGATGATGGCGCCGAGCTTGCCCCCGCCCAAGCTGCGCTTCGGACACCGGATCTGCCGATTATACTGGTCGTAGCATACTTTGACCGTCTTCCTGCGTGCACGCGCGGTGAGCGTGCGCGTGATGCGCACGACGTCGTCGCGTTCGTCGAGTACGGACATGCTGATCGTGGTAAGACGGGGGTGGGGGGCGAGATATACGAGATAGGGGAACACGAGGGAGCCGAGTTGGCAGGCGGATCGGGGATGGGAAGATGTTGGTCAGTCATGCTACCTTGACTTATGCGCCGCCGGTCAATGCCCTTGGGACGCATCGAGTGAGTGGCGGTGAGTGTGGCTGACGCTCATGACGCGAGAGAGCACGTATGGCGTCTTCCCGTCCCCTCCTCTGGGCCTTGGCACTAGGTGCTGCGGCGTAGGGAGTGACGAAGGATAGGAGTACGCGAGCCGAGATGATGGAACGCGGCAGTAGACAGGAAGCAGGTGGCGTGGAGCCGAATAGTGACGAGAGATGGCAAGCGTGACGTCTGAGTGACCGGAAGCAAATCATTCCGCACCATCAAAACATATGCTTTAATAGGTTATTAATTTCCGCGCGCACTGCCTTTATTGATGCTCTGTTTAGACCAGTGGAGCAGTGGAGCGGGCTTGGCGCGTCATCAGCTGTCGTTGCATAGCCACAAGCACACGTTTACCGTAGCCAATGTCAATCTCGCCCACCAACGCTGTGCCTCCCACCTCGCGACATTTCACGAGCTATGGGCAGACGAGCGATCGGAGCTTACTTGCACGGAAAGGGCGCGGAAACAGCCCCGCTTCGCACGGGATGGAAGGCTAGACCTGGGTCGGCGAAGGGGTTGAACGTGGTAGGGGCACCATGGGCAACAGGCGGATACCGGGCATGGCACAGACGGATCGTACCCAGTGGCGCTACTGTTGGTTTTCCCCACGGGCTGGTGTTAATACTTGCTCGGTGCCCAGCGGCTCCCCTTCTGTTTCTGGACCACTTCATTGTCCCAGACTTACCGCCATATGCGTGCTCAAGGCACTCAGCATCCTCATCCCGGAGCTGCGTGTGCTGCATGGCGCTGCGCCTCCTGCGCCAGTGGGAGTATCCGTACCAGAAGCCCCCAAGGCACATGAGGTCACTCCCAACTATGATGAGGCAGAGGATGAGGATCTCGGCCCATCGCGGAAGGCACTTTCCAAACGGAGACTTGTTTTTGCGGGCCAGTTACTCTTATCGGGGCACTTGACGACCTTGCAATCTTTACGTGGTGCTACGATAGAGTTAACGCGCTCCATGTTGTGCTGAGCTGAAGCGAGGTTGAGCATTGAGAGCGGGCGATGACTGAGATATATATCACACTGCGCGCAGGCGCTGCCTCTCCAGACACGCCGAGACTCGCGGGGTTGCTGGGCGGAGCCATGAGAGGTGAGGTAGGCAATGACGGTGGATTGAAGGGTCCCGAGATGACTGATACAACGGGGACGCTAAGTCGTCAAACTGAAATGCATGTACCTGGCCCGCTGCAGTATCTCACCGCCGTACTATTCGGCACGAATGACTTGGACCGGCTCTCTGGTTCCATTTGCTGTGCTTCAGATGGCAGGGATATCCGGAAATCTCGGGTTGGTGGGTGGCTGTCACCACTCTCTCTCACGCATTTGCCGTTCAGCTGACACCGCACGTCAGATAATACTTAGATAGCTTGTCGGAGACAGCAAGGGTTGTCACATGTATGCGGTCATGCCTCACTGATGCACGGAATTGTTCCATATTGTCTTGGCCCTCCATGCGGTAATCCCTGTTGCTATCGTCAGCTGGCCCATGTCTGATCTGTTTCATGCGCCGCAATGTGCGATAGGAATGTGCGATAGGCATGACGACAGCCGACTCCTGTTGCGCTTCCAGGCAGTCAATCGTGCTGAGAGCCGAGGTGTGGGGTGTCGAGCTCAAGGCCGCGGACAGGGCTCGGCCACATAATTTCCGCACCGAATGGCGCCGTGGTCGCGAAATCAGCTTGAGGTCAGCCCACACGCAGTCAGCGAGCCACATCAATCAGTCGTACCAAATACCTCATCCACGAACTGGGTCAAGAAGTGAGTATCAGACATATTGGGAAAGCGCTCAGCTCATCCCGGAAGGTGGGTGTGGCAAGGTGGGCAGAGCGAAAGAAATGGCGGTGAAGATGGGGTGCGTGTTGTCAGTTGAGAGTTGACAAATCCCAATTCATTCAAAAGACCGCACAAATTGAGGCGCAATGAAGATCTCTCGAACGCTTCGCCCACGGTGTAATGGGTACTGACTCATGGTGACCACGGTCAGGTGACCATCGATCGGCGATGGCCGACAGGGCCAGGAGTATCGGTCACCACAGAACCGATAGGGGCTGTGGGGTGTGGGGTGGCAAGATGCCGATTACCGTCCAGGCGGGCACCGCCGGCCCAGATCTCCTACAGCTCATGCTCTTTACTGCTCTTGGCAGCCGGGAGAGTATATAGGCGGTCAATGGACAACGCGAGTCCCCTTTCCCCCCAACATACACCATGGCGACACAGACTGCAGTGAGGAAGCAGCCGTCTATCGCAGAATGTGAGTCGTTCACGTGCTCGGCCAGCTGGCGAGCTGGGGAGCTAGGCATTGCGCCCACCCGGATCGAGAGCTTGGGCTGATCACAGGCGACGCGATGTTTATTCGGCCGGGGACCATCTTTGAGATGGGCCCGGAGATGATTAACGGGCGCGAGTACCGCGTATGGAAGCAGGTGAGCCCCCCACTGGCCTTGCTGACAGCAGGGGCACCGTATGGTACGGCCCTACCTCATCGACCGAATGAACAAGTGGGAAGCGCGCGTGTTTATCAACGCTCCCCGCGACGAGCCGTATCCTAAGGACGAGCGATTCGATTACACATTCGGGCAGATCCACGCGCGCGCGCTTCAGGTTGCGGCGTGGCTGCGGGAGACGCACGGCGCTGGCGTTGGTACGCGCGTTGGCATCTTGGGCTTCAACAGCGCCGAATGGGCGGTCGTTTGGGTTGCAACGCATTTGCTTGGCGCTGTCCCAACGATCATTAACAGCTGGGTACAGCCCGACGCGCTGGTCCACTGCCTCAAGCTATCAAACCCTGTGTTGGTGCTCGCGGACTCGAAGAGCGCGGACGCCGTCGCCCCTTATAGCGAGGATCTGCGAGCCGCGGGCGTGGGACCCATCTTGGCATGGAGCACAATGGAGCACCTGAAGCACAAGGACCACCCTACCATCGACCTATGGACAATCTCCGCTTCCAAGGAGGCGGTGATCGCAGTGGCGACCGGCCAGGACACGGCAGACCTTACGCCGCAGAGCCTCGGCTCCATCTTCTTCACCTCGGGCACCACTGGCTTGCCCAAGGGCGTGCCCATGACCCAGCAGGGTCTGCTGCACAACCTTAAGTGCGGGCAGAGCATGATTGTGCGTGCAGCGCTGCGTGCCGGTGCGCCTCTTGACATGGCGATGGCCCTCGCCACCGCTGAGAACCCGGAGCAGTCCCGCGCGCTGCACGCCGTTCCTATGTTCCACGTTACGGGCTGCGGAGGCTTCCTGGCGTCGTTCAATGACGGCAAGAAAATGCATTTCATGCGGCGGTGGAGCGCCAAGGACGCGGTCGACCTGCTTGTCAAGTACAACATCAACCAGATTTCAGGTGTGCCCGCGATCTCGAGCGCGATCCTGCAGCACCCGGACCTGCCGGCAGACCACCAGCTCAACGCGGCGATGTATGGTGGCGCGGCGCCGCCCGAGCGGCTCGGCGCAGACATGAAGAAGCGTTGGCCCGACCTCGTGCTCAACCACGCGTGGGGCATGACCGAGTGCCAGGGCCTGATCACGTCCTTCATCGGGCCAGACTATCTCGAGCGGCCGAAGAGCTGCGGGCCCCCAATACCCTCCAACGACGTGCGCGTCGTAAAGGTCGCCACGCGCCGCGTCCTCGGGCCCAACGAGGTGGGCTGCCTCGAGGTCCGCGGCTTCAACGTCCTCTCGGGATACCTCGACGATCCCGGGGCCACGGCCAAGGCGATCGACAAGGACGGGTGGTTGGACACGGGCGACGCAGGATACATTGACGAGGACGGGTTCGTGTACGTCTCGGACCGGATCAAGGACATTATCATCCGTGGCGGCGAGAACATTGCCAGTGAGGAGGTCGAAAATGCCGTCTACCTCGACGACCGCGTAGCAGAGGCTGCCAGCGTGCCCGTGCCGGACGACCTGCTGGGCGAGCTCGTCGCTGTCGCCGTCAGCCTCAAGCCAGGCGCCAAGGCGACCCCCGAGGACATCATTGCCGCTGTTGCTCCAAGGTGAGCGCCGCGGAAGAGCAAGCTGACTTTAGACTACGCCGCGAGGCCCGTCCCGCCTTTGTTTGGGTGTCGAACGACCTCCTCCGTGAGTACAGTGGGAAGTGGAGGCTGACTCCAGCCATGAATGCGAACGGCAAGTACCTCAAGTCGGAGATCAAGAAGACTGTGCAGGCGCTGTACAAGCAGCACAAGGCGCGCGAGGCGAAGCTCTAGAATGTCTTGGGATCTGGGTCTCAGAAGTATGCAGGCTGTGAAATACAGATGGGGCACTGATTGGGACGGGGGGAGATCGTTGGTCGCACATGTTGAAGGCTGCACACGTGCATAATTGTCTCGTGAACATGAGTGATGATACACCACAAGGCGGATCCGTCAACTCAACTTACCCATGTGCTTTTGCGACGAACATTACGTCCCCTCGCCGAGCTCGGCGCTCACCCTCTCGGCTGCACCGACGTCTGTCAGAATGCAAAGTGGCCAGGAAGGCAGTGCCTAGCCGACATTTCGCCATATAACGTTCTTCTCGCCGGCCAAAGCAGGCGGAGCGCTGGCGACTCCGAATTCTAACAGGAACGCCGAGCTGACAAGTCACCCGCGCTGGTACAGGCACGCCGAACCTGCTTGGAACCGACTCTGATTGTTGGAACATGACTATAGGTAATCTGTCACGAGGCACGCACCGTGATCTTGGCGAGGACAATGAACTCTGCTCTTGTCATTAGTGTCTTCGTCCCTGCCATGTGGGCTACGGCAAGCAATAGACCAGTAGACAGTTGGTAGGGGTGGGAGCGTCCTCATTGTTTTCCGCACAAAGCTACACAGAGCGGCGTAAGCTGTATCGGATCCGAGGCCTAGTCCCTGCTGGTCAGCGCCTGCTTCGCTGTGGACCGCAACCGGCATGCCGCGAGCTCGGTGCTCAGCTAGTCTTCCCGTAATACCTGTCCGAACTGAGCTAAATGCTGAAGCCCACTGCCATTCACATCCGCGTTCCTGCTTCCTGAGGAGGCAATGTACCTCGCTGGCGTGCGACATGAAGTCGAGAGATATAAATGAGATGACCAGCCGCGATGATTCTCTATCTTTCTCCACCCGCAACATGAAGCTCGCCATCTTCACTCTCGCCCTCGCCTCGCTCACTGTCGCCTCCCCCGTCGAGGCCGAGAAGCGCGCCGCGCCGAAGACTAACGACCTGGCTGAGCGCGACGCGGAGAAGCGCTACGATGGCTGGGTGTACGGCACCGGCGGCCCGTGGAACGCTTGCAACTTCCGCGACCGGTCGTACGACCACCATCGCTGCAGCATCGACTGCTGGAACCGCGGGTTCAACTACTACGACCCGACCGTGATCCCCTCGTGCTGCTGCTGGGGCTACCGGTGATGGTGAGTTGGACGCTGTGGGCGGTCTGACTTGACAGGAAGGCAGATAGGCCAGATGCAGTATAGTTAGGGCATGCAAAGCAGTATATTCGCGTCAGAAGGCTCGTGAAAATCACCATGTGTAGTGCGGCGTCCCGTTTGACTTAGAGACGGATGTGTGAGCAAGTGCCATGTGTGAGCAAGTGCCACAAGGCCGATACACGTGACTAGCGTTGAACGAGGCACCATCTCTGTCACCTGTGAGCAACCGTTACTGCCGGCATCGGCACTCACCATGTCGTCCCCGTGTGCCGGCATCATAGACGATGTCCCATGCGAGACCGACTTTACTTGAGAGTAGACGTGAGGTCCACTGAGAGATGACAACGCCATGGCGCCGCTCAGCTCCGACGCAAGGTGCACCTCCGTTGTCCGGACATGCTGCCCCATATGCGCAGCCAGAATGGTAAGAGGGATCAATCCGACAACTTTTCTTGCCACGGCGCCGTCAGCAGAGCGACAGCGGGTGATCAGCCCAGATACGACTCCGGGAAGACGGAACCCCCCCTTTCCCCCCCCCCCCCCCCCCCCCCCCCCCCCCCCCCCCCCCCGCTCGAGTTAACGGACAAACGGACCAAGACCGACGTCCGAGGCCCTAGATTATCGTCCGATCCAGTCAGTTTAGCTTGAACATTGCTGTCACGAGGCACGCGCCTGTGCCTTGCACGCCGCGCGACGCAGCAGGTATCGGTGCCGTCTGCGCCGCTCGTCGCGTCCGCCCAGAGGTCGGTAAGAGCTCGTCGATGAGGGCGTCCCAGACCATCGGGAGAGACGCTACTCAGCCCGAGACAGCAATGTCAGATCGTTGTAACGCGACAACCCGGGGATGACGGGCTGGAAATCGAGGCCTCAACCTCACGAGCACTCAATCCCCCATGTTCCCATCCGACTCAGTGGACAACCTCCACCGAACCTCCACCTCCACCTCCACCTCCACCAGTGCCACCGGCAAACCCCGAAACGCCGCGCACAGTCCCCCCCCACCCCGTCCCCTCGCCGCCGTCATAATTTCCATTCATCTTCCTTCCTCTCATGCAGGCCCAAGGTCACAATGCTCGCCCCGAACGGCTCCGGCCCCCCTCGCGAGCGGGATAAGGTCCTGGCATTCGACCCCCACCACCCGGCCCAAAGGCCGCGCGCGTCATGCGCGGCGCCCTCGACCAGAAATGCGCTGTGCGCCGGACGACTCCCGGAGACGCGGACCCGGCCTAGGCCTGGGCGAGCTGAGGGCCGGCGCGCGGCTTGGTAGGAGGGCGGGGGATGCCTGGCGTCCTGAGGCGCGTCTCGAGAGAGCACGCGCCCGGCGTCAAGGCTTTAGTGCAATTTGGTGACGTCCCCACTCACCCTCGGCGCTGCCGAGGGGGGATAACTCGATCAGGACTACTCTGGGCCTGCTATCGCTCTCGAGCGTAGATTTTCCATTCTGTCTCACTGCAGTCGTTGCGAGCGCAATGTTGCGTCCCGCGCAGCTCCCTTCTAGTTGTACGAATCGTCTATGTGAATGCCCTTGTGTCCGCACATTTCAACCTTCCTTCCCCATTCTGCATCCAGTTCGCACCACACTCGACGACGTTCGACGCCCGCCTCGAAGCACTCCCATGCATCCGGATCTCATTAACGCGATCTACATCCCCTATCACTGTTCGCTGGTATCCTGCTCTAATCGTGGTAACTTGGCCCGACGCAAGGCCTTGGCGGCGCAGAGATCGGCCGCCATCCCCCTTCTTGCTCGCCTTGACGGGCGCAAACACGACATGTCGCAACACGTCACACGTCACATCTACTCCTTGGTGGGGGCAAACTCCTCCTGCCCGGGCGGGTGTGGAATGTCAAACTTGGTGCGCACATTGTAGAACACCTGCACGTCAGCCAGCTATCCTTCACCCAGCTCTAGCTCACCTTGAGGAACTTGCTGCGCGCTCCCTGCGCCGTCACGCCGTGCCGCTCAAGGTCGCCCTCGTTCATCATGACCATGTCACGCCAGTGCGAGCTCTCAAAGTTGGTGGTGTATTTCTGAATAGTCAGCGGGGACCTCACAGTACACTCACGTGGAGACGGAGGACGCGCAGCCACGTCGAGACATCCTCGAGGACCTTTTGGTCGACGTCGTCGGGGCCCGCGACACCCGCACCACCACCCGCACCACCACCGCCCAATGCGCCGGCGGGGCCGGGGCTTGCCGCCTTGTGGCCCATCATGGGGCTGCGGCGCCCAGAGGGGACGCGGTTGCTGGGACGCGGCGCGTTCAGGTTCTGCCCCATCCCACCGTACCCAAGCTGCGCTTGCGCGGCCTGCGCAACCTGCTGCGCCTGGGCCTGGGCCTGAGCCTGAGCTTGCGCAAGCGCCAAGACCTGCATGGCGTTGGGACTAGCGAGAGGGTTGCTGAGCGCATTGATCCCACCGAGGTTGAGGCTTGCGAGATTCATGTTCAGATTGGCAAGGCTTGGGTCGCCGAGACCCAAACCACCAAAGTCGCCGCCGCTACGGTTGCTGCCCCCGTTGTTCCATCCAAAGGCGTTGCCCGAGGGCGGGAAGGGCGACGTACGACCGTCGTCGTCACCGTACGCCGACGCGCCCGAGACGTTGCGGCTTGAGGGCGCCGAGGGACCTCCCATGGGACGGCGGTACTTGCGGGCATCTTCAAGTTGAACGCGATTGGCGGCAGCCGCTGCGCCAGCGGCCATCTGCAAGCTGGCAAGGCTGGACGCCAAGTTGACCTCCTTGTCCTGGTGGAACATGGTGTTCATGGGCGTGTTCTGCATCGACGACCAGTTGCCTGAGGGGTTAAGCAGTGGGCTAGTCGCGTTGGGCGACTGGTCCGAGCCGGGAAGGCCGAGACCAAGCGAGCCAGGGCCAGCACTGAGACGCGGGGTGTTCGCCGAGTGCGAGTGGTAACGGTCGTCGTGGGCGCCAGCGCCACCTGCAAAGTCGGTCGACTTGGGGCGCATGTCAGGCTGAGGGCTGCGGCTACGCACACTCTCGAGGCCTGGCGAAGGACCACGCTCAATGACCTGGTCAAGGTTGCTCGACCAGCGCGACTCGTTCGACGAAGTCAGCGTACCTGGGGCCGAGATGCGGTTCTGGCGTATCTTGGGCTTGGACATGGCCGACTCAAGAGCCGACTCGGGCGCAAGGTAGTTGTTTGTAGTGGGCGAGCCAGCAAAGCCGGCACCGCCGCCGCCAGCGGATGGCGACTTGAGACCCATGCCAGCGAGCTTGCTGTCCATCTGGGAGTGAGCGGCGGCGGCAGCCGGGCCAGCCGCGGGGTTTGGTGACAGCATCGCGGTCAACGGGTCTGCCTGAGCCATGTGGTGGAGAACGCTGAGGAAGAAACGGATCTGCACAGGAGTCGAGTGCTGGAGGAGCGAGTACAGCGCGGCGGTTCGCTCGGCCTCGGACAGAACGCGGAACCCTGTGAACGCGTGAGTTCCAAACCTCCTTGCTTCGGCCACTTACACTGCTCAATGGCACCAAGCTCCTCAGTGAAGTTCTGGTCCGTGCTCGCCGCGGCCATCTCCTCCTGGACATGTCAGTGGTGGCGTCTTGCACACACAACCTACGAGAGTGGCCTCCCACGAGGCGAGGTGCTTGAACCACTGGTCAATCTGCTCCGCCTCGGGCGTCCGGGCCTGCTCGCGCGCTGCGCCAGTGGGCAGGAATTCGGACGAGGGGCGCCCCTGGTTAGAGCTGCCGCTGACGGCGCGGCCGGTCAGCGTCGCGGGGCGCGGGGAGAGCGAGTCGCGTTGGTTGGACATGCTGCCGAGACCCATGGCGACCGAGCTCGAGACGTGGCGGGGCTGGGAGGAGAAGCCCGAGCTGTTGCTGGGCGAAGTGCCAAGTGCGCCGAAACCGCGCGCCGCCGACGAGTTGCCAGACGTGGTGGGCGGACCGAGTGATTGACGCGTAAGCTTCGCGGGGTTGTTGGGGTTGATGGCTTGACCAGAGCCGGGTGAAGGAGAGGGAGAGCGGTGGGGACGGAGAGTAGACGAGGCCATGGTGTGGAACGGGCCAGCCGGAATGGACCTAAAAGAGTGTCAGAGTGTCGCGGTGTAGAAGGGTAAGAGGGGAGGGGGAGACACAGGAAAGAGGTCAGTCCGTTTGGATACGGCGACGTGGGGGGGATGGGGCGC